TATAGAAGACTAATCTAGATACTATATAGACGTATTTATTATTACCGTTATCTATACTAGAATAATATATCTCTATAATAGATATCTATTAAAGTACTAATTTCGAAAGTATAACTACGAGTATTAGCTTAAAACCTTCGTCGATTTAACTTATAAGAAGAATTTCGTAGACCTTACTATTAACGATTTTTCTCTTCGTAATAATAGAAAGCGTCGAATTTAGAATATCTCGAGTATAAATCTAGATAATAATAGCGAGAATAAACTCGATAATAACTTTTATACTATCTCTACGATCTCTAAAAACGACTAGAACGATAAAGACTACGACTTCCCTAGTAAAGTATTAAGTAATAGCCTTAATAACCCTAAGGCTAGTAAATCGTTATAAGTCTATTAGTCTACTATATTTACTACTTCGATTATATTTTTTTACTCTATCGCGATACTTTAACGTATCTATTTCTCTATATCTAGTTTTTTAGTATATAAGATACCCTATAGCGACTATTAATAGTATTAATAGTATTAATAGTATTAGTTATTTAGTTCGTTAGACTATCTAGATTATTCTACTATTACTATTATATATTAGTACTTTATATAGTATATAGATAGATTTTTTCTTATATACTGCCGACCCGATATAGTTCTAATTAATACGAGAGTACTAGTATATATATAGATACTATTTAGATAATAATAGTAATACTAATATAATTAAACTTAATTAAAACTATCGAACTATATAAACTATCGAACTGTATAAATCTAGAAACTCTCGAACTATCTAGATACGATAGTAATACGTAATATAATATAATATAGCTAAACTCGTAATATAGGATATCCTAATAAATATCGAATACGTAAATAAGAGACGGATCTAAATAAACTTAGAATCTAAGTAACTAGAGTTAATACGGTTTCGATACGCTTTAAAAACCTAATACTTATAAACTAAATTTATACGGTTCTACTACGGTTCGGAACCGTAGTGAAATCGTAGTAAAACCGTATTTAAACCGTAGTAGAACCGTATTAGATACGTATTCGATTCTCTAAACGGTTTCGAAATAGTGTCAATACGGTGTTAATACTGTATCGATCTAGGGGGGGGTGGGCACCTTAGTAAGTACTTAGAATTCAAGCCTTTTTTATGGGTTAGTAGCCCAGTGCGACGCGCATGACAAGTACTTAGTAACTCTCGAGTAGGATCGGAGTAGGATCGGAGTACTTAGTAGGGTCGATATAGCGTCGATATAGGATCGATATAGGATTAATCCTTTATAGAAGGGCATGTATGTACGATAGGAACTGACAGTATAGGTAGGTTATGCCAAAAGCGTTAGTAGTCGTGTCCTAACTTAGAGCCTACTATGGTCATCCACGGAAACAGATTCAAGTTCTCTTCGAAAGATGATATAATATAGTAGCTACAACAAAAAGAGGTCGAGGCTTAAAGCGTAAGCTACTAGGTGTTGACAGATATAGAACACAACTAGTGGTCTGAGAGACTCCAAGAGGACTACGACAAAGTGGCATAACGGCTTGGGCCGACGTATATACTATATATATTATAAGCTCCGATCTATTGAAATGCGCGGACAGTATAGGACATCGATATAGTACTTAGCCTCACCTTGTTCTTACTTGTATTTTTGGCAGGGCAAACGAGCGTCGCTCCTGCCGACATTTACAATTTCGTTAAGCTTAATAACACTAGGTAAGATAGATTTCGGTATCGAGAAAGTCGTAACCTACTACTAGGTATATACTAGTAGTAGTCTAATATACCTAGCCTTATATAGAGGGTGAAAAGCGCGAAGCTAGGCTTTACGATAAATAAAGTAGAAGTCTATCTATTATACCTCCTTATAAAGTGCTAATTTTACTACCTACTATCTAGGTAGCTAGAATAGAACTATATTAATATTACAAAACCGTATTAATATAGTTTAAATATAGTACTATATAGGCCATAGTAGAGTAGGTTAATACCGTATTAACACCGTATTAATATAGTTTTAATACGGTTTTAATACGGTTTCGATATAATATCCGATACGGTTTTAAACCGTAGTGAAACCGGTTTCACTACGGATCCGAATCGGTTCTAAACCGGTTTCGATCCGAGTCGGCGTACTTAAATCGGTAATAAAATTAACGTTTAGAACCGGTTTCGAACCGTAGTGGAATCGATTTCGAGGCTTAATACCGTATTAATACGGTGTTAAACCTCGAGAGTCTCGAATACGGTTTAGAGTCTAGATACGGCTATAAATCGATTTTATTACTATTTCTACGTTTACTACTACTAGTAGATCTATAATCGGAAAAGTCTACGCCTAACTGCACGCCCAACTGCACGCCCAACTGCACGCCCAACTGCACGCCCAACTGTACGCCCAACTGCATAACCAACTATACGCCCAACTAACAGTACGTTCGACAGTGCGTTTCAATACATACTATGTATGTAGTGCATTTAACAATGCATTCAACAGTGCGTCCAGCAGTGCGTCCAACAGTGCGTCCAGCAGTGCGTCCAACAGTGCGTCCAACAGTGCGTCCAACAGTGCGTCCAACAGTGCGTCCAACAGTGCGTCCAACAGTGCGTCCAACAGTGCGTCCAACTACAGTACTCGCTCATCTGCACGCTCGCTCAACAGTGCGTTCGACAGTGCGTTCGACAGTGCGTTCGACAGTGCGTTCGACAGTGCGTTCGACAGTGCGTTCGACAGTGCGTTTGAGGAGACGTACGCCTAGCAGGACGATTAATAGGACGCTCGAGAGCTCGAGAGGACGTTCGAGAAGATATACGCGTAGTAGAATACTATGTAATTATTAGAACGCTCGATACTTAGCTATATACAGTACTGGCCTCCTACAAAGGCTCAATCCGGGATCGATCTAGGATCACACCTAGTTTAGACCTAGGATCTAAAGTAGATCCGAACCAGGTCCGAATTAGGTCCGAACTAGGTCCGAACTAGGTCGGAACTAGGTCTAAACCGAATCGGATCCTAGATCGGAGGCTTAATCTATTTTTTTTCTTAAATCCGGATCGGATCCGGATTACGTATCGGCTACTATAATAGTAGAAAAAAGAGAGTTCGAATTCTACTAGGAGTACTCTTTTTTAGTTTAAGACTACCGTTAGAATTTTTCTTTCTTAAATTATAGGCGGTAGCGACGTCGTTACTACTCGGCTATAACGCCGTATATTATATTTCTAGTAGTATCTTCAATATATTAATCTATAATTTATAAATATTATATAATATATTAATTTAAAAAAATTAAAAATTTTAAAAATTTTAACTAATTCTCGATACGCTAGTTAGCCTATAGCGATCTCTATAGCGATCTCTATAGTGATTCTCTCGTAATCCTCTCGTAATCTACGATACGTTATTTAGCCTATAAGTGATTCTTAAGTAGGATCCGATTAGGATTAGAGTAGGGTTAATATAGCGTTAATAAAGAATCGATATAGGATTAATCCTTTATAGAAGGACATATATATAGTACGTAAAAGGTGTACGCGAAGAAGTCGCGTAGTAAGATAATAATTAAGAAGGTACGTATATAGTAAATATACTTAAACTAGTAGATAATCTCTACGCGAACTAGTAGATATAATCGAAACTTAGGATCTAAGTAAATAGAGTCGATACGGTCTCGATACGCTTAAACCCGTAAACGGTTTCGAACCGGTTTCGAATCGATTTCGAATCGTATTCGAGTTGGTTTCGAACCGTAGTAGAATCGTAGTAGAACCGTATTAGATACGTATTCGATCCTCTAAACGGTTTCGAAACCGTGTTAATACGGTGTTAATACTATATCGATTCTGTAGGGGGTAGGTATCTATATATCTAATATAATTTCAAACCGGCTCCAAACCGATTTCAAATCGATTCTGTATCCTGTCTAAAGCGGTCCCGAAACGGCCCCGAATTGAGTCGGTATGCTAAATCGATAGTAAAATTAAGGTTTAAATCTATACGCCTAACTTTACGCTTAGTAATACGCTTAATACTACTTAGTAGTAACACGCTTAACAACATGCTCGCTTAATAGTACGTTCGATAGTAGGTTCTCGCGTAGTAGGACGATTAATATATATACTATTAAGTACTATATAGTTTCCAAAAATATCACTAAGTGCTATACTAAGTATAAGCTTTATATAAAGAATACAGTACTAGCCTTCTATAGGGGCTTAATCTAGGATCAATCTAGGATTAGATCTAGTTCGGACCTAGTTCGGATCTAGTTACTGAACTAGGTCTGATCCTAGCTCGATCCTAGCTCGATTATTAGGTCGGAGGCTTAATCTGTTGATTTTCTTAGATCCGGATCGGATCCGGATTACGTACTAGGCTATATAGTACTATGTACTATAGTAAAAAACGAGTATTCGAAACCTACTAGGAGCACCCTTTTTTAGCTCTTTTCTAGTTTAAGACTACTAGTACCGTTAAAAATTTTCTTTTTTAATTTATAGGCGATAGCGACGTCGTTACTACTCGACCACGACGCTATTTATAATAGTTTTTTCGGTATATTAATTTATAATCTATAAATATTACGTAATATAAAAAATTTTTAAAGCTAATAAGTGATCCGATAGTAATTCTCAATACATTAATTAGCCTATAATGGATCTTATAGTGATCTTATAGTGATCCTCGACTAGGATCGGATCAGGATCGGAGTAGGGTTGATTTAGTGTCGATATAGGATCGATATAGGATTCATGTATGTATAATTTTCGGCTTTTCCAATGCGTGTAGCGACGACAGAGCGAGACGGCAGATCGCATTCACAGCAAAGGGAGAAATTGAGTATCACAGCTTCGTATATGTACAGGGTCTGATTCCATGACCATAATCGTGAGCGAAGTGATATATGAGGTTCCTGCGGGAACACCAAGGGTTCCAAGAACTTCTACGTTCCCGTGAGCATCTGCAATTGCTGTAGTTCCGTAGGAGGGGAGATATCAGCGAAGCGTGCCTCCATTTCGAGCACTATACGACGGTTGAGACGTGCATTTTGGCTTCAAGGGAGAGCCAAGTACGCTGGCAGAGAGCGGGATCCCTGAAAAGCTGTGCGCGTGCTGCGTCCCAAATGATGCCGCGCCTACGCGTGTCTCCAAAAACGCGAACCCACGTGACAGCATCAATGGTAAGCCTTCACAAGGTATCGCGATTCAGTTGTAGGATCAAACATATTGATTCCGCTGTTCAAAAGCGCGGCGGGATGGAGACGGGACAGCGTCAATTCAGGATTTCTGGAACGCCATGGTAGCCTAGGATGGCTCACAACTACCACTTTGATATTGAACCTGTCGGGCGCTTTGCGACTCAAAATGCGGCCATCAGAAGACCCCGGGTATGTTTTGCGGATGGTGCAGTGTTTCTTTCTGCGTGCTGAGTTGTTTAGGAAATCACCTACTTCTCTTTTGATGAAGACCATGTCCTTCGGCACGATGCGTCAAGCCTGCGCTACTACTATCCGCCGGCGCTACCTTGCGACCTCAATAAAGGATTCGAGACGTTCCGGCAGCTAGACGACTCCGCGGACGACCATTTAGATGGCTTGTTGGAAGCGCTCATATTATACGAGAAGGAGAAAGGGCAGAAAGTGGACACAGATCTCATAACATGGCGCGGGATGATGACGAAGGTGTGAAGGCTCGTCCTCGATACTAGTACGGGTTGCTCATGGACGTGGCAGATTATGGTATCTCCCTTCTCGCTTTTCGACGACTGGGAAATGAATGCCACCTTGTTCCAGGGAACTATTTACATCGAGGAAAACCATGAGAAAAAGGTGATGTCGCGGCAGAATCAGTTCTCCCGCCCCGCACATCCCGGTGCCATGTCTCAAGATCTTATGAGTTTCTGGGGATACAAATTCGAGACGGTGTCATTGCTGCCAGAACCATGGTCGAGCGCGTCCAGAGAATACATCGAATCCAGGGAAGAACAGATTGTGAGCAATTACGCTCAGTACTGCTCCATTGTCCGCACGGGTTTTGGCAAGGTCAAAATGATCATTGGCGGAGAGGTTGATGCCGTCGTGGACTTCAAATCAGAAGATAAATCCCAGCCCACGAACTGGGTGGAGCTCAAGACGACCGCCGCCGTGACCAACGAGCGCGAGCAGGTCAAGTTTGAGAGAAAGCTCCTGAAATTCTGGGCCCAGTCATTTCTACTTGGAGTGCCAAAGATTGTCGTTGGCTACCGGACCAGCCAAGGGATTCTGGAGCGCCTTGAAGAGCTCGAGACCCAGAGCATACCTGAGAAAGTGCGTTTGAGGGGCAAGAACCTGTGGGATGGCCAGACCTGCATAAATTTTGCTTCAAGTTTTCTGGAATGTGAGCGAGATTTCCCGAGCTTGTATACGGCCCACTGACGATGAAACAGGGCTGAAGACCATCATCACATCAGACGGCGTCTGGAGAATTCGAAAGCGAGAAAAGTCGCCTCGAGTCGAAGTGTTCAAGGTTGAGCAGACTGGTCACGGAGACATCCTCTCGCCGGCGTTTGTTGAGTGGCGGACAAAAGGTCTGCAGGAGCAACAGCAACAGCAGCAGCAACACCAGGAAAATGCCACGGTCGACCCTAGTGCGAACGGCCATGCGTCTGATGCACGGGTGCCTGATCCTCCCTGATCAATAGTGGAGTTCCCTTGCGATGATGCTCGCCTAAATACTGGACGACCGGCTTGGGCGAAATTCAGCACAAGCTTGCATGATTTCAACCTCCTGGACCTTCCGGTAAGGATTTTTCATGTCCAGCTTTGGAGCCTGCCAAGTCTCGCTTGCGGTGTGCAGCGACTGTCTTCTTGTGCCCTCTACTCGCAAGATGACCACTCCATTCCGCATCTGTCATGAGGACCTTGTCGCAGACTTCGCACCTTCGCGCAGTGCGCTTGGCCTGGCTCTCACCCTCCCCGGGCACTGGGAGCATCCTCTCCGCAAAATTGGAAATACTTCTTGGGTCAGGGAGCGCTCTGCCACTTAGGAAAGAAGCCACCAGTTTGCTCGCTGTTTCCTCCACGGCGGAGTCCCAATGTGTCAGGTCAGAACAGTCGAGTAAAAAAAGCTTATCCAACATGCTCGCTTTGACTAAATCGTTGGCCAACCGGATACGAATATAACGGTTCTGGCGCTTCGCATAGCGCCTCGTGCCAGCTTTAACCGACTCGATAGCATCTTGCAGGCCGCGCGAGCTGCTAGCATGACTGGAGTCCGAGTCCAGCGATTGTTGACTTTGTATCCACGGCTCCATCTCCTTATATCCGATCGATACCCATATCCCTTTTGTCTTATCAACCGGTATCCCTCTGCTTCTCAGGTCTGCTTCGAGTCGTGTCATTGAAGCCGCTTCGTCTGCCAGGCCATTGGCGACCATGACGTCCACACGCGCATTCAGTCGTTCCTTCAAGGCTCGATCTTCGGCTTCCAGCCACAATAACAACGTAGGATAGCGCAGCCTCTGCTCCTCTACCTGGGCGCTGTTGGCGGGTTGGGTGGCACCATCGATATCGTCTCCCTCTCCGCCTTTTCCGTGTCCGTTAGTCGTTCTACGCTGCTGTTCAGCATAGACATCAGAAGCTTTCCGTCCTGTCTGGAGCCAAATCTGAAGAGACCGCTGAATCTTCCGTCTATCATTTGGATGCCATCTTGCCGCCATATCTGGATCGATCTCCTGTAGCTTCGCAAAGAGTTCTTCAGTTGGTCTCGACAACATGGGGTGGTCCTCCTGTGCCGGCTCTGAAATTCCTCCATCTGGACCATTGTTATCGCCAGTCTCCTCGGTAAGGGTGGCTTCCTTGAACAATAGTGCATGAGTGTAATAGTGTGTCCCGCCAACCACGATGGGTAACTTGCCCCTGGACCTGATTTCGTCAATGAGGCGAGACGACTCTTTGACAAACCGGTTGACCGTCCAAGGATTCTCATCCAACCCGATGAAGTCAAGGAGATGATGCGGAATGCCGTTGCGCTCGTCATCGGGCATCTTGTTGGTGATGATGGGAAGCCCTTTATACATCTGCATAGCATCTCCATTGATAATTTCCCCATTGAACCGTGTAGCAAGCTGAACAGCCAGCTGTATTATAAATCGAATTAGTGTCAAGTTCGTACTAAATTCTGAACTTACTGATGGACATGGAACCTACCTTTGACTTGCCGGTTCCCGTGGCACCGATGACCACCACAATTGGGTCCTTGGGTGGATGGGAAGCCATGGTTGATGATAAGCGTCTCAAGACTATAGACGACAACATAAGACTCTTCGTTTGTAGGGACTCGGCGTCACGGCAGCCCTGGAAAGAGTAAATTCACGGCATATTTATTGGCATGGACACAGCGCAAATGGCTATTTATATATCCGTGACAACGACGAGAACCCACCCGACATGTAGCTAGATATCACAGAAAATCGATAGCAGACGACGTAGAAATGCTCTTGCACGACGGGCCCGCGACTATCCCTTTCCTAAGATAAGATATAAGTCAGGAAGACTTGAAAATAGCCACACGCTGTAACATCGTCTTCAGTCTTGCAAAATCAAAATTGCATATCGGAGACAGTTTGCTCTGCCGTAGTCGTTGCGGCGAAAGTTCAACTTTCTGCCGCCGCGCAGCATCGACGATATTTCAAACAATCTTGCAACTACTACTGCCTGCGGATAACGACCAGGACAACGAGGCAGCATCTTTCTGCCGAGCAGTCTCAAATCACACAGACTATAGAGATATCCGCGATACACCATGGCCGAAGTAGTCCAAGCGCGCACGAGCTTTGCCTCACCCTCACCTTCGACACCGTCTCGCAAGCGATCAGCCTCGCCTTCGGACGAACCCAACACCACCACCACCACCACCACCACCACCACCACCACCACCAGCAACACTTTAACCACAACAAACAACAACCAAGATGGCCCGTCCGAGCCCCCGACGAAAAAGACAAAACTGATCCGACGCAAGCGACGACCCGCACGACCCCAAGTCGACCCATCAACATTCAAATCCGAACCACCGCCCCAAACAGGCACAGTATTCAACATCTGGTACAACAAATGGAGCGGCGGCGACCGGGAAGACGCATACCTATCCAAAACGGCCGCGCCGTCACGATGCAACATCCGCAACGACTCGGGCTGGACACAAGCAGACAAAACCCCCGGAAGCTATTTCTGCCTATTCTTCGCGCGCGGGCTATGTCCTAAGGGCCACGAATGCCAATATCTACATCGCCTACCGGGAATCTACGACATATTCAATCCGAACGTGGACTGTTTCGGCCGCGACAAGTTCAGCGACTACCGCGACGACATGGGCGGGGTGGGCAGTTTCATGCGCCAGAACCGGACATTGTACGTCGGTCGGATCCACGTCACGGACGACATTGAGGAGGTCGTGGCCCGCCATTTTCAAGAGTGGGGAGAAATCGAACGCATAAGAGTCCTGACGGGCCGTGGCGTCGCGTTTGTCACGTACGTCAATGAGGCGAATGCCCAGTTTGCAAAGGAGGCAATGGCGCATCAGGCTCTTGATAATAATGAGATTCTCAATGTGAGATGGGCCACTGTCGATCCGAATCCCCTGAGTGCGAAGCGTGAAGCGGCCAGGCTCGAAGAACAGGCTGCTGAGGCTGTTAGACGTGCGCTGGGCGAGAGCGCTGTTAGACAGATCGAGGGTCGTGAAACTCGTGAAGAGCGCGATCAGAGAAGACTGGAGTCCGGATATGGGTTGGAGGGGTATGAGGCCCCGGAGGAGATTTGGTTTACTCAGCAGAAAGAGAAGGAGTTGCAACAAAAACAACAACAACATCAGTTGGAGGGGCAGAAACAAGGTGATCGTGGGCTACTTGAGGCTCCCCCCACGCACGAACCCGCGGCGGTGGAAAATGGCATCTCTGCCTCTTCAGATCAGACTACGGCCGCTGGAGAAAATACTCCCGCCGGGGGAAACAGTATACTTCCTAGCTCTACGCTGGCAAGGTTAAGAGGATACGCGTCGAGCGCAAAACCTCCACCGGCTGCGACTCCGGCTCCTGCGGCTGCGCCGTTGGTTGCATACGGAAGTGATGATGACAGTGATTGATACTCTGTATCATCCCTATTGTACCGTCGTGAACTTGTGTCGTGAACTATACCTCCGTCAATCATGGTTAATACTGTGTAACGAATAAATGAAGAATTCTAGCCATTTGGCGAAAGAAAGCAAAGAATCAATCAATGGACATGGTTCCGCAGCTCGTTTCTTTCCAGTTTCCCATTCGTTCTATCTAGTGTTGTTGCTTTTTTATATCCTACCCTACGAAAACAATTTTTGTCTTCCCTCCACAGAGTCAGAGTCATATATACACAGCCAGAAACCGATACAAGTCCAGACTCATAATTCGCCATGCTTAATAGCCCCTGCCTGGGCACTCAAGTCTGGCATGCGCATGATGACAACGACCAAACTAGTCCAGCCGGTGAAATGCTGAGTTCGCTGGCCGGCGCCCGTCTCGGGATTATACTGTTCCCAGGCGAAGCCTGTGCGCTCCCACTGGTTAAAGACATTGTTGACAAGATTCTGCCTCAGCTGGACATAGATGTCTGTGGCCTGGGCCTTAACTTTGGGCGGTGTGGCGGACGACTGAGCGAGAACAAGCAAATTCTTAAGGATCAAGTAGTTGATGTTGACCCAGATAGGCGAGCGCCAGTAATTCTCGTCGGAGCCATAGAACTCGTCGGATTTGGACAGCGAGCGAATGCCAAAGGGGGACCACAGATCGGACTCGGAGGAAATCAAAGCCAGAATGTGTGGCAAGTTCGGGTGCGTCGGAGGCATGAGGCCCGTCAGGAACGGGAACAAACTGATATATCCCTTGTGGCAGACATGGACGGAATCCTCGTAGTCGTCGATCGTGGCGTCGCAATACGCCTTGTGGTCGTTCGACCAGTGCAAATCGTCAATGTTGCGAACAATGGCGTTGCTTTGGCTTTCAAAGTCGGAAGTGTCGTCCGTCTCGGATAGCAGAACCGAAAGCCGCAACAAAGTCTTGGACATCATCCCCACCCACGAAATTAGATCGGTGTGCAGCTCGCCAGGGTGCGGTGGCTGAGGACGCGGGTAATCGTCAAGTCCCGATGGGAGGATGTGGCGAGGCGTGCGGCCGCGCCATCGGTACGCTTCTTTGGAGGAAAACGCCTTGCGGTCGTATGACTTGATGTCCCCAAATTGCGTCCGGCGGAACCAGTAGTACTGGCGCTTGAGCAGAGGATATAAATCCCGGAGTTCAGACTCGATTCGATCCTTTTGCGTGACATTGTCGGCCGCAGCCAGCTTGTCCATCAAGGTGTCAATAATGAGAAATAGTGTTGGTGGATTGGCGTAGTGTGGGTATTGCACTTGAAACTCCGCCGGGACTTTACTGCGTGCTTCGGGTCCCAGAATCTGTTCCCGCGCTATCCACCCATCCTCGTCCATCAGGTTGAACCACGACCTCACGATGTCTAGAGTCACGTCGAGATCCCATTCTGCAATCGGGACCAAATGAAATCCTTCGTCCCAGAGGAACCCACGAGGAAAGAAAGGTCGCGACGGCACACTAGTAAAGAGCTCCGCTGGCGGGTCGTGCACAATCTTGGCCCGAGCCCTGGCCTCGGCCGTCTCCTCCCAGAAGCCTTCGTTTTCCTCGTCGTATTCCGGAGCATAAGATCGGTCGACCAGCGAATCGCCGTAGAAATATCCGATCCCGCCGAACAAATTGGAAAACATCGACTCGGCAAAGGTGGTGTAGGCGGGCTTGTCGAATGACGCCAAAGGTTGGAATGTCTCCTTAAACTTCGACTTGAACTTGTCCGAGACGCCAGAAATGGCTTTGTCGAGTGTCTCCGTATACACGGAGGGTCCCGAGCCAGACTCGAAGAGAATGTCAAACTCAAATGCACCCACAAACACCTTCTGCACCATATGGAAATTCCCCGGCCCTGGTTTCTGCGGAATAGTAAACGCTGCCCAGGGCGGCGGCATGTTACCCTCGCCGTATTCCTGGACATAGGTGTCGATTTCCTGCTTCATGCTGGCAAACACAATGTTCTTGGCTTGCCAAATCGCCTCGGGAGGTATGGGCAAGCTGCACATCAACGTCCGATCCAAGGGTTTGGCGTCCCAAGACGGATGGATCTTGTAAGGCACTGTGTTCTCCGTCGCATCCTTGAATGTGATATCAAATTCGCCAAGGTCCGCCGTTTGGCCATGCAGAGTAACGCGTCCTTGATCATCTGGCTCGTCCGAGCTGAACCCTAGCTCCCCCAACCCTTCCATGCCAGCATAGAATATCAGGGTCGTGACCAAGTTCGGCGGAGCATCCTCCCTAAGTGCTCCCTTGACCCTAGCCGCCCAGCTGCCGCCGTGTTGCCCGCCAGGCACCTTGACGAAATCAATGGTGAGATCGATCTTGTTCCCTGTATCGTGTATGACTTCCCGACCGCCGTTCCGAGCATCGTACTCTTCCCACCCGTAGCCTGCCATTCCCTCGTGCTGCTCGCATGTGTGCCGGAAGTTGTGTTGGGCCGTGGCATAGTTGTCCGTATTTGCCCACAATAGTCCTGTCAGCAAACTGTTCGGTAGCCGTGGGCGAACGCCGAAGTAGAGGTTCGGTCGGTAAGGGCCCCATAGAAGGGTGTTGTTCGACGATGTGCTGCCAGCAGATGCATGTGCTGATTTGTTACACAGGAAGAACAAGGCGAATGTAACGGTTAATAAGAAGCATTGCGTAAAGCTTCTGGCGCATCTAGTCATGATGCGCAGTGGGCAACTCTCAGAGCTGCGAAGGACCTGGCGAGCCTCGCATCGATCGAGTTGCGTCGACGCATGTTACCACCTCGATGTCGTTGTACTATTTGCGGGACCAGGGACAAGCCAGCCTGGCCTCGGCGTTTGCGGCGTTAAGAGACTGCCTTGGAGATTAGTCAGTCAGGGGCAAGCCAATACGGTGGAGCAACACTGTGGAGCACAATTAATGGAATAGCAACCTCAGCCTCGCGGCAGTGGCGCTGGCATTTCGATACGACATACATTCAACGAAGACAAGGCCATCCTGTGATAATTGTCGTCCGCAGACTCAAATGGATGTATTCGGTCACATTCTAGTCGCGGCGGCCGCTGGACGTGATCTAAAGGATTCGTTGTTGTGAGAGAAGTAACACATAGAGGTAACATATGGAGGCTGCTCTCGACAACCACCTCTCTAGATGCTTGTTAGGAGTTGACTCTGACCATAGGACGTAACCGGGAAGACGCACTCGATGCCACCAACTGTCCTGAAAGATGTAGACTAAGATTAGCGGGAGCGGACGCTTGGCACATAACATAGGTGTCATCACCTTAGCGATTTTATGCACGACAAGAAAACAAAGCCGATCACGACGGTGGACACTAAAACAGAATGTCAATCAACGCTAATTACTATTCAATTCAGACACGAGAACAACCGCAACCCCAACGCCTATCTACTCTTGGCCATTTTCAGGCGCAAGAAGCCCACCAGGTCGGCCGCCTTGACCTCATCCTCGGAGCGGAACGGGCTACGCACCTTCAAGGTGCGTTCACCCGCCCCGCCCCGGACGATCACCAGCCAGTAGCCCGCGTTGTTGCGGTACGCCATCTCCAGCTCCTCGAGGGAGCGGAACTCCTCGGACAGCTCGGCGCTGAGGCCTGCCGCCCACAAGGACGACAGGACCTCAACGCACGAGGTCTTCAACGTCGCCGGGTCGAACGACGTCACCAGGATGTCGCACCTGGTGAGGAGTTTGTTGGCGTCCGCCGCCGCGGGCCTCGACGGCTTGCCGTGCGGCTGGACCTGGCCGCGAACGTAGCCGACCAGGTCCATGATGTTGAGGCGGAATCCCGCCGCCCGCACGGAGCCCTTGTCGGACTTGGTCTGGTAGTCTTGGATGAGGGCATCGTACCGCCCACCCACCGCCAACACCTTCTTGGTGTTGCTCTCCATGCACTGGAACAGAAGACTGCCCCGGTAAAGATACTCCGAGTTGTTGCTTAAAGGTGCAACCAGAACCTTGCTGTGAATGTTCATCCGCCTTAAGAACTGAATGACATCCTCGAGCCGCGCCAAAAGAGGCAACGCCTTGCTCAAGTGGTCGCTGTCACCAAAGAGCTTGGTGAGCTTGCCACGCACTTTTTCCACGTCACCATCGAAGTTGAATCGAGACAGATCGCTCACTGATGTTTCAGCGATGTTCATGGCAGAGCTGCGGAGTTGTTCGCGCACTTGTGTCCATGTGGTCGTGCCAGTATTCAGGTGAGAGAGTGCTTGCTTGACGTTGGACATTTCGACAGGCTTGATGCGGCAAAAGTCGAGAATGAGATTGATCAAGTCGGAATGATTGACGTAAATGGTCCAGTCCCGGACTGCAAGCGCAGGAATGTCGCGAAGGACCTCATCTAAGACTTTGATCACCTCGGCTTCCTTGATAGACAAATCCCTGGCACTGTGTGAAACAAAGTCAAAATCCACTTCGGGTACCTGTCGCGGTTGATTTCCTGCTACAGTTGCACGGTAGACAACGCCGAAGCAGTAAGTCTTGGTGTAGTTTGAGGTAGTCTGTGCCAGAGTGCGTGCAAAAGGCAACGTAAGATCGACAGGCAGCTGTACGACCAGTCCAGATGGATCGAGGAACGTTGCAGGTTTGGCATAAAAGTCTTCCTTAGGGATAATGCCTTGTCTGCCAGCTTCGACAGCGCCATGTCTGCGGAAAATAGTCTTAAGCTGGTCACATGCATATATCCAGAACATGGAATCTGCAGCAGACATGCCGTGCGCCGTCTTGTCCTCCCAAGCAAGGCTTGACACAGTGTTGTTGGGTTTGGCAAAGAGGTTGCTCACCCACTCTTGGTACTTCTCCGGATTTTCTGCTGCCACCTGGTCAATGTAACGCTGCAACTTTTCCTCCTCGACAGGCTCGGGTATCAATCCACTATCAAGCAAGTCTTTGGCAGTCGGTCGTTTGTTCTGATCGGGATCTACCAGCTTGAGAATGATTTCACCTTGTCGACGATGGATATCCTCTTCGAAGAAAGGAGGAAGAGTGGGTGGTTCTCGTCTCAATCCATCCATGATCTTAGCCTTTTCCATCGCTGAAGTGAAAGGGTAGCACATCTCGAGGAACATGACACCAAGAGAATACATGTCGGCGCGGCTGTCGTAGTGGCTTCCACGAACGTAGAGTTCAGGAGCTGTGTAGCCTTGCGTGCCCAATCCTGTGGAATTTGTAATCACCATGCCTGGCTTGGAAATATTCGTTTTAGACGTTGCTTGTCCAGCGGTTGCCAGACCGAAATCACCAATCTTAGGTGTGTCGTCAGAGTCAAGAAAGATGTTTTCAGGTTTGAGATCTCGATGGACAACACCATGACTATGCAGGTGAGCAAGGCCCTCGACGATACGTCGGAACAACCGCCAAACCGAGTTCACATTGGCAGAGAGGCCTTGTGCGATTCGATGGCGCAGACTTTGTCCATCACAGAACTCCATCTGGATATAGAGTATGGATTGCTCGTTGTGGAGTGGCGATCGTGACCGCATTGACTGCACATGATCTGATTGATCTGACTGCACGACTGGCGAGTCACTGCTGGCAAACGGATCGTCACCCAGGTCATCTTGATTATCTTGGTCAGTCGCAGCAAAGGGGTCAGTCATCTGCTCCACTTCATCAAGAGCAGCGTCAAGTGCGCTAACTTCGAACTGATCGTCATCAAAGCTGTCGTCTTGGACCGATGGAGGAGCTTGATAGGCAAACATATCCTCCTCCTCAGAATCACTGTACTCGGCGCCCTGGTTGCGGTAGACCGAGGGCTCCATAAAGTCATGGCCGGTACTGAGAGCAGCAGCATGTGGCAGCTGTCTTTCAGGACTCTCCTCTTGACGCATTTCTTCCACTTCATCATGTTCGGTTTCGTACCAGGCGTTGTAATACCTGACAATGTAAGGGTGATTGAGTTTCGCAAGCAGGGTGACTTCACGCAATATGTCTTCCAGCATCTTCGTAGAGCTGCTCTCTACCTTCTTCACCGCGTAGTATTGCCCGTCGAGTTTGCGTCTTGCGCGGAATACTTTGCCGAAACCACCCTTTCCTATGCGTTCCAATTCTTCCCATTCGTCACGATATCGGGATTGGCCCTGCTTGTCGCTGTACCGTCGTCGCCGCCCTCTCGGCGTGCTTGGTATATTTGGGGAGTGGTTTCGAAACATGGCTTCACGCTCCTCATGGAAGAATTGTTTGCGACTGAGCTCGAAAGCCGAGGGCCGATTGTTGGGATTGGGCTGAAATAACTCTTCCAACAGTCTCTCGCTACTTGATGTGAAGTCGACGCCTTCCAACACGTTTGAAGGCGAGGTATACACCTCTTGGACTTGATGGCCCAACGCCATCTGTAAGATGATGATGCCTAGCTCCCAGATGCAAGTTTTGCTGGTGCGTCTCGGGATTTTGCCATTGAGCTCTGGCGCAATCCAGAGCGGCAGGTCTTTGTTGGTTTTGGTGGAAGGATCTCGGGCCGCTTGAACAAGATCCCTAAGTTGCGTTCCATAGCCGTCAGAAAGCTTGATAGTGAGCCCACCAGTCGGGGACATGAACAACATGACATTACCAGCGTGAAGTGCCGGATGCACGAAGCCTTGCTGATCAAAAAACAGCAGGGCGTCAACTATTTGTCGAGTCCATGAGCGCACCTTTGCAGCACTGAGTGAGCCCGCAATTGCAAGCAAGGAGGAAAGGGAGCCTTTGTTTGCAAACTCGGATAGAATCGAAAGCCGCCATTGGCCCGGTCCGTCCTCGGATGGTAGATGCTCGATCTTGTAGTTGAGAAGGTCAACAACGTTTGGATGGCGGTGCTCTTTTGACGACTCCAAGGCTTCTTCCACCTGTTCCAAGCACTTCTGCAACTCCCCTTCTTTTCCGCCAATGTTGTCCGGAAGGTATATCTCTTTCAGCAGAAGCTGTGGAGCTTGTACACGATCCGTATCGATGCGCGGGGCGACAATCGTGATTTTCTTGTCTTTGCGCTTGAGTATGACAGATCTCCCTACAACTGCCTTGAATTTGAAAGGAGTAGTGGTTGCTGTATCTCGACATATCATAGACTGGTCGAAGCGTACCGGTTCTTCAGGGACGTCGTAGACATCTTCGCTGTCCTCTGCCGTGCTCTTGCGGGTTAGGGTGGTTCTCAAACGACGTTGCTTCTCAGTTTCGACCTGGGATGCTAGAAGCTGTTCTTGCAGCTCGGCTTCTTGGGCCAGACGTTTCCGTTCGCTTTCTCTCTGTTCTTCGAGCTGCTTTCGAGCCTGGGCCTCTCTGACTGCCCGCTCTTCCTCGAGGCTGAGCGAAGTTTTCTTAGCTGCTTTATCCGAGATCGTCTGTTCAAGAAAGTCCATGATGGCGGCATTAACTTCGTAGACGGACTCGCTGCCCTGATGCTGCCGAGGGACCGTTGCTATGATATGCTCAACCTGTCGCTTGATCTCAGGGTCTTTCGGCTGAACCTCAACAATGTTGATCTTGGGAAGAACCTTTGGATATTCGCGTGGGAATTCAAAGATTAGTTTGGCGAAGAAACCTCGATCTTCGAGTGGCCCGACTCGAACTTTGAAGGCGAGGTTCTCTTGGGTCTGAGGTTGGAGTTAGTGCATAGATCCGCAGGCTGCGCCCGAGGTCCTCACCTTCCAAGCATCCTTCCTGCCGCGAACTCTCTCAAACTCATCAGGATAAATCGCTCTTGTGGTTAGAAACTCGTTTCTTTGAACCTCCGGATAGTCTCCAATCTCTTCCTCAAGCGAACGGTGAGACTGTCCAAATGAAGGAGGAGCCGCAAGTGGTGGCTCAGCCGGTGACGAGTCCGCAGGAGCATTCTTTGCGCGCTTGCGGTTCGGCATTGTGAGAGAACAGCGCAGATCCCGTTAGGGATCTGAAGTCCACTTCTCGCGTCCTTTGAAGTATTCAGAAACATTGGCACGCGAACCCCGTCAAGGGGGACTATGCCTAGGCAGCCGCAGCGAATGCCGCGACAACCTACATGTCTATGATTTGCATTTCTCAGACTCTTTTGTGCATTGTCGCTATCTTTTGTGAAAGAGAAAACAACAAGTGGTTGGGAGTCACACCGACAGAAGGATATACTTTATAGCCAAGACGGCGTCGGAGCGGAGATACAATGTTCCGTGCGGCGGACGCTAAACTTTATCCGGGAATTCAAGGTTCCTGTTGCTGCGTCTTGTCAGAGATATTCCCCGCCAATATCCCAAGAGATTATCATACAAGGGCCGTATGCCGGCCCAGGAGTCTTCTTTAAATTTGCACTTGGGTCGCATCGACGGTCTCTGTCTGAACCCGATCCAGGCTATACCGACCTGCTGCTAAGCACCGTGACATTTGAAGTGGTTCAGTCAAGATGGTGAACATTACTGAGAAGATCAAGGAGTTAGACTATCCATTGTTGTGCTATGTTGCGACTCTGACTCGATTTTAGGATCGAGGCCGAAATGGCCCGAACTCAAAGTGGGTGAAGTGAAACTATTACAGATCGGTTGATCCGGGAACTTGAACTGATGGATTCGCAGAAAACAAGGCCACAGGTTCGTACATTGACTTCGGCAATCATGGATCAAGGCTGACAAGCCACGACAGAGTATCATCTTGGTCTTCTGAAAGGGTAAGTGGCTCTTTATCTGCCGTGGGCAGTCTTGAGGGGATATCGGACAAAGACAACCTAGATTCTGGACAAAGAAAGGGCCCTGCACGTGATCTCATTACATGATTGCTGCTGTCACGTGCCTCAGCCTTGCCCCTGATGTGCTTGTTTGTCACACATGGGCAGACCTGGGGGCTTTTCCCCTGAAATTACCTCGGCATAGCTAACAGCTCAATTAGTAAACTCGCACGCTTGCGGGCGCAATTACTTGAGCCAGGTCCAGGGGCAGGATCTGGCGGTGGCACGGGCTTCGATGTGTCCAAGTCCGGAGACGCCCGAATTGCCCTGGTCGGTTTCCCTTCCGTCGGTAAATCGACCTTTCTGTCCAAGATCACGAAGACGAAGTCAGAAGTGGCTGCATACTCTTTCACTACGTTGACAGCCATTCCCGGAGTGCTCGAGTATCAGGGCGCAGAGATCCAGATACTCGATTTACCTGGTATTATTGAAGGTGCCTCCGAGGGTAAGGGCAGAGGAAGACAGGTCATCAGTGCGGCAAAGGTAGGCTTCTCGATGTTGGGCTCCTTCTATCGACTGACGAGAATACCTGCCTGCAGACATCAGACTTGATCCTTATGGTGCTGGACGCCACGAAACGGGCGGAGCAGCGTGCGCTCCTGGAAGCCGAACTGGAAGCCGTGGGCATTCGACTCAATCGCGAGCCACCCAATATCTACGTCAAAGCCAAGAAGGCCGGTGGAATGAAAATTACATTTCAGTCGCCTCCCAAATACTTGGATGAGAAGATGCTGTACAACATTCTGCGGGACTACAAGATGCTCAACTGTGAGGTGTTAGTCCGGGACGAAAATGCAACCGTCGACGATTTCATCGACGTCATAATGAAAGACCACCGCAAGTACATTCGCTGTTTGTATGTGTACAACAAAATCGACAGCGTTACGATGGACTATTTGGACCAGCTGGCCCGCGAGCCACACACAGTGGTCATGTCCTGCGAGCTGGATCTGGGCATAGACGACGTCGTCGAACGTTGCTGGAAGGAGTTGCGGCTCATCCGTATCTACACAAAGCGGCAGGGCGAGGATCCGGATTTCAGCGAGGCTCTGATTGTCCGCAGCAATAGCACCATCGAGGACGTCTGTGATCACATCCACCGCACCATGAAGGAGACGTTCAAATATGCGCTGGTATGGGGAGCCAGTGCAAAGCACATACCGCAGCGGGTAGGATTGAGCCATCCGGTGGCAGATGAGGATGTTGTGCAGATCGTCAGCGCCTGGAAAGCATGAGTAGGTAGAAGGTGGTTGTCTGCATCCAGTATCTGCGAATTACCATCATTACCATCATGCATTATGTTCGTACAGGAATCGAGAAATATGCCGGCGTTGACCACGATTGCAGAAGCGGGAAATCCGAAATTACTACTTTTGCATCGAAAGTTCAAGTCTATGTATTGGATTTCTCTTGTCTTTTCAGACAATTTCGCGTTCGGATCATTCCGTCATTGTTATATGAATCTGCGGCCAACCTAGTCTATCTCAAAACTCTCCTTGGATCGAGACTGCTAACGTTTGCACTGAGCGCTTTGCCGTCAAAAACGAATTCACTCATCAATTTGCCTGTGCCTGGCCCGTTCTGGATCCCCCAACACGTGTGTCCGGCTGCCAAATAGATTCCTTTGGTGTTGGTGAGGCCTACCAGAGGCCCAGCGCCAGTCTCTACTTGTGGCAAGTAACAAGCCTGGCGGACGAGCACTTCCCCGTCCCGCATTTCATCGGAAATGCTTGCACAATAGTCCACAATGTCCTGACATCTTGAGTCATCGACCTGGACCTCGGCAGTAGATTTTGGCAGCGGCACAAGATGGTCTCCTTCGCCGCAAGCGTACAACTCGTTGTTGGGACGAGCGTATATCTCCGGACTGACGTTCATCGCCCGGGACGTGGTACCTTCTTTGAAGTTTTTCGGAAGTGCGATCTGTGTGAACAGACAGTACGCGGAAACCGGTCGAGTCGGGCGGACCGTCACACTGTGAGCTCGCAGCGCGCCAATCGGTGTCCCGGGCAAAACGGTTTTGGTCCATGGTCCGGCCGTCACGATAACATCAGTGGCGGAGATGGATTGTTGCGAGTTTGTGCTTTTATCCATATACTTGACTGTATGTTCACCCGACGAGGAAGATTCAATCTTGTCGACCGTGCCAATAATAATCTTGACGCCCTTTTCTGCCGCCAGCTCCGCCATTGACGTCGTGAACTGGTATGGATGGACCTGCGCGCTCTCTCCTGGAGCGCTCATGCTCTCATAGCCCCGGACGCATTCATCGGCGACCCAGTCGAGGTCATCCGGGACACCCGCTTTGCGTAGCTTCGCGTAGGACTCTTTGCTTCTTTTCTGGAGACTCACATTGCCATCACTCGAGACGTCGGGGCGATGCAACCCTCTGATGTCCTCGCCTTTCTCCCCGCCATTGGCTGTTATTTTGGGTTGGTTGCTCACATGTCTACCCACCAAGTCGATCTGACCAACATTTACGTGTCGATAACCCCAACGCTGTGCTCCGTCGTGCTCCTTGGCAAGTTCGGCATGGAGCTTAAAACTCAGCGGCACCAGACACGATGGGTATGCCCACAGAGCTATCAGGCCACCGGCCTTTCCCGAGGCGCCACTGGCGATGCCCGTGGCTTCAATCAGGTGAATCGAATGAATTGCTGGGTTATACTTGGGGTGGCGGGTTAGGAAGTATGCAGTCGTGCTGCCAATGATCCCACCTCCAACGATGACGATGGATCTTTTCCCTGGCTCGGCCATTGTGGACATATGAGAAGGGCGGTGTCAGTGCTTTCGTCTAAACAAGACAATCAAACTTAAAAGACACAAATCCGGGAGAATACGAGGAACAAAACGGAACGAGCAGCACGTTTTGAGAACACAACGGCTCATGTCGGGAATGCAAGAATGACGTCAGGTGAAAGAGCCAAGCTTCGACTAGACGAGTTTAATTCCACCTCAACTTCCACCGTTTTCTGGCCATTGATACTACAACCTTGTATACAAAACATACATTGTAGATGCTGGGCGACATCTTACAAGTCACATTTCGTGAGTGTAGACTCTCAGAACAAAGGGCGACACCCAAGAGGCGCTTCGCCGACTACGTTTCCAGCACAGATGGCCTTGGGCTGCGAGGTACTTGGAGGGCCCTCAGCAAGTGATGGTCAACAACCCGATCCTCCATACTCTTGGAAAGGCTGTCAACAGTCGTCGGTCAATGCTTCATTGTCTGGGCTCTTGCCATTCGCTCACCCGAGCAGATCTTGTTCGCCCAGGCATTGTTCCTTTGTCTTCGATCCATAAACCTTGCCATGCGGATGATTTTGCAGTTTCGGTTGGCATTGTCAACCTTTGTATCAACCGCGGTATATTTGGAAGAACAATGCACTCTCTCTCAACGTTGTCATTATGCTTTGTAGGAGGAGTCAAACATCGACCATTGTCAAAAGAGAGCACAAATACATGCGCAAGATGATATTCTATGAGATGTTTCAAGTGTTTCTCGACCAAAATTTCAAATTTGTCGGCCCATCATGTGTACTTACCACAACTATGTAGCTCCTCCACCCTGGCCGGACAGGCGAGAGACAGATTTCTCCTCCATGACACCACTGGAAGGCGTCGAGATCCATCCTCTCTGGCGCCGGGAGGCCTTCCGAAAGTCGGAAGTTGCCGACCTTCTACCGATACCCGAACTAGATCAAAAGGAGCACGAGGTTACACCCGCGCAGTACGAGCGAATGAAACCGGCTTTAAAGCTGGCCACGGTGCTGCTGGGAGCCGTCTTCACCGATCTTGCCAAAGTCAGGTACGGAATGGTGCGGGAGGAGGTCCGCGGCTTTGGGATCGATCGTGTACTAACCGATCACTGGAGAGTTACAGATGAAAAACTACGAAGCTTCGAGCGAGAATTGATGCGCATTGCTCGTTATTACCGCATCACTGTCCACATAGGGGATGGCGGGGATGTAACGGGCGACATCGAACGACCATGCACCAGAACTGAATGCACTGGCAACATAGCCAATTATCCTACATACAACCGCGTCGTTGTGCAAACCGCCCTGTCTACTGATTTGTCCCATTTTCTGACCGTGGACGGCTGGGACGACATTGATGGAGCAGAAAAGTACCGTTGGTACGTCCTTGTGGGGACCACCCTTGTTCACGAACTAGCCCATGCTGTATGGGACCATCGCATGCTACCTGTCGTGGAAGACGAATTTGCACAGCACGGCTGCATCACCCGCGAACTACCGGAGCCAAGGTTCGTATCAAAGGACAGCTTTGCAGAGATTGGCTTTGCCATCGAACATCAGCTTTTCGAAGGGCTGATAGCGTTTGGACACTCTGGAATACCCACCACTGCAGAGGCCATCCTGCCGCCCGACCGCGTTACCCTGACAATCATCGACCATCGTGGACGAGCTACGGCAGTCCATCAACTGACCGCCGACACCATACTTGCGTTCTTCAAGCCGGAGACATGGGTCCAGTCGGAGAACGGTGAGCTTCCAAACTTCAAACTCGACCTTTTACCGAACATCAGACGACCAGGCCCACCTGCACCAACTATCCTATCTGACCCTGTACCGATCCTTCGAGCCCTCAAGCCTGGCAAGCTGAAACCTGTCATTACCGAAATGAATGAGCTGTTCATCACAAAGAGGTAGGTGCTGATATGAGGCGTTTGTGAGCTCTCAGTGAAATGTTTATGACACATAGACAAGGATGTTGAGGACTAGAGAAATTCGTAATGAAACGGTTCACAGTTCCAGGTAAGTTATATAATGGGTTCTTTCCTGTTGATTTGCGCAAGTTAAATTCCGTCCGCAAGATGTAAGTACCTTCTACACCTGCAAATTTCCACTACCTGAACATCCTCCCATTCCCATTCTAGTAAGAACATCCACCGGCGTCTGCCAAAGGCCAGTACATGCTCAAAACCTTCCAGATCCACCTACCGTATGTACTAGTACACTTACAGTTATCCTAGTATCTCCCTTCGCGTCAACATCCAGCATCTGCGCACTGGGAACCTTGTTTGTGCCTTAGTTCCAACTTACCACCGTACACTCTCAACTCCCATTGTCCTTTAACAATACCACACCCCTATACACTCCTTTATTACTTCTGTATTATTCCCCTTTGTTGATCGGCATTGTCCTCTGCTCAACAACGCTGCCCCAGAACCTCCAGCCAGGTTTTGTTGCATCTTTTACCGCCGTGACTAACACGAGTGAGTACTCAAACCCTTGAGGCGACGAGGCAGGCATTTCGTAGCGACCATCTGCCGTCTTTCTCTTTTACCTTCTTTCCGTACCGTACTACCCCAAGCAGAACTCACCCCATCCAGCATTGGAAGTTACAATAACTAGCTTCTCGAGCCACGCCGTTTCTGCACGCCAGTCGCTTGTCTCTTCCGCCAACAGACGTGCAAATCTCCGAGCGAAAGCAGAGCTCAGAAAAATCGTCCATGTCAAGTGCGCAAATTGACTCGAAGCAACATCATCAACCTCTCAAAAATGGCATCGACAGCAGCATCCGCGGTCCCAATATTCATCATTCTAGGCATCCTGCTCCTTATCCTGCCCTGCTCAGCGGTTCTTTTCACCATATTCCGCCGGCGGAAATGGCATCCACGGCGGCAGCCTCAACAACACCACAAATATAGCCGAAACCCAATCATGCAGACTACCACCAGCACCATCAGGTCCACACCTGCTACTACTACTGCAGTCTACTCGAACGGCGGTAGTGCCTCGATTGAGATGCACAATATTGTGCTTCCTCGTCCTCCTCCACCGGCGGCAGCAGCAAGACCAGCAGCAGCGGGCACGCAGCATATACAAGTATCTCATTCATCCTTTGGTCAGTCATTCGAATTGCAACCTGCGCCTGAACCAAGGAGGAAGAAGGACTTGAATCTTACTTTGGATTTATCGCCAAAGACGGATTTCAATTACAATATGATTTAAAGTCCAGACCCTGGAGAACGGTTGAGGCGCCGTTGAACGACCAAAATACAGGTTTACATTCTGTTTATATTTCCTGGGGCCCATTTGTAATGGAAGAGGGAGCTACTAACGGTTGATTGTTTACCTGATCATCCGTGAACGATGAGGATAGCCTTAGTATTACCTAGTTCGCTACGGACCCCAGCCTAAGAGATTGATATTTGGACAAGTTCTCGGCGTGTGAGGAAAAAGCCAAACCGGTCACTGACTCATTGCCTGTTGCGGAGATCGCTATTTGTTGCTAAGATCATTATCTGACATATCTGTTGCCGAGACCGCCATTTGTTGCCGAGACTGTCATCTGTTGCTGAGCTTGCCACCTGTTGCTGAAACTGCCATCTGTTGCTGAAACTGCCATCTGTTGCTGAAACTGCCATCTGTTGCTGAAACTGCTATCTGTTGCTGAAATTGCCAATCCATCCCTAGTCCCGAGGGCTGGTCAAAGTTCTTCAAGATAGCTCCATTCTTCGTCCGTCAATGTCGTGTAATGCTGAAGGTACTCCTTCAGCTGCTGTTTCAACTCGACCTCAACTTTGGCACCAGCACCAGCCTCACCACCGTAGCCCCTGGTGTTGCTCTCGGCCTCTGATCCTTCATCATCCAAGGTTGTTTGAGAGAAGAGATCTTGTACAAAACGATCTCTCGAGATATCTCTGGAGCGGGCCTCCATCATGTTAAAGGAGTCGGGTTCCAAAGACTCCATCATATTAAAGGATTCGGGTTCCAAAGCCTCCATCATGTTAAGGGATTCGTGTTCCAAAGCCTCGCCCTCAGCATCATAGTCGCTGGTGTCGCTCTGAGTCTCTGGTCCTTCGTCGGGGAAGGTTGTTCGATCGTCCATATCTCGTACAGAACGCTCTCTGTGGAGCCCCCTGGAGACCGCGCTCGCCGTTCTACTGGATCTGGATGCCTCAGACATGTCACCTGCTTGTACCCCAAGTGTGCGGTTTGGGAGTGATATCTCATCTGGTAATCGTACCGACTGGGGCGTAGTTCTGCGATCTGGAGAAGGTGGCGCCGGAGACACACGGGCCTGGAGAGGAGCATCAACATCAGCTCCCTCGCGTGACATGTGATCTCTGGATCGGTTGGTGGGTCGTTCATTTTGGCAAAAAGATTTGTATTCATGTCGAGACCGGGGAGTCGAACGTGCCACGCCTTGCCGACTTCCCCGCGGCAGTTGAGCTGGTTCCGGCTCACGTTCCTGGTGTCCTCTCACCCATGTATCCCTTCCCATTTCTTTTGCTTCTTCTGCGGCGGCGAAGGCCCGGTCCTGGTCTTGCCAGTAATAGTAGTGCTCCTTTTCGAACGGTTAATCGTCATCAGTGGATAGTTCCCTTTATTCCTCCGCCTCAGAGTCTGCCGACTTACCAGGTTGGGAAACCTTTCAAAGTACTTGAATTTGACCGTATCGTCGTGGTGATGGAAATGGCGACGCCATTGCATGTAGTGCGCCTGGAGGATCTTATCTCCAGTCTTAGCTCGAATGTCCTGGGTGACCCTCCAATTGTGGTCACCGACTTGTTTGAGCAGCGTCTCCACAAGGCGGCAGTGATCAAAGATTTGCTCGGCTCGCTCGTCGTGCAGGTTCTCGGGAAGGCTCGGGGGCCTGTAGTCGACGACCGTCATGGCCGCCATCGGACGGAGCGGAGCCATAGACTCGACCGGGACCCCGGACGTAGGACGTTCTGCGAGCGACGAGGCGGCTGCAAAGTCGGTGGGTGGGGACAACCCTTGGGACTCGACGGCTGCTGGTCCATCGAGCATGTCCACGTCCTCATGGAATTGTGCCAGCGCCAACGCCTTCTTCTGCTCCGTCCATAACTCATATACCAGAGCGTGTTGGTCTTGCATGACGTCCCAGTCTTCGTGGCTGAACACCCCGGTAAGCAACAAACGCTAACACTGACCAGCATGGGAACTGGGGCTGGTGGACTGCTGGGAGACCTACCGACGAGCTAGAGCCACCAATATCAATCCCTGTAGCATGAGCATAAGCTCGGCCTTGAGATATCCCAATCTCGATTTCAACGCTTTTATTTTTCCCTGCACAAATGGCCACCGCACTTTCGTCCAGAGCCGCCGCATACCGGGCGGCCCTGGGATTTCCGCAGATTTCCGCTTGTCGGCGCTGCTGTCGTCATCGTACTTACCATGGCGATCGATGGCTTCGTTGATTTCGTCGTAGAGACCTTTGCAGTCGTTCATCAATCTCTGCGCTTGGATAATCGTCTCATTTTTAAACAGCCTGGGATCCAAATCTGTATTGATCTGTTCACCGAGAGTCTTTAGCACCGCTCCCGTCCCGGCGATATCGTTGCAGAGAGAATCGATCTCCTTGTTGGCATCCTTGACCTTGCGGCTGAATGTGTACAGATTCACCGATAGCCTGGCACCCAAATCGGCTAGCTGCACCACCCCGGCTGCGATCCCAAGTATTTCAACACCACTCATAGTCGGCCAGCTTAGGCTGGAAATGCTGTCTCAGTTGGGATCTGTGTAAGTATCGACGGCCACAGGCTGATATGAAGTTAGGCCAGGTCAGAAACTTGGGAGAGTACCACACTGGAGTACTAGGGTCGTCCTTCCGTACCTAGGCAGTACAAGAAGCGCCCAGAACAGTTTAGTTAGCACCTAACAAAGAGTCCAGACCGATGCGTCATCCAATATGCAGGAAACCTTCCGTTCCCGGCGCCCAAGCAGTAGGTATGATGCCAGGAGATGCGGCGTCCCGTCCAGCCTCTGTCGATGATACTGTAAACTTGGATCAGGCAGTTTGGCCTTGCACTGCACGGCATACTAAGGAAGCATTGCGGCCGGTCGGCTCCAGCCTGTTACCTTCATCGCTGGAACCCTGGGTCCGTCGCAGAGTCGGAATGGCTTAGTACTTGAGTTTTTCTTGATTCCTTATTCCAAGCGCGCAGTAGTAGCCACTCTTAGAAAGGACACCGTATTATCCAGGAGATGTCGTTGTCTAGGGGCCGGGTGTTCAAGAAGGCTGAGAGAGTTAGGCATCCGGTTACTATGTTGTGCTAGTCTCCTGTTACTAAGTAGTCTTATTAGTACCTAGATAGTCTTAAGTAGCACTAGCTACACTAGTGTGTACTACTACAACGTTGTAGTTGCGTGGCGGCCAATTGTTGTTCCGTGGTTCTTCTCCGGCTTCGGGCACGCCTCTTAAAGCCTCGACATCACTGTCCTATATTCTAATCAGATACAATACCATCTCGTCTTTGACGTTTTGTGATGATGCTGGCACCTTGCTGTGCATACCTGTATTTGTCCAAAGGTGCAAACCGGTTTTGACTTTCTCTCAGTGCTCACCTATCAATGGCACGGCCGACAAAGCAGACTCGGAAACGAAAATGGGCTCCGAAAGTAAGGTCCGGTTGCAAAACGTGCAAGATCCGACGGAAACGCTGCGATGAAACGAAGCCAGTCTGCATGAGATGCGTCCAGGGAGGATACAAGTGTGATGGCTACGACGCCGCCTCAACCACCCCAAAACCTCGGCAGCGTGATCAGCAACCCAGCTGTAGCGGTATGGCCCAAGTATCGCTATGCACCGAGGCTGCTGGGAGTTCTTCCAGGAATACAGATATCAATGACATGCAATTGTCTATTATTGGCGCGGCTCATGATGTGGGCGGCTTTTTAAACGAACCTTCTAATCCCCTTTCGACTGATATCGACGGCCGCTATTCAACCTTCTTCCATCGCATCGTCGTACCGGTTCTCTCGACTACAAGACAATGGCATTCCTTCTGGTCAATGATCGTTCCTCAAGCTAGCTGGGATAACCACTGCCTTCATCATGCCATGGTCGCGCTGGCAGCGACTTACGAAGCGAAGACCGCAAAAATTGATCGCAGCGATCTAATAGCATCTAGAGTCAGCCTTGCCATCCGGAGCTTCTCGACCCAGCCTGTCTCGCCAGACGTTGCGCTGATCTTCTGCCGCTTACTTTCTTCCATGGCGCAAAGTACAGGCGACTGGCAGTCCGCGGTGCTGCATTTGCGAAGTGGGTCCAAAATCCTCAAAGAAGCAGCCCACACCTATCAAGCGACGTCAGATATCGCCAAACTGTTGGCTCCAGTCTTTTTGGGTGTTTCAACGAGCATCGACATTGATTCGGACTGTCTGAACAATGTGCCACAAACCAAGAAACGTCATTTCGTGGAGCTCACGCATCTCTATGCCCGTTACGGAGGCTTACTACGTCTTCTAAATCGGGAGCAGTGGAGGAGTATCGAGATGTCTACCACATCCTTCATACTGATATCCTGGAGCATAATGACTCAAGCAATGGCTTCCATCGCATACCCGGATGTGTTGGTGTCGTCTCCTGGCAACGCCCTTAGGTCGCCTGCAGAAGTCAAAAGTCAATTGCTCGAGTCTGGGCAACTGTTATCTTTTCAATCACTCCAGTCAGTCGCAGCAATTTTGCTGGAAGATCTCTCGTGCTGTGTTGCACAGCCTGACTCAGGCAACTATGTCCCCAAAGATTTCAAACATCGTCTCCAATGTTTTACCGAGAACTTCCTGGTCCAGGCTGCAGAAATTCAGCCTAATATGGCAGCAGGAACATTTTGGCCCGAAGGACCGGAAGCTGGATGCTCGATAACTTGTTTAATACGAGGTGACAAGATGACCACCAGCGAACGAGGTTCAGCTGGCGTTGGCGCATTCGGGGAAACTGTCCATCGCGTCAGTACCCAGGTCGACCATTCCTCAATCCCAGAACGCCAACAGTGGTACAACGAGTACGTGTGTCCTTACAGGAGCGGCTTCATACCGGCGTTTCTGGGTCCTTCTTTTACTCTTACTCGAGGTGGACGATTATTCAGCAGAGCGTCCAGCATCTGATAGCCACCACACGCTACTAATGAGCATGAGTTCAAAGTCGCAGCTTTGGCGTGCAAAACTCCATTGGACCCAGAATGCTAGTTCCACTGCCTATCCGTCACTGGCAACAAAGGGCAAATCCAGGATTTGTGGGGACGTGTTCCTTGAGAACACGATCAAAATGTCGGTTCTTGAACGCAACCTGGACGTACGCTGCAGCCAATCACATTGCTCGGTCGGGGCTCCATGCTCCACAGCCTGACAGCAAGGCACCCTTCTCAGCGAACGTCTTCAGTGAGCAGGCCGATCACGGCATCTTATCAGATCAATCACCATTCTCTTCGGGCTGTTCTTCTCCATTTTGGATGTCGCCCCATGCAAAGATCAATGGTTGACACCATCAACAATCTCACCTCCCAGACCCTGCCTCTTTGTGGAGGCAGGGCCCGGGTGGACGCCAATGAACGGAAACAAGATATTGAGGCTCTGCCTCGCCGTTGCTTCGATATGTTCGTACGCCATGTCGAATCAGAAGATGGCTCCAGGCAAGTTTGGTCGGGTCTGTTTTTACTTCGAAGGCTCAGCTACGAGATAAACTGTTCCACACGACCTACTCTCAACATTGTCCATCTGGATCGTCCTTTGCAAGCATTATCATGCAAAAGAAGATGGCCGATAATAGAGAGCATGAATGCCAGGAGAAGGCTGTCAAAGTCGAACTAGGCGGTGACCCTCAATTGAGCACTGCTGATATCTCACCTCCCGCAACCGACGACGACATCAACCAATACCTAGTCAGGTTCGACGAAGCTTTTCACTGCGGAAACCCGCAAGATTGGTCTCTGGCCAGAAAGTGGGCGGTGACGAGTGTGCTCTCTGTGACGGGGTTCAACCGCATCGTATGTTGTCCTGCTCCGGCTGTGTTCACAGAAGCAAATAGGACTGTCGACGCCTGCTGACATCTGACATCTACAGTTGGTCTCGACTATCATGGCGCCAGCGCTCTCCTCTATCGCGGTGGAATTCCACATGAACCAAGTGGAGTCGGTCATGGGTCTCTCTGCCTACCTTCTCGCTACGGCCTTTGGGCCTCTAGTCATTGGTCCTCTTTCCGAACTCTATGGTCGTCAGCCTGTCCTGCACACAACCAACGTTTGGTTCTTGCTTTGGAACGTTGTGTGCGGTTTTGCGCCAAACAAGGGTGTGTTGATTGCGGCACGATTCCTGTCTGGTTTCGGGGCCAGCGCAGTTTACGTTCTCGCGAGCGGTGTTCTTGGAGATGTTTGGCGTGCCGATCAACGAGGCCGATCCCTTGGGCTATACAACCTTCTACCCCTTCTCGCGGCATCAGTGGGACCGATTCTGGGTGGCATCATCACGCAAGCAACGACGTGGCAGTGGATATTCTGGTCGACTTCCATGGTACAAGGTGCCATGATCATATTCTCCATCCTGCTCTTTAGGGCGACGTACGCGCCATTGATCCTCCGGAAGAGAGCGCGACAGCTGCGCACAAGCACTGGAGAACAACGTTACCATTCTGCGACTGAAAAGCTTACTGAGGGCCGGACCGCTACCTGGATCTTGCGTCGAAGCCTGACTCGGCCTATGCGTCTGCTCGCATCTCACCCCATTGTCCAAATCCAGGCCGTGGTCTCGGGTTTCAGCTATGGGATCACCTATCTTTTGATTTCCATTTATTCGGACCTCTGGAAGACGAGGTACCACGAATCAACAGCCACCAGTGGCATCCACTACATTGCCATGTGCTTGGGAGAAATATGCAGTGCGCTTATTGCAGGGACACTTATGGATGTCACCTATCGCAGACTCCAGGCCAAGGCTGGAGGTGAGGGCAGACCGGAGGGAGTATCGCCTTCCCCTAATGATTCCGGCCTCATTGCTCATCTTGGGGGGCTTTCTCATGTTCGGCTGGGCTGCCCAGGCCTGCACATTCTGGCTGGTCGTCGACATCGGGAGCGCAGTCTTGTCCTTCGGCTTCAGTGTCTGCAGCCAGGTGATTATGGCATATGTCATCGACGCGTATGCGGATCACAACAGCTCAGCCCAGGCAGGCGCTCAATTGGTGCGCAGTCTCACCGCGTTCGGCTTCCCACTGTTCGCGCCAAGTATGTATGAGGCGATCGGGTATGGCTGGGGCAATACACTACTTGCGCTGGTGGCTGTAACGCTCTGCTTACCCACGCCGTTCGTGCTCTGGCGGTATGGCTGCCAGCTGCGGGAGAGGGCCAGAGACAGCTTCTGAGCGGGTGCGAATGACGATGCATTGGAAGGGATAGACCGCTCTTCACCTGCTAGCCATAGTCCCCGTAAAGAAGTCTGTCTGATTGAAACACTCCTCGTGATAATAGAATTGAAGCTTTAAGATATCAAGTGTTAATCCCAGTGCATTATTAGCCCCTTTTGCATGTCTCGAAGTGGCATCTTTGGCCGCCAAGCGGGACAGGGAAGCGTTAGACTAGTACTAGCGATAAACTTGGGCGTCTGACAAAGCTCCCGGGCGCTTTACGGCAACTTATACTGTGCTGCGGCTGTCAGACGGGGCTATTTTTGTTGAAGTTGACACTTCTCTCCAACTTGTCTGATGTTCCAGCGAATTTGTCCAACAAAGGTGTCAATACTGTAACACAATTAATAGCATCTTGTCGCGCTTCTTGTAGATACAACGGCCTTTGACAGGTGGGCTTTGACCCTTTCCTCCAGATTTCCCAAAGGAAAACGAGGCGACGCAACGCGACGGGACTTAACTGCTCACCATAATCGGCATGGAGCGCAGACTGACTGTCCGCTGATCTGAACGGTTCTTGCAACAACAAACAATGGCGCAGTACGGTGCGCCCTATGGGGGAAGCGGGCAGCCATATCAGACTCAGCAGGACCCACGCTCGAATAGCCCTTGGGCTCAGACAAACCAGCCTCACTTTCCTCCCTCTGTCAGCCCGCAGCCGGGATATCAATACCAAGGGCCAAATGCGAACAATCCACAGGTGTACGGCAATGTGCAACACCTGCCTTACTCCGGGCAAGTGCCTGTCCCAGGACCTTCACCCTTACCGCAAGATGCTGTGAACGGGCTTGCTGCACAAATGGGAGGGCTAGACATGGGGGCGGCACCACCGGTCAGATCTCACAGGAAAAAAGAGAGGCATGCATACCATGATATAGGGGCAGCGCCAGCTTCCTCTTTGGTCACAGATGGCGGGATATCAGGCACTGTTGGAGGGCCACAGTCGCTGAATGCTGGACCGCAAGCCGGACCAGGTGTTCCAGGTCTTCCGCCGCAAGCACCTCTGATGAATGCGACAGATAGGTTACGAATGGGCGAGGAGGCTGTGACGACACAAGGCCGGGTCGATCCAGAGCAGATACCCAGTGTGGCCCGGTCAAGAGACGTTGCGACGCAGTACTACCAGCTAAACGTCTATCCAACCATGGAGAAGCATCTGCCACCTCCAGCGGCTGTACCATTTACAGCCATCGACCAGGGAAATTCGTCTCCCAAGTTCGCACGACTCACACTCAACAATATTCCTTCTACGGCCGAATCACTGGCGTCGACTGGTCTACCGCTTGGATTGGTCCTGCAGCCATTTGCCCCTTTGCAGGAGGGGGAGCAAGCAATCCCTGTTCTCGATTTTGGCGAGGCCGGGCCACCTCGATGCAGGCGGTGTAGGACGTACGTCAACCCATTCATGATATTTAGGGCCGGTGGGAGCAAACTTGTATGCAACATGTGCAATTTCCCCAACGATGTGCCGCCAGAATACTTCGCACCCACAGACGTATCTGGTGTACGCGTGGATCGTTTACAACGCCCTGAACTTATGATGGGGACGGTGGAATTCCTGGTACCCAAAGAGTACTACACGCGGGAGCCCATGCCTATGCGGTGGCTATTCCTCATCGATGTCACGCAGGAGGCGATTAACCGTGGGTTTCTTGAGTCGGTATGCGAGGGTATCTTGCACGCGCTATACGGTCGCAACGGGGAAGATGGTACCGAAGAGGAGACAGACACTCCTCCGACACTCCCAGCCGGGGCAAAAGTTGGCATCGTAACATATGACAAGGAGATCCAGTTCTACAACCTCACTCCTGGACTAGCAACTGCGCAAATGATGGTGATGACAGATCTGGAAGATCCTTTTGTTCCACTGGCGGAGGGACTGTTTGTCGATCCACTAGAGTCAAAAGCCGTCATTACCTCGCTTCTCAAGTCGATACCAACCATGTTCTCCACCGTCAAGAACCCTGAACCAGCTCTGCTACCAACACTGAACGCCGCATTGGCCGCGCTGACCTCCACGGGCGGCAAGATCATCTGTTCGCTGTCGACATTGCCAACCTGGGGTCCAGGGAGACTCCACCTTCGAGATGACGGCAAAGGCCGTGATACAGATGCCGAAAGAAGATTGTTCACAACCGAACATCCAGGCTGGAAGAAAACAGCTGGTGCAATGGTTACTGCAGGCATCGGCGTCGACTTTTTCCTTGCAGCGCCCGGTGGTGGTTACATGGATGTTGCAACGATTGGCCATATGTCTCGGTTGACCGGTGGAGAAATGTTTTATTATCCTAATTTTGTGTCGCCACGAGACTCATTGAAAGTCCAAACCGAGATTGCGCACTCCCTACACCGAGAAACAGGTTATCAGGCCCTGATGAAGGTGAGATGCTCTAATGGTTTGCAAGTATCGTCGTACTATGGCTCTTTCCTCCAGCACACGTTCGGCGCAGATCTGGAGATTGGTACTATTGACGCCGATAAAGCGATTGGTGTTACCTTCTCTTACGACGGCAAATTGGATGCCAAATTGGACGCTCATTTCCAAGCTGCTCTGCTTTATACATCTGCCACGGGGCAAAGAAAAGTGAGATGTATCAATGTGGTTGCAGGAGTCAACGAGGCCGCAGCCGAGACCATGCGCACAGTTGATCAAGACGCCGTTGTCAACATTATCGCCAAGGAGGCATCGCAAAAGCTCCCGGAGAGGTCACTCAAAGATATTCGGGCCAATATCACGGAGAAGACGATCGACATACTCGCTGGGTATCGGAAGAATTTCTCGGGATCGCACCCGCCTGGACAGCTGGTCTTGCCAGAGCACCTCAAAGAGTTCGCCATGTATACACTGGCGTTGATAAAGAGCCGAGCATTCAAGGGTGAGTCGTACCTGCGATTTGCTTTTGGTATATTACTAACTGATTTTTAGGTGGTGTCGAACCCACGGATCGTCGCGTTCACTCAGCTCGCATGATGAGGTCTTCTGGGGTAACTGAAACCGCACTGTATCTGTACCCTCGAATCTACGCTCTCCACAATTTGAATCCCGAAGATTGTTTCGCCAACCCGGAGACGATGCAACTGGTGGTTCCTCCCACTGTTCGAGCGTCATTTGCCCGAGTCGAGGAAGGCGGGGTATATCTGGTGGATAATGGCCAGATTGTGCTGATTTGGTTTCATGCCCAAGTTTCGCCGAATCTGTTGGAAGACTTGTTTGGACCCGGGGTGACCAGCTTGCAGCACCTGGATCCAATGATGAATGAGCTTCCTGCTCTGGAGACTCACCTCAACGCGCAGGTCCGCAACTTGCTGCAATACGTCTCGACGGTGCGCGGCAGCAAAGCGGCCACTTTTACTCTGGCAAGACAAGGACTCGACGGTTCTGAGTTCGAGTACGCCCGTATGCTGGTGGAAGACCGCAACAATGAGGCTCAGAGCTATGTCGATTGGCTGGTGCACATTCATCGAGCCATTCAAATGGAGCTGAGTGGACAGCGGAAAAAGGAAGACACGGGCGACCACGAGGGCATCCTGAATAGCTTGACGGGGCTCAAGGCGCCGTATTGGACATGAGGTGTGAAAATAGTTGTAGGCACGAACACAACATATTGCATTGCCATTGGCGTGGTGCGGCATGGACATGTATTGTACCTACTACATAGGTACGTACGACATGCCCATCATGATGTCCAAAAAATACCTTTGGACCACAAGAGTGAAAATGAATAGGCTCGAGTCGCCTCGTCCTGTTCATATATATCGACGAGCAACGGCTTGATTTTATTCAGTCAGCAGGACGTACCGTAATACTGTAGTAGATGCACGACGAAACTGGTCAAGTATCATCGTCGTGTACAACAATGTTGTAATGATCCGTACAAGAATCCAATATCTGTCTGTCCCCAAGTCCCAGGAACCTCGGTTGCAGCAATATACACCTACCTTACAGTAACTCAGGGGGTCGGAAGCGGAAGCGGAAGCGGAAGCGGAAGCGGAAGCGGAAGAAACTCTGCCGCTTGGTCCCCCCTTTCATGTCATGTCTGGATGAGTACAGGTTTGCCTACCTCTACTACTAGTACTACCCTACCTAACAAGGTACAACAGTATGACTCACACCGTACGCTGTACAATGTTGTAGTGCAGGTCAGTTATGCAATTGTGCAGGGCAGATGTCAGGGGTCCTTCTTGGATCACTGCACTGACTGGTACGGCAAATCCAGAATCCATAGTAAGAACGAATTCTATGATCAATCGAATCGCTGCCCGTGCAACCAGGACGAGAGGCAACTCCCGTGTGCCGGGTGTGCCGTATTAACCGGATCGTTGGCGTCAGACAAAAAGGCCTTTTTGCTTTCGAAACGCCGGGAACCTGGACGGGGATATCCCTGGGCACCTGCAGTCAATACCTTATCCGCTACGGTTAATTTCATGGTCTGACCATACATAATATTCAACCCACCCCATAACCACGAGGGTAAGGTACCTGGGACTGCGCTGAAGCCTCCACTCATACCGAACGACTTGCATTGTCGTTCGTTTTCAGCCGGCGGGGCGAGCGAAATGTGGTGCTAAAGAATAAATACAATGACAGGGGAGGCATGGCATGGGTTTATAGGGAAATGCCATCCTACCTCGAGTATTTTGTGGCCGCTTCTTTTTATACTAGGGATTGCACTGGACAAAACTGGGGGGTGCCAGTGCTGTGTGCATTTTTGGTTCTTTTTCTGTTTCGGGTTCTGAAGTTCCACGCCGCTGCTATTATCATTTTCTTCTACGCTGAAGACAAGAGCTACGAGGTTGAGGCTCCTTATCACGCCGATTTGGTTACACAATGGGCACCGAGGAAAAAGAACAGTCAGTGGCGGTTGGAGTAGTCAAGAATGGAACCAAAACAGAGTCTAGGCGCCGGTCGACATCCAGTAGTGTGGAAACGATAGACGACACTGACGCCCGCGACCACGGGGGCGGTCAGCCAGCCGATCTTGAAAAGGCCTTTTCCAAGAACGAGGACAACGATGTCGGAGTGACTGTTACGGTAACGGCGGACCCGAATGTCGTCGATTGGGATGGCCCTGATGACCCTGAGAATCCATTGAACTGGACGCCGAGGAGGAAGTGGTTCAATATCCTTTTGTTGGCGGTCATGACGACGTTAACGTAAGTACTTGACATCTTCTTTTACTTCGAGTGTGTGTACGTGTACCTGCGACTGACCGTGTTGCCAGTCCACTCGCTTCTTCAATGTTTGCTCCCGGAGTTCCTCAGGTGATGAAGGAATTCCATTCGACCAACAACGACCTCGGGTCCTTTGTGGTTTCGGTCTTTGTCCTGGGCTATGCCTTTGGGCCTTTGCTCATTGCCCCGCTAAGCGAGGTGTATGGTCGTCTGCCGATCTACCATACCAATACGTTTTTGTTCCTCGTTTTCAGTATTGCCTGTGCCAGGTCGACTAGCCTTGGGATGTTGATTGGGTTTCGGTTCCTCGCTGGCGTTGCCGGATCGTGTCCTTTGACTGTAGGTTCGGGGTCTATTGCCGACACGTTTCGACAGGAGGAGCGCGGCAAGGCCATGTCGGTGTGGACATTTCCTATCTTGTTTGGACCTACGTGAGTGTGTCCGTTTTTGTGTTTTATGGCAACGCAATGCCCAAGGCCGTCCTGTCCGCTGTTTTGGTTCTGCATGGGGCCGACGTTTGACATTCCCACAGGCTCGGACCCGTCATTGGATCGTATCTGTCTGCAGCGAGCGGCTGGCGATGGGATTTCTACCTGGTTGCTATCTGCGTAAGTTGTGTAGATGTTTTGCGGTACTGTTACCGGGTGAGTTTAAGATGGCTGACATTCCAGGTGCAGGCGGGCGTGTTGTTTGTAGCGGCACTGATATTCCAGCGCGAAACGTATCCGCTGGTCGTTCTCGAACGAAAAGCCAGACGACTGCGAAAACAGACGGGCAATGAAAAGCTCCGCTCGGCGTTGGGATCCACAAGGTCCCCGGGCCAACTATTGATGTTGTCCATTGTCCGACCGCTAAAGATGCTGTTCTTGTCGCCCATCGTGTTCGGCCTCTCTCTCTACCACAGCGTGACCTATGGATATTTATATATTCTGTTCACGACGCTCACCACGGTTTTCGAAGGCCAGTACGGCATCAGTGCCAGCAATGTCGGTCTGACCTATCTCGGCATGGGGGTAGGCCAATTTGCTGGTCTTGTTCTCTTTGGCATCTTCTCGGACAAACTCATTCAGAGGAAAGGCAAAGCCAAGGGCGGAGAGTTGAAGCCGGAATACCGGCTCCCGCTTTTGTGGCCCGGTGCCGTTGCTCTCCCTGTAGGCCTGATCCTGTATGGCTGGACCGCCCAGTACAAGGTGCATTGGATTGTGCCGATTATAGCCACCACTCTGTTGGGCGGCGCCACCACTTTCTGCTTCATGCCCATCGGTGTCTATTTGGTCGACGCCTACACTTCCTACGCCGCCAGTGCTATGGCGGCGAACACGGTGCTCCGCAGCATCGGCGGCGCTTTCTTGCCCCTGGCTGGCCCGCGGATGTATGCCGCCTTGAAATTGGGCTGGGGGAATACTTTGCTCGCTTTCATGGCGATAGCATTGACCCCGATGATTTGGTTGTTCACCAGATATGGAGAGAGGTTACGAACGCATCCGAAGTTGCGCTTGAATCTCTAGTTACATACATATTGCATTGTGTACATCTCGGATAAAAGCTGGGACCTTGCCGGTGGACACATATCGGGATACGTTGGTCCACGTACAGTTCGACTTGAAACAAATTATACGAAGCGTTGTACCAGTTCTATTTTTCTTTTGTGCCAACGCACTGTGACCAGGTATCTAATATCTACCTATCGGCGACACTGTACTTCTCTTGCCACACAGCGGTAGTTGTGCTTGATATGGACTGCTTGCCTACTACTAGTAGTCGTTCAAGTTGTTGGATTGAATGTTGCTGCCGAGGCTGAACTGCCGGTCACGTGAAATAAATCCTATTCGCTGCCGATGATGTGATTCTTCCTTTGCGGCGATTGAAATAAAGCCGTCTCGTCTGACAGAGCACTACTGGACTTGGTTACGCAAATGTGTCTGTTTCTCGAGGACCAGCTTTTGTCAGACAACAACAATCGACCTGTCAAGCGAACTTCAATCGCAGATTTATGTCCCCGGGTCGTTCAGGACGTGGGCCCACCCTTGGTAGACGTCCTGCCAGTGACTCAAACGGTTGTATGTTCAACAGTGTCGACTCAAAAGGCCAAAGCCATATAGAAGAACTGCCAACCCCAAGACCAATGTCCTTGACCTGATATCTCGTCTGTGTTTTTGTACTTTTTTTTTCTTGAGATACCCAATTTCCTTGTCTCATTGACGACGGGTTTCCTGACCCAACCAGTCCTATCACAACTCATAATGGTTTCTCTAGAGACAAACGGCGACAGCCATTCGACCTCGAAACTCCGTCAGTGTTCCCCTACCCTGTGTTTGCATATTTGAGGCCGATCTACCTCTCGCGATTTTCTTTTTTTGGACGGCTACTAAATCCCGTAGAGATTGTCAAAGAGCAACCTGAAAACCCGTTCGCCCGACTCGTTCCCGACCAACAGTTCGCCATTATCCCCTCCTTTACTCTCGAATCCGGCGCAGTGCTCAAAAATGCCCCGGTCGCCTTTACTACACGAGGCCAGCTCTCGGAAAACAAAGACAATTGTCTGGTCATATGCCATGCCCTGAGCGGCAGCGCAGATGTCGCGGACTGGTGGGGTCCATTGCTGGGCGGACCAGGGCGGGCTTTCGATGTCACAAGATTCTTTATTGTTTGTTTGAACAGTCTGGGCAGTCCCTATGGAAGTGCCAGCCCGGTCACATACAAAGATGGCGATCCTGCCGAGGGAAGATACGGCCCGGAATTTCCTCTGACGACGATAAGAGACGATGTAAAGTAAGATATACCCTGTTTGGTATGTGTGAGTGTGTGAGGGATACTAATTGTGGCAACAGTATTCATAAAATTGTCCTGGACCATCTCGGGGTGCGGCAGATTGCTTGCGTCGTGGGCGGGTCCATGGGAGGCATGCTTGCGCTGGAATATGCATATTTCGGCAAGGACTACGTGCGGTCAATCGCCCCGATTGCGACATCGCCAACCCACAGTGCATGGGGCATCAGCTGGGGTGAAGCGCAACGTCAAGCGATCTATTCGGATCCCAAGTACGAGGATGGATACTATTCATTCGACGACCCTCCGGCGGCCGGGCTGGGTGCGGCTCGCATGTCTGCTCTCCTCACGTATCGCAGCAGAGACTCGTTCGAGGCGCGATTCGGCCGAAACACACCGGACCTGTCGAAGCAGCCGTCGATCAATCAAGGGAATGCCAGTCCTCCACAGGCGCAAAATGAGCATTGGACCATTCACAACGACGGCAACAAGCGAGCCAAGGGCCCGCGTGAGTCCCGTCCTGCGTCTCGCAGTGGCACTGTGTCCGAGTCGCAGTCGCAGGCCGAATCGCCCACGTCGCAACAACCGCCGGCCATGACTTTCCAGGATCCCCAATTCAACGGCACGACAGAGTTCACGGTTCCGGTCCCGGTCGTCAACCGGAATAATGCGCGGCCGACCACCCATTACTTTTCCGCCCAGTCGTACCTCCGGTACCAGGGCAACAAGTTTGTCACGCGGTTCGATGCCAATTGTTATATTGCTATCACGCGGAAACTCGACACCCACGACGTTTCGAGGAACCGCGCCCCGAGTGTCAAGGAAGCCTTGGGCATGATCGAACAGCCAGCGCTAGTCCTGGGTATTGAGTCTGACGGTCTCTTCACGTTCGCGGAGCAGGAGAAGATCGCCGAGGGGATTCCCAACTCGAGGCTCGGCAAAATCGACAGCCCGGAAGGCCATGATGCTTTTCTGTTACAGTTCGAACAGGTCAACAACTATCTGCTCTCTTTCTTCCGCGAAGTCCTTCCCGACATCATGAACAAACCTGGCGTCGGCAGTGATGAAAACGGACAGGTTGTCGATGGCGTGGGTCAGTTGACCAAGAGCAGTACGTTTGGAGAGGCAGAGGTTGGCGACTTGACTGCTTGGTGAAGAAAGAAAGGTGAGGAGGGTTGGGGCAAGACTTTATGAGCGTCAAGTTCTGTTCTTGACATGAAGGGGGTCGAAAAAACCAGTTCAACTCTGGTAATGACCTAATGTGCACCATGACTATGTTACATTGCACAAAAAAGCGAGCTGTATATACGATTGTATCGTTGTCGTCGGCCGGGTTGGCCGCATTCACAAGATACCCCTGAGCAAGGTTGGAATGGGATGAGTCGTTAGAGGAGCTGTAATGTATATATCCTTTACAATGGTGACGAGTAGCCTTGGAAACTGGACAAGGATGAATGAACATATCAAAATTTGCCAAGTTGATGGCTTCTTGGACCATATTCGGAACTTCAAGTTGTGACGGAGAATGGATGTTTGTCCGGGCTTTCCTTTTTCGCGAGGTGGGTAAGGCCTCAGGCAGCACACGTCTATAAGGTGTACTTCATGACCTAATGCGTATCCAATGTGAATGTATACTAGCGGAGCATTATCTGCCTTGAGGGGCCGCAGGTCAAGAAAGGCAGCACTGTATGATAGTGCTATGTTAAGATAATGCTTGGTGATAAGCTTCAGGGCCATGAAGCCTTAATGGGCTTAAGCAGGCTTGTCACCTTGATTTCCACTGCATTTATTCAACACAGCCTCAGGATAGACTCCTGAACTTGGAAGAGTACCTACATGTGCGTTACCTCAGTCTCCACAGCCTGAAGGGTACCTGTAGTTGGACCCCCATGTACCGTATCCTTAGGCGTTTGGCAGCACCACTGGCAGTTACTGTGGCACTGTCAACCCTCAGCCACGCAACCCATGGACCACCTTTTAGGGACCCAACCAGCCACCACCAACCACATCCTAAGAATCCCTTTAATCAACTGCGCGGCCAGGGCGCGTCACTTTAACTTCTGCGAGTTTCAGCTGCGTGGATGGTGTCCACTTGTCTATGAAACTGCCTTGCACTGGCAGAAGCCTGACTTCCGGCCCTGAGCCTGATGCTGACCCTGTTCCCTTACAATCTACCACTATTCTGCAGGCGCTGAGCAGAACCAGAACAAGGACTGGCCGACGAACAACCTCAACCACTAGAAACCATCGCTGCCTTGTTCCAACCCCGAGCCTTGTCATTCATTGCGGCGCAGTCAAGCAGTCTTTGTTCCTGTACCTCAGCGCTTGAGTCGACTTGCTCTCCTTCACCTCCAAGAAGGAGTCTAGACATTCCTTGACCGTACGACTTGACGATTACCACCTCTGATCAAGTGCAACCGAGTCTCCCGATTCTCACCTTCTCCCTGATCGAGTTTGAGTTCGAAATACCCTGTATTCAAACACCCGGTCGTTGGTCGCAAGAAGAAAGTAACCGGCAGACATATCGAGAGATCTCACCCTTCCGCGACGCGAGACGACTACTACCATAGCGATGCGAACGGGTTCTTGATCCTCACAGCGTTGACGCGCACCTTGTCCGACCCCGCGGTTGCAACGGCCTAAAAGATACAACGTTGTATACCATCAGTGGCGCCAACATGGGGTGGCCGGTATGCAACACGACGTTGGAGGACATGACCATCAGTGAAGATCCTATATGGCATGACTATACCTTCCACCGGCTGGGTCTATACCTTGGGGCCATCTTCTCCCTCATCGCAGTGGCGGTGTCGTTCCTCCTCATCTTCCTCCACGCGACGCATTACCTGAAACCCTGGGAACAGAGACATATCATCCGCATTCTGTTCATGGTCCCCGTCTACGCAGCGGTGTCGTTCCTATCGTACTACTATTACAACCACAGCGTTTACTTTGAAGTCATTCGTGACTGTTACGAGGCGTTCGCCATCGCCTCCTTCTTCAGCTTGCTCTGCGCTTACGTCGCACCCGATCTGCACCAGCAAAAGGTATATTTCCGAACCATCACCCCCAAGAAATGGGTGTGGCCCATGAAATATTTCCAAAAGTGTACCGGCGGACCTGAAAAGGGATGGTTGCGGACCCCTAGAAGTGGTCTTACTTGGTTCAATGTGAGTAACTACAATGTTGTTTTTCTGCTGCCCATCTAATCCACCATCATAGGTCATCTGGGTCTCCATCTTCCAGTACTGTTTCATCCGAGTCTTTTTCACCATTGTGGCCGTCATCACCCAGGCCATGGACAGATACTGCCTGGAATCGATTAACCCGGCATTTTCGCATGTGTGGATAATGGTCTTTGAATCCATTGCCGTCACTGTCGCCATGTATTGCTTGATTCAGTTCTACGTGCAAATCAAAGATGACATTAAACAACACAAGCCGTTGTTGAAAGTCGCGGCCATCAAACTGGTGATTTTCCTGAGTTTTTGGCAGACAATCTGCATTTCATTCCTCACCAGCACCGGTGCCATCAACGCCACCAACCAAATCCAAACTCCGGACATCAAGGTCGGCATTCCCGCGTTGCTGCTGTGCATCGAAATGGCCATCTTTGCAGTTTTTCATATCTGGGCATTCAGCTGGAGACCTTATACTCTTGGTTCCAAGGAATACATGTCCGAAACCATTGCGGGAGAAGGAGAGCGTGCATATAAAGGCGGCTTCTTGGGGATCAAGGCCATTTTCGATGCGTTCAATGGTTGGGACATGTTGAAGGCTACGGGTCGTGCAGCGAGATGGTTGTTCAAGGGGCGCAAACACCGACATACCGATCCGAGTTATGATTTGACGAGGAAAAACACTCAAACGGGGGCAGTTGGTGGAGTAGGTGGTGACAGCGAGTTTGGCTTGGAAGGTCAAAAGTTGTCGTCGTCATCGGCAATCTTTAACACACCCACGGCGTATGCCGGCGGAGGAGCTGGTGGTGTGTATGGACAAGGAAGACCTCCTCATCATCATACTACTACTGTTGGGGCTGTCAATTCCGGTGGCGTCGAGGAAGGAGGAGAGCGTGATAACTTACTCGCCAACAGTCAGGGCATGCCCATGTCTCGACCGCCCGTTGTTCGAATGGACAGCGACGGAAGCGACGAAGGACATGATTACAGGTATGCTGGTGGGCAACCACAATATGACACCAGCGACATAGGGCTTGCGACGTCAACATACGATGAAGGAATTTCGTACCCCCTGCAACAGCAGAGATACCATCAACCGCCGCAATCGCAATATCCCGCGCAACAACGGCAAGAACAACAATATCAACCATATCCATCTCACCATTACCAGCAGCCTCCTCCTCAGCAGCCACCACAACAAACCGACCAAGAAGAATATTTGTCTTTTTCTGAACGCCAGCGGCAACGAGAATACTTCCTGCAACAGCAGCAGCAGCAGCAACATCAACGCCATTATTCAAATCCTGGCAGCAACCAAGAAACAGGAGTGACCACCGCTCCCTATCCGTATCCAGACTCCGAAGCTCCGTCACAACAACAGGCAGGCGCAGGCCGGAGCAAGAACCGAATCTCGATGCCGTACATGCCGCCGCCTCGGAGTCCCGGTCCAGCGGCGAACAGGCATGGTCCTGGCAGGGACAATTATGACGACGGCAATTTCTTATGAAAATGAAATCCGTTTTTTTCGCTCTTCACTCTCTTGCTAGCTCAGGCGCAGCGCGGGCTTTGTGGCTTTATTTCTTCTTCGTCGGCGATTTCGATTTGGAGTTTGGAAGTGTGGGTGTCAAACACTACAATGGTTTCTAGATGCCATCCATTCGAGGTCACGTACGAGTATCACTGCAGTTGTTGATATTAGCCTGTCTTGTGTAGGGTGGCAAGTATGAAATAGTATGCAAATAGAGGAGGGACACGCGATACGCGATACGATTATGGATGGATGGAGTGGGCGACCGGAACCGGAACCTGAACTTGGTTGTGGCCAGTATATACAAGGGAATAAACAAAGAGTTATGACCATGACCAACAACTTTGGTTACCTGCAATTGTAGCTGTTTGGTACATACAGGAATTGATTGCAGCATCTGACCATAAGGTATCTTCCACTCTAGCAACAGGTTCTGGTAGTAGGTCAAGTTGAGTATAAGGAAATCAGGACAACCCAGCCTGACATGTGACTTTCAGTCATGGACAGTGCTGCAGTGTTCGGCTGTACTACCTCGGCGACATCTCTGCCCGTTATATCATTCTCGGCCATTCGCCGGCCGTATCGCCGGGCGAGTGTAGTTGTACCCAGTCCGAGCCTGGGGTGCCCAGTGTACCTAGGTGGGTACAGGAGGTAACCCCAGTTTGTTGTTCCAATCATGTTGGACGTGATGACCTGAACCTGGGCCCCAAAATGATGTGATATGAATAATAACTTGAACTGAATACAGTGAAACTCCAAGTTGTATACCGAGGTATGTACGGTGTTGTATGTGTGTGCTTTGATATACAGTACGGTAGCTGTCAACCTCCAAAGAATTCAACAAACAGAGCATATCTATCTACCAACATACGTCGTGGAGGGGAGGGGATTTGAAAAAAGGCCAGTCAGCCAGGGGTTAAGGTACTGGTTTTGGGTACACGTACCTGTACAGCACGACCACGTACTCATAAGTAAGATAACCTAACCTACCTTGCTTCATTCGGGATCAACCTACTTCGCCTCTCTTAGCAGGATTAAGATCCAGTCAAAGGACTGGTGCTGCAACGCCCCCAAGACAAGCGTGGTGTCAACAGACTGAAGTGAAGAAAAAAAGCGTGCCAAGATGGGATCCCAGGGGAGGGCAGCAGCAGAAGGATTGACTCCGTCGTCAGATGTTGAAGGCAGAGACAGGGGCGAGGACAATGACCCCAAGCAGCAGTTATCCACAATCCAAGCCGACTACGACCTATCAACACCGATAACCTCAACATCAGGACTCAGATCCGGACTCACATCCTACGGCGACGCCCATTTTTCATTGTTCTTACGCAAAGTATTCATCAAAGCCCTCGGATACTCGGACTCAGCACTATCCCTCCCAATCGTAGGCATCATCAACACATACTCATCATTCAACCCCTGCCACTCGAACGTGCCCCAACTAATCGAGGCAGTGAAACGAGGTGTGCTCGCGGCCGGTGGTTTACCCGTCGACTTCCCCACGATCAGCGTGCACGAGAGCTTCGCCAGTCCGACAAGCATGTACTTGAGGAATTTGATGAGCATGGACACGGAGGAAATGACGCGCGCACAACCGGTGGACAGCGTCGTCATGATAGGCGGATGCGACAAGACCGTGCCTGCCCAACTGATGGGGGCCATCAGCGCCAACAAACCCTTTCTACCACTCATCACGGGTCCCATGATGCCGGGTTCAGTGCAAGGCGTGCGCGTCGGCGCATGTACCGATTGTCGCAGCTACTGGGCCAGATACCGTGCAGGAGACGTCGATCTCGAGGACATAATGGGGGTCAATGACGAATTGGCTCCTACAGGAGGAACCTGCGGCGTCATGGGCACGGCATCGACCATGGCTTGTGTCACTGCGGGATTGGGCCTGTTGGACCTCAAGTCTGGAGCGACCGCTGCGGCTGTTAGTTCTGCTCGTCTTAGAGTGGCCGAGCAGACTGGTCGGGACGCCGTTGCTGTTTTGTCCAAAGGACCGCAGAAAGACGGTGCGGTCATGCGTCCGCAAACATTGTTGTCCAAAGACAGTTTTATCAACGCCATTACTGTCCTCCAAGCCATCGGTGGCAGCACCAATGCCGTGGTCCATCTCATGGCCATCATCAACCGACACCCTGATGTCGCTGGCACAATCACTCTCGACACGTTTGACGAAATCGGGCGCAAGACTCCTCTGCTCGTTGACTTGAAGCCTAGTGGTGACAACTACATGACTGATTTCCACAACGCGGGCGGAATGTTGGCTCTCATGCACACGCTGCGCCCTTTGCTAAAATTAAACGCGAAGACATACACTGGTTTGACACTAGGGGAAGTGCTCGATTCTACCCCCTTTAAACCATTTCCTTATTCACGACAGATTATTCGATCTCTGGAGGACCCGCTGTACCCGGCGTCCAGTCTGGTCGTCCTAAGAGGAAACATATGTCCCGACGGCGCGGTGATGAAGGCTTCAGCTTCAAAAAACCGCAAACTGCTCCATCACCGCGGCCGGGCGGTGGTTTTTGAGAATTCGGCCGATTTGGCACGCAGAATCGACTCGCCTGATCTGGATGTCGATGCTGATTCTGTTTTGGTCCTCAAGGGTATTGGTCCTGCCGGAAACCCGGGAATGCCTGAGGCTGGTCTGATCCCCATCCCACAGAAGCTCGGAAGACAGGGCGTCACGGATATGTTGCGCATTAGTGATGGCAGAATGAGTGGTACTGCGGGCGGTACTATTGTCCTGCATGTCTCACCTGAATCGGCGGATTTGGATTCCGTCTTTGGTATAGTGCAGACGGGTGATGTTGTGGTTTGTAATGTTGAAAACAGGAGTTTGGTGCTTGATGTTGATGATGAGGAAATCAAGCGTCGTATAGCGGAGAGGAAGAGCAAAGCGACTAAGAGTAGGGATCAGAGTACTGATAAGGGTACTAGTGTTTCGTCGGAACCCTGGTTGGACAGAGTCTCTCGTCGTGGATATCGTGGCCTTTATGAGAGGGAGGTCAACCAGGCTCATCTGGGTTGTGATTTTGATTTTCTTACTGCTCAAGGACCAGGGGGTCGTGGTCGGGGGCTGACTGCTGGACAATAAGGAAAGCCACGGAAAAGGTCCAAAGTCGACTGTTGGGCAATGAAGGAAAAAAGAAAAGACGAAAAAAAAGGAGACCAAGGTCCACTACGAGTGACCTGGTTTGATGCAGTGCCACGGAATGGTTACCCATATTGACCGAACAGAACGCGGCGCCATTCAGTTTCCCTTCTGTTCGAACAACGTGAGCACCACTACGGGCTCATCAGTCATCACGTCTATCATGCGCTCGGAAGCGAGTACCTGACCAAAGGCCGGTGCCAGTGGGACATGTTTTGATTATTCCTCGACGACCGTTGCGCAACCACTTGCATATCAGGAATAAAAGTGACGAATGTTCTTGTTCTTTTGGATGGTATCATGAGAAGGGAAAAGGATTTGTGCTATGCAGAGCGATTCTAGGCTTGTACCCTCACCGGCTATGGCCTGCCTCAGCTTGGTTTCGGTAAATCATGGCAGTTTGGGTCGAATGTCGAAATGACTTTGCAACTTTGCAAAACGTGTGGACATTACATGTACGATGGTATACTGCCGGAACACCAAGGTGCAGGAGCAGAAGCAGAAGCAAAGCAGGGCAAAAGAAATATACGTATCTTACAATATGTAAGTCATATATGTTGCTCACTGCACGTAGGTCCTAGTAACTAGGATCTGACAGCAGTCCTCGCAAGCGTTGCCTGGAGATCGCATCGCTTTCCTTTCCGTCTACCTCCCCTACCAATCCGTAGTCTTCTTCAACTTCTCATTCTGAATAACCTCAACCCAATACTCATCCGGGTCCAGCACAAAAGCGACATTCTTCATCCGGCCATCCGTCAACCTCTTCTTCCAATTAACCTTCTTCTCATCCATGAACTTGCACGCCTCTTCCAGATCATCGACACTGATACAAATATGCCCAAACCCCTGAGGCTGATCATTCCCATTATGATAAACCTTTCCTTCTTGCTTCTCAGTACCATAATTCCAAGTCAACTCAAGAAGACCCTCCTTGTTCGCCAAGGGGTTGACCCCATTAGGCGTATCTTCAGGTTTGGGAACCTGAAAGTCTCCCGGATATCCCAAAAAGTACAGAGTGAATCCCGCCTCTTTTTGTTCCGAGGTGCGCAGCAACGTCATGCCCAGAACGTCCTGGTAGAAACGCAGCGATTTTTCGGGGTCCTTGACCCGGATCATGGTGTGGTTGAGCCTGTACGCCGAGGTGTCGGTGGTCGTAATGTCTTTGGTCTCGTCGACGTTTTTCTGCCCTATGATTTCCACCCAGTACCCGTCCGGGTCGAGCGCAAAGGCAATGCTCCGCATCCGCCCGTCTGTGAGTTTCTTCTGGAACTTGTAGCCCGCATCTTCGATCCGCTGGCATGCGGCTTGGATGTTGTCCACGCTGACGCAGATGTGGCCGAACCCTTTGTGTGGTTCCTTGTTGCCGTTGTTCACGGTGAAGTTTTCGTCGGTTTCGGTTCCGTAGTTGTGCGTTAGCTCGAGCACGCCTTCACGGTCGGTCCAGTGAGAGCCGGGAGATGCTGACTTGGGACCGTCGTAAGCTGGATGACACGGAAAATGTCAGTAAAGATCCCGTAGGTTCGATAACACTGCACAACGCAACTCTGCGCACTCCCCAAACTTAAACTCACCCAAAAAGTATAGGTCGAATTTGTTCTCGGGAAACTCCAGCTTGTTGATCAGACTCAACCCGAGCAGATTGTAATATTCGATCGAGCGCTTCGGGTCCTTCACCCGCAGCATGGTGTGGTTGAACTTCCATTTCGACTGGTCGACCATGGTTGCGTACGCTCGTGGTGTGGCTGTGGTACTAGTAGATGGGTGCGAAAAGTGTTGGATCAGTTGTTGTAATCGTGGTCGGATTGAAAGGCGAGATAGGATCATGGACAATACGCCAAATTTGGTTGCGATCAAAAAGGCGGTGGTGTTGTAGAATAGCAATGCGGTGCTCTGCTTTACCTCACGCTTCCATTGATTTCGCTTCTGGAAAGACTGGAGCGTGGGAAAATGAATGACGCGGGTCCCGGTGCGGACAGAACCAGGATTGCACTTGAACCCCTCCATCCGCTCGTTCTCCGAGTCTCGGTCTTTGTGCCACCGAGCCAGCCACATATGAACCCCCCGAGCGTGTTTCCACAACTGCACTGCTACTAGGAGGTCATACCCGATTTGCACCATATGACCAAAGCCTGAGTATAATACTATGTACAACTTGAATGTCATATGAACTAATCCGGTACAACTGGCTGCTCCTTACGACACACTCTCAAAGTGGTGGCCATGGTGCGGAATGGACAGACGAGTATTCTGTATATAAACCATATTCGGACAATGACCACTGAGTTCCGGTTATACAGTCACTGGGGGAGGTCACTGGGCGCAATATCTTGAGATGCTTTCAATAATGACCCTGAGCCGGTGTGTTCTTTGTAGACAGAGGCTTGTATGCAGCTTCGACAATGCTTGACATGGTGCAGTTTTCCATCCGCCTCTGCTTTGGCCTCGATCATGCAATCAGCTGCAGCAATGTCTTGAAAGAAGAGACAGTCTTTTCGAATGACTTCGAGCCTCCTCGCCAGCCCCATGGCAGTCTCTCAGCACTGCATTGTTCCTTGCATCTTTTGACAATACATACTCACAGTCAAATATAACCGCGGGTTTGCTGTATGGATATACAACTTTCTTTCCCTCACACTAGTCATTGCTCACAGCCTGAACAATGGCGCCCGCATCTCCTTCATCCAGCCCATCTAACGTATCCATATCATCCTTTGAGATGTCAAACCCATAGACATCTGCATTCTGCCTGATCCGATCCGGGTTATCACTCTTCGGCAACGGCACCCAGTCTTTCTGCAAACAATACCGGATCAAAATCTGGGCGGTCGACTTGTTGTATTTCTGGGCCAACGAAACCAACGTCGGATCATTGGCCTTGTAGTTCCGCACGAGCGGGGAGTATGCTTCGATGACGATCCCGTGCTTCTTGCAGTAGTCGGTGATGGTACGCTGTTGACACCAAGGATGGAGCTGGGGAACAAGTTGACAGTTAGTGAAACGTTTTGTCAATCAACAACTGAAATCCGAAAACGGCCGGTGTGTGGCCACCACCACCACCACCGTCCCAATTCACACTCACCTCAATCTGATTCACATGCGGCGGCCAAACCTTCGCATACCCCTTCATTTCCGCAATGTGCCCCACGCCAAAATTGCTCACGCCAATACTCTTCGCCTTGCCTTCTTCATACAACTTTTCCAAAGCCAGCCACATTTCTTTCCGTGCCTTGCTGCCCGCATTGGGACTGTGGATCAGGAACAAGTCGACGTAACCGCCAGAACCACCAATCTTTTCCACGCTGTCCAGACATTTTTGGTATGATTTCTCCACGCTACCGCCCGCAGAGAGGATCTTGGTGGTGACAAAGATCTCGGAGCGCGGGAGACCGGACTTCTTGACCGCCTCGCCTACTTGGGTCTCGTTGCCGTAGAATTGCGCCGTGTCAATGTGTCGGTAGCCGACTTCCAACGCGGTGAGGCATGATTGCACGCACACCTCCGGTGAGGACCGGTATACGCCGAATCCGAGGCGCGGGATCCGAACTGAACTGTTTGGGAGGGGGAGCGTGTCGGATAACGAGAGAGCGGCGGGCATTTTGCGGCGGGATTGGGAACTCGATGAGATAACGCGGGAGAAAGTGACGGGAGAGGCGGAAATTGTACTACGAGAGATGTGTGCAGCCAAAAGGGAGAGTCTTTGCATTCCCTATTCCTAGCCTGTTAATACACAAGTGGAAGTGTTCTTGACTGCGACTTGTCATGTAGTGACGCGGTTCACGTTCCGGACTAAACAATTTTCGATGATGCAATGACGTGCGCAAGGCTGCGCTGCAGCCTTGTCTTTTATCCGCCATCGCGTGATACCAGAGCTTCAAGTGGTACTTTTGTGCTGTGCTATTGTGTACCACATACAGCGGACAGCGTCCAGGGGTTTACCATGCGGATTATGTCCGACCATCTGCATGCATCCCTTTTCCCGGTCCGAAGAAAGTCTTTTAATTTCTAGTGTCCGTTTGTCGGCAACGCAATCCCTTGCGGGATGTCTCAGCATATCCCATATTTCCAAAAATCCTCAGTCAGGGCGTTGCATCAGAACATAATTGACGGCCTGCAATGTAGCCCTCGAAGGATTAACATCTGCTTTCGAGTATGTGATCCAGGCTAACCGCTGTTTAACAAGCTGCTTGTCAACGCTAGGGGTGATGTTGTCCTCCCGTACTCGACCTGAAGAAGTCAGCGTGAGTGTATCCTTGAGCAGTTCTATGCAAGGACCACAAGCGCACCTTTGTCGTCGTAGAAGAGACATAAAATTGCAACCGCAACACCAGCAGAAAGGTCTTTCCCGTTGGAACAGGTGACCAATATTTGGCTGTCTTTGTTCTTGTTGAGCTGTGCTCGGACAGTGTCAGTGACCAACCCCAGCTTATCCCGAAGGTCCTTGCTCCCTAATTTTCCCGATCGACATTTCAAATCCAATTGTCTAGTTGACGGAGGGACATCTCCTTCACAATTGATGATGAGATCGAACGCGTCGAGACCAGAGGCGGGTCCAACTTTGATATGAATGTTTGAAGTTGGGTCGATTCTTGTGAACTCGGAACCGCCGGCATTTTCGTCCACGCAGCGGCCGAGCAACTCTTCAATCAAACTGGGAAGATCGGCTTCTGGCGTCTGTAGCAGCTCGTCTTTGTACTTCCAGAACAGTTGCGCGGTAAGGCCATGCGCCCATCCCTCATGGTCGTCACCAGCTCCCTGGATGTAACCGCCTTCAGACACTTCTGCGCCATGGACCCGGCGAGACGCTGAGCAGAGAACCAAGTGATTCCATTTCTCAACATTGTCTCCAGTCTCGGCCTCGTTAAACTCATCTTCGCCAGTAAATCGACCATTTATGGCCCATTCAATTCGGATTGGACACTTCAGCTGGTTGCGAAGGTTTGCCGCATCCAGCCCTAGCGCTTTGAAAGACCGTGCAAACCCTGCCAGACGCGCCTCGATCTGTGATATCTCAGACAGGCCCAAGTCATCCGGCGGAGGTGGGTGCTGCAGACTGTGGGTCGAAGGGAGTTCGGGAAAGAGCACTCTGTTAATCACTGCCACCCATATAGGCACAGTCTTACTGAACGCATCTGGCAGATTCTTGCCTCGCCGGGTAGAATCCACCACTATAGCGCCACCATGCTGTCCTAGTAGCGGGAGGAGCTGAAGATTCAGTCTCCGCAGCGAGAAGTCCCACTGTCCGTGATGCCCATCCGTACTTTTGAAGTAAGCACTGCCAACTTTATCTCTCGGTTCTATATACCAGCTGCCGCACCTCTCGTTGGCGACCAACGGCAGTTGATAGTGTTCAGATACTTGCTTGGCGAATTTGGCGTCGGCTAAAACAGAGTTGAGACGGTTCGTGATCGACAGCGTAGACTTGCGAATCGATCTAAGGCTGGCATACAAGGACGGATTGAGGCTGGCGTCATTCAATGTGAGATCAGCTAGCCTCGTTGGAAAGTCTGCAGGTGACATTTTAAATCTGAAGGAACAGCGACGAGCAAAGGAACGTGGATCATTCGTTGGTCTTCATAACAGTTTCATTATGCTCCTGGATAGCCGTAAGCGCATCGGCAGGATGTGCTACGGTCAAAACTCAGCATTGCCCTTCTGCCAGTAATTGGATGTCATTGCACGAACCATCATTTCTCGTGCCCGCCAGTGTAGCTGCTTTGTCCCTGGCTTCAGGTTGTTACCTTATGCTTCAAACCCAGCCAGTGGTGAATGGTGGATGGTGAATGGTGCAGTAAAAATACAGATGCCAAGAAGTGTGCTGATTGGCCAGTCCCCAACCTCATCAGATGCCGTGGTGTACAACATGCAGTGTGCAACCGCTGCTTCATTTTAATCTTCGTATGCAGGGCACGCCCCAAAGTAGCATATGTGGCCTCAAGCAGTAGTTCTTTGCCTCTATCATGCCACAACTGCTGCTCCGTTTCCCTGCACAGGTGCAGCCATCATTGGAATTCCGGTACTGTGCATCATAGCCATGGCATCGTCATTGATCGGGTGGAGACTGTATGGTGTTGCAGTCAAGTCCTCTCCATCGAACAACAGGAAATTTTGCAGTGGAGGCTCTTTCTGTCCGAGAACATTGATCACATCTTGCGCCAGAAAACCTCCGAGAACCGCGACGCTAGGGCTGATCTCGGCGCCGAGGTTTTGTAGGAAGCTGCGTAAGAAATCGGCTTTCAGGGTCTCGGGAGGTAACTCAAGTTCCAGGTGCTTTTGGTTGGCGAGCCGAGTAAACATCGCAAGGTCCGCAGGCCTCTGGACCATAGGTAGGTTGCCTCCACTCTGGCTTTGAAACTCAAAGAGCGCTCGTAAGCATGAGAGAAGGGGTGTTACCCGCAGCTTGCTGCGTCGCGTATTTCTGGCCCTAGCAGGCAATGGCGACAGGTTCGCCAACTGCAAAGGCGTATACGACTCCTGATACGTGATGATGTCGGTGACTGTTTCACCCTCCTTCTTAGACTCAACCCCAGTGACAATGCGTGTGGGCGTCTCCACGTCCCCAATCTGAGTGGGTTTATTGCTGCGCGGCTTCTCGACAATGAAGTCATGAAGAAAGAGATCAGCAAAAACAAAACCATAGACGCCATGTGTGTCCGCAGCATAGAATTTCCGGCCATACGTTCGGCATGCCATGTTGATATTGCACAGTACGTCCAGCGTCAGGCCGGTCGCGATTGTGATCTCGAAGGAATGGAAATATTCTGGCAGCTTCTCTTTGATATCGTCCGGGTCGGTGTATAGATGAACCCTTGGGTTTAGCTTTTGGAGTTCTGGCAGAGCCGCTTGTGCTCGATTTTGACCAATATTGGCCTCGGTAATGAGAAATTGGGAACCAAGGTCTTCTTCTGTGACTATTCCATGATCCAGAATGGTCAATGTTCCCACTCCCGCCAGTACAAGATTCTTTGCGATCTCATTGCCCAGGCCTCTCATTCCTATCAAGAGTATGTTCGCTTGTCGCAGCCTCTGTTGCACTTGCATTCCCCATAACCGGATCTGCCGGTCGTAGAGGGCGATCTCGTCTGCTGAGATAGTTTGTGGTGGTGCCATGGCCGCCATGTCGGGCTGGACACCGTTGAACGCGGGAGACATTACGCCAAAGCCTGGGTTTGCTATTGGGAAGATGGGGAAGTCCGGTAGTGCAGGAGTGTCTTCTTCTTTGGCGAGGCCAGAATGAGGGATGCCGCCAGTATCTTCCGGGAGAGTAGGCAGGGAATTATTGCCATTCATCGCCAATGAGCGAGAGGTGAATCAGTCGATCGAGGTTGAAAACTGCAAGGAAATGTTTGGCGAAGTGGCTCGGTTCAGGAGAACGCTCAAGAAAGTGCCGGTATGGAGGAAGAGGTGAGTGAGACCGCGCTCAACTCAAGTTGAAGTGAGACGGTAGAGATCGGTAAACTAAAAAGGCTCAAAGAGAGCTATTACACTGTGTGAGCCACTAGAAGTGAGGTATTGTTACACAGCATGAGAGGAACTGTATGCGGTTCGAAGGTCGAAGTGGTAAACAGGATACTGTTCGCTCCCGCGTTGTTTGCGTGCCTGGCGCAAAATGTTTCGTGAAGTTTGTCGTTTTGAAGATGCGCAGCCGATACTGCAGCACTCTTGACCGGGGGTGAGCGCTACCTATCTTAAGTGCCTTAGTTAACTTAGAATGAGCGTGGTCCAGGCTGCGGCCCGACCTCGATTGGGCGAGTTTAGAATTGTCCGGGCACTGAACGGGTGCGCCCATAATTCCCGTCAGGCGGTTTCAGATGTGGACCGCTATTATCACTTCTACATAGTACTAGTACGACTAGCAGGAAAGGTACAGTGTACAGCGTTGGAGCCTACTAGTACAGCCGACCTGCGCCTACTAGTACTAGTACACTAGTACTAGGCAAGGACACGATATCGTGGGGCAGGCGTCTGCGGTGGTCCTCATCAGACACCGGAGTCCCTCACTCCATATTCGTGACTGCGCACTTTCATCCTCTTAACGTTGATGATCCTTGAGGATCCTAGGATATATCTGCACCTTCATGTCCTATACCAGGCCTATCCGCCCTCCCTTACTCGCTGGATATTGAGACATTATTTTCTCTTTTGCATGGTGTACGCATGAGAAGGGATCGCAGCCACTGTGCTGTATATCAGTCTCTTGTCCAACCATGGTGTGTTGCTCTGCAGCCCAATGCCCGCTTTCGTCGTCTCACGCCCAGTGATCCTGACGGTGCTAATTCCTAACAGACAGATCCAATTGACCGCACGAGGTGGCCCAATATCTCAACACGGCTACAAAATCTCCGAAATCTTCTCAGTTCCGAGCGTCATCTAGGCGCCGACCAGCAACGGGCGTTTGAGGCAATTGATCGAGAGATGGACCAAATGGAGGCCGACCGGTCTGCTGCACGAGAACGACGAAGGAGGGGGAACAGCGAGACCAATGCACAAGATCAAGATACCCAATCCGCATCAGAGGGGCCTTCGCAGTCAAGTATGCCCGCCAACCCCAGCCGAACCAGAAGAAGGGCGCTCCGACCTAGTGAACGTCTACAAAGAGATCAAAGAGAAAGACTTGGCCAAATCGGTAGACCAACCACTTCGGAGTTGTTTGTCGCTCCCTCAGACCTATCCTCTGCAGCCTCTGCTCGGCCTGACCGAGGAGAACGGTCGAGGGCGAAGCGGAGAAAGTTGGCTAATGGATCCTACGAAGAGGAGCCCAGAACCTTTAGCTATGGTCACAAGGGCCAAGTGGTACCGGGCCAACTTCGACTGGACATTGTCAGTTGTGATGGCGGAGAATACTCCGACCCGCATATCCCGATCAATTCCTATCCTCAGAATGTCCTCCTGGATGATACCAGCGTCTATTGCACCAAGTCCAACCGATGCAACCTGTTGTTGAAACATGTTGGAGGAATGCCGTTTACCCTGACCCAAATCGTCGTCAAGGCTCCCAGAGCTGGGTACGATGCTCCCATCCAAGAAGGAATGATATTTGTGGCGATGGAGGACGACAATCTTCTGGAAAGCACTTCTCAATACGAAGTACACTGGTCTCCAAAGAGCCATCGTCGTCACAGGGCCAGACCTCGTAGTCTACCCCCGTCGCAGGAGTACTTACATTCGACAAGATCACCCCACCGATCGAGCGATCGGTCAAGGCTGCTGTCCAATCCGGAAGATCTGGAGGACGAAGATGGCCTTGAAATTTCTCTAGTTCCCGGATTCAATGTCTCGGTTGAAGATCCCTCGGACGAGGAGGCCAACGAACGAGAGAGCCCACCTTCGCCTCGACCATGGCACGATGATGACGATTCTCTCAGACCATATGTTGACCGCTACCGCCCTATGTATCCAGAGGGCGAGCGAAATGATCTATGGTCAAGTTCAAGCGAGTCCGAAGGCTATGAACCCGACACCATGCGTCCGGAAGCGGAGGACCGCGTCCAACAACGAGCACTACTTGATATGGATAATACAATGGCTCACCGGAACCGGATGCTGGATCTTTTGCGTGCACAGCAGATCCGGGACAACGATGAGGTTTTCGGGTATCGAGTTCGTCAAGCTGAGTCTGATGAGGAGGACGGCACATTCAACCGTCGTTCTACTCCCAGCCGAATCGGACTGCGTACCTTCGCACCTGCTGTTGGAGGGGCCCACCAAGCTGGTCGGTCTGAAGAGCACGCCAATACTTTGATGGATCTTAGTGGTACGACATCCAAACAGCAAGCTGTCGAGGCTGGTGCAAGCTCGTCTGTAAGACCTGCTGTTACAACCCCACATGCAAGGTTCTTCATCAGTCAGAGCAAGTCAAGCACCGCCATCAAGTTTGACCCTCCAGTGTAAGTTTTGTTGTAAATGACACTGTACTATCCTGTCAAAATGCTAACTTCCTCGCAGCTCAGGACGGTATATTCTCGTGAAACTTTGGGCGCAGTTGTCCAACGCCAACATCGACATTCAGTCCATACTTGCATATGGATATGGTGGTCCGCGGTTCTTTCCAAGCACGGAGTTACGTTAAGATGATGGACTTGCTACGTTGTGGTGTCAGGCTTAAAAGAGCCGCATTGAGTCTCAAGCCACCGAAAAGCAGGATATAACGAGTCCACGAATACGGCATGGAAGGAAACTCTCATGTCATTGATACCTGGTATCCACCAGATTTCTAGATAGTCTGCACTCAACTGCCGACAAAGACGACTTGGGTGGTGCGCCTAGAAGTCATCTTGTATGCGTTGCAGTTTACATTGTCATCAATATCATCTGCTGCGTCAAAGGTACTATTATGTTGTCTTCTGATATCATGGCCAGTCTCTCTGTGTGTAAACCACCAGCGCTGATCGGAAGCCTTCCAGGTTGTTTGCATTGCGGGGTGGCGGCAAGGCTGCGAGGCTCCGCCTTAGCCCAAGCCTTGTGGCTCGAGCTTCGTTCAGCAAGGCCCCACGCTGTGGAAGAGTGACGAAATCCTCCGAGTCCATCAAGAACGACAATTGTCCCCTGCTACATGAATGATGTGCCAGGACCTTATAGTCGACAATACAACCTGTCTTGTAAAACAGCAGACCCCTACCACTGTACATATACCACGAACTGAAGCCGACACCACTACTAGAAGGGCTGCATCAGCGCAACATCACCAATCTCACGTTAGAATCCATCATTTATTGCTTTGTTTGGTTTCGTTGCGACTACTCCCCCTCCTCTCGATCCCTCCTGATCTCGAGTCCAACCATGCCACTGTTCGCCGAAGGCACAGGCGTGCCTCTTGAGGACATGCAGCATAACTTGAATGGTACTCTCAATGGTCGAAGTAATAACTCGACAGGACAAGATCCTACTTCTACAAATACTGAGAGCACCATGACTCCGAGTGAAGGCCAAGTCCCCGATCGCATCCGAATCAAGAACCGGAGGAAGCGCTATCTCGACCTTCATCCAGAATACTTTGGCCCCCAACTCGAGCTGGCAGGTATGTACCTTGAGTTCGTTCATTCCAAATTCCCGAATCCAATCCGGGTCCCGCACCGTGACATTCGGTTTGGTTGGGCTTTTTTTTTTGTGTGTCTCTGTATTTCTGCCGACCTACCTACATGAGGTCTCAATGGATTGCGGCGTGCCGTGCCAGTGTTGGTTGACCACAGGTGGAAGGGCGACCACATTGTCCTCTCTTGTCTGTGTAGGCCATTAGGCAGCCATTGGCACTACAGTGGCGCACTGTCAACTACATGCAGTGGTATTGGATATTACCGTTACGATAGCACAGTACACGTACTGATAACGAGCCGTTTGTGCGCCGTCCTACAGATCCATTACTCTACGACCGTCTAATCCGACGCTTCCAAAGCTCCGCGGAACGCGAAGCCGAAGGACGCCAAAAGGGATTCTCCGGCGTCCTGGAAGCAGACTTGCTCCGAAGCGAGGCCAAACTCGATGCCCTTGCGCATCCGGACCCCAATAGTATGTTCACGTACAAGCGCGGGCCGGACGGCGAGATCCTGGCGGAAGATAGTGACGACGTGCCTGCGAACAAGGAAGAAGGGTTTGCTCGGTGGAAGTGGGAGATGGAAGCCCGGTTTGTGCGGGGCGACGACGACGATTTTGATTATAGCGCCGTGGATGAGAATCCGGAATATGATGATGTAAAGACTGAAGAACGGGAGGCGGAGGAGAGGTATTTTGATCAGCAGGAGCCGGAGTTTGTGGTTGAGACAGAAGAAGAAGAAGCAGAGGAGAAGGAGAGCGGACTCGGGGATGGAGACGATAGGCAAAAGAGGAGGAAGAGTCATGAGTTACGGGGTGAAACGGGAATACAGGACTTTTGAGGGGAAACAGAAACAAAATGAGATGAAGGCATATGCCGTATTTTTTGGCGAGTCATGCACTACAGGGGACGCAATGATGACGGGCCGGCAAGCTGGGACTTTACGGGACGGACGAGCTCTCGCTATGCTGGCATTCCTGCGAGCAGGTGCTGGAGAGCGGAGTATGTATGGGTCGGGGCCACTTGACCGTGTACAGTGCGACTGCTACGAGGGCAAGATTGCAACATGAGCCACACTGAGACTGAGACCGACCGGTGTGGGAATCTCAAGTCGTTGCGGTACACGACTTATGAAAGTCCTCAGGGTTCAAATCGCACCCTTCTTACCAAGGAGTATGGCCATGGCGGTTCCTGGTCAGCCGAATGGCCCAGCATTACAATCAGCTAGGATGCCTATCTTGAAATTGGCCGTCTTTACCGCATTCACATCTCGGACCGGATATTTGCTTCTGGCCGGGACAGCACGGCAGTGAGATGGGGAGAAGGAGGGAATTTCAGTCGGTCAGTGGCGTCTGCAACGACGCCGACTCTTCTTTCACGCATGAGGTCTTGGTCAGTTCCAGTGGGCTGCACCAATGATTGCACTTCAAATGGGCTAGATACCCAGAGACGAAAGGAAACATCCATACTAGGGCCGAGATGCTGAGCCGACGGTCAGCAGATCTGTTCAACAGCCTTCTCCGCTTCTGCATGCAGTGCAGCTTGCTGCGCTCTGCTCGGTCAAAGGAGACTACTACAGAATACCCGCCGAGAGACCCGGTAAGGCAGATGCTGGCTCGGCCTTGTGGGATACTGAAGGATGGTTGCGAAGAGGTGCTGTACCTCCAGTGGGAGGTGTACCTGCACTGGTAGAACAGGCCCAATTTGAACGTTGTACATAAGTACAAAATGCTCCTTCTGATCAAAACTGCACCAAATTTTGAATGTCAACTTGAAGTACAGCATATCATTCACATGCAGTGTGAATATTGTATGTACCCAGGCACGGGCACAGGCTCTGGCAAAGCTCGCGTATCCGGGGCACCAGCGACCCGCCCCCGCAAAATAAGGAGTCTGGGGTAAGTTCGCTAGCTGCTGCCATGTGCGGCTCTCAATCCGCTCCTCGGCCCTCCGCCGCCAGGGTTCGGCTATAATGTACTCTCATCGTCTCATACATAGCTGAACTACTAGACAGTGGTCACAGTAATAGGACTGTGTAGTGATATCAACAATAGCACAAAGAATCGCTGGGTACTACTACCCAGCTAGAGGTATAGCACAGTGTGCTCTGCCATCAGCAACGTTCATGTTCATCGTGGGAGGACGATGCTGTCTACGGAACCGTGACCATGCGGGCCCTCTATCGAACGCGGTCCCAGTCCTCGTACCTGGTACAACAGCCATGCAGCCGTTCACCTTGTCTTCTTCGGCCCGGGCTTAAGCTTTCAACACTAGCGAGAGTAAAAGGACCTCTTTCCCCTCCACTGCTCGAGGAAACCGTCGGGGAGAACTTCGCACGCATTGTATCAGCCCACGGCGACCGACAGGCCGTGATATCGCGACACCAGAACGAACGTCTGACATACGACCAGCTCGATCGAGACAGTAACGTGTTGGCCAGGGGCCTTGCAAGCCTTGGAGTCGGCAAAGGCGACAGGGTATGCGTATCACTAGGGAACAACTTGGAATTTGCAACCATCACATACGCCCTGTTTAAGCTGGGAGCCATCCTGGTCCCGCTGAACCCGGCATTCACATCGGCCCAGATCATTTCAGCGCTTAACCATTTATCCGCCACGCATCTAGTCATTGGGACCGAGACGAATCTACCATACAAGCCGCCTCGATCCAATGTGCCACTTTTGGAATCTCTGGTACCGGACCTGGCAACATCAAGCCCATGTATCTCGTCAGAAGCAATCCCGACCCTGAAGCATATTGTCGTCGTGAACAATTCGGCCGGGCGTATCGATACAACGAAATTCCGGGCCATCACGCCCTGGTCGGCTATTTCCAAAGACTCGGACAGCAGTCCGGTGATACTGTCTGAGCCGCTTTCGAATCGAGAAGTCGTAAATATCCAATTCACGTCGGGGACGACGTCGACTCCCAAGGCTGCCTGTCTGACGCATCGGTCGATCCTCAACAACGGCAATCAGATCGGTGATCGGATGCATTTGACACCACGGGACATTGTCTGCTGTCCACCGCCTCTGTTCCATTGCTTCGGTTGTATTCTCGGGTACATGGCGACCCCGACGCATGGCTCAGCCATACTGTTCCCGACCGAGGCGTTCGATCCCATGGCCACGCTGAAAGCCGTGCAGGAGGAAAAGGCAACGGCTCTCTATGGAGTGCCCACCATGTTTCTTGCTGAGCTCGAGCTGATTGACGACGAGAAGATCGCCTACGAAGGCTTTGAGCATTTGCGGACAGGTATTGCCGCGGGGTCATCGGTGCCTGCCGAATTGATGCGCAGACTCCACAAGACGCTCAATCTGACCGAGCTGACCATCTGCTATGGAATGACCGAAACCTCGCCGGTGTCGGCCATGACAACGACCGACGACCCGATCGACAAGCGGATCAATACCGTCGGCCGACTCCTCCCACATGTGGAAGCAAAAGTCGTGGATCCATTCGATCACGACAAACTCCTCAATATAGGCGAACGAGGTGAATTGGCCGTCCATGGATACTTGGTCATGAAGGAGTATTGGGGCCAACCGGACAAGACCGCCGAGGTCATGAAGGCAGACCAGGAGGGCAAGGTATGGATGCATACTGGTGATGAAGCTTCGATCGATGAGGACGGTTATGTGAGCATTACTGGTCGTATTAAGGACCTGATCATCCGTGGTGGTGAAAACATTCATCCTCTGGAAATTGAGAATTGTCTCTTTGCCAATGACAAAATAGCAGAAGTCAGTGTGGTTGGATTGCCGGATAAAAAATATGGTGAAGTCGTCGCCGCCTTTATTGTTCGCAGGCACCATTTACCCGCCGGTCAAACCCCCATCACTACCGAAGAGGTCAAGCGCTGGGTTAGGGATCGTATGAGCCATCATCTGGTCCCTAAGTATGTCTTCTTTGTGGATGACTATCCAAAGACCGCAAGTGGAAAGATTCGTAAGTTGACCTCTCCAAACTGCTGGCGTATATCTTTGCTTCGATCAATCAAGTATTTTGTATGGTTCAGCATCACTAATCAGGGCCTTTCACAGAGAAATTCAAGCTGCGTGAGAAGGGGGTCCAGCTGCTCGAGGAAGCAGCAGCAGCCAGCTACAGCTAAGCTCAGCCTCCGCCTCTTTGCGTGACTTGTTCAGTGGCTCTTTGAAAGGCATGGAAAGCAAGCCAGGCAGATTGAAGGTCGTCGACGTACGCGGTTCGAACAGGACAGACACTCCCCAATTCAGTCGTCGCCACGCCTTGAGCGTCTATCCCGTGATGATTTCCTCTCCCTACTATTATCTCGATAGCTTTCTTGACGGCGATCGCGATCGCGGTAATAGTCGTAGCGAGAATCGCGGTCTTCTCGGCGCCTGTGGCTTCGGTCGTCGTAGTCATCGTCTCTGTTATCCCTCGAATATCTCCGTTTCCGTCCATCATGACGGTCATCACGGTCGTCGAGATCACTTCCATGCCGGCGATCGTGGGTATCCTTGTGCCGTCGTTCTTCGCTTCTCTCCTGATAATCTTTTTCATCATCGCGGTCGCCACCTTTTTGAGTGTGCCGTCGTCGGTGATGTCTCCTTTCGTGGTCTTCCTCGTTCTCTGATCCATCTGCTTCTCGCCGTCGATGATGTCTCTTTTCGCGATCTTCCTCCTCTGACCCCTCTGATTCTCTCCGTCGATGCCTATGTTTATGGCGCCTTGAGTGCCTTTCCCTGTCTCGTTCTCGTTCCCGCTCCCGAGCTCTTTCAACCTCCTCCCGCTTCTCTCGAATGAGATATTCTCGCATAGGATCCTCCTCTTCCCCATCTTGCTTGATTGCCAACATCTCCTCCAATTCCTCTTCTTCCTTCAACAATCGCCTTCTTTTAGACTTCTTTCTGCGATGTCTTTCCTCGTCATCATCATCCACATCTTCGCTGTCCGTAGCATCTCCGTTCTTCATCCCTGCGTCGGCCTCGACTTCTTGCTCCCATCGATCAATGCGATAAGTATCTTCATCTTCATCATCCTTCTTCTTGTATCTCGTGTGATCCACCCTCAACAATCTCCCTAGAACTTCCGCACCGCCCAGATTGTCCACGGCGAGATCGCAACTGCGCTGGTCTTCATATTTGAGAAACCCGAATCCTTTGCTCTTGCCCGTCTCTTTGTCCCGGATTAGATTCAGGTGTGTGGGATTGCCAAACTGCGAAAAGATGGTGACCACGTCCCCTTCGGTGAGATCGGAATGGAGACCGCCGACGTAAATCCATGCGGTGTCGCGGTAGTCGGCGTGCCAGGAGGCAGAGGGTGGTGTGGCATTTTCGAGCTCGCGTTTGTTCAAAAGTTGGGTTTGACGGATTGCGTTCATTGTTGTAGTTTATATATGGAGAATAGGATATTTCGACTGGGCTTGAATAACAACTGGATAGTTGTGGCGCTCAATATGGCCGCATTATGTTCGAGACGAGGCAGCTGCAGTGGGACTATTCAAGCTGCCGGTCTTATTTGTGAAGGTTCTCTTTCTCTTTCGCTCTCTAAAGCGCGAGGAATGAGTCTGTTCAAAGCGTATAGACAGAGTTGACAAGATCGTAGGTTGCAGTGGTGCCTGTGGTAAATGACGAACTTGAACTTTTTTATTTGATGCTTAAATGTATGCTTATTTTGGGTAGTTTTAACTCCATCTTCGACTCCGACTCCGATTCCGACTCCGTACTTTGCCTGCGGAGAGACGAGACAACAAATAAAACACGGTTCACGAGACGCGATCACTGCACAACCACACAGATATCTACCTACAGTAGTTGAGACATCGAGTTTTCTCGGTTACATTAATCAATGTTGGCTTGCGGCTTCACCCTCGATCGCGCATGACAATCTTCTTCTGCCTGAGAGACATGGCCTCGATCTTGCAAGAGACCTGACGTTGGCTTTGAAGCAACCCTTGAACGTTATCAATTCTCGCCATGTTGACTGCGTCCCAGCCTGTACCGTCTGGCCTTCATACACTATCCACTTCGAATATGATGTCGACACGCCCTCTTCCTCCTCCCTCCTCAATTCGGCCCATGAGCAAAGACGGTGTCGGCAGCAAACAATCTACAATATGGGTGCCCATGTTAAACAGCGCCTCCAAAGGCAAAGACGTTTCGGAGAAACAACTGATCATTCTCGGCGGGACTCCCGAACGGCAGCGCGAATTGCTTGAACAGCTGAACCCCCCGAATCTTCGTCCTCGACATGGAGCCCACGACCGACGGAGACAGCCTCGAGCGGGGACAGGGAGCGGACAGCCTGGAGGAACGGCACCGATTTCAAACCGCTACGCCTTGGGCTATACATACTACGATGTCCTGGACGCGGACCAAGAAGACGTGTTGGCACGAGTAAATGTGTACATGCTGGCCAACCCCAGCGCGAGTTTTGCACCATTACTCAAGCCGCTATTCACCACCAAAACCGTCAAAGATACATTGATTACTATCTTGTTGGATTGGGAGGAGCCGTTCAAATGGGCCCGACAACTCCGTCAGTGGATCCGACTGCTACGTTCGGTGATTCTCAGTCTGGACGAACAGACAAAGATTGAAATGGAAGAGACCATGACGGCGTGGAAAGAAAAAAGAGTTGGGCCTGATGCTCCGGCTGCGCTTCAGTCCACGACAAACATTAACAGCACCATAGATCCAGGTGCTTCGGTACCCCTATTAGGCCCGGGGGAATGGGACGAAGGACTGGGCATTCCTCTGTCGGTTGTGTGCACGCGGGCGGAGAAAATCGAAGTTTTGGAGCGTGACTATGGCTGGGGCGAGGACCAATTCGATTTCCTGATGCAGTGGCTCCGATGTGTTCTGCTCAAACACGGCGCTTCGTTGGTCTACACGGCTACCTATGACCCGAACAATGTGCGCACGTTGATCCATTCCAGTCTGAGCATCCATTCTCTGCTGAAGCGCGAGGTGGCCAAACACAACATTGTAGACCGAGATAAGATCCTTGTCCCACCCTCTTGGGACTCTTGGGGCAAGATTCGCATTTTAAAGGACGGCTTTGACCCGGAAATCATTGCCAATGCCTGGTCCGTGGAGATTCAGGAGCCCCCAGAACAGACGTTGAACTTGCAGACCGCAACCTCCCCTCAAAACAATTTCGAAGCAGAATCAGAATCCGAGTCGCAGTCGGCAGTGTACACGTATGAATCGACCTTGCGCAACCCGGCAGAGCAGCGTCCTTCCTTCCAGCCACGGACACATGATGAGACTGTTGTTGTCCCATCGGTGCAAGAGTTCTTGCAGACACAATACGAAGTGCTGGAGAAACTCAAGGCCGAGGACGAAAAGGAACAGAGAAAGTCTCGACAAGAAAACCCGGCAGGTGGTGGATCTGGATCTTCGGGCGTCGTGGTTGAAGACAGGGTTTCCAACCCGACAATGGCAGAGCGTATCGGTCCGTACCAGATCAACGTCAACGGAATTGATTTTGACGCCGAAGAAGCCATGAGGAGGTTGAGAGAGCGCGAAAACATGCGCAACAGAATTGCCGCCTCCATGTCTGCCTCTGCCTCGTCCACAACGGCTTCATCTTCGGCGCCGGGACTAGAACGCTCAGCATCCGCTTCGGCCGGAGTCAGCACGCCCATGCGTCGTCAAGGTAGTGAAACTGCAGCAGCCGATGGAACACCACAACAGCAGAACCCACTTTCACAGATTACCTCGGGCAAACAGAGCAACGAGGCGGCAGCACAGTTCTTTGCCAATCTCATCAAGAAGACCGATAGGAGGGGCAACACGAGTGCCAGCGCGAGTCCGACCCGAGGCCCTGGCACCGCTAGTCCCGGTCCGCGTGGTGGTCATGGTTCTGCGGCAGGATCCGGCACTGGAACTGGGGGTGGTGCTGGTGCCGTAGCAGCTCAGGAGAAGAGGCATGACTCTTGAAAAGGTCGAGAAAGCTTGGTAGACGGCGATTCAGGAAGCAAGCCTCAAGGAATTCCATGTCGACGCCCCTGACATGTCCTCCGCTCGACAAGTGACACACATAATACCGGAGAATTGTATCCCCACAATTTTGCCAGCAGTGTACGACTAGGAGAGCGGAGACGTTGGTCCTTGTGTGTGCCATATTACAGGGGTCACGGTGTGCACATGTGTATATCGAGCCGAGCCGAACCTCTGCCAGAATCCCACTATTCGAATTCTTATTACATTGAATACTAGTACCCTACAGTTCTGCGTCCGCAAGGTTAAGGTACGCAAAGTCGAATTGGCAGTGGTAATTGAGGTACTACTGCAGCGACGCAAGTTGGTGTTGGCCTGCCTGGCATGTGTGCGTTCAAGCGTGGCGATTGTACTACTTGCCCACGGCCGTGGGTGCATGGATGGCTGAGACGGAAGTTATAGATGTAATGTATTTCTGTTCTATACATGTCCGTCCAGTCCGAATTCGAATTAAACCTGCTTCAGTTTCCTCTTCAGTTTAGTTATACTTCTAGATTCCTATCTGATTCTGATCTGATCACGTCTATCCTGTGATACCTATATACTATCTATCTAGCATCGGGATCTATTTCCTATCCTCGAGAGAAACTTAAAAGTGTGACAAAGATAGAAATCAAGTCCTAACGATCAACGACACCACCCTCCGGCGTCCACCCATCAATCCCCACCGGCGTGACAACTCGATCCTCAGGCACGGTCTCAATCAACCCATCTCTTAACTTGGTAACTTCTTGCTTCGTCAACCCACACTTCTGAACCAGATAGTTATCAATACCCCCAAACTCGCCATCCACCACGGTCCTGAGGAAAGCACGCATATTTCCAGCACGAGAGCCACAAATCAAAGCGGCCTGTTCTCTTGTAATTCCAGGCCTCTCAACTTTCGCACTACCCTCCGTCTGAATCTTAGGATGACCCGTCCCACCACCAGACCCCAACCCCGTCTGCGTCATCCGATCAATAAACTGGTTCCGCCACTCTCCCAGTCCCGGCTCCGTAAGCGCATACTCCCAACAAATCGTCTCCTCATCGACACCAACCAATTTCAACACGAGCGCAGCAAAGACACCCGTCCGATCCTTGCCGGCCGTACAATGGAACAAAAGCGGATCGTTTGGCTTTTCCAATAAATGGCGAAACATGGTCGCATAAGCACCCTTTGAGCCACCATGCGTCGCAATGTCGCGATACGCTTTGACAAAGCCCTCAGAGTATGCGAATCCGACTTCCTCGTCGTGCATGTGGACGGTCGTGTACCATTGGAGTTTGGTCGCGAGAGCTACAGGGCCATAGTCTTCAGTTTGGTAGACGGGCGTGAAGTGTCGGTTTAGGCCGGGAACGTTGTCGACGCATCCTGTTTCTGGGTCGGCGAGAGGGTATACGTCCTTGGGACTGTTGGCGACGGTGGTTGCGAGACGTGCGATTTCGGGCGCGGAGCGGAGATCGTACATGTCGTGGACATTGAGTGTGCGGGTCAAGTACTCGGCTCCTTTTGGGGTTAGATGGGTCGGATGGGCGCAGCGGAAGAGTATGCCGCGACGAAGGACGTAAGTTGAGTTGGAGGAGATGGTGGTGGTGGAGGAGGAGTCCACCTGGGATTTTGACGATGGTGGAAGACATCGATATCCACCTAGTTCGCGAAAGTTGGGAATTCCATCGACGTGCAAGAATGGTGGGCTGGGTAAGTTGTCGGGAAATGCGATGGCAAAGTTGCTGGGTTCGGGCGTTGCTTGTCGTTCGGCTCGTTTGAGCGCTTCTTGAGCTTCGACTTCGGCTTCGGTCAAGGGGCGGCCGTCTGGGTGGCAGCGCGGGTATTCTGTTGGACTTGGGACGGGTAGCTTGGGCGGTGATGCGAAGTCCAGCAATGGTGTGTCCGTGGCAGCAGTATTGGCATTTGGCTCCGAGCCGGAGGGATTGGGATTGGTGTCCGCCATTGAGATATAAGTTCTGGGACTGTGCTGGTGTCCTTTCGTGTCGTCTGACTCTTTCAATTGATTTTGGTCTCCAGTGAGCTAGACGTTCTGTATCAATGCCACTCCTTCTGCAGGACAGGCAGCTGTTCAACCCGGCGTGGCGTACAGAGAATGGAATGGACGCCTGGTAACAAGTTGAAGTTGACCGACTTCGCTTCCTCAATTGCGCAAATGCCACAATAGGTGTTGACAGGGATGCGGGATAACCTGAGAGCAGAGATACTTAATTCTGCAGGCGAATAGCCAGTGCAGTGTCAAGATACCTTGAGGCCTACTGCTAGTAAAGAAATACTAGTAGACGGAGAATCAAACCACTGTGTTAACAACAACTTGGACGTGAAGTGTACCACTGTAGTGGGATGTGGTGGGATGTGAGTCCTTTCTTGACAGTCACCTCGGCCTGACGAAGCCAACCGCCGAAAACCGCACACCATGTGGCGTGGGGGTGTGGCGTCTGTGGCGCAGTCATGGCTGGACTTGAAGCCTTTCGACCATCTTATCTTCTCGTACTCCAATCACAGCCGTCCATCCCACCACGTCTCAGCCTGGCCTGTATCAACCTGCACGAGGACGATATAAGGTATACAATTTGGATGTACTCCGTCTACACCGATACGGACATCAGTAGAGAGTCCGTCTGGCATCTTTTGCAATCTCGCATGCACGTCTCCTAGTTCGTCTCACCGTCGTACCACCATTTCCCCCCCTTGTCTTTCCGGTTGCTGATCTAGACAACGCACGAGTTCGATACTACTGCCGTGCCTTCAGGGGATGGATCGATCTTTGTGACTCGTCTCCGTAACCAACCATCCACGCTTCCCTTGTTTGTCTCCGTGCATGTGTCTGTTGGCAGAAGCGGTCTGATGCGGAGCAAAACCGGCCATCCCAAACATATCCGTATACACACCCCTTGAGACTCGGACTCTGATAAATCATATACACTTCCCTGCAGTCTTATTTTGTCAACTTTTACTGTCCAATCTCGTACCGATTGATTAACCTAATACCTTATCGTATCTGTGAGAGACATATACAATAACGCGATCAGCAAGCAGTCTACCTCCCTCTTTTTCTTCCTCGTCCGTAACCATCACCATCATGAATGCTCGACGCATTCTGAACAGAATACTCATTCACAAAAGCATCGCTTTCCGCCCCCATTTTTAAGACGCGGATCGAATCAAATCTCTGGACTCCTAGCGCTTCCGAGCACTTCGTAACGCGAACCAGAATCGACAGAACACACTCAACTGTAACAAAAAAGGGCCGTGCCAAACAGCCGCAACCTCGACGTAGCATACCCACGACAAGGAGCCTGAGCCCGACGCAGCAGACCAGCCTGACCTGGCTACATACCATCCATCGACCATCATCTATCATATCGAGACGTGCCATCACCCATGTCAAAGCGATGCTGAGGCAATCGTTTAACCGGCGGCGGAAGATGATCATGTTTTGCTTGGACCCTCATTTTCGCCGCCACGCGGTCGCAGTCATTCTTGGTGACATCGATGCCATTGGACAGTGTCGTCCCAATAACTTCAGGCGAGCAGCAATCAATGCTCTTGACCCAACGATCCTGAAGCGCATCGGCAATGGTGCACCGCTTGGTTGGGTCCGGATGCAGCATTTTAAGAATACATCTTCGATGAGCGTGAGACGGCAGAGCATTGAAAATAGGGCCACACTGAGGATACGTCGCCTCGTCGATGGGCAGGTCGTCGGCCCTGTCCAGAAAAGCTTCCCAACCTTCCATGAACAGCGAGTAATTCAGCTCCTTTTTGCTCGCGCTTTGCCACGGGTTGCCCACATGGAACATTGTCATGAACAAAATTCCACAACTCCAAACATCCAGCTTGGTCGGATCATATTCGGAATCTTGCGCCAGCACTTCGGGCGAAATGTATGGTTTGGATCCACAGATTCCCGGCGCCGATTTGCGAGGCTCCCTCATCCCCTGGCCACAAAGGCCTCGTGATGACGGTATGCCCGGGTGGTCGCCACAAAAGACTTCTGAGACGCCAAAGTCGGTGATCTTAATATGCCCCTCGTCGGTCATGAGCAGGTTTTCCGGCTTGATGTCTCGATGGGCAATGCCATGTTCATGCAAGTAATGCACCCCTCGAAGAACCTGTTTGAAAATGCAGTTGCGGTCCTCCGCCTTGAAGTATTTCCGCTCCAAAAGAGCAAACAGTTCGCCCTGCTGGCAGTATTCCATGACATGGTTCCAGCGGCCGTTGCTCGTGCACAGTCGAACCGTCTCCACAATATTGGGGTGATGCAGCGATCGAGCGATGGTGTATTCCGACTTGACTTTGCGGACGTACTCTTCTTCCGTCTCACGCGCCGACCTTTTGCGAAATTCTTTGACCGCATATTGCCGAGGGTACTCGGCCTTCTTGTCCGCTCTCCGCACCATTATCCTGACCGTCGAACTGGCACCCTTGCCTATCTCTTTTCGACGGCCAAACTTGGATGCCGACACGAATTCATCTTCCAGCGCACACACATCGTCCACCACAAAGTCATCGAGCGGGCTCGCACTCAAGCGCCGAGACTTCAGTCCTGATCCTTCCTGCGCCGGCACCGAGAAAAGCGAAGACCGAGCAGGTTGGTTGTAGATGCTGCCATAACTTCCTGTGCGATGGACCCCCGCCGAAGGTCGAGGACTTGAAGGCGAGAGATACTTATTGTTCTCTTTATGCGACTTGATCTTGGACAGGAGACTAAACCCGCTGGAGGTTCGTGTCGGCGGCGCTGGCGGACTCGAGGTCATTACTGACATGACGGTGGACTAGGTATCCAGCCGCCAATAGAGCAAACTGTAAAGTAAAATGTCCAGTTCATTCCAAGAGAGAAAATTGCAGAGGTTCCAAGACGGCAATCAGTTGCAGAAGTGATATGAACGTGGGGTTTTTGGAGGGGATACTGTAAGATCGGTCTTTTTGGTTTGCAATGGTTGGGGCAAATGCGGCGGTTGATGAGATTGCGACCGGCTAACCGGCGACCCGGCACAAAAACAGGTACCAGCGTCACTCTCTGAAGTCAATGCTTTCCTGACTTGAATTGTGGGGCGCGGGAAACGAGACACAGGTACCAACCGAGCTCGAGACGCGGGATGATGCGAGCAATGCAACAGTATCGGCGTCGCAGGGTCCTGGCAAACGGAGTTCGTCGCAAAAGATAGTTAGAGTTTCAATGGCGGGTTCAGCCAGTGACGAATAACCGGGCAGAAAAGCGGTAAGTGTCAGAATGACTGATGGACGGACAAGCGGGTCGGTCGGCAACCTAACTTTGAAGATCAAGGTTGACGACGACACTGCTTGTCTGTGCTTGATCACTGAACCTTGTTCCCTCGTGGCTCGGTCGCGTTATACGACTAATGACCGACTTCTTGACTGCCAATGCTGACCTTCCCTTCCCTGCTCTTGCTCGATGGATTCGTCGTATTGGTTTGAACTAGCTATACACCTTGTATAGTTTCCTAGCGAGGTACAGTATACTCACGATACCCCAATCGGTGCTTGAACAAACAGTTCATAGGTTGGTCGACTGAAGAAATCCCGAGATATTGACTCGGAAATATAGGTAAGTTTTAGGGTTCTGCGGCTCCCTGACAATCTTGGGTTCAAATTGTTCGAGTGGCCAGGATCTACGGTCAAGGGGTGGAAACCGCACAGCCAGCGAAACGTTGCTAGTACCTAAGGTAGGTCAGCATGGAAGAAGATATGGAATGGAGCTGGAGGAGAAGCAAAGCAATACAGCCGTTTTATCATCGGATAACCCAAAGACGTTACTATGCTCGGACTATCGTACCGTTATAACCAGCTGGAAAAAAGGTCCCGTCTCTGCACTGTGTGGCTGTAGGGGTCAACGCCTCGTCTGCCACCGCAGTGCCGGACTCACACGCGCGCTGGCAGGATGGAGCGGAGCGTGAGACACCACCGCAGTGGCCGGTACAGATCCTCGAAGCAGTTAAGCAGGGCGGATGGATAGCCGGCCGGATCGGTGCAACAGGGTTCATACGCTGTATGTGAGGCTGGCTGACGTGTTGGGTCATCGGACAAATTGAACGTGCGAGTTATATGAATGTGGTCGAGCTTGAGCTTGAGCTTGAGATCGAGGTTGTATTGTGGTTGTGGTTGTGGTACCTGCTGACCGCAGTGACGGATTCGAAGTGCCTCAGGCTTGAACCCGGTTCGGTTGCAGTCCCGCGTTAAGCGACTGCACCGACTTTTGCATTAGGGAGACTCAGAGGCTGGAAAGCAGCTTCGAGTTATGAAACCAACAAAGACCAATTAATGAAAATGAAAAAATACTACTACGACTACTGCTGGGGACGAGGAGAGGTGAATTAGAGATACTATCGATGCATAAAAGATGCGCTGCACACCCTCCATCCCACAGGCCACTACACTGATCCTGACCGGCCAGGGTTGATGAGCTTGCACCCCAGGCTAAAGGGATTCACATCGGGGCAAGCGGCACCACTGCATTGATTAACTTCAAGTTCTCACCGGTCTAGCATCACTCACTGCAATGTTATCTGCCTCAAGTTCAGGGTGCTAGAATATCCATTCATGTTCAGCTCCCAAAGGCACTGTACAAAACAGACCCCAGATCCTCCAGGCCGAGGAAAAAGAATAATGCAGTGGTAGTACTGTACATGCACATATGCAGACCCAACCATCCCAGACTGCAGTGATCATGAATCAAGAGGCCATAGGCTGGTCAGGGTCAGGGTCACACTGCAGTGCGCGATTTAAATGCTTGTTCAAGTTCGATGGCTGGCGCGGTGAATTGTGAATGAGATGAGATTCCTTCCTGGCCTGCCACAGGCTGCAGTGACATCGCGGTGTCATCGATTGATTATTGATTGTCTGCCCCGCCTCCGCGAAAGCTGCGCGGCCCCTGTAACCAACTGCATCTGCGGCTGCGTCTGCGCCCGCAACTTTGAGCTTCCGCCGCCCCCGAATCATCCCCGGCCTCTATACGCACCTGCAACACCGTGACCTGTTCACCTGTTATTTGGCGTGTTCAGTTACCTACTGCTACCCTGCAGTGCAGTGCCTGACACCGCCAGCTGTACAGGGCCACTGCAGCAGCCGCATTCAAACTGGAAGAACCATCCAATCTCTACATACCACCCGCTCTCTTTCTGCATCTGCTGTTCGAGGTACTACTAGTAGTATGCACTTGATATGTACCCCACGCTTGTCTCCTCTTAAGCTCCCGCCCCCCCTGCTGTGTAACCTGAAAATATGCATCGGGTCACCGGCTCCTCAGGCACAGACGAATCAGCCGCGAGGCGTCAAGGGAAAAGGAGACTTGAACCTGGGCAACAAGCTCTGGACTGAACAATTACCAGTTTCTATCAAGAGTTGAAGTTGCTCGCTCAAAAGAAATCTTTGGTCCATGGAGACCGCGCTGATTAGAATGTTGCTACTCTACTGCTCCAGATCCACCATCCCTTCAAGCGGGAGAATCAAGCATCTAACAAACAACCCTGAATGCTTCACCGCCTGTGTTGTGGCAGCCTCACCTTCAGTAAGCCGACGCCGACCTGAGACGAATGAACACGAGTCTGTCTCACTTTTATCCATGCCTGCATGACACCGCAAGAACAAAGACACCGCTCGGTCGGCTGATGTCATCGATTTTATGCCTCTTGGTGGCCGTGGCCGTTGAGGTCATCCACTGACTGGCTCTGTTCTCGTTGCATCCGGGCCTCGATCTCCCGGAGTTGGCTCTCCCGCGCCAGCAGTTCTTGTCGCTTCTCATTGATCTCTCTCTGCACCTTGACTTCGATTTCGCGTAGTTTCTCCTCTTCACGTCGCAGTTGTTCTTCCTTCAGGCGCACCGACTGGCTGGCCAGGTCTTCGGGGTTGATCGACGAGTCTTGACCCCTGTTGCACAATTGTTAGTCTCTGTCACAGTATATCAAGGTTGCAGGAATCATACGAGAGGCCTCCATCCACACTCTTGCTGAGTTTCTCCGTACGGTAGTTCTCATACAGGAAGTCGTGGGTGATTTCCTTGAGGTCGGCAAGGTGGGAATGCAAAAGAGCGCTGCGAATGGCCAGGAAGTCCGAGTGACGAGGGTTATCCACTTCAACCACACCCCAAGGGTATTGTCGTGCTCGAACACGTCGACCCCCAATCTCAAGCACATCTTCTGATCCAACAATGGCAAAAGGCATCAGTCCACGAAGCTCCGCATTCTCCTCGACAGTGTCTTCGTCATCCTCCTCGATGTCGTAGGGAAAGTTGTAGACAGGGATTCTGTAATGCTCAATATCCTCCATGACCAATTTCTTCGACTCGGCCAATTCGGCAGGGGTCAGGGAATCGGCCTTGCCAATAACGGGGATGACATTAACACGTGGAGACAAACGCTTCATCAGTTCGATGTCGAGTTCGCGAAGTCCATGGCCGGTGGGTGTGATGAAATAAAGCAGGGCATGCACACGGTTGTCGCGGAATCGAGGGTTACGCTTGATACGAGACTCTTCGGCGAGAATGTCGTCGTACTGTCTCTCGAGGTAGCCAACGATTTCGCCAAAAGAGGCTTCATTGTCGATCTGATCTCCGAAGCCAGGCGTGTCCACGATGGTCAATGAGACACGAGTACCTTCTTCGTCCAACTCCAGCTCTGCCAAACGCTGTCAGACCACAATTACACTAGGACAGTATGTATTATCATCCACCTACCAACTGTCACCGGCTTGATCCGAACACCTTCTTCCAGGTGGGCATTGGCTGCATCGTCGGCATCCTTGGGTTGAAGGACTCGCTTGCCGCAGAGGGTGTTGACGAATGTAGTCCGGCCTTGAAGTGGTCAGTACATTTCCGATCAAGCGTAGAGAGGATGATCCATCGTACCGGTTCCGCTGGCACCGCACACCATGAGACAGAACTGGATGCCCTTCTTCACATTCTTCTTTCTCCGGATCTGCACATCGGACAATCGCATGTTATTAGTAGAGAACATGACGGCAAGGAATAGTATAATTGTGGAGGAGGGCGGCAGAGGTGGTGCGAATCCTGACGGTGCTGCTGTTTGCGGGTGCGGATAGGAGCGAGACAGTGCATACCGGATTCATTGGTGAAGACATCTCGACAAGTGGCAGGATTAGGATAACAGTGCTGAGGAAGAGGGCGCCGTGGCTGACAACTGCGGCTTGAAATGGAATAACAGACAGGGGAAACCAGCGCGTTGGTTGACACGTTGAAGCTGGCAAGACAGACGGAAGATGATGGTGGTTGTCGACAGACTGACAGACTGCGCTGGGCCAAAAAATTAGGGGTAAATGGCTTTGTTAGCAGTTCAACGTGTCGTTGCGGATCAGAAGTCGAACTACTTACAATTTGGACTAGCGCGAGGTGCGGCTACTCTGGGGTCGCGCTTGCCCCTTTCTGACCACTCCGCCAGCCTTGCAAATGCTCGACAGTACAACAGTAACAGTAATCACGCAGGCAGTATAAACGACGTCAACTGCGCCAAATCACCAATAACGGCTTGACTGGCACATACAGTCTGTGTACAGACAACTACAAACAGGCCTGTGACAAGGTTCATGCCGCACCTAGAAGCCCCTAGGTATCTCTTGTCCTGATCTCCGTTCGCAAGAACTACTGCACAACTTGAACGCTATAGTGCTGCTTCAAGGCCCTAAAGGCAGGTACCTACCCGCAAGGTAGGTGCAATCGTCTCATATTGACCGTCGCAACAATCTGCAGCCCTCGCCTTTGAGGCAACTCAATCTCCTCTGCTTCCGCCGTCATGTCTTTTCGGCGACCGGGGAATTCGAGGCGACAACAGTCCGTCGAATTTCCGAGATACCCTCCCATGTCCTCCACCACGCAAACACAGACGCAGACACAGCAGCAACAGCAGCAACAGCCTCAACCCACTCCTCCGCCTACATCTGCTCCCGCCGATTCAACATCGTTATCATCGACGCAACCGGCTGTGCAAGGCTCAGACTACGAATCAGACAATCAAGGATATCAATCCGACTATCCGACTCACCCTCCTCCTCCCAACCGCACCAATGAAGAGCTGAATCTATCCGTACTCAAGCGCATCAATCCTGCCATCACTTCCATATTATCAATCGCACCATACGCCGTCGTCTACGAATTCTCTCCGATGCCACAGCCGGAATGGACCAAAACAGGAATAGAAGGCTCGTTGTTCATCTGCGAGCTTTCGCCCGGATCATACGGGGAAGACCGATATTGCGCCATTGTCCTCAACAGGAGAGGCTTGGACAATTTTCAAGCAGAGTTGAGAGAAGGAGAGAATGCCGGGGTGGAAATCACAGGGGAATATGTGATCATCAGTTTCAAGGAGGGCGATGAGCAGAAGATCTACGGGGTATATATTTTCCATGATGTACCCGGATCATCTACAGAACACGCGCAAAAGTTGAACGGCGACTTGATGAAGTCGTTGGCAGACCATGCCGGAGCAAGTCGCCAAGCCGCCGAGGCCGCCGCATCCACGGCGGTTGCGCAACACACCAACGGAGGAATACAACAGGCGGAACAAACATTACAAAACCATCAAGCTAGTGCCCCTATGCCTGGGCAGCCAATTAGTCTCCAACAGCTGTTTGGGCAGCAACGAGCGGCTGATGCTGGATGGAGTGTGAGGACACATAACTTCGACGGCGCGAGTCAACAGCAACATCATACCATGGCAGGCATGGTTCCTCAGGAAGCTTCCTCTCAGAAGCCTGATGTTCTGGGCGAGCTTTTCAGGAGGGCTGGTCTGGCTCAAAGGTAGACAACCCGTCCATAGCATGGCAACAGGAATACCACTGTCATTGCTGGAATATCATTCGCAGAATTACTTTCAGTCACTGGATTCTAGATATGATGGAAATGGGACTAGGGGTCCGGTCATACACAGTTATTAGTACTGTCTAGTAGTACCTCCCTAATCCAACCCGAAACTCGCCGAGCCACGAACTCGCTCTGATCCAAACACCAGGCATGGACAAGTCCATCTGTCTCACATATCTTTGTCATTGGCGCTTGATTTGGTTCGTCGTGCTGTTTAAATTGCACCTCCTCTTCCCTAGCAGTGGCTGTGGCATTGCCGTAGTCGTGGTCGTGGTCGTAGTCGTTAATGCCGGGTATATTGAAACGGAAACAATCTTTCTCAACCACTCCGCCGCCAAGTTTGATCTTTTGAATCTCCTGTTTCGTCAGGTCTGCGACCCAGTGATCTGATTTGGCGAACCAGAAGTAGAGCCTCGGACTCGCACTACTTTTGGTCAAGGACTGGTTGGATGTGGACGTGGACGTGGATGTAGATGTGGAGGGAGATGCTGTTGCTGCTGTCGCGGCTGCTGCACCCCAAACCTCTTCTCCCCATTTATCCCCTCTAATTTCCCTCATCTCATCGCCCGCCATATACAGCGCCTGTTTGACTCCCATGGGACATTTTGTCAAAAAAGCCACCGTCGTTTCTAGGCCGTGAGAGTTTTGTTTTTGGTTGGTGACTTTTTGGATTAGCCATGACAGCGCTTTGCGAGGGAGGAGTGATGTTTGGAGATGGACGAGAATCTGGGCTAGATTGGGTATTGAGAGATAGGATGTGGTGAGTAAAGGTGTGGTGAGGCGGCCGGAAGGGGATTCGTGGATGTTGATGATTGTGGGGGTGAGGAGGATGCAGGCGATGGGTGTCCAAGGTAGCACTTTGCTGATGGTGCTGGTGTTGTCGTTAAGGGTTGAAGCGGTGGTCGTGGGTACGGTGGTTGCATGTTCGTGGCCCTGGTCGCGGTCGTGGTCGTGGTCGTGGGTTTGCGTCTGGATGGTAGTATGTGAGTGTCGAAGTCGTTCATTCCATAACCTCACAATCTCCAATGCGATATATGCACCCACACTGTGACCCATGAGGATGACATTGACATTGGCATTGCCAGAAGAAGAATTGTCTTTGTCTTCGAGACGACTTGTATAACTTGAAGCGTCTTCTTCGTTTCTAGAACCGAGGGAGGCGATGGTGCTGAGAGAGCTGACCAGTTTCTCCACGCGCGCATAACTCAATTCGATTTGATCCCGGAGGGAGTAAAGTCTTTGTCTTTGTTCACTGCAGTTCGGCTTTCTCGTCGCGGGTTCTGGCCAGGAGTACACTTGCTCGTTGGAGGAGGACGAAGAAGGATACATCAGTTCTCGAAGCCACGCATCTTGATCTTGACTCTCTTCGTCATTCTCATTCTCATTTCCATCTCCATGTCCATCTCCATGTCCATCTCCATCACTTCCCGAACCTCCTTGTGCTTGTCCCGAACCGGACTCGACTTCGAATCCTCCCAAGCTGAATCCAGCTACCACCACTGGACCGCGACCGCGACCGTGGCCGTGACTGTGTCGGCCCTTCTGGTCATCCAAGTCCAAGTTCAAATTCTCAACGATCCCCGACAAAAACGGTCGATAGTACCCTATCAACCCTGGATTTCCGGTGATGAAGAACACCAATGTCAATGTCCACTCTCGTTGTCGGGTCTCACCGTCCAAATTGTCGTATTCGCTTCCATTTCTATGTCTTGTAGAGCTGTGGTCGTCGTCATGGCCGTCATCATTGCGGTCTTCGTGTCCTCTCTTCCCCTCGGTCAAGCAAGGCGGGATATGGAGGAAGACGTTCTCGGAAATATATGATCCCAATTTCATCGCTAATCCACGTCGGAATATCCACTGCCACCACCAGATTGAGCAGTCGAAGAGGTTTATCAATGAGTCGTTGCCAGATATAATAAAATACTCGTCCACTTCCTCTCGCAAGTACAGTACAAGTACTAGAAGTAGTGGTACCTTTAGTTGTTGGGTTTGGCGGTGATGGCGATGTAAAATAGTATCGCTTGTTCTTTTGGTCCAGGTCAGTTTCAAATCCGTTGTTGGTTGGTTGCTGGATTCTTGAAGGACATGGAGAGCAAAATAATTGATATCTTGTACTGTACCATATATTCAATTTATTGTGGGACCAACCACCGGACTGCGTTGACCAAGAAGATCTAAAGTATCCAAACGGACGACCCTACCAAGGAATATAAACCGGATTGTACCCAATGAGTACAAGAAACTTCATCACATCACACTTTTGACATGACCACCATCGGCTACGTGGCACGACATTAGCAAAAGTGGTCCCGTTCTGACGAACACTGTACACTTGTTCAAGAAATCATGACTACTACTACCAGTCTCATAGACCTCGAGTGTTTATTTATACTCCCGAGTTTCCATCCCATTCAATCTCTACAATACCACAATCGTAGCTACTATCACACCGCCTACGAAAGACACGAAAACGTAGAGAAACCTAACTTATCCTTTCTATCCATTGATTACTGTATTCTCACAATTCGCAGTCTGAATGCAAAGCTCCACGTCTATCTGCTGTACAAAACTTTTGGCTCTGGCTACTCCATCTCTCACTGCATGCTTCAGTTGGGCATCATTGATTTTCTTGATCATGTTCGTCACCGTGAACCATCATAACCGTCATCAATCCATTCGCCTTTTTGACCGGTTGCCCTTTCGCCTGAAAAGAAACCCACGCCCATGCAATAAAGTGCGCCGCCGCCATGCTGTGCCATGCTCCCTGCGAGAGAAGAAAAAAAGTAATCCTGACAACCCCATTTCGATGCTGGTAGAAAAAGTAAGGCTGAACTCGTACAGAAGGGGTATCTCTTGGTGCAAAAAAAAGCAATCCCAGCCGCCGATCAAAAAAAAACCTATGATCATACATGACAGAAAAAAGAAAAAAAAGGAAACCTTCAGCGCCTCTTGTGCAAAAGCCGGCCATTAGAACTGTGCAATCCACTCCATGTGCATCTGATCCACAGGTGACAGAACTCGTGGAAAACTCGACCCCTCGTCAAAACAGCATGCTCTTCTGAATCACTCCACTGGTTGTCCGTCCTGTTCGGTGTGCGGGCAATCATTCCATCTCAATGTCAGGATCTGCACTAGTGGCCCGACGAGTGTTCGGAGGCTGCTGGGGAAAATCCTGAAAAGTGTCATCATAGGCCATGCGCGCATTTGCAGCCGAAGGAGCCTGTTGATTAACAGCACGTGGCAGGTCGAAATCTGCTCTGGTGAACGGAGGTGGTGGGAAGCTGGATAGTGGCAGGTTGCCCATAGGAGTCGCAATGGTTTGTTCAGTAGAGTATGCCGGGTTAGGCCAATACTGCATAGTGTTCATGGCACCTGCAACCGGTGGGCCATACTGCATAGGAGCACTCGGATTCCAGAATTGGTTTGCTGCGGCAAGACGCTGCTGCACTGCATACACATCGGCCATGTGGGCTTCATGCCGGGCTTGATTCTCGGCTTGAAGCTGCGCTCGATAATCTGCTTGAGCCTTAAGCTGCTTGGCCTGCCACGCCACCGGATCCTCGCGCATTAGACGTTGATCACGATACTCCTCTTCGGCTTCATTCCGCTCTTCCTCGTTGAGTTCCTCGTCATCCTCCTTCTGGAAGGTCTCCGTTAGCACGATGCTTCGAACGCAGTCTATGCGCTCAATGACTACATCAAGAACTTTGGGGTCTTTTCCCAAACACTCAGCAAAGTCCAGCTTGGGTACATCTTTGACCGGAAACAAGTAAGCCATTCGTGACTTTGTCGCTTGTCGCTTGGGGTTCTTTTTGTCAACCACGCGTCCAAAAAGTTGGGTCTTGAATACGGCCTTGTTGAAGAGTATGTCTTCATAAGTGCCCCCGGACTGAAAGCGATAGACATATACCGGCGCCGTCTGGCCAAGACGAAACGCCCGGCCAATGGCTTGTTCCTCCCATGACGGGTTGAAGCTAAAGTCAAAGATAATGACACGATTGGCGCCTTGTAGATTGAGTCCGAGACCACCCGCTTTCATAGAGATGAGAAAGACCTGCGAGTCATCCTTCTTGTTGAACGCTTTGGTCGAATTTTGGCGCTTCGAGACAGCAGTCGAGCCATCCAGTCGGAAATATGGATACTGCATGTCATTCAGCATCCTCTCGAGATAGTTCAATGTCGGGAGGCTGTGAGTGAAGAGCAGGGTCTTGTCACCGTTTGCGTTTGCTTCTTTCAAGATCTGCTGGACAACATAGGTCCGATAGGAAAGTGATGGGTCGTCTATCAGTCCGGGCTTGTCCACCTCCTCCAAGATCTCGAATACCTCACGCATCGCCACAGCCAGAGGGCCTTCGGTGTCGAGCTGAGTGTCCTCCTTCAGGGTTTCTGGAGGTGCAGCGATGTCCTCTTGCGTTGCTGGTGCTGCGGCAGCGGCAGCGGCGTCGCCACCTTCATCAGTAGATGTAGTCAAGTCCCGACTGTCTGCCTTCTGCTTTTCAAGGCGCTCTTCTTTTTGCTTTTCGATCAGATGTCCTTTTTGCTTTTCAATCCTCTCTTTGAGTTTCACGAGAAAGCAGGACGGATGATGACAGAGCCATGACAACATCGAAATCCAGTCCCAGATGGTAGCGTTCAGCGTTCTTGAGTTGTGTAGGCGATAAGTCTCCAGCATGTATTTGACATAAATGTTGTAAACTCGCGTCTGCAACTCGGTAAGTGGAACGGTAATGAAGAACTCGGTCTTGGTGGGCATGTCTTTCGCGATGGCCGAGATGTCAGCTCGATCGATCTTAGGATCCAGATCACGCTTGAGGACGTGCAGTTTGCGGAGACACAATCGTCGCTCAAAGGGCGTGCTGTCGCTGTACAGCCCTTCGTTGATAGGTTCCGAGTACTTGGAACGGAAGTTCACAATGGTACCAAGGTAGCCAGGAGCAATCCAATCAACCATAGTAAAGTATTCTTCCAGATGATTGTTGAGAGGCGATCCGGTCAATGCAATACGGCTCGTTGTCTTGAAGCGTTTCGCCAGTGAGTTCAAGATCGAGCCCGGGTTCTTCAGTTTGTGGGCCTCGTCTGCAACAACTAGGGTAGGGTATTCTAACAGGATCTTTTCCACATCAATCGAGGGTGCGTTTCCTTTTGCCTTTTGCGTCGTCATGGTCGTAATCATTCTTCGAAATCTCTCGTAGCTCGTAACCAAGACTCCACCATTCTTGGACCACTGCCTAAGTGTCCATGGGTCTGATGAGTGGAGATGATGGACCCTCCCGAGAATATCGGGGTTGTCGCGAGGCGTCCACAAGGCCAGCTCGTCAAGCCAATTCTCAACCAAAGACGCAGGGCATAAAACCAGAGTTCTGCTTGTCCGAAGCGGAGCTGGGATGAGATCCCGAACTTTCGGATCACTGTCCTGGCTACACAGGGATATAGTGACAAGGAGAGAGATGACTTGCATCGTCTTTCCAAGTCCCATAGTATGTGCCAGGATACAACCTTGATGTTTTGGATCCTCGATAATCTCACGCCACATGAATTGAATCCCGGCGAGCTGATGTGGCTTGATGCGCTTGGAGATCTCAGGGTGGAGGTAGATGTACGGCTCCGTGGTGTTGACCGGTTGCCTATAATCTCCTGCTTGCGACATTTGCGCGAGCTTCTTGGCCATTTGTTGTCGTCGTCGCTCCTGCTCTTGGATTCGGATCTGGTCACTCTGCTGCATATCAAGAGCCTTCCGACTATCGTGGACCTTGCGCTTGCGCTTTTTGTGTGATGATGGCGGAGCGTCACGATCCAAAGGGTCGCTTGATATATCTTCAAGCCCGTTGTCTTCCACTATCTCCACATCTGAAGAGGCGCCAGCTCTCTTTCTCTTCTTTGTGTCCCCCGCTTTAGTTGCGGGAAGATCATCAAAGGACTGAATAACTTGACGCAGGAGAGCGTAGAAAGGATCAACCGCTGATTCCATATTCTCGAAGGCACGATCTCGGTGCGCCTGTGAATGTGCAGACTTTTCCAGCATGTTTTGACCATGAACATATGTCATGTACAATAAGACCACGAGTTGTGCGCAGCGTTGGTCTTTGTCATTGACGCCTTTGATGCTGCCGTCCTCTTCGCTTAATGCTAACAGGCCGTCGAAAATCACATTTCGACGCTTGCTGAATTGGCGTCGGTTTGCAACAAACGTGGATAGACGATGGAAAGTCTCTGGTTGGAGCTCGTAAACAGCTTTCGCCAGCGCTCTGCGGCGATCAGAGACAGCGTTAATCGTTGACCATTTTGTATCCTTTATGCCCTGTACGTCCTCGACCTCAGGCAGTCCAGAATGGTGTGGAGAAGAATGACATGCAGGATCTGCCGAGGACAGCGACACGATGCTGGAAGTTCTAAATTGCTGCTTCTTCGGAGTCTGTGGATGGGTTGGGTTAAGCTCAGGCGTAAGAACTTCAAAGTCGGTGCTAGGTTCACGAGAGGCCATCCGCTGCATGGAAGGAGTATCTGAAAAGGTTAGGTCGACCGGCTCTGCTTGGGTTCGGCCTTGTTCACGATAGCCAGTCTTTGGAAGCCGTGGGGAACGGTCCAGATCAGAATCTCCAGAGGGCAAGTCGACTTCATGAGGTGGTGGCTTGGATGCGCTCTGCTCGGTCTGCTCGGTCTTGACGTCCCCAAAGTTGCGCCGACGCATAGGGGTTACAATGTCGTCCTCAGTCATGTCAGTGTCAATATCCGCATCCGTACCAGCTCCCGGCGCATCGACCAAGATGCTGATATCATCCTCTTCTTCGGTCTTCATAACTGAGGTGGAAGTGGTGGAACCTGCGTTCTGTTTGGTCGTATCACGGCGGATAACAGGGATCATTGGATTCCAGTCTGGATCAGCTTCGTGATGAATAGAACCTAAATCGGTAGAGTCTTCCGCGACAATGGCATCGGATTCTTCCATGCCAAGCTCGGACTCAGATTCCAGATCCTCCTCGCCCTCTTCCAGTTGCACTTGTTTCCGGACACGTGCCTTTTGCAGGGAAGCTGTGCTGGGACGTTCGGGTGCTGTATCTCTGAGAAGGACTGTTTTGCAGTATTCGAACTCTTCGAGTGAGAATAGGGCAACTTCGATACACTCACACGTCTTTTTGACTTCACTAACGGAGTGCCAGATATTGTCGATCAAGGCCTTCTTGATCTTGTTCTTCAACCTCTCGGAGCGTGCTATCTCGCCGTTGACGTATGCAAGTTCTGCTTGTCTATTTCTCTTTCTCGCAGCTTGCATCCAAAGTCGATACGCCTTTAGCTGGACCTTTGGCATCTTCGTATTCCGCCACTCTTGTTTCATTTCTTCAATGGTCTCGTCGATGGTGGATTCCACTTCGGAGCGGCTTAAAGCAGTTGGCTGAGGCGGCTTCTCTTTTTCCTCGGCCATGGCTGCGTTGTACGTTTCGTCATCGACCTCGGCGCCTTCAGAGTCAGAGTCACCATAATCAAGTTCTAGTCGTTCGTCCGAGGGTGGGTACTTCGCCAGTATGTCATCCGGCAGCCAGTCCGGTGCATCCTCCAATGTTATGGCAGCAGGGTTCAGTTCGCTCGCATCTCCCTCGGCGACACCAAACGTACCAGCAATCTCCTTCACTTCCGGCACATCTTCCACGCGTTGAACCGTGGGGTGTCCACCCCGCGGCGGAAACATGGTGAAGTATTGCTTGGAAACTGCAGCCTTGAGGCGCCGGCCGCTGAAAGGAAGCTTGATGAGATTCCCACTGTGAGGAAGTCTGACCGCAGGCTGACGGAGGAAGTAATTCATGAGCTGCGCCATTATTCGTGACCGACCGGCGGGAGCCTTGGCGATTATGACGAAATGATCCGGATCCGCGTCGTCAACAACGGGAACACGGTAGAACTCGTCGCTAATCTGCGGTACGATTTTTTGATAGAATACATCCTGGATAGGCGCAGCGGCTGGCGAGAGATACGAGTTGCCAGAGACCCCGTCTGCGTCTGCGACATCAGTCTGTGTTTGTAGAACCTTGGTGGGCACGACTTTCTTCTTTCCTCGGGCCATGTCGACCTCTTGCTTTGACCTCTCCAAGGAGAGACGTGCAAAAGAATCAAGTGCGCGGCTCTGCAATGAAGCGTCTGGCTCGACTTTGATACGGGTAAAGGTTGGTTCAATGGACGGAAGAACGAAGGGTGACTGAGAGCGATTTGATGGTTGAGTGAAGAGTGACTGAGCCCGATCTGATCTAGCGTTGCTCTTTTGGGTGGGCGGTCCCATTAGCGCCAGCTGGTTATTATCACTGCGAGGGGAATGAGGGATTGTGAATTGCTTTGTCTTGGAGGTAGGGCGGGTCCCCGATCCTGAAAATGCACCCTGCGGGACAACCGAGGTTCGAGGCCGAGAGATCTGTGGACTCGCGCGATTGGGAGGCGCAGACTGCAAGTTTGTGAGTTTGTTTTGCGACTGCTGGTAGGTTGCTGAGTGAGCACGAAAGTATTCGATCGCTTTGAAAATGGCTCTCCTCTGACCGAATGACGCAATCTCCAAGTCTTCCTTAAGTGCGGCAAGATCTAGTGCAAGTAGATTATCCCCATTGACATGGTTGCGCCGCAAGGTGCCTTCGAGGAGATGTCGGTCTGGAATCAGTTCAGGCCGATCTGCAGAGGACCATAGAGGGGTTGGATTGTGGCAAAGTTCATTGACCACGCGATCGATGGACCAACAGCAGGGGTCATTGTCAGCCTCACTTGAGGTTGACATGGCCATCGGCACATCCATTGTAGCTTGAAGCGCAGCCTGGCGCAGACAAGGGTAGGACAGTGGAAGGATAGCGCGACAGAGTTGCAGTCATTCAAAAGACGCGCGACGATGCTAATGATGATAGAAGGAAAGTCGCAGGAGGAAAAGACAGGGCATAGCCACCAAAGTCGGCCATGAGCACTTGAAGAGAAATGCGGCAGAGGCACAGTTGAAGCAATGCGACGACCAGACAAGAGTCTAAGACAGGAAAAGTAGAAAGTACCACCTAGTACGCGCCTTAGCCAGGACAGGTGGTGGTCGGTTGGCAGAAGTCCGCATGGTAGAGAGAAAGCGACAAGAGACGGCCTCCTCTAAAGTTGTTATGAACGAACTTTGACGCGGTGCAGTGAAGGATTTGGTTTGGCTGTAACGAATGTAGATATGAAGCCCTCCCACGTAAAATGTTTGAAGTCGTTTAAACATACTATTCTGCTGACTAAGGCAGGTGCAGGCGCAGGCGCGTAAAGTACTGCACATAGTTCAAGTAGGTTTGCCGAGCACTAGAATCTGCACACTAGAACTAGTGGCGTCTAAATTTGAAAGTGAGGACAGCCACTGACTAAGCAAGATGTGATCACGTTATTGCTCGTTCCTCACATACAATAGTGATAATGTTGTACTCCAGTCAAGTGCACAACGTTATAGGACTGTCAGTGTGTACTAGTAGCGGTTACACCATCGCAATCTGTATCACACTCCACCGGCCGCTGTTTGAGGAACAAGCACATCTACGCCATTTCGGGGTGTTCCGGGGTTTGAGTGGAATAGCCGACGCCTGCTATGACCCGAATCTGCTCCACAACTTCTGCTGGCATCAGACCACCCGTGACCCCGACTACACAGGCACAACTACCCGGGTATACAACTACTGACATCGTTTGAGCTTCTCAAAGTTGCTTCCGTGCCATCCCTACCCTCAATCACCGAAAGAATTAAACTTAGCTGCACGCTTGGCCTAGCAAAGTCAGCAGCGAAAGCAATGGCGCAGCAAATCTACAGTACATATCCGCCGGCATTGACCGCCGAGCAGGAGGAATACCTCGTGCAAACGGTCAAGGATTGGTCCATCGAGCATGCTCTGGCCGTTCGACCGTCCACCGCCGTAGTCCCTGAAGGGGCCAACCCGAACAATGTACTGGCTACCAATGCGCCGGTCACACTGTTTCCCAGTCCCTTTCCCAAGTCGTGCTTCGAACAAGCCAAGCATTTGCAGCAGGTTTACAATGAGCTGTACGCCGCTATCACCAGCGACGAGCAATGGCTGGAAGGAGTCATGAAAGAGTATGTATCTTTTCCCCGGTCTTGGTGTCCCAAACCCCTTGAACCCCCAAAGTTCCAAAACACGAGATGCCCTTCCAGCCGCCCAAGCTAGCAAGTGATGTACCCGACCTGACCTCGAGGGCTTGTGGCGTGTTCAATGACACTCCTTCCCTTCCACCCCAGGTCAATGACGATTACTAACCTCCAACTCCGTCTTTCTTCAGATTGATCCAAGTAGACGACTTCCTCGCCAACCTATGGAAGATCCATCTTGCCGTCAAAGAAGAAGGCTACGTGCAGGACCTATCCCTCGGCATGTTCCGATCAGACTACATGCTTCACACCACCGACCCTAACTCCGCCCCGACCCTCAAACAAGTCGAGTTCAACACGATCTCCTCCTCCTTCGGCGGACTAGCATGCAAAGTCGCCGAACTTCACAACCACCTAGCGACCTACCCGTCACCATCCCATCCGGTCGCCTACCCTCCCCACCCACTATTCGGGAACTCAGCGGACCCCAAGACCGCCTCGTCAGTCCGATCAACGGGCCATCCACCACCGAACCACGCAATCTTCGCATTAACCGCCGGTCTGGCCGCAGCTCACGAAGCCTACGGTCCCGTCAAATCCAAATCGACCCCACCACTCCCAACCTGCATCCTATTCCTAGTCCAAGACGACGAACGCAACGTCTTCGACCAACTAGCTCTCTCAACCCACCTATTCAAAGAGCACAAGATCCCATCGTTCCGACTCCCCGTCAGCCAAATTTTGGCAAGAACATCCATCCCGTCCAAGGAAGCCAACCCCGCCCGCCCACTAATCTACACGCCTCCATCATCGCCATCAACCCAATACGAAGTAACAGTAGTCTACTTCCGCGCACTGTACGGACCAGCCGAATACTCCAGCCCCACCATCTGGGCAGCTCGACACCACCTCGAACGCAGCGCGGCCGTCAAATGCCCTACTGTCCTCTTACATCTATCCGGCTCCAAAAAAGTCCAACAAGTCTTGACCTCCAAACCCCCTGGTCCCGACCACCTACGATTCTTCCTGCCAGGCTACGCCGAAGCCACACTCGACAGTCTCCGGTCCACATTTGCACCACAATACGCCCTGTCCGAATCTGAACCAGAGGGAATCAAATTGGCACTATCCGAAGCCACGGCCGCGAACCATGTTTTGAAGCCTCAGCGTGAGGGGGGCGGCAACAACATCTACCGCAACAATATTCCGTCTTTCTTGAATTCCATCCCCCGCGACCAATGGAAACAGTATATTCTCATGGAACTGATTCGTCCACCTCCGGAAGCTAAGAATGCCGTTCTGAGAAGTGATGGCAATGTCGCGGTTGGCCATGTCGTTTCCGAGTTGGGGATCTTTGGAACTTGTCTTTGGAGATCGACAAACTTCAACACCACTGGCACTACTGGTACTACTGCCTCGGCAAAATGGTCGGCTGCTGCCCCTGGTCCCCAGGTCAAAAAATCGGGTCTGGAAATCCTCTGGAACGCAGACGGTGGATACCTGTTGCGCACGAAGGGCAAGGAGAGCGACGAGGGCGGCGTTGCTGCCGGCTTTAGTTCGCTGGACAGTTTGATCTTGTATGAGAGCCACTGAAATAGATACAAAGGCTATATGAGAAAGGGTCAAGAGAAGAGAAGGAGGAAGGAAGAAGAAGGATATCTAGGTTTGATCTTGTACGAAAGCCATTAAACTGCCTACCTACATAAGGTATATAGAGAAGCACTCTGGGAACCATGATGACGAGGAGGACTAGATACTGGAACGTTGGTGGCCCAGACCGACCCGTCAAACATAGACAAGATTGATCTGTTCTAGATATAGAGCCACCATGGGAACAAGAATGGGGTTGGAAACTTGAAAAACCGTCATTGTAGTCGTTGTTCGTTCCCCTCCTACTTTCCTACTATACTAGTACTGCTGCTACTACTGCCCTACCATACTAAAAAGAGAGAATCATGTTCACAATAAAATTTCTCATCTAGCCCTAAAAAGAAGTGTTTGCTTCCGCTTCCAGTATGAACAAAACTCCTGTCTGGCTGTGCAGCTATGACACTTCTGAGAGTCTGAGACCGCTGCCTGTGCAGAAGTCCAACAAACACCAGACCACCACACCGATTCAAGTTTCTTTGGGCCAACCACCTAGGCATCAGTAATGCATAGACCCTGACATCATGCTGTCCCTGAGACAGCAAATGGAACGGCATGGCTGCGCCCAGCCAGAACTAGATGATTTATATCTTCCTCTTCAAAGCTCATGCCCAGAATGGTTCAATGAACAAAGGTTCCGACGTATGGACAAGGACCAGGAAAGACACTGAGATGACTGCCGCAAAGGTAGAACCACGCGAGAGTTTAGTCGCCTGCAGTTCAATCGCCACAATCACACGGAGGACATTGGCGATATAAAACAGAAAGTCATTCACCACAAAGGATAAATGCTTTGATCCAAGTTGAGACCGTCGTCCACTTGATACAACAAGTTTCCGTTTCCAGACACAGATTTGTTGACAGCACGCAAATCAACCCGTGGTGTGGCCGCAACGGTAGAGTGATTGAAAGGTGTTGGCGTGGGTGTGGGCGGCATCGCTGGTGCACGTCTATAGGAGAATTCAAAGGCCGGTTGTTGCGGGTTGTTGACGGCACACAAATCAGACTGTGTGTCCGCAAGGGTATAGTGATTGACAGGTGTAGGCGTCGGCGGCGTTACTGGTGCCGGGCTGAAGGTGAATTCCAAGGCCAGTTGTTCTGGGTCGTTTACAGCACACAGATCAGACTGCGTGTCCCCAATGGTATAGTGATTGACAGGTGTAGGCGTTGCTGGTGCAGGGACAGGGGTGAAGTTGAATTCAAAGACCGGTTGTTGCGGCGGGTGTCCATGGCACAACCAGACTGGTTCTTCAAAAGCACCGCGATGCTGACGAGACTGTGGTGTTAGGTACAACAGGCTTGGATCGTGGATAGGCTGCTGAACAAACTGTGGTGTTTGGTAGAACAAGCTTTGGTCGTGGATGACCTGTTTGCCATGCGGCGTCTCATAAGCTGGAAGCTCAGTCTTGATTCGCTTCGCGGCACGTTCGCCGTTTGTGTCCTCCGTATCTGTCGCTCGTCTTTTGGCCAGTACCTTCATCACAGCTGGCTTTTCCTTCCTGAAGTCGGTCGCAGTCTTTTGATCGTCTCCACCGACACTCGGTTTCCAAGTACAGACGTTGCAGCCCCCGTCAAAGGTGTCGTTCGGAAGAGTCTTGTTGCGGGTGCGGTCGAACCAAGAGACAGGGAGGCACGTCTTTGGCAGCTTAGACCAGTGGACGAGACCGTGCTTGTCAGCACGCTCTTGTAATAGCAGGAGCATCTCCCACGCTGCGAGTCTGGTATCATCCATGGCTTGATAGCCCCGCAGAGCTACAGCCCGGAGGAAGTACTCCTTAGCCAGGGTGGTGTGCTTCCAGTTTTCGGACGTGACTTTGTACTTTTCAGCACGGAGCTGACCGATCGGAGTGTCTTGAGCCAACTTGACCTTCACAAGTCGATCGGGAAAAAGCTCACAAACATCCAAGACAGTGTTGTAAGTGAGGTTCTCGGGAGTCAAGCTCTCCAAGGCTTCTACTTCTGTACGATGTGGCTCATCTCTGCTCGAGCGCTCCATCGAGGTCTTCAGTAGCTTTCGACAGTTTCGACGACAGTGGTTTTGCAGGATGTTGGAGGAGGGCTTGACAAGACCAATTCCACCACCATAGGTTGGGTCGGCAGTCATGCGGTCGAGGATGTCACTGAACTTGATCCGTGGGTCTAGACGGCGCCAGGTCTCGATGAGCCAGCCTTTCATTGTTAGTCGATTGTATATCATGTTGCCGAAACTTTACGTACCTTCAACGTCGACGCTGATTTGGCGAGGCAATACTTCGAAATCCCGCAGCTGAGCACCTTCTGTATTGAGGACAGGCTTGCCGTTTTCGAACAGCATTTCGATTGGCTTGTCGCTGTATGGACTTGGTGGAGGAACAAGGTAGAACAACACAGCAGGCAGATTTTCCTTGCTCCATTCGTACTTGTGAGGAAAGTCCGAGGTAACAAGCGCAGGGGAATAGGGTAGAGTACCGCCTGAAATCGTCAGTCTTCGTCTGGAAAGAGGAATGGGAGAAGCAGACCATTCAAGGCCCTGGCAGCTTCTTTGGCCTCGTAGTTGATTTCAACCAACTTGTTCGCGGCCATTGGATCACCCTGGCGAGAGCGACCTTTCGGAGTCGACATTTGTAGCTTCAAACAAGTAATCCAATGCTATCAGAGAGATCACGGCTGTCCTGAAGTGAGTATAGCTCGATTGAATCGAGAAGACGAGCTTGGTAGGAGTTCAAGAGAGTTGAGAGCACAAAACGGTGTTGAATAAACATTCAGGACATCCAAATCTGGAAGTGAAGTGAAAGTGAAGTGAGGGCAAGGGGAGACGGCACGCCCACAACCTGCACGGCCAATGGAGGTCAACAGGAGGCTGGACTGCGCCAACACACCGGGGAAGGCGACGCGGTGATATCGTGAAGCCTGTTGACCCATCTGCTGTGAGCTCGTCGAAGTCCTGATGTCGTAGCCATTACTCAAACCACTCCTGCACACCCAATTGCGCAGCAAACGAGAGTATCGCGCTCCTTATCTATTGCGTGGTGTTGATTCTTCTCTCCTGCTCGGCTGTTCTTACGGGTGCCCTCCTGGATGACCTCGCGGCCTTGGCTGTGGCAACCTTTTGTCTTCCGGCGAGATATCTTCTAGGCACAGCAACGAGCGAAGCCATCAGCTTGCCCGGAATTCTCGCTGCATAAAGAATATACTGCATCGGCAGCACTATGATCGCACATACCCAGTTCACAAGAAGTACGATGTAATTATCTGGTCTCCGATCGGCGTTTCGCTGCGCGGCGGCGGCCAAGGCGACGACGTCATTCAGCCGTACTTCCAGGTCATCCAGCCTTGCCTCAATCTGTACCGATGAGATTGTTATTCTCTTCTCGTACCGGCGCATGGCGCGATTCAGCGCATCCAGCTCGGGCTGCACGGTCTTCTTGACTTCAGATGCGGCCAATGAGGAAGCCTTGGACGCTACCTCCTCCTCAGCCGGATCAGCTGGCTGTCCACCAGACTTTGCAACACGGTCAGCGACATGAGCCTCCAATTCTTCCAGTCTATGTGCCAAATCTCGGAGCTGTTGGCTCTCTGAGCGGCTTGATTCTTTCAATACTTCGGCATTAACCCGGCGCTGCAAAAACAGAGTTCTTCTCTGCACCAGCTTGATCATATGAGAAAGCGGTCGTATTTCTGCCACAAGAATAAAGATGGTGAGATTATAATTGGAGACGAGTCCCTCGGAAGGTCGGGTGAGCTGCGACCGGATGCCGTGAAGAAGCCAAGCAGCCAGAAGTGGGAAGATGAAGCAAGAAATCAAAGCTGCAAGCTCATGGAAACGGAGCTCTCTTTGTGCAGATGCCTGTTCGGGATCGAAGTTCTGTAAGGAGCGTCTTCTGGGTGCAGGCTTCTCAGCTGTTTGGTTTCCTTCTGTCGGCACGACATCCTGCAGTTCTTCCTCTTCTTCAACTGGCGTAACGCTGGTTGGAGATGTCGGGTCTGACAACACCGCAATCTGGGCTGCACGGTACCAATCCCTTATGCTTTCATGAGCGACGTCCGGAGAATAAAGGCACAGGACTTACCATGGCGACCTGAGTGCCCAGTTCATGAATATGGCTGCTAGCCCTAACAGCGTGACATCGGTGATGACAGCACTCCCATCCTTGAAGAACAGACCCCCAACAGCGGGAAGCAACGCAAGACCAAGGGCCAGTGACTGCCAGTGAGAGGTGTCCTCGTCATCCTGGATGTCATGCGGTCCTCGCGGCCGAGGCAACAATATGTCATCTGTGGAAGAACGCAAGGACTTCCTCGTCTCGGAGAATGTTTCTGAGAGGAATGAGCTGCGTCGACGATTCAGTTGTGCGTTACCTTCGGCAAAGGTAGATGCTCGGCCTAAGGGTCGTTGCCTCAAGCCGTGTGGCGAAGGGCTAACTCGTCGACCTGTCGTTTCGATTGGAGGGAGTGTTATTGACCCAGGTCTCTCCGACGCCATGGCGGAGATTTAATGGATCCTTGGATGGTCCTGATACGGTGATGGACGACACGACAATGACAGCAGAATATTGTGAGACTCAGGTCACGAATTACAGAATAGTACCCTGGCTTTACCCTAGCTCGAAGACTGGTGAGCCTGGTTCAATCGACAGCCGATCTCAAGAGATGACAGTCCCGGACGAAGCGTTGTGGCCCCGGTGGTCCTGGCCCCAGGTTCCCTCACAGTTCGGGATATGACACGAACGAGTATGGGAAGGTAGGGAATACAGAAATAGAGTGCGTGACATCAGATTTCAAAGGTTTTCTGCCGCCGCGACAAGCATAAGAGGCGTATAGTGAATGTATAGGTACCTAGTAGGGTGGCGGCTGCTGGCGGAGTCTGCTGGCCGGGAGGGAGGATGAGGGAGGGTGCAGCAGGGAAGGCGCCTGGTGGGTATCGGGACAAGTTGTACATGTTTGGAAGCGCGGTTCAAGTTGGTTCAAGTTGGTTCAAGTTGTTGTGACGCGACTGACGGGCGGCGGAAAGCTTGGCACTGAACGTCATCGACTCGGCTGTAGGTGACCCGCAACTTTAACTTAACTTGGACCTCAGGCTCGATCATGCTCAGCTTACGATGCAGTCCAGTGCTCCGAGTTCAACAACATCCCATGACCAGCTGCGATTGTACGTAGGCAAGCCCTCAAGTAAGGACGAAAGGATGGATCTGTTGCGATGCGACTTTGGCCGAATCTGCGGCGAGTTGCTGGTGTTGGTTCAGGATGTATTCGTTCATGTCTCTACCATACGAATTGCTTCAACACCTGCATTGTCGCGACTTGATGCGTCCATTCTCTCTTCGCCGGTGGCATAACTGAGGTATAAGGTCTTCAAATAAGTAGCTCATACAAGGTGAGGTTGCTGCAATTACTACACCAGGGTTTTGGTCAGATACGAACTCTTATTCAAGCCCGTTTTGGGAAAAATGTCTCTGATATCGAGCTCTTCCACCAACACTCCCCTATTGCAGTACAGGTAAAGATGGGCTCTGGCTGTGCTTTAAGCGGTGCGCGGTGCGCTTCGCCATGTCCGACTTCACCCGGCCAGAGCAATGTTCTTCTCCGCGGCGTTGCGTTCTTTTCTCTTCCCTCATCGCCAGCGAATCTGATCGTACCCAATCTACCTCATTTCGTCCACTTCAGCATTCTAAAAGATGTACTGGACAGCTGCAGCTGTCTTAACCCCACTTCTTGCTTTGTTGGCCTGTCTCTTGTCAATCCCGCCCTTGATTGTCCACTTCCAGGCTCGAAACTTCGCAGCCACGGTCCTTATCCTCGGCGTTACAATCCTCAACGTCCAGAACCTTGTGAATGCGCTGATTTGGGCGTCTGAAGACTTCAATACTTGGTGGGATGGGAAGATCCTCTGTGACATCGAAGTAAAGTTGTACATTGGGATCGCAATCGCAGCAGATGGGGCGGTTACGAGCATTTTTCGACAAATCGCTGGTATTCTTGACACCAAACACATGACAGTAACAGCGAGTCCGCAATCGCGTCGAAGAAGACTCGTCATTGAGGTCTTGTTGTGCATCGTTTTCCCCACGCTTATCATGGCGGCTCACTATTTGGTGCAAAACGATAGATACTGGATCAGAACCTCCGCCGGGTGCACTCCTACATTTAGTCCTTCTTGGCCAACGGTCTTCCTCATTTTCCTGTGGCCAGTGGTTATCTGCTTGGCTGGTAGCGTCTACTGCGTCCTCTCCGTCATCCGGCTATGGGTACATAGAAAAGAGATGTCTTCAGTCTTATCCAACACACCAGGAGTTACAACATCTCGATTCCTCCGGCTTTTCGCACTCAGTTTCACGCTGCTACTCGGCTACTGCCCCGTGGCAATCCTTACATTCGATCGCAATATCAGGGTACAACTGCATCCATATTCGTGGTCTTACATCCATCCACCGGATTGGTCCGAGAAGATCATCTTGGTCCCAGATCCCGGGAGACTCAGTATTGACCGATGGGCGCAGATCGCCACTGGCTATGTATTCTTTTTGTTTTTTGGACTGGGAGCAGAGGCAAGACAGATGTACACACGATGGATACAGAAAGCGCGGGACTTGAGGCCACGAGGGTGCATACTGCGACGCAAAGCCTAGCAGCGGCAACCGGAGTGCTTGTCCGCTAAGCAGTACAAACCGTGACCATTAGGCAGTGCTCTGTGTACTACGGCGTCTGCTGATCGATGCCATTGGGAATTTCAGTTTGGAGGATTCGTGTGGTACATTGTGAACGGATGGAGATTTCCCAACCTTCGTCCCCTAGACGGCTTCCAAGAGCCTCCGACTGCAGTGTCATGAGCGGCGATATACAGGGTCAAAACAACATCCCCAGTCAAACTCAGTACTCCCATCTCATCACCTCATCGCGAGCTCCAGATTGTGATTGTACATATGAATCCACTCCAGTATCACCATACAGTTGTCGGAATTTAATCCTACCCACCCTCACCTTGAAAAACTCAAGCTCCAGATCCCAGATCTAATGTGAGCCATCATCATCTCTCGGCGTAGGCCTCTTCAACACCTCCAATTTCGTCTGCACCAAGTTCAACGAACTCTGCTTTTTGCCATCCGCATCCTCGTACGTCCGCATCGTCGCATCGCTCTCGAGGTAGACCAGCGTCCTATCGTGACCCACGTTAGTATTAGTTACCGGCGTAGCCCTCGTCGCTATCTTTTACAGAATCGCATCTCTCTTGCAAGTGACTTGACTTACCCTTTGCTCAATCCCAAAAGGTAATCCCGCTGTGGTCCCTCCGGAGGAAACGCAGCCACCCGGTACCATGAAGTCTGGCGATTGTCTCTCGGTCCGTGGTTGGTGCCCACCACATATTTGACGACATGGCCTTGACGAGTTTCGCTGATTTCGGGGTCTGCTCCAAGACGACCGACCAGCGTCATGCGCGCCAGTTGGGAGGGTCGGGTTGTTGAGAATGTGCGGCGCACGGACGACGTCGCAGTTGCGGTCGCGAGCTTCGAGGTCATTCGTCCAGCGGGCCGGAGAAATGTAGACATGGTGGACTTGGAGACAATGAGACTAGGATTTTGGATGGGGTGGTTGGGATGGATTGGAATGTGGACTGCGCACGAGAAGGGTGACGCAGTGAGTGGTTCAAGTTCGGTTCTTGGGTGTTTTCGTCAGAGGTGCTTTGCTTTCCAGGATACGTGTTCAGTGCCTAAGTTGATCCAGAGCTGAGGGCGAATTGTTGTTGTGATAAAGTCTGGCAGATGAGTGACGTTCTGCCATTCGATCAATGGACCTGCGCAGACGCGGTTCTTCAGTCGCGCCTCAGGAGATTGCCGCATTGGGTTAGTAGAAGTGTATGCAGCGCCGTTGAAATGACGCCATTACCCCGTCTTTTGAACACCCTGTTCTGCTCCATCTCAGAGTTCCGTGGGTACGTACGAGCCTCTACACGTTTTCGAATCGAGTTCGCTCTCGGGAGAAGACAGGACTCAAAGTCTCGTTTTTGACATCCAGCGGCTTCTCGGATATCTCTTCGGCCCTTGATCCCGATCAGTCTGCATTTCGAGGGGGCGGAGGAGGCGGAGGGAAGCCCCTCGCCTGGCCTGGCATGGCATACTAGCAGGTCCCATCAGACTCTGTCGGCTGCAGTGTTGCAAGTCCACAGCTAGCAGATTCAGTCAGTTAGCAAGAGCAGTTTACATCGTACTATGGTGTGAGCTGCGAGCAATGCGAAGCCGGACTCGAGCCATCCATGTCCGCATCCGGCCAATCCAACATAAAGAGGCCACAATCCCCATGGACGATGTCCCAGGTGAGTTCAATTATAGCCGCTGGCACAAAGAAGGTTGTGCTCCTGGCCTCTTGCCCATGGGCTTTATATCTGTGTAGGTGAAAGCAAGGTAGGTCAATATGGGTTGGGACACTGCGCTGCATCTCGTTGTTTTTTTTTCTTCGACAACATCTATTCGCTTTTGTGTGTTGCATTTCTGCCTAACACCATGCATTCTGACCTCAAAATGTCTCCCATCGCCTGGCTTTTCATAGCTCTGTTCGCCAGTATCATTCTCATCATCTGCCTTGTTTATCTGTATGCCTTGAAGATCCGGAGGGACAAACAGAAGCAGGCTCGAAAAGCCGAAGGCGACGAAATCTTTGGCGCTGTCATTGCCAACCCGATCATTACAAGATAAATAGCTCAGCTGCACTTACTCCAAAACCCCAGGATTCTTAACGTTCAGCAGGGGACCCCTTGTGAGCATACCTACTCACACCAAGCGGTCAATCGATCAGTCCCCAACTGCTGTTCAGAGTGGTATTACAACGAGCTACAGCACCACTGTCCTTGCAGACAGTTTACTCGGTCTGCGGAGCGGAACCCGCATGCGTTGCAGCGACTTTCTTTGTTTCATTGTCAGACTTTGGTTGCCTTACATACCACAGTTATCGAAACCATCAGGTTCTTTGTCCTACGATAGACGACGATAAACAGACCTAGCCTGCCTTTGGCTTCCCAGGCGTTATTCGTCATTGTCATTGCTAACCGCACTGCCATTGCCTTACCGCAGCCTCGAATCTTCGGACGGCACAACTCATGCCGATGTAACGACCCCATCTCCTCTTCCTCCTGCCATATAAGCTGGTGTAACAAGATCTCAAGGAAAGATGATGCCCCAATCGGCGCTCATCATCCTAATTATCGTCGTTGCCGTCGCCACCATCACGTTTCTGATAGCCCTTTACCATGGGCTCACCACATCTCTTCAACCCCGCAAGCAACAGGCTCTCAGACAGTCAAATGAGTCGACTCTACCTTTGACAGAGAAAGCAGCTGCACCTGCATCTGCACAGAAGCCAGCTGCCTCAGGGGCGATCATCCCAGCACCCTCAGCACTCTCAACAACTTCGCTTCTAGTTCACATCTCACCACCTCCACCGCTGCTCAGAGTCTCACCCAAACGCTCCCCAACACCCGAGGCAGAGTCCCCTCCTCCTTTACCCGAAGACACGACTAGGGCGGAGGGCAGAAGACAACGAGACAGCACGATACCCAGGGCAGAGTCTCCTCCTCCATTACCCGAAGACCTTCATACCTATACAATCGAAGCGGAGAATTCTCGCTCTCGCTCTCCGCCCTTGAGAAGAGACCAAAACACAATTAGGGCGGAGAGTGAGGGCAGAATTAAAAGAGAACGAGACAGCATGCACGACATCATCGACCTATATACATATGCTTCCGAGGCCCGCCGCAAACCTAAACTTCCTCCAGTGCCCAAGTCGGCACCTGCAACGGTCATGACATTTGCCCAGGCCGAGTCGAAATGGGCATATTTTGGCGCCAAGAGGGCTGCAGAGGCGGAGTTCCATGTCGTATGACGAGAAGCCTACGGCTGCATTCATAAACAATTACCTCAAGTGCATACCCACTAGTGAAATATAACCTTTGCAAATTTTTACACCGTTACAGGGAGATACATAAGGTAGATCATAGATGTTTTTGGGAGAGCGATTGACCGCTGCTGCGTGCATTACCTTTTCTCCGGCGAACACCCCAGTATTTCCCACTGCGTCAACCACCGCACACCAAACAGTCAGATATACTATTAGTAGAAGTAGGACAGCAGTTCAGTCAAGTTATCCCCGTTCAAACAGCAACTTGATCATAGAAAGCATCACTGGCACTATACTACTACTACTACCACTAGTAGGTATAGATATGGAGCGCGGCTCGCGCCTTGATAGAATCCATAAATACTAGTAGACTGGTACTTTTGCTACCAGGCCTGTCCTGCGCGCTCCTGCAAGTACTTCCAGAGGGAAGCTTGGCTTGAAGGTGCTAATAGAGTGGTACTGCTGGAGAGAGTGTACAGTCGTATAGTACATAACAGTAGATGCACACGGTTCACAATTGAGATCCAAGAGGAATTCGAGTACTACGCGTAAGATGCTTGGGAAAACTGCTCGGTGTTTTTATCGCCTCCCAATATGCCTATCATTCATTTCAGCACTACTAAAACAGCACACACAGCGACGTGCAGGGCAGCGTCTGTCTGACCAACAAAGAGCTGTCTCATCAGCAAAGTCCAATTCATGCTGACCCCTTTCCCATTTCCTCCCTCATCATGATCACGGTCCACGTCTAGCGCGCTTGCTCTCACTGGCAACTCTAGAACCTCCCCTTCCGCCCATGCCATTGCCACCGTGGCCCATGCTTCCGCTTCCGCCTCCACTCCCACCAGAGTACGGCGGACCTTCATCTCCCCTGCCATGCTTCCGCGACGATGACTGAGACAGATCATCTCCTCTTGAGGGACCCGATCTGCTACTAGAGTATCCTCCTCCGCCAACCCTCGCCCTTTCATCGGCTTCTTGCTGCGAGTTGTAATTCTCTCTTCGTGCCGATGACCGGTCATCTCTTCTCGAAGAAGAAGAGTCTGGTCCTACACCACCGCCGCCGCCATGTCGACTACTAGAACTGTCTTTGGGTTCTCGACCATCTCTTTCGCCTCTATATCCGCGGTCTGAACCACGCGCCTCGTCATGCCGGCTTGAGTGACGTGATGATCTCCTGTCTGAGCCACGGTCATCAATGAGTTCATTCCGGGGGCCCCGCGCGCTATCGTGTCGCGTAGATGGCGGTCTTGTGGCAACGGGCACATCGTTTGGATTGCTAGATGCAAATAGATCTTGTTGTGGTGGGTAGCCATTGGAGTTTGAGCCGTGGCTGGATGGCCCTCCAGGTGGTGGTGGTGGTGGTGGTGGTGGCGGAGGAGGTGCCATATGTGGGCCGTACCCACCAGAAGGCGCCGACCTCATACCGCCTCGTCCTCGGATTGAGGTACCGGCTTGCGCGAGAGTGTTGTTGACCGCTGTGAGGGGATGCCGGTTGTTGCGTCCACCTTGTCCACCCATATCACCTCCATGCGGGCCAGAAGGAGGACCTCTAGTCGTCGGCGAAGGTCCAGAGGGTGCTCCAGGAGGAGCATTACCTCTAGGCCCTGCTGGAGCGCCGCTTGGATGGTTTTGGTGTTGTTGTCCCTCTGTTGGCCGTGATGTGTCGCCTCCAGCTGGATCGATCCGGTTAAGACGAGAAGGATGCACACCTACAGCGTCTGCCGGTGTACCTGGCGCGGATGGTCCGTCGGTATACGAGCTAGTGCGCCCGTGACGTCTAGAAGGCCCAGTAGGAGTCGGTCGCTCAGATGGTGACGCTTGCGTGTTCAATGGAGGTCCCCGCAACCTGGGTCCTGGTCCTGAGGCAGGTCTGTTTCGAGGACCGGACGGCACGTCAACCTCTGTAGAGCGGTCAGCATTTGTCGAACTAGGTGGTCTCTGCGAGGTTTCCTGCTCGAGACGACCATGTTGCATGTCAATAGGTGGAGCTTGTCTCGAATCCCTCGAGTAGCCGCCGGCGCCAGTAGAGCGGCCACCTGATGGAGGTTCCGCCGCTGACGAAGTGTAGGAGGCTTGGCGAGTCGTCGACGGGTCAGTCCGTTGGCTAGCGTAGGACCGTTCGTCGGGATCACGCCGTGGGTACGGCCGTCGATCATCTTCCCTTCGCGGAGAGGCTGGACGAGAAGATCTTGTAGGCCTATCCTGGGTGGAACTCCTCATGGGCGAAGGGTGCCGTGGCTCTGCGCCACCTTCTATCAATGCCGCGCGCGCCGGGTTTATGGCAACTTGCGACGGCGGGACCGAAGAGTCCTTCTTCTGAAAAACAGAGACGTCATGTGTGGTCGATTCGCCGGCAGGAGGAGCCCGTGATCCAGGCCCTACGTCCCGGTTGTCTCGCTCACGATCAGTCGGTGGCGGTCGGACAGGGGGTCGTTCCCTTTCGGAAAGCAAGCTTCGTCCACCATACGGGGCAGGACGCTCGTGCTCCCGACCATGAACACGCTCTTCTCGCCCGGAATGCAGTGAACGTTGTTCGTACCTGCGCGGCGGTCTCTCATAGTCCTCCAAAGGACCTTCGTGTCCACGATAGCCAGACCGTACATCCCGACTGCTTCGTGCATCGGTTGTTGGCGCCCCAGTTTCACTTGGTCCTCGTGATGAGAGACGTGGGCTATCCCGATGGCCATTTCGAGTTTCAGGCGGCTCCGGCCGACTCGGCAGACTGGGTGGAAGAGGACGTGATAAGGGTGCGGGCGACTGTCGCCGCGAATGACCGTGGGGTCTGGTTGAATCGGGTCGGGAGGGCCTGAGCTCTCGTCTGGGCAGTGTAGATGTCTCCTCTTCCTGTTGCGATGGCATGGAAGCACCGTTTGCTGGCGGTCGCGATACCTGTTCAGGAGTCCGATGGGTGGGCCTTGAAGGTTCCGCTGATGGCCGAGCTTGGTCATTTTTGACGGGTGCGGAGGGCTCTGTCTTTTTCACGTCTTCCTTGATTTCTGGTTTAGCTGGTTCATCAGTCATCACGACGTCCTTCGGCTCCTTTGCCTCATCCTTGGCAGAAGGATTTTCAGCTGATGCTTTGTCCTTCGTAATTTCAGTCTTCGCCTGGGTCCCGCCCTGATCATGCTCGCCATTCTTGTCTTGTCCTTGACGGAAAGCCTGGGGGATCACCCAGCTCTTTTCCCTCCGGTGCAAGGCACCGAGCAGAGCCGCCGATGAGACCTTCAAATCTTCCTTGTCTGACTCGCGCAACTTATCAACCGCTTTCTGAAGGCCTGTTCCATGCCAGTTCACGACAGGGTAGACTGCGGAAACAGCACGCATGACGGATATGGCGTTCCGCGCATGCATGTATTCCGGGGAGGTGAGACATTTCTGAAGTGCCGCAAACATGTTTCCATGCCATTTATAGAGGACCCTTCGAAAGCTCTCAAAGTCAAGAAGTGATACCACCTTTCCGCTCTCCACCTTCATAGCAAAGCCAGGTAGGTTTTTCTTGCTTCCCCACGCCTCTCTCTCGTAGGTCGCCTTCGAGCCGTGCCAACGTGACAGGTCTTTGAGGACTTCATTGAGAAATCTGCCAAGATTGTCGGCTTCCTTTGAAGTGCAAAGGAATATGAGTGACTGCAGTTGGGCTGGTCTGAAGAGTAGGTCATAAAACCCCAATGTCCGGAAATGCGGCGTGCCAGCACCGTGGAGAAACTTGACGAATTTAAAGCAGAAATATGCATCCAGAGGGGAGAAGAGTATTCGAGGCAGAAAGCAGTGCTCCATCAGCGCAGTATTGAGCTGCTTGTCCATTCTTGCTTTCCCATCGAACCATTGATTTTTCTCCCGCTGCAAACGAGCCTTGCTCTCTGCAAATGCTTTGAGATGCTGCTTGTTCTCCACTAGTAGCTTGTCGATAAGGTCTGTTATCTCCTTCTTTGCAGCTTCTTTCTTCTTCGTTCCGGAGACGCTGACATCTGAACGGTCTGCGGAAATTGCGGCGATCTTCTTGTGTTGCCGAGAGAGTTCATCCTCGTATGATTTTCCGGGAATGGTGATATCGTATAAGGACAGCTGCCAGAAGGTCGCATAGAAGCCTGTCCCAATGGTCTCCACCACATCTCCTGGTAAAACCGGCTGTATTGCTGTCATGACATCCTTCATGACTGGATGCCAGCAATCCTCAGAAGAGACATCAGCTTGAGCCGGCGTCCTGCTGGCAGAGTCGAGATCTATTGCAGAATTCATGGTATCGCTTGCTGGGGTGTCAGCCGCGACATTTTCTGTCTCGACAGCCTCGCCATCTTCCTCAGCGCTACCGTTAATCTGGTCCGACATTTCCACATCGCCATGTACCTCTTTGCTGACAGCCAGCTCATCGGCTCGAAGATCTTTGGCATGGTCCTTGTCATATTCAGCCATTTGTTTGGAGATCAGTGGCCGGTTGACCCAGAAAGCCACTTCTGGAGTGATTTCGTAGTCAATAAGCAGACTTGCCACGTCAGGAACAGTGGCTCGGAAGTCTTCTGCTGAGAGATTGCTTCGCAGAAGCTCAACATACTGAACCATCACTCTATGGATTTCGTCATATGTGTTGGCAACAGCTTTAAGGGGCACATCGCCTGCCTCGAAAACACAAGCTTGCCGCTGTTGAGCCATTGATATCAGGAATTTGGCAGCTAGGCCGGTTTCCTGCAAGGATCTCATCAACCGCTCAGAGGTCTTTCTGGAGTCGTGTCGCCGATCGAGGAGCTGCAATATCGTTTGCGATTGGAGTAACGGACCGCCTCCCATAGCCTGCAGTTGTGTGTCATTGTAGCTTGTATCGGTTGCAATACCTGCCATGGAGACAACAATTTGCTCCAGCATTTTCAAGTCCGTTGTGTTCCCTTGTTCGAGTTGCTGGAAGACATATTGCAAGATGGGGCCAGGGCGCATCATGCCGTACCGCTTGTAGATCTTGCCGGCAAAGTGCGCCAACGCCGAAAGCCACCGGCTGGTGAAAATACCGCCCTCTTGGGTACGGCTTCGACCCGCCTTCGCCATTGAACTTACAATTGCCCATGTGAGAACATCATAGCCAAGGTCGGTAAAGTAACGTGCGCCTTCGACGAAGACCTCAGCAATACTATCATAGACTTCAATCTGCGTCAGGGCAGTCGTGATGACAACGTGAGGATTTGCAAAGGCGACCTTGGCCAAGGCCCGAGCCATGAGTCGTACGTTGGTATTTGAGATGCGTTTGAGAATGTCCTTCGTCTCAGCCTTGGCCTGGTCAAATGCTGCCTTGACGTCGGGATTGCGGGATGTTTTTCCAGACAACCACTCCAAGTACATCAGGTAGCGGACGTGGACCGAGAAGTGGCTGATCATTTCAAAGACCTCGTTCACAACTCCAGCATTGGACTTGGTCAAGCTAAGGGCTGGTAGAAGCACCCGCTTACTCAGGTCTAACCAGCGTGACCGGTTGGACTCCGTCTTGTCAGTCTGTAGACTATGCTTTCCAATGCGGGCAATCTTCAGAAGAAGTACAGGATCTTGGCCAATCTTGACCCCAACAAGAGGCAGGAGAGTCTCGCACACGGTGAAGACATCATCAACCGTCTGACACACTGGTATGTTATCATTCCATTCGTCCCAATAGAAGCGATAATCAGTACCATCTGTGCTGTCGTTCCTGTCGAGCAATGCCCAACGCAATACTTTTCGTTCAGGAGTGGCAACAATCTTGACCTGGCCTTTCTGGAGGCCTGGTAGGTCGGTTTGGTATGCCGGTTTCTGTTCACGGAGACTTGGGCGGTCCTGAAGAGGCCTCACATCACTGTATGCCTTACTTAGGCAGTGATGCAAGATCCGGTGGACGTACTCTGGCAATTCAGGGAAGAGATCGATCAACCACGGAAACTTGCCGAGGATGAAAAGGGCCTCTGGCAGAGCCCCGATGGCGAGCAAGCTCTTTAAGAGTAGCACTTTTTGATCCGCGGGTTCAGCTGTATCTTTGATGGCGGGCTTCTGGGCCTCGACTTCTTTCGAGGGTGTGCTGGCGCGGGTGGTTGACTCTTTTAAGCGAGACGGAACAGGCAGGGTATCATCAGCCAAAGCACCCGCCATCAGCAGCGCGTTCTTAGCGCCTGCACCTGGCCGGGCGGCTCGCTCTCTTTCAGCTTTCTCTTTGATTTTCTGTTGCTTGAGCTCCTCCATCTCTTCGTCGGTTCTCCATATATGAGCATAGAGGTCTTTTAGTGAGATGAAGCCAATCTTGATCAGAAGTGCGGCAAGGTAAATAAGATGGTCGGGCAGCACGTCCGTCTCATCCCGTGCCGGAGATGAGGAGTAGAACCTGAGCTTGAATCCTAGCAGCTGTGCAGCATCGCGATTTCCACTCGCAGGGAGAGTGCCCGTCTCTTTGATCCATTGCGTTGTCATCTCGTCCCCTGCCGAAGACGCACGATCCAGTTGGTCCTGCGGAACTTGCGTCCTGCCGAGGAGATAAAACGCCTGCAGGCCCTGCTCCCGCGCGCGAGGCCAAAAGTCACCATCGCGAGCCTCCGTCTCTCTTTCCACTAGAAGCTTCTGCTCCTCAGTAAGATGCCACTCTGAAGAGCCGGGAAGCGCCCACAAAGGCAGCCCCCGCCCAGTCGCGCCGGGCTTATCCAGGCCTGGCGATCGTGGCCACCAAGGACTGGCACGGAGAAATTTGACAAAGAAGCGAAATTGTTTGACGAGAACTGCGCCAAACACATCGAGCACAACGTCCAAGCTCCGGCCAACATCAAGGTCAAAAGCCCCAATCATTGCCTTGACCTTTTCAACCGTGTCCTCCACCACCTCCGCAGTAGGAGGCTCGTTGCCACTAGTTGTGAACAACTCGGTCATCAGCTTCGCGAAGCCTTCGGACTCTTCCCGCATCAGGTTGAAGTTAGCCTGCCGATACAGGAGGTTGGTTTGTTTTCTGATGCCCATCCGATTGAATGTGTTCCGGATCAAGTCCAACTTTTCGAGCAAAGGTGCATCGAGTTCGAGCCGTAGTAAGTCGGGTGAGATCCCAGTTGTCGCAAGAAAAACTGATAAGCGATCAACCGGAATGGTCGTGTTTCCTTCGAAGAAGACGCAAATTGAATCAAGCAATGCAGCCTGTGCTGGTGTTGCAGAGGGTGGAGATTGAAGACCCCCACCGCTCGTATCTTCATTCTGGAGGACCTCTTTGATCAAGTCACCAGCGTCCGACGGTTGAACCCTCCCAAAAACAACGGACTGTATCAGCTCCTGCATGATGGCGTCCAAGGTAGCTGTGCTTTCATCTTGCAATGCTTCCAGACTCTGGCGCAGCACATCCGCCCTGCCTCCCGTCTCCCACGAGGAGCAGACTTCCTTCGTAAAATAGGTGTAATTGTACGGCTGAGGTTCCGGAGGACTTGATAGTTCGACGGGCAGGGGATCGGATTCCATATCGACGGCCATTGTGCCGTTTGTGTTACTGGGTTCTGGGTCCGCAGAAGGCGTCTTCAAAGGAGGTGCGACGGCCTCACTAGGGTTAGCAACGGGGCTGGACGAAAAGCCGCCGCCTCGACCTCCTCTGCTATACCGTCTGCCGCCCCTGCCGCGCGACTGATTATAGTCACGGTCATTTCCTGAACCTTGAAAGGATGCCTGATGGGCGAGGTTCAGGCTCCCAGGTCGATGTGGTGAAGGACGGGAATATTGCTGGTCATCTGAATATGTTCTGTCTCCTCGCTTTCTCTTGGATCCAGCCGGAGGGGGCATCTCCTATATGCCAGAGCTTGGGCTTTAGGAAGAGGATGGTGATTCTGGTCGTCGTGTGGATCATGGGGTATTGTGATACATTGGACGCGAAGAATGTATAGCGCCAGGGAAGTTAGAAGCGGCCTTTACCGATAGTTGGCGTCAAGGGGCAATCGGCATGCGTGCAGCCTCAGGATTGGTACCGATAACTTGGGCTGACGGTGCCAGTGCTGATGTCCAACTTCAACTTGTAGGCTGCGGTGCAGTATCACGATGCCAAATGCCAGCCTGAAGTTCGAGGGTCAGAAACTTTGATGCTCCGCGAATTGCGCTGACCCGCGACGCGGTCACGTGCTGGCAGGAGGGACCGTTAATACGGTACTAGTAGTGCTAACCTTGGAACTACGGGGCACTAGGTACTGCTAGGCACTACTAACGGTGTAATGACGATGCCCGGATTACATCACATAATCAACCCTCACTCGATGCTTCCTCGAGTGCTCGCAACCATCTGCATTTGTAATCTACAGCAGCACCTCATCACTTTCTCATAGTATATAGCCAGTCTGTGGTATCCGACCATTGACTTTTTTCAGGTTCCAGTCCCGCGATCAAGTCCGCATCGGTCACACCAAACATAAAGGATAAGCGTGGAAGTGCCAGCATGGCGCCCAAACTATTCATGTGCGTCATTCCCGATTGTCCTACCAGTTGCCATGTACTGACTTGCCTATCTTATAGCACCGGCTCAACCGGTTATATTGGCGGCGATTTCCTGTATCTGGTGTCCCAGCAACATTCAGACTGGGAGATCACATGCCTCGTAAGAAACAGTGACAAGGGCGCCAAGGTGGCCGCAGCATATCCCAAAGTACGGCTCATCTACGGTGATCTCGATGCCGTAGAGACCATTGAGGAGGCAGCAGCCAACGCCGACATTGTCTACCATTTCGCAAACTGTGACCATGAGCCTTCAGCCCAGGCCATTGCCAGAGGACTAGCCCGTCGAAACGGGGATGGACCTGGGTACTGGATCCACACGTCCGGTACGCTGATTCTGGGTACTGAAACAATAGCACTGGCAGATTATGGCAATCGGCTCGACAAGGTCTTTGATGACTGGGACCACGTCCAGGAGCTCCTGTCACACCCAGATGAAGCGGCTCATCGCAATGTCGATAAGATTGTTCTGGCCTCGTACTCTGACAAGGTTCGGACGGCCATTGTCTGTCCTCCAACCATTTACGGCCCTGGCCGCGGACCAGACAACACTCGCTCGCTGCAGGTGTACAAGGCCACCGAAGCATTTTTGAAGCGCAAGAAGGCTTTCCAGATTGGCAAGGGGCACAATGTTTGGCATTACATCCATGTCCAGGATCTCTCAAAGTTGTACCTCTTGCTCGGCGAGGCCGCCGTCAACGGAGGACCCCCAGCAACCTGGAATGAGCAAGGGTATTACCTCGCTGAAGATGGGTTGTTTGTCTGGGGTGAAGTGATCCAGAGGATTGCCGAGATTGCGCATAAAAAGGGTCTTCTGCCAGACTCCGAGGTGGAAAGCCTCAGTCCAGATGAAGCTGATAGGTTAATGCCGAACGCGAGGTATGCGATTGGCACCAACTCAAGAGGCATCTCCATTCGGGCAAAGAAGCTGTTAGGATGGAAGCCCACGGAGCGCAATATCGAGGAGGAACTTCCGGACATTGTGGAAGCTGAGGCGCGTTCTCTTGGCCTGATCAAAGGTCATGCCGCCTTGGTGCAGGAGGAGTGATACCGTCCTGGAGGTCATGATTTTTTGGTATCGGCTAGCGATGTCTCATGATGTTTTCAGCAGGCACAACACAGTGTATTATTTTATCAGGCCATTCGCGGCCATTTCAAAATAAGGAGTGCTTGACCAGTAACCCCTTCATATGGTTGCCAGCAATATACGACAAATAGACTCACCTGATTATTGGCTGCAGGGGGCCGCGTACTCTGATGTGCAATTATGAGGGTAAAATCGATCGGTATGATCCGAGTCCTGTATCTGGCGTAGACAAGGCTGAAGCAGAATGATAAAAGAACCTCAGGCTCCGCATTCAATTTCAAGCTGTTGCCAGGAATTGACGAGGCTGTAACGCAACCCAACACTTGGCACTGATGTCAGTCATGATTCTCTTCAGCCCCTTCAACCCACCTCTGCTTCTGCCACTGCAACATCATGTTGATGTACACTGGCCATTAACACATCCAGAGTGGTCCAGTTGCATAGCCTGAGTCTACCAAGTCAAAATGATCAAAGGTAGTTGCGCTTGCGGGCGCGTTCAATACCAAACCGCCGCGCAGCCGCTCGGCGTCAGCGCCTGCCACTGCGGCACATGCCAAAAGATAGCAGGCAGCGCATTCCTGGTGTTTGCAGACTTTCCCCTCGAAGAGCTGCAATGGACTCATCAGCCCCCGGACCTGTGGAAGCGCAGCGAGATTGCCGAGCGCGGGTTCTGCAAGCAATGCGGCTCCAGCATGTCGATGCGGTATTATGAGGAAAGCGACAGGATCGCAATGACCTTGGGCACCATGGAGCTCGGCGGGAGCGGGACGGCGATGCCGTCAATAGGAGCACACATTTTTTTGAAGGAAAAGGCACCATGGTTTGTTCTGCCGGACGACGGGGCTGAGAGATGGGACGAATTCAGTCCCAGGTCCAAAATGAGCTCGAGCAACGGGAAACAGAGGGATGGATAGACGGCCTGGGTCTGTCTGTTAAGTGTTAAGCGGAACAAAGGCGACAGCTTTCTCGCTTGATCGATGTCGTACAAGCTAAAGCATGATGAGAGATGAGAGATGAATGAAGTCCTTTCTTGTTCTTCCACACGAAGCAAACGAGACGCAATAAATCAAGATATAAGGTTGGTGAACAAGTTCAATTGTCGTGCCCCTGTGTTCGAAATTGTTGTGCCCCTGTGTTCAGCGACGGCGTCACTCTATCTCAATCGCATCCATGAAAGTGAAGTGAATTTGAATCTGTTCTACCTCACCATCTCTCACTTCCACCTCATCGTTCCGTTAGATGTCCAGACCCATGAGCGCGACCACACCTCTTCCACACCTCTTCTATCCTCCCTCCTATCCGCGTCTCCTCTCTTCTTCTCACCACCCACCACCCACCACCCTTCTCACCCTTCTCACCCTGCTCATCCTTCTTGTACCGCGCCTTGGTATATCTCCTACCACCATTCCTCCTTGTACCGCGCCTTGGTATCCCTCCTACTACCACTCCTCCTTGTCCGAGCGGAGAAGAGCAGGTATATTATTGTTCTATTCTGATACTCTCGCGCCATGTCGGAGAACAATCCCTCCACTGGCAGTGGCCCGCCGCTCAAGGCGCCCACTGAGCCAAAGCACTTCCGTCCATCGTCAGGCGGCGGTGGCCTAGCCATGTCTCGACTTCGTCCTCACCCTAGGCGCATGCACCATCCACGAGCACATCCATACTACGCTGGCAACAATCGCCATAGCAGCAACCCCATTGTTCGCAGCCCACTTCAGCAGTCCTTCCCAGCCTATCCCAGCAGCGTGTCTGGCGAAGGAGAAGGCAAAGGAAACAACAACATGGGCAATAAGCCAGTGATTCAAGTTCAAGGCCAGCAGACCCCGACCCCGTCCCGTCGGTCTCGACGAAACGAACAACATGTCGGTCGCAAAGGTGGCGAGTCCCACCGATCCGCATCTGTCCCCATCATCGTCCGCACTCCCGACGAAGGAGAGTCGCAGTTTGAGACCGGTCCTGGCACTCAATCGCAGCCTCGTACTCAACCCAACTCACGCGCCACTTCGCCATTCCCTCTCCTTGGTGACGACGGTGACAACGGTCATGGCGTGACCCACGGTCAGGGCGGCGGCAACCTCAGCCCCAATCCACTCGATCCAACCCGTCGATCTGTCAAGCATCTCACCTGCTTCTGGTGGTGGGAGAAAGGCGAATGTCGCTTTACCGACGACGAATGTCTCTACGCACATTACGACACTGGTCACTACACCGGTGCGCCTCGTCAAGTCATCCCAGGTGAACCAGCCAAGGCAGGAAGATCTCTTGAACGAGCATTGAACAAGCTTGCCATTACCAACCGTGCAGAGGCTCAAGGTCATGGTCACGGTCACGGACACGGACACAATCAAGGTCACGCACGCATCCCAAGCGGCGCAGCTTCTCGAATGGAGACTCCCATCCATGTCAGCGGCGGTAGCGGGTCGAGCCCATCGTCTTTCCTCGAGATAGGCCAGGCCCAACAACTCCAAGCGCAAGCTCTGGCTCAGGCACAAGCACAAGTTGAACATGCCGTCATCCAGCCTCTCCAAGCTGACAACGACTTCCTCCGCAACCTGATTCATTCGTCGCAGCGTGAAAAGCAAGCATTCGTCGACACCATTGAGTCTTACCAGAATGAGAAGATGCAGCTCCTGGCACGTCTCGATGCCTTGACCAAGGAGCGCGAAGCTTTCTTGTTTGAGAGAGATGTTCTGCAAGCTACTATTCGGAAGCTGCAGTTCCAAGGCACCGCAAATACTAATCTCAATCCCAGTGGTAATTCCAACACCAAACTTTCCGTTCCCAAGCGTTCTCCGACCATTATTGTCCCTGCTGGCTACGAAGGAGCAGCAGCAACTGGTAGAACTCAAAACCAGAACCAGGGCCAGAACCCCTACGGCCCCATTGGAAGTCGTCGACCAAGTCCCCGCATGGGCGATGGCACACCTGTGACTAGTTCTTCTTCTTCTCAGCAACGAATTGCCAGTGACGGATCGAGCCAGGCGTCTCTTCAGGGATACAACAACACCGGTGGCGGCACCACTGGCACAGTCAGCAACAACGGTTACAACGGTTACAACGCCTACGCTAACAACCCCAACCCTGGATTTCGCGGCTGGGCCAGCACCGGCTACGGCTATAGCAACAGCAACCATAGCGCCAGCAGCAGCTTTGTCGTTGTTGGCAGCAACAATTCCAACAACACTCCTGACAATAACGTTTATCCTGCGCTTTCAGGAACAGGAGCCGTGCCAATTGCATCTCCCAATGCAGCTGCCAACTCCCGCGCCATGTGGGGTCCTTACGCCAACACTGTTTCCACTGCAAATGCCAACAATGCAAATGCCAAACTTCCGAATCCTATTGGCCACGAGCGAAAGTTGTCTGCACAGCTGAAGCAGGCTCAGCAGGCACAGCAGAAGCTAGACAAAGGAAAAGGAAAAGAAAGAGAGAAAGAGGACACTGACGCTGACGATGATGACGGCATTCCAAAGTCGTTCAACTTTGGGGATGAACTTGAGAATGAGAAGTTGGGGAGTATGATGAGATGCCTTGGTTCGGGTCTCTGAGTTGAGGCTCTGAGACTGCTGCTGTGCCAATTGCCATGACAACACAACTGCATTGGTACATGATTCTGGCGTACAGATGCAGGAAGTAAGCAAAATTGGCAGTTGGCAGAGCAGGGACAGGAAACAGATTGGGCAGGGCATGGTTGGCTAGTTGTTGCACAGTGATTGGCCGTCCATCACGCTCTTCTGGTCCTTTGTTCTTCGCCGCAGTACAGAGCAGCAGAGAAGCCTGGGTAATGGATGGTGCTTGTTTTGTTTGCGTGTTCATCTTGTCTTTGCGCGTTGCATTTGTGATGTGATGTCTTGTCTACAGTCTGGCAAGACAAGAAGAATGAGAAGGTGGACCGTCATGGTTAACTCGCGGCAGATGCTCTCTCCAAGTCTGTTCTTTATCAAGCACAGACTGCCCTGCCAGACAGACTTGACTTCGCATCACAAAAAAGTTCATAGTACTAATAATGAAAAAAAAGTTGCACATGGAAAAAACGGGTTGATCGCGATGATCGGTGCTGTGGGTACTGGTACTATCTAATTGGTGCTCGTGTAAAAATTGTAGAGTTGTAAAGAGGAGAGGATGTAATATCATAGGAAGATATAGGTCCCCCCGGGCATCTAGGCCAACAGCGGCTTGCAGTGGCTTTCTTTTGCCCCATCCATTGAATGTTATGTTCCATAAGGTATCTTAGGTACCTACCTATGCAGCAGTGACTAGACGGCACATAGGACTGGTGCGACAGTAAATAGTGGACACTGACTGGGGTGTGCCATGCTAATATGAGCTTGGATACATAGGGAAAAGGGAAAAGGGAAAAGGGAAAAGGGAAAAGGGAAAAGGGAAAAGGGAAAAGGGAAAAGGGAAAAGGGAAAAGGGAAAAGGGAAAAGGGAAAAGGAAAAGGAAAAGCAGACGTCCTCGAGGATTCCAGTTTCGAGTTCGTCGATAGGGTAAGTGATGCTATGCCAATAATTTCTATGTTCAATGTCCAAGAAACACTGCAGTGGTGTCTCTCCCCTCCCTCTCGCTTGCTTTTCTCCTTGCTGTGTGCTACACTCACTCCCGCCTTGACTGTGCCACCTGCCTGGGCTGGTTAATCTGTGTTTTGGTCGTAGTAATCATTGCAGACCAAAACAGGAGGGTTTAGAGGGGGGAGAGAAGATACTGTTTTTAAAAAGTGCTTTGGGCCAGCCGACTCGCCGCGTTCTTAGCATCGACGCGGTCGTCACCTTCGTCCTCTTGAACGCGCTCCAAGCTTGCGGTACCAGTGGCACTGCGCGGTCGACCAGCAGCACCCGCAGCTCCACGCAGGGACCCGTCTCCATTAATACTGCCGTCATCAGCGACCTCTGGGATGGCGGCGCCTGGACCACCGAAACTGCCGCTCATGCTGCGAGTCATGGAGTCGCGGGCTCTAGGCACACCACTCCAAGCATCACCCTTGGAGCTCTGGCTGCTGGCAAGACTGACTCTGCGGACGGTAGGATGATTCTCGCGTCCCAGTCTGCTCAGGCCGCCTGAGGCGTCGATGGCGCGGATGTCTGGTCGGACCGACTCGAGCGTTGCCAGCGTGCGACGCTCCGCCTCGATCTGGCGCAAGACATATTCGCGAAGCGAGAACAAGAACTCGTTGGAGGTGCGCTCGAACCATCTTCGCTTCTCGAGCAGCAGATTGGCCGTCACCCGCTGCGTCTTGGAACGAAGATACGTTTCCTGGCTGATGGCCTCGTCTAGCGCCGAGATCGCTTCATCCACCTTGTCTCGACGGACATTGGAGCTGCTTTTAAGCCGCTGCACTGCATTCTCCTTGCTGCGACGAGATGACTCGGCTTGGAGCAGCTCTCGCAACAGAATATGTCGATTCGTCAATGTTTCCTTGACAATAAATGCATCGGAGGAGTGATAGGCCAGGGCGTCGCCCAAAGTGGTCGCTTCGGCCGTGCCCTGTGCGGCATGGTAATCGCCACATGTCTGGATGATGCGTCCGAGCTTGCGGTATGCTGTAGAAAGACCTGGGTGCGTCTCCTGCACATGCATCTGGCCCATTTTCTCGCCTAATGATGATTCGGCAAGGCCGAGTGCTGTTTTATCATTAGTACTGGCGCCCCTTGTTGAAGGTGGGAGAGAAACATACCTCTTCTAGCTTTGACCACCTTTTCCAGCTTCTGGCTCGCATCTAACGTGCCCAGATAAAACATCTTGACAACTGGCCGAGCCTGTTGGAGCTCCGGCGTGTCATCTGGTGGAGGGGCAAACTGCTTTAAAACCTTCCGTCTGACCCCTGTGGCAGGCTGCTTCATCCTCACCACTGGCGAGTATCCGAAGTCGCTTTCAACGAAGAAGACCATTTCTTCATCGCGCATAAGTACGTCATTGCTGCAGACGACATTCAACCATCTTTGGATCGACGCCTTGACTCTAGCCTCATCTTCATCGGTCCCTGCACCAGCTGATGTGATGGCAGGAGGCACGGCAGGCACAAGTGCTTCTGGGTTTGACGAGATTAAATGGTCCGCGAGCTTGACAAACTCGGAATGAGTTCGACGAACATCGCGAAACTGGGTTGTGCGGAACTTGGGCAGATTTGTCTGCAGCAGCTGTCAGCATATGTGCCCAAGGAAGGGGTATCGGCTCGCTTACATAGACGTCAAACCTAATGACGGGATCTTTGCGCCCAATCCTTTCCAGGGCTGTCACCTTGGCCTGTAATTTATATTGGGGCACCGGTCTCTGTTGCTTTGTATTATGGTATCTGGCCGCCGTGCCCGGCCGCTGCTGAGGTTGCCCAGCGTTCCGTTGGATATTTCCAGGGGCCTGGGCGTCCTGCTGAGCTTCTTGGCCCTGCTCGGATGATCCGGAGCCTTGTTGAGGCTGTGAGACTTCTGCTCCCTGTCCCTGGATGGAGTTACTCGGCTGAGATAAATAGGGACTTTCAGGAATGCTATCTTGCGACTGGTTATATGAATGTCCTCGAACCGGAGCAGGTGATTCTGGGGACTCGGCGGTGGGAGTAGGGAATCCTCGGTCTGCTCGCGGAGAAGACGAGCCCCATGGGGATGAGCCATGAAGCGCGTCGGCTTCGGTCGATACCGCAGAGTAGTCCATCGTGAACAGGGAGATTCAGCGTCCGAGGGGAGGGAATGGCGGAATAGGTCGATTATGCGGGGGAAGGGCACATCCTGCCGGGGTTCTGTAGTGATGGGAGGCAGTAAGGGCGGAACAGCACCAATGTAGTCGTTTCAGGTCGAGTTGCACTTCACGGCGAGACGGTCAGACCTTCTCGGAGAGGATGCTGCTGTGGTTGACGGATCAGAGGTTCGGTCGCAGCGAGGTTGTTTAGCACAGCCTGAGCATCATCGGAGCCTCCGCCAACTTCGCGCCCGGAGACGCTTCTCCAGCCTTGGCAGATTATGTAATCTCGCAGCTCAGAATAAGTACTGTCTGACCCCGAGGCTGCGGATCAGGCTCGCAAATATAAGTGGCGCCGCTTTGTCAGACCACAGACAATTTTTTTTTACATCGTAACACCGGGCGCAACCGCTTCACTTTTGCCATATTTGCTGTATCTTTCCAGTTTGTTTTTTCAAACCACATGTTCCAATCAGTCGCTCATTTTCTCCTGTTTAGCATTTCGGTCTTGTCTGGGTATTAACTCGAAAAAGCAATTTAATCATCTGGTGGATTACTGTTCAGGGGATGGTAGCCGTATATGGTCGGGCGTTCTCACTCTCCACTCCCATATGTCGTTTAATTTCAGCCCAGTCAAAACTTCCGGCAGGGCTTCATGCATCGTTTCGAGGCTTTCGTTCATCATGCCGACACTCGGCGGTTGCGGTCGCGACGGCTGCTTCAAAGGCCCCAGATGGGTCAAGGACGAGGAACATTGGCATAATAGCCCATATTGATGCTGGCAAGACGACCACTACCGAGCGCATGCTCTATTACAGCGGCCACACTCGAAGGATTGGCGATGTTGATGAAGGTTCAACTGTCACCGACTTTTTGCCCGCGGAGCGAGCTAGAGGGATCACTATCCAATCTGCAGCCATTACTTTTGAATGGCCTCCGCCACTGGCTGGCCTAGATTCCAATCCAGAAGATCTTGTGGCCAAAGTCCCAGACAGTCAGCCGCGATCACGGTTTTCCCACAACATCAACCTAATCGACACGCCTGGGCACGCGGACTTTACTTTTGAAGTCCGCCGTTCACTTCGAATCCTGGACGGCGCAGTTTGCATTCTCGACGGTGTGGCCGGGGTCGAGGCTCAAACTGAGCAAGTTTGGGCACAGGCTGCGGAATGGAAGATCCCGAGGATAGTGTACATCAACAAGCTCGACCGGGACGGTGCTGCTTTCGGCCGAACCGTACGCGAGATTGGCTCACGCCTGGGTGGCTGGCCTGCCGTCTGCCAAATCCCGTGGTTTGAAGGTGGGAAAGGCAGATTCACAGGCGTTGGCGATGTCATCAACCTGGAAGGACTGCTATATGAAAGTGGCGGAGATGGGAAGGAGATCCGACGATATCGTCTATCTCGTCTGGAACAGGAGCATCCGGAGTTGGCCCAGGAACTACGACAAGCTAGGGCGGCTTTGGTCGAACTCTTGAGTGAGCACGATGATCAGCTAGTGGAAGCGTTCTTTGAAGCCGAAGAGGACCATTTGAACATTACTCCTGCACAATTACTGGACAGTCTACGGCGCTGTCTTTTGGCACCAAATAGCACGATCATTCCCGTCTTTGCTGGTGCGAGTTTTCGCAACATTGGGGTTCAGCCACTGTTGGATGCTGTCACTAACCTCTTACCCAGTCCTCTGGAAAGACCTGATCCAGATATCAGTTTGGGCTCCAGTTCAGGAGGGCTGTCCCAGTTGATCAAAGGCGACTTGACGTTCCTCACCAACGCCGACAGTGCAGCAAAGGCCAAGAAAAAGGGGCAAGCTCTACCGCCGGCGGCCATCGGCAATGCTCTCCAAGGCTGTGCGCTTGCTTTCAAAGTGGTCAATGATCCACGTAAGGGCGTCCTAGTCTATATTCGGGTATATTCAGGCTCGATAGACCGCAATGCTCTTCTATACAATACGAACCTGCAAAACTCGGAACGCGCGACCACTCTTCTTCGAATGTACGCGAACGAGTCGGTCCCTGTACAGACCCTCCATGCCGGCGAGATCGGGGTGATTGCAGGCTCAAAGTATGCCCGAACTGGAGACACTTTGATTTCCTATTCTGGGAACAAAGCTACGCCGCCGGAACCACTGAACAAGCTCCAGTTGAGGCCCATAAAGGTTCCTCCACCGGTATTCTTCGCAGCCTTGGAGCCTAATAGCCTGAGAGAGGAGAAAGACATGCATGAGAAGCTGGCCTTACTATTGCGAGAAGATCCTAGCCTTCAAGTGTCTCAAGACGAAGATACTGGTCAGACCCAGATCAGCGGAATGGGTGAACTGCACCTCGAAATTGCGGCCGACCGGCTCGTCAATGATTTAAAAGCGAAAGCACGGATGGGTAAGATCGCCATTGGCTACCGTGAGACCCTACCCAAAGCATCAACCGCAATCACCAAGGTTTTGGAGGGTGATCGTGCGGCCACGAAAGGAAAAGCGGGCTGTACAGCGCAGGTTGAGCCGTTGCGGGACGATATCGAACAACCTCTGTCTGATTCCGACGATGCTTATCGCTATGAACAAGACGGCAACGTGATCGTTATCGAAACACCTACGTTGGATGAAAAGGGACGGCCTATTGGGCCCGACGATGCGGCCTTGCCAGCCAATTTGACCCTGCCAGAGATCCAGACGGCCTATCTCAACGGTGCACTAGCCGCGCTGAGCCGTGGTCCATCATATTCTTATCCGATGCGTAACACCAAAGTCACACTCACCCTGCGCCCAGAGGAACACATTTTTGGATCTGAAACAACCTATGCATCACTCACCTCTGCGGCCCGACTTGCCACGAGTGCTGCGTTCAAGGAGGCGACCAAGGACGCACCGTCGATATTGATGGAGCCGGTGATGAACGTCGATATCAGCGTCGACGAGGCAAGTCTAGGCAATGTCATCCAGGACATATCGTCCAGCCGCGGAGGCCAGATTTTGTCGCTAGGAGATCATGACGATGGTCAGGACATGTCCGGAGACGACAACAACAAAAGAATCGATGTCAGCAAGATATATGCTCCAAAAGACCCATTTGAATCCGGTTCTTCTCGGTCTGGGGAGAATCACCAGAGAGTAAACCTTCAGAGAACACTGAAAGCAAGAGTGCCCCTGAAAGAGATGGTAGGTTACCTAAAGCATCTGCGCAGCATGACCGGCGGCCGCGGTACGTTCGTGATGAGCGTCGACCGTTTCGAGAAGGTTACCGGTCCACGAGAGAAAGCACTCATTCAAGAGCTGCGAGGAGGGTTTGTATAGAAGTAAAATGGATAGAGTTGTCAAAACGTCGGAGGTGGACGACGACCTGCTTGGCCCAGGGGGGAGGAGAAAGGGACCCGCCCACGCTGACTGACACATGTACTTTATTTATTAATGTAGTATCACGAACCACAACATTCAACTCCAGATACAACGTATAACAGCTTTATTATTAGCAAGACCCGCTCGCTCAAAGTAACGCCTGCTGAAATTTACTCGAGTGTTGGAACGTGTCCATTTCATACAGAAATTACTATCTCACTCGTTACTCTTATCCAGCATGCGCCCGCTGTCATGAACCGCACCTAAAGGGAAATTGAGCAACCGAGCACGCGAATCCCTTTCCCTCGTCCGCAAACCACTGACACAGACTCGACATCGCAACCGACAATCACGACGCGCCAGTAGAACAAGATGACTTCCAAGGCGATGTGGGAGGTCGATCCCGAGACCAGGAGCAAGGTAATCGATTAGCCACGGGCACCCTGCCACCACTGCTATTCGATCCGCAACTTGAACCCATACGAACATCAAATTGACTGACCGCTAACCTTGATGGATTTTATATCTATAGCTGGCGCAACTCTCAAAGAAAGAAGGATCAGGCAACGACCGCTGCTGCGACTGCGGTGCGCCATCACCACAATGGGTGCGTTTCAAAACCCCTCTACAAGAACGACTCTAACTCTTTTTTTCGTATCTATACAGGCGTCCCCCAAATTCTCAACGTTCATCTGCCTCCAATGCGCAGGCGTACACCGAGGCCTCGGAGTACACGTGTCGTTCGTGCGGTCTGTCTCAATGGACGCGTTCAAGCAGAACGAGATTCTCCGAATGCAATACGGCGGGAACAAGGCATGGCAGGACTTTTACAACAAGAACGCGGCGATCCCCTTTGACGAAGCGACCATCAAAGAACGGTACGACAGCGAGATCGGCGAGGAGTGGAAAGAACGCCTTACGGCACAGGTGGAGGAGCGAGAATTTGATAAAGCCACGTTCCTGAAGGAGAGGCAGGCTTTGCTTGAGAAACAGGCCAGTCGGTCGAATACTCCGGTGGCTGTGAAGAACAGTACTAGCGGCGGTCCCGGTTCTGCGACGAGTCGTACTGCCTCTCCGGCGGCAACGGGCAACAAAATCACAGCGGAACAAAAGGCCCAGAACGAGGCATACTTTGCAAGAATGGGTGAAGCTAATGCTTCCAAACCTGATCATTTGCCGCCTAGCCAGGGTGGGAAGTATAGCGGATTCGGGAGTACGCCCGCTCCAGAGTCACAACCGCGGTCGTCGCAGACTGGCTTGCCTAGTGCAGACGAGTTCTCCAAGGATCCTGTGGGTGCCTTGACAAAAGGGTTTGGCTGGTTCAGTGCCGCTGTAACAAAGCAGGCTAAAGTGGTGAACGAGTCGTATATCCAACCTACGGCGAAGAATGTATGTGATTTACTATTTGTTGTGTTGTGCAGTTGATGTTTGACACTGTTTGTTGCGCTTTGTCAATGACCGCTGGAAACTGACGATGTTCTACAGCTCGCGGCATCCGATCTTGCCGCTCAAGCCCGCACCGCAGCCCTCGCAGCGAGCTCCGGCATCCAAAGCGGCGCCAAAGGGGCTGCCGAATCGTTCAACAAGTTCATTGAAGGCCAGGACGAGAGGGCAGCGGCAGCCTCTTCGCGGAAAGCCGCACAACCTGCTCCCGAAAGGAAAGATTTCTGGGATAGTTTCGGGTTGTCTGCCGATTCTTCTTCCAAGTCTGGCAGTAGCAGTATCGGCACAAGCGCGATGAAGAAAACCCCCGTTGCAAACCCGCCTAAGAAGACGAAGGAGGATGGCTGGGGTGATGATTGGTAGCCGGGGTACTACTACTGGCCCAAGAGAGGCACAGCTTGAAGAACGGGATCAGACTATTTGGCCGCACTGTGTTCTGAAATTCTCAGGTCGGGGATGACGCCTTCGAGGACAGGCAGAAAACGACATGCGCTCGCTGTGAAACGGTGCGCCGCGGCGGTCTCTTCTGTCGGATCTGCCTGTGGTGGTAAATGCCAGCGAGGCTTGGCTATACAAGATACCAGTGGCAAACCCCTATGGGACGTTTCGCCACGCCGGCATGCCCTTCACGCCAGTAGATCACGGGCCAACGGCTTGTGGTACTAAGAGAGGGGATTTCTCTAGGTACAAGAATGGCCGTTGGAGCTCCTTTCGCTTTTGGATTGAAGGTCCCTAATTGGGCCCATTCAACCCATTACGAGATGATATATATATAGAAAGAGATACGATGGTACGGTTATATCTAGCGAGCAACATGTCGAACTTGAAACCAACGACTGGTACCAAACCAATCTCTCGCCATACTCTGCAGGACCCCTCCGTCAGTGGAATACTCGAGTCCTTGACTGGTAGGTAGTACTACCGCACGTTGACGGTAACGAGCCAATCAGAGAGACTCATTGACCGACTGATATACACTGTATTTACTTCAAGTTCCGAGCAACTTGCATTCATCTGAACGCCTCAGTGTCACCAGCAACATCAGGGATACCAAATTCCCAACATGGATCCAGAGACAGCATAGTTGACCGTCGAGTCATTTCCAGTCAACTTTCTCGCACACTGCACCGTCTTGACTGAGGTACCCAATCGCGCGCGTCATGACAAACTATAAAGGACTGATGATGACGTCCATCTCAACCTGGGTTGAGACGTAGGCTCACAACAAGGGGGTCTACTACCGCAGTAAGTCGCGATGCACGTAATGCCGTGCAACTTTAATGTGACGCGGATGATGAAACGGAGATACAAGCCTGCCAGCCATTGACGACTGGTCAAAACTCTCTGGCAGTGCATTTTATAGGACCTGGTAGGTAAGGTAGTTAGGTAGGTACCTGTCCTCGTTTCACCCGCAACTCACTTCAGACGACATCACAATCGACCTCAGAGGACACACCCTGCTACCGTTCTGCTGCGCACAGGTATACCTATCTACATTCAAGGGCTCAAACTTATCCAATCCAATTAAGCCCTATTTCGTGGACCAACATCACTCTACTGTATCCTCTTCCTCATACAATACAGACGATGTTGTCGACTCTATCCATACTACGCCGCGCACCGGCCGTGCGAGCGGCTTTGCTTCGGCAGGCAGACAGATCATTCACCAGTTCCTCGAGGTTGAAGGCATCTAGCAATCCAATCCCTGGCGATAGGAGCAATAGCAGATTACCTCTGTAAGGCGCAACCTCCGACCCCCGACCTCATGAAACTGCTCCAGTTGTCCTTTGCCTCCTACTGTTTCTGTCTTCTCGAGAAGCCTGGGTTCCAGTTTGTGTTGTGTTGTGCTGCAAGACCATATCGAGACCCGCTACAAAGCGACTGTCGACGGTCGACAGGTCAAGTCTCGCGATTGTTTGTGTCGAGACTTGCATACCTTTTCTTTCCCTTCACGACACAACAGCCCAAAAATTGATTGACTTGCTAACTTGTCACCTTCTCACATTCTCAGCATCGTTGGCGCCTTACTATTCGCAATGGTACCGTCATACTATCTCCTCCACGCGCGCAAGTCAGCAGGATCCGAGCAGGCCAAGATATTGCAGACCCGAAGAGAGCAGGGGACTTCGAATGAAACAAGAGATCCGAGGGATAGTGAGGTCAAGACACTGGAGCAGAAGAAGGCCAGGGACGGGAATAAATAAGGACCATAGGTACCTACCTGCTTTAAGGTACCTAAGGATGACTGGGCGTGGGGGAGAAAAAGTCCAAAAGTTGCAGACGTGAGAAGTCTGCCAGCATATTGGTAGCATAGGAAATGAAACAGTCATGTGGTGGAAGCCATTCATTGTACATAGCTAATTGCAAACTTGATGGGACTCGACAACTTGAAGCATGCAACACAATATCCATCGCGGCGCATTAGGACATGTGGCATTTCTGCCCCCCCGGCTGCTAGCAGTCCTGTGTATATATTTTGTACTATTATTATTTTATTAGTATCATATCGCAAGTGTTATCGCAACCTGGAGCTAAGGGACACTCGTCACAAGGGTCGTGACGCTTCTCCGCACTGCAGCTCGAGTCTCGACCGGGTTCATGATGCGAGCATCGACGTACAACATTGTAGACTCCCGCGCACCCACGGCACTGCAGAACAAGAGCACACTTTGATACTCACTGCACACTGCATACTTTTACTTGCACAGTGCACTCAGGCTATTTACTGCATTTGCACTACGCTACCAGTACTATTGCACCGAAATTGAAGTCTCCCAACAACCGACCTGCCGACCTTACCTACCAGTGCGCGCCTACGAACACTACGACATACTACAGGTTGTTACAGCTCCCATCGCTCCGGTCGCTCCAGCTCTGGTCGATTGAGATTTGGAGGTGCCAGTGCAGAACGTGTGACCGCTACCTCCCACCGGCGTCAATCAGAGCAGAAAAGAGAAGTGAAGAGAAGAGCAGCGCAGAGGCACTCGGAGCGTGGATACGATACGAAGCGATAACGAAACTTGAACTGCGAGCAAAAAGTTGATGTCCTAATACTGCAGAAGGAGGGGAGGGACAAAAAGAAGAAAACGGCAAAACCATCGCAATCACCGCAGCGTGAGACCACCTCCGTGGTCAGGACAATGGCCATGACCTCCAACAATCGGAGTCAGAATCAAAATCAAAATCAAAATCAATCACAGAGTCAAAGTCAACAGTCGCAAGTATGTCTACTAGACTCGGACCGACTGTCGTCACTCCTACGCGACGCTCTCTCGTGGAGTTTAAGTACCAATGATGCCAATGGTGGGGACGATAGCAACAACAACAAGCACAGTGTTTCATCTCTCATGGTGTCGGCGATGAACGGGTCAATTCTGGCGTACGCCTATCGCGACGGACAGACGCCTTCAGTCAAAGACATGCGCACGCAGTCGACGACCATGACGGCCGCATACAGCACGGTCGCTTCGGAGGATGCGGATGTTCTGGTGTTTGAGGCGCAGAATACGGGGGCCGTTTCGGTGATTACCCCGATTGCTGATCATGTTTTGTTGGCGGTGACGGGGCCGGCGCCAAAGTCGAAGTCGAAGTCGAAACGGAGGTATGATCACAATGGAGTTGAAAGAAATGGGGTGGGCTTCGGCGGTCAGGATCGGGATCAGGAGAATGGTAATGATATCATCAACCACAATGGGGCTCTGAATGGGACCCTGAATGGGGTACATGGCAGTGCTCGGGATCACCGTCATCATGAGGTCGAGGGCCGAGAGGAAGAAGAGGGCGATGAAACAGAAACAGAAGGGGAAGAGCATTACAATGGTGATGGACTCGAAGACGAAGATGAAGACGAACGGCATCGACAGATACGCTTGGATCTCGAACTGGTCAGTCAGGAACTGGCGGGGTTGTTGAGGGCCGAATTGGCGAGGATGAAATGGCCGAATGATATATGAATTGATATGGTACGATACGAATAACACACGATATGTGATTGCCCTCTGATGGTGCGGGTCCGGTGTTGCGCTGCGTGGATGCCGATTTTTTGGTCACTGCACGGCTATACTGGTATTGCCTATATCATGTGGAGCTTGAAGTGAGACTCGACTCTACCAGGCATGATGCTATACTACTACTAGAGTACTAACCGTGCACTCCGTCAGCACTCGTCGGTTGTTCCCCCCACCGAGTGCACCACAGCGATACGATCGTCCACAGCGATACGATCGTTTTTCTGCACGCGGTTGGGATATATTCTGTTTACAGCCGCCACAACGATGGTTTTATAATATAAGCGATGGCTAAGCCTAGTAAATTAGTACTGTAATCGTATCGAATATAAAAACCTGCTATCCGAGAGGTCGTGGTTAACGTACTCTCGAAGTTGCCGTACGTAGTCGACTTGGAATATAAAAGTGCTAAATATATAATAACTGCCGTCGATATGATATCGGTTAAGAACGTATGTCGACGTTGTACAGCGATAGTATAGTACTATAGTAACTTATATACGCGAGTATATAGTATCCCGTGAAGACCTCGTTATCGTTGCCTCGGCGCGTAACTCTTGATATAATAGCCTTATAGAGGTAGTAACCTATATATCGAGCCTATCGAGCGTATCTTAACGTCGTTGAGCTACCTCTGGCGTACGTCGACGTCGCTCTGCCTCTTGCGCTATATCGAGAGCCGCGTCGACGAGTCGCTTTTGTAGTCTCTTCGCTGGTTTGCGCCTCTTATGATAGTCCAATGTCTTAGCGTCGTCACGAGCCTGAAGGCGTCGACGTGCCGTCTCGACGTATATAACGCCAATTAAGGAGGTATCGATACGTCGACGCCGTCGATTCTCTCGTAACGTACGCGCACGTTTAGTAGCCTTAGTCTCGCCGAGTTGGTGGAGCGCCTCCTACCTAATATATACACGTTTAATTACGGCGCGGCGAAACTTACTAAATAGCGTAACTATTAGTGTACCTGCGTCTCGTACGTTCTCCGATATTATATCGGCGTACGCATTAAGCTGATTTATGCTCTTCCGCGGCGTACTATTAACGTATTGGAGACCGTCGTCGTCGTCGTCGTCGTCGTCGTCGCTCTCGTTAGAGTTATTCTCGATAGTAAGACTATCGAGTACTTACTTCGGATTAAACGGTACTAATCCTGTCTTCTTAAATGATAAGCGAATCGTTGACGAGCAAAGCGCCTTCGTACGAATCGAGTGAAGACTCTCTAAGAACTTATAACGCTGAAACGTAAGATCTTCGTGTCGTATAGCGCTGTCTATTAACTCCGCGTGATAGTGCTTTAACGGTTGAAACACTACGACGTCGAGAGGTTGTAGAAGGTGCGTCGAGTGCGGCGGTAGGCAAAAGGGTATGATTCTCTCGTCCTAGTAGTATTTAATAAAGCTATACTCGATATGAGAGTTAAAGCCGTCGCTTATTAATATCCTATAGCGCCCTTTTGTACGCTCTTTTGTCCTCCTATTGAAATAATATATCTACTTAAGTAGTATAGCGTCGTTTAAGTAACCCGACTCGGAGGAGACTAACGCGTATCCGTTAGGTAGGCTTAGGGTTATAGAGCGCTCGCTAATTGTATCGCCTTTGAGGATAACGAATAGATCGATGAAGTCGCCGACGGCGTTAATAGACTTAATTAGCGTATAATACTCTCGATTTTCGGGATTAGGAAGGTATAGATGCTTATTCTTGTTCTAACGCTAAGTAATAACGTAGTGCGCTCTACTAACGCTAATAGAGAAGCCGGTCTCGTCTATATTCCATATATCGTCGTCGATAATAGCGTATTGCTCTTTAATAGCCTAGAAGCGATAAAAGTGCTCGATAATTAAGGTGTAGTGCTCTGTCTCGATAGACTATCGATGAACGTTAATAGGCTTTCGCTTCTTAAGTATAAACTTAGGGTGTCTATTAAGAAAGCGCCGCGTCTATTCGTAAGATATACGGGGTTGACTGTCGTTGTCGTCGTATACGTCCTGCGTAAGTTGTAGTATACGATTTGCTATTTGAGTAATTATCGGAGGCCTTAGGGACAGCCCGAGATCGTTATAGCGCTTTATAAGCGTATAGAGAGCCCTCTCCTACTCGTTAGAGAGCCTCTTATTATATCCTTCTCTTATACTGGCGCCTAGTATATCTCGTAGTCGTCTGCGTACGCGTTAAACGGGGGCGGCGAATGCGTCGGCGGCGGCCTTTATATTGGGATAATCGCCGCGATTATACGCGTCGTAGGCGTCAAGGACCTTCTCCTCTATCAATTGAGCGTTAGTAGGCATTGTTGGTGGTGTATATACGCGTTGAATGAAGAGTGTAGAGAATTTACAGATATGCGATCGTATCGCTGTGGACGATCGTATCGCTGTGGTGCACTCGGTGGGGGGAACAACCGACGAGTGCTGACGGAGTGCACGGTTAGTACTGTAACGCCGCACATTCGAGGTTTACTTACTACAGTATTAGCCGTCGCCGCGTTGGCATGAGGGTGTCCGGCTGAATTGCGGCTCAGGCCTCCGGCCCCCCGAAAGCATTCTACCCGCCAACATCTCTGTCACCAACCCTATCAGGTAAGCCTCTAACATGCGCTATCCGCTAATACTGTATAAAAGGTCACCTGCCAATGTAGTACCACTAATGATGAGAGTGATGCCAGTGCAGTGTTGCTTTTGACAGCCTGTTCAAGTTAGCATCGTGGTAAAATGCTAATCCTGCTAGTACCACTCTAATATGGCTGCCACGCTCCGTCCCCCGCATCGCTCGTGGCAGTTCCCCACACACTGGGAACCACTAAAGACAAGTGCGTAATTAGGACTCGGAGCTAACCCTCCTACCTGGTACCTGTCAAGATGCGTACCTGTTCAAGCGCGCAATTCCATTTCCCATTTCCCATCCGATACATCGTTTCCCTTTCCATCACACACGGGGCCTTACTTGCTGCGGTGTGATCTCCCAGCGACCTCATCCTAAAGAAGAGCTCACTGTATCAGCCCCTCCGAGTCTGCCGAGATATACTGCGGGAGTCCAGTGTCGGCTGGGTGCGCCAAGTCCAGCCTGGTGATGGTGCAGGCAGGTACCTAGGTACCTTGTGTTCTGCAAGAAAAAGACCCAAATTCCAGGCTGTTGTGGCCGTCGCGCCAGCAGTGACTGGCGACAACCTCAACGATGTTGTAAGTCAAAATGACATCACGTTGTCATGCTATCGAGTGCCCGCTAACAGTCTACCCCAAAGTGCGATTCCTCCTCCCCCGCGGTATCCCACAAACAGCGGCTTGATAGCCGCGACGCTCGAGACGCAGAATACCCTAACCCATCGAGAAGGTCCCGAGTACACGTTCCAAGCAGGCGAGGGTGGGTAATCCAGGTCCAGGCGCAAGCAAGAGGGATCGGCAAGAGAAGACGGGCTGATACCGAAAGTCTAGGCACCTATGTCCTCCGAGACGACCTACAACTTGCGACGCCTCCTCCGCATCCCTCGGAAGCACCAGTACTCAATCCCAACCCATTAGCGACAGGAGTGGTACCTCCAACCAGTGGGGTCAAGTTATCGCTCGTCTCGTTGAACCCGAAACAGGTCGACCATGACTTGTACAAGCCACCGACTGCCACCAGCAGTCTCTTACGATGGAAATCTCTTGGACTCAACAACAACCGGGAGAGCAAAGAAGCAAAGGAGAGCAGAGAAGCGCGAGAACGGGAACGAGAACGAGAACAGCATCAAGAGAAAGAATCCAGATTTTCTATGGAGACGACCAGCGACACCAGTAATCCGGCGGCATCGGCAAATGGCAGCAATAAGTCGAGTACGGTTCGGGCATTTGGGGAGGGAAATGCTGCACTTTCGCCCGTCATCAGCCGTGGAGACGGCCTGAAGAGACGCAAGCCCAAAAACAACATCATCAAGAGCAATTCTTCGTTTGTGTCCCGGGTGATCCCTCATGAAGCATTGCCGAAAAAGCTGGCGGAGCGGGATCAAGGCGGGACCTTTGCCTTTGCCAACATCAACCGGGCCTTTCAGTGGCTCGATCTGTCCTCGAGCTCGAAACAGGATCCATTGACCAAGATCCTCTTCACAAAGGCCCATATGCTGTGCCACGATGTCAACCCTCTCACGAAACACTCGACGCATATGGACGTGGTCATGGGCTCATCCGCCAGTGATATAATCTGGTATGAGCCCATGTCTCAGAAATACGCGCGCATCAACAAGAATGGCATCATCAACAACTCGGCCGTTGCGAAGATCAAGTGGATCCCGGGCTCGGAGAATCATTTTCTTGCTGCCCACATGGACGGGAAACTGGTGGTGTATGACAAGGAGAAAGAAGACGCCCCGTTTGTGTCGGAAGAAATGGTCGATGAAGGCATCGGGATCGAAGACGACGACGAAGACTCGGCTTTGGTCATCAGTAAAAGTGTCAACTCGTCCAACCAGCGAGCCAACCCGGTGGCTCTTTGGAAGATTTCAAACCAGGCCATTACCGACTTTGCCTTCTCGCCAGACAGCAAGCACCTGGCTGTGGTAGGAGATGACGGTTGCCTCCGGATTATTGATTACTTGCAGGAAAGGTGTGTACTCAAGAACAACCAGCCGGAGTTTTCTCTGACTGACCTGGGTCAACAGGATGACTGATTTATATTCATCCTACTACGGCGCTTTCACCTGTGTTTGTTGGTCGCCAGATGGTAAGTACGTGCTCACCGGCGGCCAGGACGATCTCGTCACCATCTGGTCGCTAGAGGAACGACAGATCATTGCTCGATGTCCAGGCCATGATTCCTGGGTCACAGCAGTGGCTTTCGATCCCTGGCGTTGTGACGGTCAAAGCTACCGTTTCGGTAGTGTCGGGGAAGATTGCAAGTTGTTACTGTGGGACTTTAGCGTCGGCATGCTTCATCGTCCGAAAGGGGTACGTCTGCGCAGTTAATCTTTCAATGTTTAGGGGTAAGCTGACCAAAGTCGAATATAGCTTACTGCCAGGACGAGAGGCAGTATCTCGACACAGTCGGTTTCTCTTCTACGTCAACGGACAGAGAGCAATAGTGTGATCAATAGGATCCGCTCGGATTCCAATCGAACAGGCAGCTTCGTCCAGCAAGATATTGTCGATGAGTCTGAATTTATCAATCATCCGGTAGAGCCTCGGGCTCGGACGGCCCAGCTTCCGCCGGTCATGGTATGTTTTGGCATCTGTGTTGTCGACCGTCAATCTTTTCTGGTAGATTTGCTGACATCTGGCTCTTTGACTGCTTCTTAGTCCAAAAAGATTGATGAACACCCACTGAGCGGGCTGGCATTTGAGCAGGACTGTATCATTACCTCTTGTCTCGAAGGTATGTACATGCTCACTTAGGTCTTTTTGTCGTTGTGCCTTTGGAATATATATTGCAGAATAGCTGACTGCTACTAGGGCACGTGCGTACCTGGGATCGTCCGAGAGAAGGCGCAAACAGTAGCCAAATCGACCTGGCGGGAAATCAGAGGCCTTGAATACTGCAGCGGGCACGACTCCTACCACACCTCGCACACCTCAGACGACGAGGCACGACTGCTTCTCCTTGAAGGCGGCTTGGATTGTGATATGCGTCCGTCCCTCGTTAATGCCTACCTCGGCAGTATCACATTTAATCGAGGAGAACCGCCATAACATGCAACCACAGCGATTGCCGACCCTAACCCGGCGCGATTGAGCACGGATGACTGAAGACGTCGACCTGCTTTTCCAGCTGAATGGAACGAGAAAGGACTATATCTATATCACTGCGATTGGTATCTACAGGTACCTAGTCAAGTATAAACGACCGGCTAATGCACACAGCGCGCGGCGGGTTCCGGGCCCGAGGGGCCGACGATGCCCCAGCGAACAATTTGGAATGCGCTTAAACATTGGGGGGCACAATTCCAGACCAGCAAGCAACGCCGGCAGAGGGGAACTTGAATATCACGGCTTAAATGCAATATTTACAACACCAATGGATAAGCACAGGCAGCCAGCTGTTGCGTACTCGGACTACCTTATACGAGCCCCCAAACTCCTAATCGCATCAGCCCTGGCTTCAAATGTACACGTATATCCGGAACTTTAATGCCATTCAGGTCTGGGGGTTATAGGGTAATTCCACAGGGCCGGGGAGACGAACGAGGGGGCTGAGGGGGCACACTGCAGGGGCTGAAAGACAAGCTTTCGGCACGGAAGAAGCGATGCTTCCGGCAAGGCCAGCCTAAAGGCCAGCGCTGTCATCAGCCAGCTGAAAAAGCCACTGCAGTGTGCAGTAGTAGTGTAACATTGGAATGGGCATAAAAATGGTCGGTTTACCACTGCCTGACACAGCCCCCAGCCCCAGACCCGAGCCGTGGGATGACTGTGGAGGCTGATGGGCTAAGAACGGGAGCTTTACTAGAGGGAGGATACGGTTCCAGGATGGGAATGACACCCGTGGGGAGAGCGAGGGATGTATGGAGTAGAAAGGTACAGTATGGGGGCCTCACGCTCGCTCGGGATTTATATATTCTTCTATTAGAGGTGTACGTGCCTTTCCCATGAGTACTGAACGACCACAGCGCAAGGTACGGTCGTGTGCGTGGGAATCAGTCCTTAGGTACCTAGGCTCGATCAACGTGGCTTGCTCTGTTTAGACGACGACGACGACGACGACGAGAAACTCAAGAGTAGAGCCCGACCAGCAGCGAAAGCCGCAGCGAAGTCGGCCGCCATTTCGACTACGATTTTCTGGACATCCAAGTCGAGGCACGCAATTGATGGGCGCAGCTATTTCCTTCCGACCGAGGAACTGGAACGGAATGACATTTGGGCCGATCGATTTTTCGGTACAGTACAAGCGGAGCAGAAAGAGATCGGCCAGGCATCTGATTTCATCGCAAGTACCGAACAGAGAGGTCCCAAGACACATTTATTGTTTCTGATCGCCCGTGCTCACAAGCTGTTGGCCACTAGGCGGTCCCGAAAACCGCCGTTCGGCATCCAGGGACGATAGTCGGGCTGCACTGGCGGCAGTGGCAGCACAGACTGCAAAATTGTATTTTTGTCGAAAGACGATTTGCAGCACAAGGAACGAAAAATGACACGCGAGACTCGGCGGTCGGTCGAGACGAGGATGATATTGCGAGAACTGCCGGTGCGACCATTGGGTCCCTTGAAGAGACGGCACAGGTCTACCAGTACGTCGAAGATAGGGGCAAATGGTGATAATGGGGTGATTGCAGCGAGCGCGCAGGACTCAAATGCCACCTCTGGCTTGGGAAAGCAGCAGACTCATCATCAGACATCATCACCGCGAGCATCATCGCTGCCGGCAGCAGGAAATACACTGTCACAACGAACATCCACATCGACAGCCGCATCAACGATAACTGTATCATCTTCGATTCAACCTGAACCTTCCCCAGCTTTTATTCTAGGGGGAGTCCAAAGAGGAAGACGTCCATTATTGTTGAACGATTCAAACTGGAGCACAAGCACAGGCACGAGCACGAGCACCAACACGAGCAACACATCCAACGTCAGTGCCAGTAACAGTAGCGACCGTGTTCATGTCAATCCCAATATGAAAAGCCATGCCGATAATTGCATTTCACAGACGTCAATTCCAGACATCGAGCTCGGCGGAAACGATACAATCGACGTGCACCGTATAGCGGGCATCCCCACGCCTGACCTACCACATGAAGACGAGATTCACGACTCGGACGAGGGCAGAGACTCGCACGCCGAAGAAACAGAAATGAAAGAAGAACTGGATGAAGGATCCACAGGTACCGACTCGGTGACGACGGGAGTCAAACACAGAAAGAGGACCAGGGTCAAGTTCAAGCTGGCATCAGCATCATCAGCAGCAACAGCAACAGCGAGTAGGAGGATTGTTTCGGGCACATCATCTCCGACAGCCGCACCCACCACTGGCACAGGCCCAAGACACCGAAGCCCCATCACCTCGAACCCGCCATCATCGGCGGCATCGCCGCGACCATCGTCGCCTGCCACAGCCGGTGTCAGGCGTTTGTCTGTTCCTGGCCCTGTCAATGATGCTGGAGTGGAGCAACGTCCGATAACGACGGTGAGTTTGCTGGACCTTTTCCAATTTTGTTATTCGATTATTGCCATCATTATTACCGCCCAGTGCTCATGCCCACGCCCATGCCTACGCCTAACGGCCAATGCCCTGCGGTGCTTGGAACCCGCTGCAAGGATTATTGCTAGGTGCCTCTCTAGCCCGAGGCGGCCCCTGCAGTTCTCTATCTTAGGGCACATTGCAGCCCAAACGGGTATCCCGACCGCTCTTCGGGCCAGAGCCTGCAGCCCAAAGTGCCTGGCCCTAGCCACTGCCATGCGGCTGCACACTGCACTGGCACACTGCACTCAGTTTCTACCTGAGCCCATGTCTCCCGAGCCACTGACAGGCCACCCAACAAGCCTTCCGAAGCCTCCCACTTAGCACACCCACTCACTGCACTGCATCGACCAGACCCATCATCTTATCTCTCACCCATGTCATGTCGTCGACCTGGTACTGCAACTGCATCATTTTTCTTGCGCCATTACAATTACCCACCGCATCGTAAATCTCCTCGTGCCATTTTAACATCTTGAATTGTCATATGCTACCAGTGCCTGCGTCGAGCAATCTGTGATCTGAGAACCCTGACACAGTCTCCTCCCACTCTCTCTGTCGCCCTCTTCTAATGCTCTCTACGTTCTTCAGCAGCATCGCTCACGCGCACTCCTCCGCCTAAATCGCAAGCATTCGCCCGAATGCTCCTCCGTTGCTGGTCAACATGAACCAGTGTTACGTTCGTCATTGAGTCAGAGGCCCTCCAGCAGTTCCAGTTCAAACACGCTCGCGGACCGCCATTTGCTTCCCGGACCTACCTCCAAGGCGCCAGCCATGGCTCTCAAGTTCCTGAGTGGCCATAGTTCCCATACCGGTTCCAGCAGCAGTGTCAAGTATTTCGACATCCGCCTTGACAATGACTACATCGTCTTTCGAGGCAATGAGGACGAGGCTGCGAGTTCCCAACTCTCCGGTTCGGTCGTCCTGTGTCTCACGGAACCCTTGGCCGTGTCGCATATTGATCTCACTCTAAGTGGGATCCTGCACATGTCGTAAGTACATTATTCAGTTGCGGCCGCGGAATGCACCACAGCATTTGACTGACTTTTGGTGGTACGCAGATGGCAGACCACGTCCACTTCTTCCATGTCCGGCCGCCGCACCGCATCCAAAGAGAAAACCTTTTTCGAGAAAAGTTGGACTTTCCGAGATCCGGGGAAAGGGCGGTCGGAGATTTTACAGCCCGACAATTACGAATGGCCTTTTCAGTGCATTCTTGAAGGCTCCCTTCCGGAAAGCGTAGAAGGCATGAAAGAGGCTTGGATTATATATCGTTTCAAGGCGCAAATCAGTCGCAAGCGAGGTCGGGATATTGTGGTCAGGAAGCCTTTGCGGATCGTCCGGACGCTCGATTCCACCGCCCTAGAGCTTGCCCATGCGATGGTATGTGAATACATCAGGCTGTCATTTCGAATGCTAATTGTTTCCCAGTCCGTCGAGAATATCTGGCCTAACAAAATCGAGTATTCTATCAGCATCCCCAACAAGGCGGTTGCGTTCGGCTCTTTTGTCCAGGTGGACTTCAAACTGATCTCCCTACTCAAAGGTCTCGTGATTGGCAATGTTTCGACACAGGTGAAGGAAGAGCAAGAATTCGTCGTCGACCCGGAATGGGGTGTATCGGCGCTCAGCAATGGCCACACGAAAACCGAAAGAGTCATCGCCTCGGACCTCTATCGGATCAACCCCGAAGTGGATGAACAAATTATCGACGAAGTGGCCGAGGGGTATCAATTTTCTCGGTATTTGGAGTTGCCCAAGTCACTAAACCAGTGCCTCCAGGATTGTAATGTCAAGGGCATCAAAGTACGACACAAGGTGAAATTTAATGTCCAGTTACACAATCCGGATGGGCACATCTCGGAATTACGAGCCAATCTGCCCGTCACCTTTTATATCTCACCCAGTTTACCCATCAACGAGAACAATGATCTCGTAGACCAGACCCCACAAGCTTCAAGAGCGGCAGTCGCCAATGATCTGGCCAACTCAGCTCCGCCAGTCTACGGAAAACATACGCTTGATCAGTTATATTCGGACGTGGACGGTTACCGAACACCGGGGACAGCATTGTCGACTCCTGGAACGCCCTACCTGCACAGTCGTCACGCATCGTCGGAAAATCTGGCCAGTCTTGCCGCCATCACCAACGGTACCTACGTCTCACCCATAGCTCTTCAGAATAGGCTTCAAAATCTACGGGTAGGCAACGCTTTTCCAACCGGCGAAGATGAACTTGATCCATACCGGGCGGATCCGACGGAACGATCGAGGAGGAATTCGTCTTCAGCCCATGTGCAGGATGATTATTTTGCCGCTCAGGACGCCCAGAATTCTGGGTCTCATGCTCGAGCCAGTCCCAACGACGTCGGAGGAGGATATCAATCGGGCTTTCAGTCTCACACACCAAGCCTGCCCGGAAGTAACTTGATGTCAAGGCGGACTTCGGAAGAGGAGGATGGGCATCAATCTGGAGCACGGACTCCTTTCCCCCAGTACGACCACATGGAAGATCTTGCCAAGGTGCCTTCGTACTCGACGGCGGTGAAGACGCCCGCGCCGAGAACCGATGAATCGCGCCTGCTACCCACGTACGGGGCGGTGGTTAGCGAACAGACGACCCTGACCGAGCCTCCGACTGCTCATGTCCGCAATTCTCCGCGAGTCCCGGGAAGTCTGGCGTCAAGTCCCCCTGATCCTTCGATATTGAGCAGCAATTCTCGTTCGGCCTCGCATAGGAATGTGAGTGCTCTGCAGGATGACGAACGGAGATTACGCGTGATGCAAATGCGAGGGCGGTAAACTAAAACACAGCTGTTTGATGATTTTGGTTTAATAGCAGATGTTGCGCTTTGGAAAGGAATGATTTCGACGATTTTGAGAAGATCAATACGCAATTTTTATGGCGGGCGTGGCGTTTTCATGCAACAACGATACCCGGTTGCGAGTATTACGAAAGAGAAAGAGAGACACACGAAAAGGAGGTACAATGCAGCAAGGAGGGTGAAAAAGGTGGTGATACGGAGAAAGTATAATATCGAGGATATCGCACGTGGCGGTTACGCACACTGCATTCAAGTTTCAATTACAAGATGGCTGGCCTTCGAGACGTCCATACGATTGCATACGCCCGGGCGTTTGTTTGCTCCAATTGGCAGGGTCTGGACATGGATACCTTTACATACAGTGCTCGAGGGAAGCAGCATTTGTCTCGGTTGTCGGATGCCCAGGACAGCTTACTACTAGTAGGTAATAGGACTGGTATGCACAACACCAAAATACAAATGATATCCAAATGGAATGAAGACTACGATTTGGTTCAAAGTACCTACCACTGTAGATATATATTCGTGCAGTTGCTTCTGCTTCCCAACTTGCCTTTACAAGTCTACTAATGTTACACGACGAAGGCAAGGCAAGTAACTACCAATAACAGCCTCGCTCAGCCAAAAGCTTTCTGAACGAGCTGCCCAGGGCATCAATGACGAGTTTGAGCTGTTTCTGCTGTTCTCGCGGGCCGAGACCGATCTGGACATCGACGTTGACATCGACTGTATCTGTATCCGCCGTTGTGGATGTATTTGTATCTGTGGTGGTCGTATCAAAATCAACCAGTTTCCTCCCATCTACATCCGTCGCGCTGGCCTGGACGACTTCAGGACTGCTCGCGGCCTTGGGCGGTCCGGTCTGTGTTACAGGTGTAATGGGCGTGGCGTCCAGGAGAGATTGCCAGCGCGCGAGAAAGGCGCCTGGGCCGGGAGATGAGGAGACGGTGGGGATTGGAGATGAGTTTTCCGAGTTGTCGTTGTCGTTGTCGTTGTCGTTGTCGTTGATATCATCAGTGTCGTTTTGGCCTGGAGGAGGACTTGGAGCCCGTGACGAAGGCGGCCGAGGTGTATTTGGACGAGAGCTGGATTTGCCATTGCCATTGCCATTGCCATTGCTGGTCGCAAAAATCTTTGCAATAGCAGGATTCTTCGACGGCGGCGATTTCAGCACCTCAGCCAGTCGGGCCGTGGATTGGGCGTGCATCTCGTCCAGAAAAGCCGAGTGTGAATCCAAAACGGGGAGGATGCGTGATTGTGTTTCTTGATCGAGAGAGACGAAGAGCTGTTGGAGTGGTTGGGTGAGTTTACCTGCTGCTCCTGCACCTCCTCTAGCGGTATCGTGCTGTTGTTGAGAATTTGGGTTTGTTTCTTCTTCTTGTTTAAACTGCTCGGCCGCTTGCTTCGCCCAGTCCAAATACCAGCCCGTCAATTCTTTGTCGTTTTTGCAGCACTGGTGCAGAAACACATGGCTGGCCCGTTGGTGTTTGCGAAGCAATTGCACGAAATCGCCGACGGTGGGGACGATCGATTTTCCCGTTTGTTTGTCGGTGTGGATTTTGGAAAGTTTGATCAAGTCCTTTAGAAAATATTCAAAATCCGACAAGGTCGCTGACAAGTCGACGGCCTTGTGCATTCGGCGGATGACGGGCTCGTAGGCGTCAATCACTTCTCGAACAGACACGGTCAGGTGGTCTGGAGTGGCTTTGCAGAGACATTGGATCAGTTGTTTCCGATCGCGGATCGAGAGATGGATGGCTAGGTATTCTAGGGCTTTTCGGTGATGAATGTCTGTTAATTCTGATTCTGTCCTGCTGTCGCGTAAAATGGCTGTGACGATCGAGATGGATCGTGTTTGGCTGTGTTTTCGGATTCGGTCTTGTTCGGATTGAGGTTTGTGTGTGTATTCTTTCAGAATGCGTAGTTGGTCTTTGCCGAGTTGAGCTCGTTCACGCTCTAGCTTGGCCGCGCGTGATTCTAGTTCTTTGATGTCCCAGTTTAGAACGGTGGATATGATTCTGGACAGAAATAGAGATGCCAATGGTTAGATCTACTGTAACGTTTGTATATAGGGGGTGGGGGCAGTCGGTTGGTAGAGCAAGGATTGAAACGTTTGTGACTTACGTCTGCATGAGATTCATGCCTTCGTCTTGTTTCTGCGTCAAGCCAATCCAATTTGTGACGCTGGCAACGCTCATTTTGGCCAGGCCAATCTTGACCACGGCGTTGATCATCGAGGCAACGTTGCCAATCTTTAGGGTCTGTTTCAGCACCATGTATGGGACTAGCTTGTTGGCGTTCTCGATCAGCTTCAACAGATATTGGCCCTTGGGCGACAGGATCAATGTGTAGTGCATCAGAGAGGCAAGGCTAAGAAACGTGTCAGCCGAGGAGTCGATCAAAGGAGTTGTTGGGTGACCCTCACTTGACCAGCACAAACTCGTGTACCGCCTTGATCAGCTGGCCATGATCTTCCAGGTTACTGGTTTCAGCCGTCTTCTGCACCAGTTCCTCCAAGAGATTTCCATATATGGCATCGTTCAAAAATTCCCGAAATGCGCGGCCGAGATCTCCGGCATCGGTCACGTCGTAGTCAGAACCATGTTCCTTGATCACGGGAACACCTCCGTACACGCCCCGGACAGGATATTCAATCAGGGCCGAGATGGCGGTAGCAAGAGTTTTGCGGCTCCCTATCACGCCTTTGTCGTAGCTCTCACTAAGATTGGCTCTCTCCAGGCTATTGATGATGTCGTGACATTGCACTCTCCACCATTTTTCGGGCAGGTTCTTTAGGCCGGGGAGATTCAAGATGAACCTCGACACTAGGGTCTGCAACGAGGGAGCACTGGATGGGTGTCCAGCCTTGACTTTGAAGGGTGGGCCATAGTGCGCAAGGCTGCCTGGTTTCCTGAATTCGCGGATTTGAGCGTAGGTGTCGTAGTGCGTGAGGATGTCGAAGAGAGCGGCTACCTGGGTGGGAGAGAGCACTTGCACCTCTGTCATTTTCAGTTGCCGTCACCATTTGCTGCTCATCAAGGGCACAGCAGGGTCCGGCAGGAGAAGACGATTGATATTGTAATCTTGAAAGCTTTGCGGAAAATTGAGTCCAAGATACTGGAAAATTGACATGATGGCATGGAGTCAAAAGTGTTTGATATGACGTCGGCGGAGGTACTCAACTTTAAGCGGCGGCCGGCAGCACTTTTTACCCGCTATATATACCTAGTATCTAGGTTCAGTATGTTGAACAGTCCCATCTGTTTGCACTCTCGGGATCATAGAAATGGTGATAGCACGATAACAGTAGCTTTGTCACTGCGAGACTGCTGCTGAACCCAGACGCATCTTCAACCATGATAATCTTATAGTAGGGCTTTTAGCAAACCACATCTCATCCGGAAAAGAGTACCTGGGCGCCCGCAGTACAACGCTCTATAACTGGCGCTAGAATCGACTTCTTTGGGGCGGCCCGGAACCGCCTCCACAGAGTCTCAGCCTTGTCATCATCCCCGCAGAGGCGCCTAAGGAACCCCCCATACTCTCCTACTGTAATACTGTAACCAAGCGCTGCCTCTGTAGCCTGCAAATGACGCCTGACTCGAGCAGGTACCGCGATAGACACTACAACTGTGATCCACCGACTTTACCAGTTACCCTTGTATCTACCTCCGTACACAGCGAGAGCACCTCCGTATCTCTACATAGCCCTCTACTCTCCCGAACACCCATAATCCTGCTGGAGGCGCTGGAATACTGGCGCCGCCATGACTTGAACCTCCAGAAATGTTCCGCCGCTCGTTGCTCTCCATCCACAACACTCCTCTACGACGCCTGACGAGCCCTGCCACAGCTCCATACAATGGCTTTCTGCGATATCCAGCCTTTCGGAACTCCTCGACGCCCTTCTCGCGATGGCGTGCAGCCTCCAATCGACCCTACGAATACCAATATCATCCCCAGTCACCTGCTGTCCACGTTATTCGCGAGGGACCCTCACGTCTAGCCCGCTTCGCCAGATCCGTACTATGGGCCTTCCTATTCCTCACTCTAGGCACCTACGCAGCCTCGCGCTACATGGTTGGGGCATATTTCCGACAAGCAAGAGTAAAGCTCGATTCTGCTCCAGATGTAGAGCTAGCCCACGACATCCTAGACCAGATCGATCGACATCCTGCCGTCCAGGCTCTGAAAGCGGACCCCGAGTTTGAAGAGGTACTTCCCCTGGCCACAACTCCCGAGATTACAAAGGCAATACAGACGGGGAAAGACCCCAGACTCGTTCATCACTTGGTTTACACTGCGCTTCGCGGGTCCCGCGGCGTCTTCCCTCGAGCCTTCTATTGTCACTCGCGTGCTACACTGGTCATGGTGGTGGGATTCAGTTATGGCACAGAAGGGACAATGGGAACTCTGCACAACGGAGCCCTGGCAACGATGGTGCATGAAGCGTTGAGAGTGCTAGCAGCAGCCTGGTTCCCTGCCGAGGTCTCGTACAAACTCGCGGACCTCCACATGTATTTCAGCATTCCCCCGGTGTCGAATGGCATCTATTGCATCCGTGTCATGCCTGCTAGCACCGTGGCAGACTTGGAAGAGATCGTGAGCGAGCACAGATCGAGAACCAATGCACAGCCGGCGGAAAGCAAGAGCAAAAGCAGTCCATTCGATCGCTTTCTCCCCTCCTGGCTTCGATCAGGGACGAATTCGGACCCCGCCCACTATCAACCTCCTATTTGGCCTGATTGGTTTGATCCCACAGATGAGGAACAAACGACCAATACAATGATTGCCTCAGTGTCCATGTATGATGGACATCCTCTGGACGAGGCTAATGCCGCCATCGTGCACTGCGTCGGACGGTTTGAGGTGAAGCAAGAAGAGAGTCAGGCGTCGGAAGACTCTCCACGGCAGGAGGAGGATGAAGTTACCCCTTGAAGATGCGCCCATGCTGCCTTCATCCCCCTTTCTGATGGTCAAATCTAGTTTCCGAAGGAGTGGTCATCCGTCCGGAGACAATGGCAAAGTTATTTCTTCGCCAACTCCAAGACTCCTAACGTCACAGACCCAGCCATTCTCCTTCAGCCTCTCCCCACTTTGGCCCTGATACAAGCTCATGATCGCTTGATCCACTGAGCCACGCTTCACGCGCAACCGTTTGACGCTTATCCCACAGTCGACTTTCGGTTCGTCGTGTGCACTGATCCAGCACTGCGCCATCAGAGCACGAGCAATCTCCGCCCCACCCTGTACGCCTGCCATGATGTTGCCTCCGAGGTACCAGGGGTTTTGGGCGTGGTCGAATGAGTGGAAGAGGATTGTGAGCGGAAGCGCACCAGGAAGCCGGGCAAGATGGTTCTGTATGTACGGTTGGAGATCACTCAAGGGGAGGCCATGCGGCGAGTAAATGATGGATATGACATTAGATGGATTATGGTCTGAAGGAGACACGGGCGGTTGGTACGTGATACCCCACGCATTATGCAAGCCCGTAAAATAAGATTTTGCTGGTACAAATGCGATGGCCAGCTCTCCTGGTGACCCTTGCGGAGACAGCGGAGGGATAGGTAGTCGTAGTAATGTTGTTGAAGTTGACGTAAACAGCGATGTCGATGGCGACGGCGACGGGGATGGAGATGGAGAAAGAGACCTCGATTTAATGTTATTGTGAGTCTGATTGTTGGTACTAAGATCATATTTCTGTACGGCAACCACCCTCCCCGGATCGAAATACTTCCACCCTCTGATAGTTTTGGCGGCCCCCGGTTCAGCGGCAATGATAGTCTTTGTCTTTGCAGGCAGCTGAAGCAGGGTTTCTCGATGGCAATGATCCGGTTTATTCTGAGATATAATCATGACGTCTGGCTCTCGTGGCAATTCGGACAGATGTTCGATAGCGCTGGGGAAGCGGTGGGTTGTCTTTGCGAACCAGGGGGCCGTGATGATCGATGGACCGGTAAGCCATGGGTCGATGAGAACGGTGGATGTGGGAGTACTAGTATTTTCATGGGCCTCGTTGAACGTGAGTAGGAACGTTGAGTCGGCGTTGAGGTGTTTGACTGTTAGTGTCATTGTCATGCCCGCGGACATGGAGGATTAGAGTGCATGTGTAGCCCTGCTATCACTGTAGTATAACCTGAGGTATGTACATGTACTGTATCAGTGACAGTCACAGTGATGACTTGGGTTGGTGATGATGATTCTCCATTGCCGGTGTCAGTATGTTCCTAGAGATGATTCTGAGCACTCCGGCTACAGTTGACGTCTGTCAGATCTCGCGCCAGATGGAATACAGTAGTGGCAGGATGAGACGATGCGGCTCAGCTCTGCTCTGGACCCTGCAGCGCGAGAGGGATGGAGTGGACTGGACGTCGATCACTGCAGTCCACCAAGCCTACAATTACAGTAAATCAAGGCTTGATTTTTACTTCTTGCACGAGAGAGATGAAGTTCGAGCACTTATAGTAGTTGTACACATACTGTACGTCTGGGTACCTAAAGATGGTCATTGTTGACATCAATGTGGACCTTGATCAGTCGTAAGATTGCCTCGATCTATCCGACACTTCCTAGTACTATAACAAAACTCCGACCACCATCAGACGAGTCTGGTCATCACTCATTTGTTGCTGCCATCGCAGTACCAGGTAGAAGGTATTTCCTGGGCCCCATCCGCAGATCCCAAGCTGCACTGGCGTTTGGACACTGGTGCTGCACTGCTCGAGAACTTGAACCTCAGGCCTGGGCCCCGGCCTGTCGTCTCACCGCCAGTGCCTGGTAGATATACACATGTGCGGCTTTCAACCTCAACCTCGACCTCGACCTCGACCTCAGCGATCACGCACTGCATCTCCAGAAAGATCATATGCTCAAGCCCGACGGACACGGTAAACCGTCACCGTTCCAGTGGCCCGAGGTTCACCCAACCCATCTTAGGCCAAGTATCAGTATCAACATCAGCCATTATTCGTCAGTTGAAACTGCCAGAGGAGAGAGAGAGAGAGAGAGAGCATCGTTTCATCACTGCAGGACTCGACGGGTGCTGTGCAGCCGCGTGCAGCGACTTCTTCCCCCAATCACAACCGATTCGGAAACAAAGGAGCATTTCGGCCCCTTCTGAACAATCTCAACATCTCCTCTCCCATCCAGACATTTCGCGAAGTCGCAATCCCAGCCTCGACATCAGCCACCCGGCCCGCCTGAACCAGCAGACCTTTCCCGTTGGCATCGATACCCAATCCCATAAGATACACCACCGCATCCGCGATCTCGGCCGGGTCGTTGATGGGCACTCCCAGCGCCCGCATCCTCTTGGCCCAATCGGACAGCGACTCTCCAGGTTTGCGGCCTGCAATGATATCCGTCAACGTGATTCCCGGGGCGACCACCGAGATGGCAATTCCTTGTTTGGCCGTGTCGTTTTTTAGAGCTCTCATCAAGCCCACGATCCCTAGAGACAAAAATCAGCATCAGTAGCAATGCCTAGGTAAGCAATCACAGCCGTAAGGGAGATGATGTACCATGTTTGGCCGCACTGTACAAAGGAGCACCGGCACTGGCCAAATACCCAGCCAGACTGGCCGTCATGACAATCGAGCCGGAGAACCCACTTCCACTTCCACTTCCACCTTTGCTGCTGCTGTCGGGCTTCTTATTCTTGTTCTTCTTCAAATAATAAATCGCCAACCTAGTCGTATCATTAGCAGCAAGCAAATCCACATTCAACGTCCGACGATCCGGCTCCCTCAGTAACCCTTCTTCATCTAACTCGTCCTTGAAGAACTGGTCGCCGTACTCGTTGATCCCGGCATTGACAAAGACGGCATCGATGGATCCGAATTTGCGGAACCCGGCCTCAAACGCCGCCCGCTGAGACTTCCACGACAAAATGTCGCATTGCTGGTATAAGAACCGAGGCGACGAGACTAGTGATGCCGGCGCTGAAGGGTGAGGTGCCGCCCGGTCTAGTATGATTACATTGTTGTCCAGCTGGTCGTGGAGCAGGATCGCGGTTTGTAAGCCGATCCCGCTGCTGCCTCCGGTGATGAGGACTGTGCTGTTTCGTGGGCCGGTCAGCTGGGAACGCGAGATGTTGAATGCTTCGGGGGGTGCCATGATGGCGTGGCAGCTGCTTTTGTTTTGTCCTTTTTGTCTTTTTTTTTTCTTTTTAAATATTTTCTTTCTTCTCGTTAATGCACTTGTCCACGCCACACCACAGGAGAGATCAGTGCTATTTCTATGTTCGGCCGGGTGATCTTAAGGCTGGTTGCGATACTGTATGTTCAGTTCCACCGGATTTCGCTCCCCCCGCATCCCCCGGATGTTTTGCAATGGTGGACCCTTCGGACCTGTACTGGCACCTCGGATCTAGGCGAAAGCCACTCACTGCAGGCCCAATTTCGCCCGGTTTTCGGTCTTTCTCCTTTTATTCACACATCTCGTATACCATTACTCCCACTGCAATGTGCTTCGGTGACGGAGGCCTTTCCAGAATGCATGGCTTTGACAAGAAATACAACCCTGCACGGCAGAGGCCTGGATAATAAGTACTTCAAGTTCACGTGGCTGCAGTGCCGTTGTAACAGGGCCCAAAGGGAGAAGAAACAGTTCTGTCAGTCAGTCGATTCCTGTTTGCAAAGTCCTGCAGTGTCAATGCTGTTGGTCCAAGTTCCGGGCCACAAAGACACCAGCGTCACGAATTTAACACAGCTGCATTCCATCTTCGGTTCAAGTCTTTTACAGTAGCGGTGGAATGGTCGTTTCCATGTCTTGAAGCATGTTTTATACAACCTCCTCAACCGGAGTCCTAGTACTGTATGCATGAGGTACTAGTTGTAGTATCGTATGCAAACCCAATATTGGCCTTGACCTAGCCACTGTCGTTCCATCGTAATAATACCATAACTCTGCCAAGCTCTGCAGCAGTGGCAACCGGGAACCTCGCTGAACAAAAGCACAAAACCACTATACCCGCTGCGTGATCCAAACTTCAAACCTCAACTCGCTGTTAATGCAAAACTGAATCCCAGAATGCCCATGCCCAGAAATGCAAAAGCAATACAAGTGCCCTTGTTGTGAGTCAACTGCAGACTCTCGGCAAACAGAGACAAAGCCACGCTGGTCATAACTCCTGAAGTGACCGCAAACATGCCTCCGTAAATGCCCTCCGTAGGTGCGCCCAAACTGCTCCGGTTGGCCAATTTGAACCATAGAGCCGCGACCCCGGCTCCTATAGGCTGTGAAACCCCGCCAAAGAACGAAGACCATGCAATTGCCTTGAATCGGGAGTCTAGAGCCAGATATAGGGGCAATGACATGGCAAAACCTTCGGTGATGTTGTGGATGAAGAGCGCCATAAAGACGGAAAATCCAAGCTGCGGATTGGCGTGATTGGTCGCATAGGTGATGAATCCTTCGGGAGCCTTGTGCAAGGCAATCGCCAACGATGTCTGAAGTCCTATTGACATGAATGCATTGGTGGGGACATGATGGTGATGTTCGGGCGCATTCGAAAAGACAGAACCCCGCCGCAGACTGCCACTCGCCTCTGCATGATCGTGCTCCGGGTGATGGAAGTGGTGGGTATGATGTGTCACAGAGCGCGGGCGCTTCACACTCCTGGTCAAGCTCAGGTTGTTAGGCCGAGTCGATTCGGTTGTATCTTCGGGCGGACTCTCTCCCAATCCTTCCAACGGGGGCGCTAGATGGCCACCATCAGAAGTATAACTGCGCCATGTTTGATGTCTGGCAAAGGGACCATGGCCTGGTAACACAGAACCTCGGCGATGTACGACCTTGAAACAATCCTGTCCGCAAGGATCGGAAAAGCCCATGCAAGGACCCTCCTCGTCACAATTTTCCTTCTGTCCGGCAACATATTTGGAGAATGTCCTTGTCAACGTAGCAGGAATAACAGAGTGCTTTCGAGAGCTGGGTGCTGTGTGAAATAACTGTTTCCGGCCGCGCTCCTGGTCTCCATGTGTACCAAGGTGACCTTTCTTGGGACTTTGGCTGGCCGTGCGTGCCAACAACGGAGTCTCTTCGTGGTCTTCCGCAGACGGCGCAGAAAATGATTTCGATATTGGGAGGCCATTGGTAGTGTCGCCTTCTTGAGAGTGCTCTGCCATCTCTTCATGCTGCTTCGTGAGGGCCTCCTCGTCGTCGTGGGTGTGGTCGCAGTCAACGACGTGCGTGGGCAAAAACCCATGGATCACGCCCGACAAAAGCCGTATGCCGATCACGCCGGTCAAGAATAGGCCGATCAAAAGGTACGAGGCGTCTCGGGGCGAATATCCCGCGTCTTTGAGATATTTCTTCGACTGTGGTAGCATCGAGTACAGGGCGGAAAATAACTATGCCATTGTTGTCAGTTTGACAGACGCCCAGAAGTAGAGTCCAGTAGTCCATACCATCACTCCGAAACTCAGGCTGAGCGACGCCGAGAGGAAAGCATCGCTTTCAGCGATGGAGAAATTTCGCCAGCGGGGAAACAAACGGACAACTATATCGACACAGATGATCGTGGCGCCCAGCACGCAGGCTATACAGGTCAGTTTTCCTGCGGATACCAAGGAGGAGCGAGAGATTCTTACCAATCCCACTGATACATGTCATAATCCATCCTCGAGTGTCGTTTTCCACAGGCATTTTGAACGGAACACAGGTGGGGCGACGAGGATATTCGGTGGGTTCTGGTGATGCGTTGGAGAAGACTGGGCGTATAGAATATAGAGTCTATTCTCGCAAAGTAGGAGATACAAGGTCAGGATATAGAACGCATGGTGGGAACTCGAGACGGCGACCAGGTCGACGTGAGACTTGGACGGTGATGTTTGTTGCAGTAGTGGTGGTGACAGACATGTCAAACTCGAGTCCGTGGGCACAGGAAAGCGCGAAGATGGAGGGCGGCCAGATTACCACACACGTGCACTGTGATTCTAGATCAGAGGACCTTAAAAGCAGGGTTTATGAGTGGTCGCCCCAGCTTGCTACGGGGGATCAGGGTTGTCTGAGCGCAGTTTGTACATATGCCTAAAGCAAGCATGCCTACAGGTCCATATAGGTACATATAGCGCCTACAGGATACAACGGTATATACTTACCTACCGTGGTACAATCAGTGTTGTATCCTCAAGGTAGGTGCATTAAAAGACTACAAGGTAAATCTTGAAGCGTGCGCCTTATGTGCCTCCGAGCCTCGTCGCTGAGTAAGTGGCCATGCAGCACACACAGCGCACTGCACTGCGCTGCAATGCGATCGACCGCTGCACGATCTACGCGCCCCGGATCGCAGGGAAGCCCAAAGGCGTATCTTAAGCGCTGAATAGGCGTCGCTCCGATTGGCCTCGCCTGAGGATTCTCGCGCCGCGCTTCTTTTTTCGACCACCTGCGCAAGGTAAGACAAAACCCTCCCAGCTGATCACCACAAAGCACACCCGATTGCAGTGCCTACATGGTACTATAACACTATACCAGGACCACGCGGGATGCATTCGACAACTTCTCAGTGATCTCTGTTCTTTCAGATCCCTCACAAATGGCCAACACAAGCCTTGCCCTCGTCGCCGCGGCCTCTGCAGCCGCAGGGGCCTCCGTAACAGCATTGATCCTATCGCGATCTCGACAACAATATATACCTCCTCCAACTCCCACCTCAGCCTCGCCCTCGGTGCCACCAACGCCAACTACACCCTCAACAACCACCACCGCCATCCCAGCATCCCCCGTCCCCGTCCCAGTCCCCGTCCCCGTGGCCGTATCCCAAACCCCAGCACCAACAACAACCCTCACTCCCCCCGTCGACCCATCCGGCATCCTACGATACGGCTATCCCGGCCCTATAGCAGACACATTATCAACGCCCTCCTTCCTAGCGGCATTCAACAGAGCAACCCGAAACCCTCACTGGGTCGCCGAGCACTTCACCCGTCAATCCCTACTACTCAACAATGCCTCCCGACGCAACTCAGTCTTTTACGAAGACTTGACTGTTCCGCCCATGTTCCGCGCAAAACTCGCCGACTACGCACGAAGCGGATACGACCGTGGCCACCAGATGCCCGCCGCAGACGCAAAATGGTCCCAGGAGGCAATGGACTCGACCTTCTCGTTGAGCAACATGTGTCCGCAGGTCGGGGAAGGGTTTAATCGTGATTACTGGGCTCATTTTGAAGACTTTTGTCGTGAACTGTGCAAGAAATACCCCAGTGTCAGAGTCGTCACGGGTCCCCTTTACCTACCCAAAAGGGATGAAAAGGATGGGAAATGGAGGGTCTCGTACGAGGTTATTGGAAACCCTCCAAACGTCGCTGTCCCCACCCATTTCTTCAAAATCATCTTCGCCGAGGAGCAACCCGACAGTAGTCCTATCGGAAAGGTCGCTCTGGGCGCTTTTGTCCTGCCCAATGCAGAGATCTCCAACCAGAAACGCCTGAGCGATTTCGAAGTCCCCATTGAAGCGGTGGAACGTGCAAGCGGCTTGACCTTTGGTGAAAAGTTGCCCCCGGAGAGAAGAAAAAAGCTTTGCAGAGAGGTCAAATGCGAAATCACCATTAGAGAATTCGACAGAAGCAGACAGCAGGCGACCACTGGCGTTGCACCAAACTCCAAGATCATTCCCCAGATTGCACAGGGAGGAACGAAATGGTAACAGCCCGATGGGTCAAGGGGTTGGAGCGTGGAGCATATTGCTATGCTGGTCATGTATGGAAACAAGCCGAATGCATGCAACCTGGCTGAGATTGTACGGCCTTGCTGGGTTTTGTGGTTGGTCAAGTTTCTTACTTCCGAGTGATGAGCGTTCAGCGGCATTAACCTGGCGGGTCAAATTGTGCGAGTGGTCGCGTCCTAGGATGCAGTTCCCAGCAGACAAACTAGTCCGGTATGAAACAATTTCTTTCAGTACTACCCAGGCAGAGGATGGCAGCAACGAGTATTTACTTGGCAGAGAAGCATTTGGTAAAGCGAAAGTAATCACTGTTTTCGTCCTACGGCTCAAGGGCCGTGGGCCACCAACAGTCTAAGGATATGCAAGTATGGATACTCCCCCTTCTCGCCCAATGCAGCGGCATCCAACTCCAGCCAGGTCACTTTCTCTCGCCATGATTCCAATCTTTTCCCGCCTACTTTCACTCACTCGGCCTGTCCAACTCCCAGACTGAATGCCCAGCCCATTTCGCCCAATCCATTGTCCGGTGTTTTGGACTCTTAAATTTCTCTCGGTGTCCACCGTCTTCCCCAAGGCAATTTGCTACCAGGTAGGACAGCCTAGATGCCAAATCGCCCGCCGAAAGGGCCGCCGAACCGGCCTCCAGCTCCGAAAGGTACGCGGATCGTCTGAGTTTGGGTTTGGGTTTGGGTTTGTGTCTGGGTCTGGGTCTGAATCTGAACCTGTGTCGCCGTGGATGTTGCAGTCACTGAAGCAGTCGTAGTCTGCGCAGGAGGTTGAGCGTTGCTGAGAGTCACGGTAGAGGGGTTGTTTGCAGTCACCGTCAGAGTCGACGGCTGTACGGGAGCCTGGGGGTTGGCAGGAGCCGTGAAGGTGACTGTTTGGATGCTGTTGGACGTAACGGTCAAAATTGCACTTCCAGCGCCTGTTTGGCTGCTGCCGTCGGTAACCGTCTGAGTTGCAGTCGTGGTGACAGTCGAGGCTGAGGCGCTCAGAGTGAGAGTACTGGTGACCGTCGCAGTGACAGTAGTCGTGGCTGCAGAAGCGGTGCTGACTGTCGAGACCGAAGTCGAGATCGAAGTCGAAACCGAAGTCGAAGTTGAGACAGAGGCGACGTTAGTGAATGTGGCGGTGATGGTACCTGTGTCACCATTCGAGTTGGTGACGGTAGCAGTCATGGTCTTGGTGGTGGATGTCATGTTAGATGTCTGCAACATTCAACGTGGAGCGGGACGTACCGTGAGGGTTGGCTGATCCTGACGACCGTACAGGACGTTGTCGTGGCCATCTTCAGCGCGGCCCTTGAGGGCAACTGCGCTGGCACCAGCAAGGAAAAGAACGAGAGCGAAGAAATGCATCTTGGTTATAGCTGTTGGGATACGAATGTGATAATGCAACGGTGCCAGCTGTGGGAAAAGAGAGGATTGGGCGTGTGAAAGAAAGAGAAGAAGAAGAAATGAGAAAGAGGAAGAAGAGGAATGCTTTATAGCACTGGGATGCAGAGTCTGCTGGCGAGGGAAGGAGGCCTGCAGTCTGGATTTGCACGCTTTTTTGGCAGCAGCGAAGTCAGTCTGGTCAAACATGATGCAGGAACTGTTGCGACGAGGAGCGTTTATTGCTCAGGCTGTTGACGGCATCTCCTCCCGGCTTCTAAGAGAGGGAGGAAGGTGCTGGCCGTGGCTGAGGAAGGGCCACATGGCAGTGCAGTCATCACAGTGGCTGGCACACTGGCATTGCAATGATCGCGAGGCATCTCGTTGTGTACCTGCCCGCTCCATGTCCTGGTACGTCCATGCAGCTCCTGAGGAGTCGGACACCGTGTGGAGGAGGCAGAGTGTGATTTCAGGGGTCTTGCCCTATTTTGAGAGGGCCCGGGTCTTCGCCAGACTCTACCTATACCAGGCAGAGGTTATACGACTCTGTATGACGCTAGACGAGACCATTCGACGGTCCTCGACGTCTCTACAACGCTTGGGTACCCAGGGAGCCTTGATTAGTTCCTGCAGGCAGTGGACATGATCACTGAGGTGTAGTGGTTGGAGTTGAGACATGCTTTACGCCAAACCACATCAGGTTGTAGTGATGGTCGAGGCTGAAGATATTCGCTTTTGATTGGGTGTTTGGAACTGGACGATGCTGTCTAAACCTCAGTTGCGTCATTCATACTATGGGATCTATCCAGTAAACAAGGGCTTCATGTTCATCATTATCGTTACAGCAGACGCAAAAGTGCAAAAGAGGTCCTCTTCGCAACGGTCGAAGCATTTGGTCTACCACCTCTACCTCACTCCCACGACACCCCTCGCTCGATTGCCAGGATCGTCTCAATGTGGGACATCTGAACCTCTCCGCGAGGTCCATCTTTCGTACTTTCATGGCTTCGCGCGAGCATCTGAGCGGCTTTCACCATATTCTTGATTTGGCGTCCGTTCAAGTCCACTTGGGCCAGTCGATCCAGGTCTTGACCGGTCAGTGCACTGTCAGGTCCCAAGAATTTCTGCCAAATCTGGCGTCGAGACTCGGCTGACAGGTTGGGATAATTGATTGTGATGTGGATTCTCGACCGAAAGGCTTTATCAATATCTTTGACTCGATTGGTCGTGAGAAAGAGGACGCCTTCATAGTATTCCAGGACTCGCAGAAAGATGGAGACCATTTTGTTACGCTCAAGGTCATGGGTGCTCCTCTGTTCCAGGAAAACGTCGGCCTCGTCCAGCAAGAGCACGGCGTTCCATTTGCTAACCATGTCCAGCACCAGATTGAGTGTTTCTTCGATCTCGCTTGGGACCAAACCTAGGTCGCCGGCGCTCAGGACGTACAGTGGTACTCGCATGTCCTCGGCAACGCTTTCACTTGTCAGAGTCTTCCCGACCCCGGGCGGTCCGGCAAGCAGCATGATCATGCCACGGCCTTTGCCAGCTATCACGTCGTCGAAATCGTCCTTGTGCTTGATCTGGCACTCGACAAAGGCCCGGATCAGCGTTTTCTGCTCAGGCGGTAGCACTAAGGAGGTGAATGCGTCGGTAGAGAATTTGATGGATTCGATCTGGTCAACGTAGAACCAAAGCCATTTTTTCGTCTTGAGGGCGTAACCCCGGACATAGGGAACTGCAACGGCAAGTTCTCCACTTGTCAACCCGCGGTGTTCAGGACCTTTGCTGGCAAATTCGTCCACGTCAAGGTCAATGTCGCCGGTGTAGTAAAAAAAGTCATCTTTTACGTCGCTAGACTCGGAGTCAGTAGAGCCACCCATGTCAACGTCTGCTGGTAAAGCCGTCTTTGGCTTCGCCAGTGCGCTGAAGATCACAGCCCTGCCGGGCAAGAATCGATTGTGAGCGTCACAATCAATGATGATTCGCGATTCGATATTATGGCGGATCATTCCACATCGACCGTATCCAAGAGCCACACCACGGTATGCTCTGTAGTGATAACCGGCAAAGCGTTCAAACAGTCTGCCTCTGGCCAACAAACGTTGGAGGATGTTGTCCTTGTCAGGGTGGAACTCCAAAGGGAATACATCCAAGGAGGTGATTGGCATGGTGCCCTCAAACTCGTAGATTCTCAACCCGAAGCCGTGATTGCGCCCAAACTTTCTTCCGTCCCAATCAGTGGCCCATGCATTCAGGGTGAGCATTTGCAATCCTCGTTTTTGGTCCACCGTGTGCCCACAGGAACAGTGCTCGAACAAGCATTCTTTCCCTTCCACCACACTGTAGATGAGCGCACCCGGCTCGAAAATCGTCCACAGATATTCAAAAGTGATGACCCCGTTTTTGACAAGGTCGACTTTGGCGGCAATTGCGCTCTGGAGTCCTTCACAGAGGACGTCACGAAATAGTTGAAGATGCTCTCTAGCGATTGGCTCGTCGAATTCATTCTCCGCAAGCATATCCTCGAGCCGAGTCCAGCGATGCACAAAAGGATGGAATGGCGCCTTGAAAACCAGGCGATCAAGGTTGGTGGTTACGCCCGGATAGTCTTTTAGGATGACGCCCAACGACTTCTTCAGCCACGGACTTTGGACAATGATGGAATCAAGGTCGTACTTTTTCCGGCTGTCGTAGCTTTTCTTCTTGCGTGGCAAAAACGCATACTGAGCAGTTTCTGAATTCTCGGCGGGATCAACAGCATCTGCTGGTTCCTCGGTAACCCATTGGATCTTGTCGTCTTTGTCCTTCTGTGCATACAATATTTTGAACCCAGTGATGCTACCGGGGACAGCAGCAGGTTCCTGCACTCCATTGGGTTTACCTTCGGACTGTTCGGAGCCGTTCCGGGTAGCGTTCTTCAAAGGTGCCGCCATCGTTCTGAAGGCGCTAGAGGAAGCGCTGGTTTGGTGGACAATGAAAACAAAGGCGAGAATAGCAGAAGAGGTCGAGCTTATATAGAGTGAATTGATTCAACAGGTGGGGAGCAAGAGACAATCAGGTTGAACAGCAGATATGAAACAATATTGCCTGACTTACGAGGGTCAAGTGGACGGTTATTGGTCTCATGTTGGCCCGTCTTTTGCCTGGACACTGTAGTTCTCCTGCAATGAACAAGGCTACTTCATAGAGTGTTGATGCCTGGACGAGTACCCGATGGAAAGCAAGACTTCATTGGTCTGAGAACCGTGAATAGGCTCCAGCTGTGAGTCAGTCAACAAGATCGACAGTATAGGCAGATCCATGAGACACGCTCTTATGGTGTCCACCTCCTCTGCCTAATGGACATGCAAGGAGCCCGAGGCCGCCGGGCAGGGAAAAGTGGTCTTCAACAAGATACTGTATCTAGGCGTCCAACTTGAAGGGGCCAGAAGAAGTGATTGGTCTATGATGGTTGTTTTCGTTCTAGCGCGGCTGAGTCAACCTCCTCGAACCAGAAACCAGCAGGTAGTTCATACAAGAATGTTATACAGTGGATATAGTCCAATACAATCATGAGCCGTGGATGCCTATTATCTGTGAAGTCATGAGTCAACAGAGTGTGACTTAACCCCCAGTCTTTGTGCCCTAGATCGAAACCAATGATGCCGCATCCTCACGACGGGGGCGGCTGTTACGACTTCCAACGATAACACAAGGCACGGCCGGGTGCTGCTGGGTTAGCACCCTCATGTCTTCTTTCACTGCTTCTTGGCTCAAAAAATGAAATCTGGGCTGGCTTGCTCTACCGGCCAGGGGTCGCAGGCGGATGGCCACCATCCCATAATATCCTCGCTCGAATTCATAGTAAGCTCGGCCTATCCGAGGGACCAAGCATGGACGAAGCTACGGCTTTGTGTGGATGCGTGGCTGCCAAAAACCTCCTAGCAGAGCGTGGAGAATAGCTCAGTTCAATGGAGTCTCGGCCGACCGTAATCTTCAATTCGTGTTCGAGGATGTAGCCTGTCGTAGCTCGGACCCATGAAACCCTGTACGCGAGGCTTTGTTGCCGTTGGTCTTGGGGGTGCCGTAGCAACCAATGTCAAAGGATTTTGTGATATCAGGAACCTTCTGTGAGTAACCCTCAGGGTCGTTGATCAATTTGAACTCCTAAGTAGATGTGCGTCTACCGTAACGGACGTGAGATCACGTCCCGTCTTGCCGTGTCGATTTCGACCGGTCTTTCGTCCTGCCGTAAGCACCGCCCTCAGCCCTCCTCCGCTCAATTGCTTCTTTATAGGGGGGTGCCGTAGGTGGCTGCACCGGTGGCAGGCTCACATGGTCTTCTGGCAACCTGTAGGTGGCGTCGGCGTCCCAGGCGGACAAATCTCCGCAAGCAAGAAATGGTGCGATCCACCTTTGGGGATCGGCTTCTTCATCTTCAAAATGGACTTCCACAATTCCATCATCCCGTAAGCGTCTTGATTGCGCCTCAGAAGGCACTGCCCGCGGAGTGACCGGTTGAGGAATGTTCAGCGCATCACCGAGTTCAGGGGTCCAGTCCTTGATAGGTCGATATCCTTCGCACACAACAAAGGCTTCAATGCTGCTCGCCCTACTAGATCTGGGTTTGGCGATATGGACCCTGTCGAAAACCAACTTGAGCTGGGCAAAGATCAAGTCGACATTGCGTCCGCGGAAAATCTTGGCCACAAACTTGCCGCCTGGCCGGAGGACTTTCATGGCCAAGGCCAGTGCAGAATAGAGTAGCTGGGATTGTACATATATATCCAGGTCATGGAGACCCGTGACGTCTGGTGCACCATCGCTGATTACGAGGTCAACCCTGTATGTCTCATTGTTCTCGTCGAAATTGGGGTCAATGGACTTCAGCAGAAGAGGGACGGTGGAAGGATGAGTGATGTCGGCTTTCAGTTGAATGATGCCTTCCAGAGGAGCCATTGGCTGCAAGTCAATGGCCACAATCTTCACATTCGGTCGGGGCTTGAGTTGAGTATTAAAGGTTTGCATATCAAGCGTGGTCATTTTCTCCGCGGAGGCGCTCTCCTGATTCTGATGTAGCGAGCCGTTTTCTTGCTGTCGGAATCTTTCCATTTTCTCCACCCAGGCTCTCCGTCCGAAACTTTCACCTTTGATGAGGATACGCGAGAGGACTTGGCTCCAGCTGCCGGGAGCCGCGCATAGGTCCACCACCCGGGTACATTTGGACGGGTCTGCGTATGAGAAAAGATCGAACTGCTCATCAATCTGGATGAGCTTGAACGCAGACCTCGCTCGCCAGTTTTGTTCTTTGGCGAGTCTGTAGTAGGCGTCTCTTTTGTCCTTGGATGACTTCCCCATTGTGATATCAGTATGGAGAGAAAGTCGTGGCCGTACTAGCCATCGGGTAGAACAAAAGTCGGAGAAATTGATATTGCAGAAGTGTAGTCGAATGCTCCGCCGGCTCAGCCTCGTGGGATGCCCCTGAACCGCGCCAAGTGAATACGGCCGAGGGCACGGGACGACAACTGCAGCTTGTTCGGTGCAGCCACGGTACTCTACTCGCCAGAACGTGAACGCCAGTCAATGGAAGAGTGTCCTTTCACACCCAGCGCCTGAAGCCCACTGGCACTGTACCACCTGCGATAGCGTCGACCATTGTTCAAATTCGTACACGCGACTGTGCATCTACGCTCTGCTGTCTGCAGAGTCACAACGGCAACCATGGCGCCCGGTATGTCGCTCCACAGTGTGATTGCAATCTTGATCCTTTCCACAGACACGGCTCCCGAGTCGTCACGGCTGTACGCCAAATACTACACGCCGCCTCACACGTCGGCAACCTTCCCCGCTCCGCCCCAGCCATACCCTACGCTCAAAGAACAGAAGGCTTTCGAGAAGGGACTGTTAGAGAAGACCGCCAAGCAGACCTCGGACGTGATACTCTATGACAACAAGGTAGTGGTATTCAAAATGGAGAGCGATGTCATGATCTACGTGGTCGGAGGACCTGAAGAGAACGAGATCTTGTTATACAATGTGGTGTTGTGTTTGAGGGATACGTTGAGCATCTTACTCAAGTATGCCTTACCCGGTGATAAGGAGTGAAAGGGGCACGGCTGACCTGAATTCTGCAGGAACTCAACAGATAAGCGGACGATCATGGAGAACTACGACTTGGTTACCCTTGCCATTGACGAGACGGTGGACGACGGCATTGTGTTGGAGACCGACCCGGTTATGGTGGCTTCCAGAGTGTCTAAGGCTCCGGCGCAGGATGCCCCGAACATGAAGAATATCGACCTGAGCGAACAAGGGATACAGAACCTGTGGGAGTTTGGCAAGAAGCAGGGCATGGAGTTTGTCCGAAGAAATTTATGACCGGCATGGTCGTGGGATAAAACAGGCGATTGCGATTGGGAATGTTGTCGTTGGGCTTTATCTTGACTGGTGGGCTTGGAACATTGTGCGGGCGTTCTTCCGGATCGAAAGTCATGAAGACCATGAATAGAAGCATGCTGCCTCGGGTGACCGAGAATATGTCTAGCGTAGGCAAAAGCCGCAGTAGGGACACGGCCTGGCAAACAGACGTGGGGTGTTTACACCGTAAAACGAGTGCATACCTACTCTCTCCAAAAATCCAACGCGAGGGTTTGGCTCAAGTACATTTGTATGACCCGACGTCATCCACAACATTTCAAAGCGCATACAGTCACAGTCCTCCAACCCTCATGCCTTCGCTCCTAGTCAACAGTCAACTACAGTCGCAGTTTGTAATTCATTCTGGATAGGATTTTCCGCTTCTGTTCCTTCGTCCACGGCCATTCTTTTATCCAAAAAGTACCATCATGAAGCAGCGCTTCTCTTCTTTGGACGTCAAGGTTTGTTGCCGACCCCTCCCCCACTGACTATTTCTCTTTGACTGACTCGTCTGCGCACGACTAGGTGATTGCCGCTGAATTGGCAGCGTCGCTGACCTCGTTACGAGTTTCAAACATATACGACCTCTCGAGTCGGATATTCCTCTTCAAGTTCGCCAAACCGGGTCGAAGGGAACAGCTGCTCGTGGACTCTGGTTTCCGATGTCACCTCACTTCATTCTCACGCACGGCGGCCACTGCGCCCTCGGCGTTTGTCAGTCGATTGCGCAAATATCTCAAGAGCAGGCGTGTGACAAATGTGGCGCAAATTGGCACGGATCGGGTGATAGAAATCACGTTCAGTGAGGGACAATATCGAATGTTTCTGGAGTTCTTCGCTGCAGGGAACATCATAGTCACGGACGCTGATCTGAATGTCCTTGCATTGCAGCGACAGGTTAGCGAAGGAGACGAAGATGTTGACGTCAAGCTGGGCGGGAAATACATCCTCGACGCAAAACAGAATTTCCACGGCATCGCCCCCGTCACGCCCGAGCGAGTGAAGGAGACGCTCGAGAAGGCTGTACAGCGGGCAAAGGATGCAAAAGAGGTTGGTGGGAAGAAGGCCAAACGAGCCAAAGGCGGAGACGATTTACGAAAGGCTCTCAGTTTCGGGTTTCCTGAATTCTCGGCGCATCTACTGGATCACGTTTTCAATGAAATTGGGATCGATGCAGCGGCAAAGGCTGAAGATGTCTTGAACGATGGTCAGCTCATGGAGGCGGTTATGAAGGCTTTGAATCGCGCAAAGGAAATCTTCGAAAGCCTGGGCACCGGGCAATCCAAGGGTTATATCATTGCGAAAATCAAGAGTCCTTCTTCCGAGGCGCCCCAAGAAGCAGAAGCACAAACACAGCCATCATCCGGTCGAGATAATCTGCTTTATGAAGACTTCCATCCCTTCAGACCCAGTCAGTTCGAAGGCAAACCTGACCTGCGCATCTTGGAGTTCGATGGCTTCAACCGCACGGTCGACGAGTTCTACTCCTCGATAGAGTCCCAGAAGCTGGAGTCAAGGCTCACCGAGCGGGAAGAAGCCGCAAGGAAGAAGTTGCAAGCTGCCAAGGAGGAGCAAGAGAAGAGACTAGGTGCGCTCCAGCATGTGCAAGAACTGCACGTCCGGAAAGCTCAAGCCATTGAAGCCAACACCCATCGTGTGGAAGAGGCGTGTGCCGCCGTCAATGGACTGATTGGCCAAGGAATGGACTGGGTTGACATCGGCAAGCTCATTGAAAACGAACAGAAACGTGGAAACGTCGTTGCCCAAATGATCAAGCTACCCTTAAAACTGGAGGAGAATACCGTGACTCTGCTGCTGGATGAGCCAGGATTCAATGAGGAAAGCGAAGAGGATGAGCCCGACGAGACGGACGAGGAAGAAAACTCGGATGAGGATACCCGCAAGAAACCCACCAAGCCCGCTACGGACAAACGATTGGCGATTGATATTGATTTGGGCCTGTCGCCGTGGGCAAATGCCCGACAGTACTATGAGCAGAAAAAGAATGCTGCCGTCAAGGAGAAGAGAACGTTGGAGGCGGCCACAATGGCACTCAAATCTGCCGAAAGGAAGATCGAGGCGGATCTCAAAAGGGGTCTCAAGCAGGAAAAGGCTGCTCTGCGACCAGCAAGGAAGCAATTCTGGTTCGAAAAGTTTCTCTATTTCATCTCCAGCGACGGATACCTGGTTATCGGAGGCAAGGATGCACAGCAGAACGAGCTGCTGTACAGACGCTATTTGAAAAGGGGCGATGTCTATGTGCATGCTGATCTGCAAGGTGCATCGAGTGTCATTGTAAAGAACAATCCAAGAACTCCAGATGCACCCATTCCTCCATCCACTCTGTCACAAGCGGGTGCGTTGACCGTTTGTACCAGCAGTGCATGGGACTCGAAGGCCGTGATGGGTGCATGGTGGGTTAATGCCGAACAAGTCAGCAAGACAGCTCCGAGTGGGGAGTATCTTACAACTGGCGGGTTTATCATTCGTGGGCACAAAAATCTCCTGCCACCGAGTCAGCTGTTGTTGGGCTTTGGAGTCTTGTGGCTGATTAGCGAAGAGAGCAAAGTCAACCACGGCAAGCATCGTTTGGAGAGGACTGAGAGCATGTTGCCGGGGGAAGCCGAAGCTCTGGCGAATGACGCGAGGGGACTGTCCTTGGAAGAGCAAGAGCAAGACTTGCCAATATCAGAACAAAGCAGAGCAGTGCCTGATGTCGAAGATGCAGCCGACGATGCAGAAGAAGAAGAAAAAGAGGATGCACGTGCAGCAGCGGCGCCCGAGGAAGATGCCCAAAGTCAAGCAGACGAGGGCGACGCTGACAGCGATGATGATGGAGAAGACGAGAGCCGTTCTGTCGCCGGCTCCGAGGCTGCTGATAGCCGGTCTAACCCCCTACAAGCCAATGGAACAGGGGAGGAGTACAAGGAAAGCGGCAGCGAGAAGCCTGAGATTGAAGTTGAAGTCGATGGCGATGGCGCCGATGATGCCAATAATAAGTCTGAGGACGAGAGCGGAGACGATGAAGAGGAACATGGAGGAACACCCGCAGGAGAGTCATCCACCGGGGTGTCCACGCCAGCGTCCTCTACCCAAGTTCCTAACAAACCAAAAGCACCACAACTGACGCGTGGCAAAAGAACAAAACTCAAGCGCGCACAAAAGAAATACGCAGATCAAGACGAAGAGGACCGCGCTCTCGCCATGCAACTGCTCGGATCTGCCAAAGGCCAAGAACGCAAACAAATGGCCGAGGCGGAACGAGCCGCACGCGAAGCCAAAGCGCAAGCTGACCGAGAACGACGGAAAGCGCAACACGCCAAAGCTGCGGAAAAGGAGCGTCAGCGACTGGAGAGATTGGAAAAGGCGGCGACAGCTGCTGATGGCCACGAGGGTACCGGTGCACATGCAGGTGCGGATGTTGATGCAGACGACAAACTCAGCCGTGAACAACTGGAACAAGAACGTCGCGAACTATTGGACATTGACCGCCTCGTGCCCATGCCCGAACCGGGCGACGAACTTCTCGCGGCCATCCCAGTCTGCGCGCCCTGGTCGGCCCTGTCGCGACAAAAGTACAAGGTCAAGCTGCAGCCAGGGAATGTGAAAAAGGGAAAAGCTATCAGAGAGATTTTGGGATTCTGGACGTCTTTGGCGACGAAGGGACCAAAGGTGGTTGATGAGTCAAATAGAGATAAAGAGCGTGTGTGGCGACGTGAAGTGGATTTGCTCAAGGAGTGGCGTGTCGAAGAGGTTGTTGGGTATGTTCCTGTTAAGGGGTGTCGGATTGTTCAGGGTGGAGGACTTGCTGGTTCCCTTGGGGGTGGTGCCGGCAGTGGCAGTGGAGGCGGTGCTGGTGGGAAGGGGAAAGCTGGTGCTGGTGGTGCGAAGGGGAAGAAGGGGAAATCGGGTGGTGGAAAGAAGGGAGGGAGATAGATAGTAGAGCCGGCAAACCAAAGAAAAAGTTGTGATTGCGAGAACAGTCGGCATCGTCGTGTCTAGCATTACACTACTACTGACTAGTAGTTAATTGGAACCTTGGAAAAACTGCAAAGTAACCAACAGATATCATACATAGATACTGTACATAGATAGAAGGCTCAGTCTAATCTAAGCTTAATCTAATCCACCCTCTCGGCCGCAGCTTTTTCAATCCGATCAATGACTGCGTCGTAGATGTCTCGTGTACAACTAGTAGTGCTAGTAGAAGTCGAGTCGTTTCCACTGCCATTTCTGCCATCGAGGCCGCTCTGCTGCTGCTGCTGTACAGTCTCGGCGAAAATGAATCTACAATCCAAATCGTCAAAGAGTCGCAACACCCCGAACAAGGAGTGTGCAAGATTTTTGATGTCCGAGCCAATGCGGACATCGTAGACTGTGACTTTCACATTGTTGTTGGTCTCAGTCAATGTCGCTATTGACGTGAGGGGTGCGTAGATGGAGTTTGAAACCACAGAAGAAGAAGAAGACTGAGCTGGAGACGATAGACCCGCTAAACCGGCAAAAGAGGCCCAATGACACGAGATTATACCGATGTTGATGTTCTTTTCGCCAGTTTCTTGGGCCGCGGCGGTAGTAGTCTCTGCAAGAAGCTCGTCGAATTTGGTCTGCACTTTTCCTGCGCGGACGGCTGGTTCAGAAAATAAAATTAGTCGTCCTTTGGGGGCGTAGTGGCGGTATTTCATGCCTGGGGCGCGTGGTGCTTCGGTGTCGTCGTCGTCGTTTAGGAGGTAGTGATTGGTTGTGTCTTGTTGTTGTGCTGGTGACGATTCCGACGCAGTGGACGTGGTTGATGACGACGTCGACGCTGACGGCGATGCGGAATTTGGTGAGGGCGACAATGACTGTTGTTGTCCAGGAGTACCCGTACGTTTGTGCCGTTTATATCCTATCGCAGTATATGCAAACCGATTCCCTTGCTCACGCCCATGAGCGACGAATTCGGCCAGCGACACGCCTCCCGGCCTCAGAATCAAAGGCGGGTCATGTAGACCGTCCACCACCGTACTTTCGACACCGACATCACAATGTCCCGCGTCGAGAATGAAATTGATTTTACCCTTGAGATCGTCAAACACGTGCTGTGCGGTTGTGGGCGACGGCTTGCCCGACGAGTTTGCCGACGGGCCCGCGATAGGCCGGTCCGTGGCGGCGATGAAGAACCGTGCATATTTGGACGAGGGGATGCGGAATCCGATTGTTGATTGTCCCGGATGTACGTTTTTGGCGAACCGTGGCCACGAGGATGGTGATTGTGAGTGTTGCGGCACGGGCAACAAAATGGTCAATGGACCCGGCCAGAATCGTTGTGCTAGCGAACGATAGATTTCAGGTAGTCGTTCGCCCGTCAGTCGTTCCAGGTGTGCGACTGATGCGGCGTGCACGATCAGTGGGTTGTCGCTGGGCCGGCCTTTGGCTGCGAATATCCCCTGAATGGCAGCCTCGTTGGTCGCGTCTGCCCCGAGCCCGTATACTGTCTCTGTGGGGAATGCGACCGGAGGAGCGAGGCCATGGCGAATCGATTCGACGGCGTCGCGTAAGAGGGCTGCGTTGGCGTTCGTCTCGGCGGACTGGATGTACCGATGGTAAATTTCTCGATATTCTTCGTCCGATGCGGTCTCGGGAAGGTCGAGCTCCTTCAGGCTCACAATGCGCGTTTTGCAGTTCGTGTATGGCAGTGATGAAAGCTGTCGACTGTTATTGATGATGGTCTCCATTCTGACGATCGAAGAAGTAGAAGTAGATTTTGTTGTGATTTTTCTCCTTCTTGACGAAATGCCCGAGGATGTGGTTATGGAAATACACCTGTACAGTCTTGGGCCCGATGACAAACCAAATGCCGAGCGGAGAGAGCAGATTTTAAAAGGTCGCATAGAAAAGCAAGACTGAAAGTTCAAGTCCGCTGGTTCGGCCTGGGCGCCAGAAAATTGTTATGTCTTGAAGGGATGAACTTAAAGGCAGACGACGAGATGTGAAGATTCAGCATATTGAGAATCTCTTTAGTGGAGTTCAAGTTGTCCGTCGGAGCGGTGTGGTCGTTGGACAGCGCAGAGTCATCTACCACATTATGGCGCGCTCACGCTGTTGGTATGCACGACCAGGTTTATTACCCTTGTTGCTGCCTGAGGACCCGACACGTTACAGAGGAGATTGTATGTAGACATTGCACGAAGTTCCAGTCTCCATCCAGATAAAATCCTACAATTGATTTTTCCCCATGTCGATTTCTTGTTGCGGACTAGCTTAGCCTTGTGGCGTGGCCACAGCCTTGTGATGACATCAGCACAGCCTTGTCCACCTTGAATCAGGGTTGCACAAGCTGCCTCTCTCGTCCTATCCAGCTGATGCTTGGAGGAAACGCTGGGGATCGCCAAAGGAGTGCCACCATGAGCTGGTTATTGATTGGTAGCCGCATATCACAGCACGCTACGAGTAGATGCAATACATCTTGGTATACTAGTAGCCGAGTTCCAGTTTGGGAGGAGAGATAAGTATGCGCTAATAGTGCTGATTGGTCAATTGTTAACGTCGCTACGGGACAAGCGAATGGACAATCCCTTGCGAACATACAACTGTAGGCTCCGTCCAAGCCGCGCAGATCCAGCTTCTGGTCTCACTGGATGCCCCTAAGAATGAGGAGACATCAGACGAATCCGAACCCCGCTCGCGAAGCGGCCGGCTTCGGCATTGGAAAAGTCGATGATAAAAGCCAGGGTTCTTCTCGCCCTCGATAACTTCATATGCAGCCGTATACACGTGTATCTACCCCAGTGCCTGAGATCACAATGGTTTCCGACTGGACAGAACTTGTTGCAAAGAAGCGCGCCGAGGTAGCGAAGAAACTACCTGCAGAATGGCGGCTTCCCTCCAGTGTTCTCGACACCGTCAGCGCCACGTCAGACATCAGTGTGCTTGACGTGCCCGCCAAATGTGGTATTCTGACCTCAAGGGAGCTCGAGATCACCGAGAAGTACGACGCAGTCGAGCTGGTTGCAAAGATGGCTGCGAAGGAGCTATCTGCTTCCGAAGTGACGCTCGCCTTCTGCAAGCGAGCTGCGGTAGCCCATCAAGTGGTCAGTTCCAGGTTTCTGGCGACTTGATGATTCACTGTTGACCCCCGACTTCAGACAAATTGCTTGACAGAAATGTTCTTCGATGTAGCTCTTGAAAGAGCCAAATACCTCGACGATTACCTGAGAAGGGAAAAGAAACCACTGGGCCCATTGCATGGGTTGCCCATCAGCTTGAAGGTATGCCAGATGCACTGGCAGGATAGAGGATGCAGCAGCTGACAAAGTCCGCTCTATGCAGGATTCGTTCAACGTCAAAGGCATCCACTCCACGATAGGCTATGTGTCATTTATCAACAGACCAGCAGCAGACACCAACTCACCTTTGGTGGATATCTTACTGGAGAACGGCGCCGTCCTCTATGTGAAGACCAACATTCCACAGACACTTATGGTGAGAAGCGAGATAACCAACTGCTACCTGCCACGCCTAGATACGATGATTGACAACAATTTCCTTGAAGCGACTCAACCGCTTGTCCTGCTTGTACGGGTGGCTGACGATCCTTTTTGACAGACCGCAGACTCGGAAAACAATGTGTTCGGACGCGTTCTTGTGAGTTCCTGTCGCAGTACTGCTGACATCCAGCAACTAACGTATGATAGAACCCCCACAAGCTGAAGCTGAACGCTGGTGGTAGCAGTGGCGGAGAGGGAGCTCTGATTGCCATGCGAGGCTCAATCCTAGGAGTCGGCACTGACATTGGAGGCTCCGTTCGCATCCCAGCTATCTGCTGTGGAACTTACGGTTTTAAACCTTCCATCGACCGTATCCCTTACGGTGGTCAAGCAAATCCAGTTCCGGAAGGCTGGACCGGTATTATGCCAGCAGCAGGGCCTCTGGCGCAGTCCTCTCGAGACCTGCGGCTGTTCCTCGAGTCCGTCATCAAATCCAAACCATGGAACTATGACTATACCGCCCTTGGCATGCCCTGGCATCCCGTGGACGTGAAGCCCACTCTCACAATTGGTCTTGTCTTGGAGTGCCCTACCTGGCCAATTGCGCCAACCATCAAGCGGGCATTGACGACCGCGGTCAAAAAGCTGGAAGAAGCCGGTCACCAAATCGTCGTCATTGACAAATTTCCTTCGTTCAAGGAAGCCACCGAACTATCCTGGAAGTTCTTCGATATCGACAACGAAGGCACTGGCCTCAAGCATGTTGAAGCATCTGGAGAACCGTTGGTCACGTCAGTGAAAGACATGTATACCCCTCCGCCCGGGGGGCGTAAAGACGTGACCATAGGAGACCTGTTTGCTCTGAACGAAAGACGGCTTCAGTTCAGAGCTGACTGGTTGAAGATATTCATGAAGAACAAGCTCGATGTCATCATCGCGCCGGGGGCACACAAGACTGCCGTACCGCATGATACCTTCAAGTATCCTCCTTACACGGTGATGTGGAATCTCCTTGCGGTAAGGAAAGCCCGAGAGCTGTTTTGGCTTGTGTTGCAGTGCTGACTACGAGTGCCTGGTAGTACCCGGCATGTATCATACCCTACCTGAAAGCCGACAAGGATCTTGACCGTGCTGATCCAAGGATACCAGATTGTACGTGGTTTTCATCACCATCACCGTCGAAATGCGACAAACTGACCATAGCTAGATGATCCTGAAGTGGTCAATGGTGCACCTTGCCATATCCAGGTGATTGCGAGATCGGAACAAGATGAAGAACTGATGGCTGCCGTAGATACGATTGCAAAGACGCTCGGGGTATAAGGAAGATTTGGTGGCAGATCCATGGCGGCGTCTGGGGACTCTCCGTATAGCAATGAGCTTCGCGAGAGGAGGGTAGTACTAAGTAGTGACGTGGAATCAAAGTGACAGCCGCTCATTCGCCGGTTGCAGAGATCTCAGCCCGCCTGTTCGAAACTCCATTCGTGAATCGCAGAAGATAATGCTCTGGTCCACTTCGGGTTTGATCGCTCCATTTACCCATATCTCTCCTCTCTTTGTGCGGGGTGTTTAGTGTCATGGGTATCGGCCCTTTTGCATTACGAACCAGTTTCATTGGGTTTCGGACACAACTGATAAGGGATTGTACCGCGGCTTGGTCATCGTCCCGGCCCTGAGATTGACCGTCGAGGTCTTCGTGTAGAAGCTACCTAGATTGTTGCACTGGTGTTTGCATCGTCATGGGCAAATTCGGTCTATCCGTCTGTTGTCGCGCTGCTCGAGAACGACCAGGAAACCAAGGACAATCCTTTGTACTGGTTAGATAATGGTCGCGTCTAATGCCAGCCTTCGTACAAAAACTGGGTGCTTAACCTGTAAGTTCCATTCTGCAGAGTGCGCAGATTGCCACAGACATCAAAGCAGCGTGGGTATCGTCTCACGGGTGCAGTTAAGTCCTGAAATTCGGTGCAGTCCGTCGTTATGGGGGAGTGCAAACGGCTAACTTTTAGATTTCGCTCTCTAGGTCGCGGACGACGCAAGAAATGTGACGAACAAAGGCCACGATGCGAGAAGTGTACCAAATCCAATCGAGAATGTTGTTGGCCCGGGGAGGACGACTTGTTCGATCGCCGCCATAGTCGGGTGTCTAAATCTCCTCGATTGGAACCCAAGTCACCAAAGAACCAGTATCCTCGAAGAACATTGTCAGTAGCGGCAAGACTGACCACGGAAGTCGAGATACAGCCCTTCTTTGTGTGCCGGGAAATCAGCTTCGAGAGCGACATTTTCAATTCGACGTTGTTCCACTCTGACCTCGAGATTGATTGTATGCGGCACTTTTTGGATGGATTCCTTCCTTTGCTTATTCTGTCCAATGCACACCCTGGCTTCTTCTCCGCCTACATTCCCGAAACGGTGAACCTGTTGCTACAATTCGAAGGATTGCGAGATGTAGCGTTGGCCTGTGGTGCATCGCACATGCACCAGGTCACCGGGAGTCCGCAGATGAAGGAAGCCGGACTGAGTTATTATTCTCGTGCCGTTTCAAAGGTGTCCCAAGCTCTGAACAACATCGACTGGAGTAGTGACGATCATGACCTTGCAGTATTGATCTCCGTCACATTCTTGTATCTCCACGGGGTAAGTGGTGCCACAATGAGAGCGCGGGACATGTCTAGGCTCTGAGCTGACAATATCGAATGGCTAGGTATTCACAAAGGACACTCACGGGGACATATCCAAGCATGTAACAGGGGCTGTCCAACTCATCAATCTCCGCTGTAAGCAGTCGCATAAACCACCTATCGCACGACCAATTCATCGGATCATTTGGGAAAGTATCCTTTATCAGACATTCCGACAAACGGCTCGTCGACCATTTTCGTTTGGCTTTGAGCCTGACATCGAATTTTGTGCACGAGCGCAAGGCGTCCTGCAGTCACTCACCTTTCCGGACTCCTCACCAGCGGAAAATAGTCCGGTCATCGGGATCCCGTTGGATCTCCAGAAATTGATCATTGAAATAGTCCAGCGTTGCAAGAGGCCATATCCACCAAGCACGGAGGTGACGGTGAGACTTAGGCATCAAATGCAAATGTGGGAGAATACCCTTCTTGAAGCTGAACATTGCACTGGAGGAAAACTGGATGACAGCGAATGTAACACTCCGGCTGGGAGATCCCGAATTTTCCACCGGCACTCGACAAGTCTGCATATACTTGCAGCTTCCCAGCTCTTGGATTGGCTGTTGAGGAGTTTTCCTCCCGGCGTGTCGAGTTTCACCAAGACGAAGCTTCCAGCTCCTTGTGACTCGTGGCAAGTCAGAAAAGCGTTGCAAATCATGCGCTGTCCACAAATTAGTGACGCTTGGGCACGGTGCTACCTTGGTTCATGGCCAGCCTTGATCTTCGGGTATGCCGTTGATCAGCCGGAGGACGTTGCCTTGATACGGAGTGATTTCAGGAGACGATTCCACAACCTCTACTCTTCTGAGGAAATGATCCTCCTGGATGAATTGGAATCTGTCTGGCGCCAGAGAGGGATTGAGGCCTGAATAGTGAAGGCAACCACTCTCGTGGGCCAGCGATATGTTGTTATTGGGTTGCGGTTAGCGCAGGTGTTGTTGGTTGTTTCCCTTTCTCCAGGTCAGCAACAGTGTAACGGAAGGCTCATCATTGTCAATATCGAGGTCATTAGGTGCTGGCATCCACATAGCGCTCGCATTCAGTCGTACATTGTCGCTGAAACTGCCTAGAATCGAAGATGGAAAAAGCAGGGCTTGTCTACCTACTCGCGGCACTTTACGCGAAACGCGTCGCAAGCAAAACATGCCGCATTAACACCACGTGACCGATTCCACAAATTGTTGCTGCTTTAGAGCGAGCCTCATTTATGCGTAGCACGGTGCTTCTTCATGTTGAGCTGGACTTCATGCTTTCCCCAACTCCGCCTTGCCCTTGACACGTCGACCTTGCAGTACGTAGCTTTCCGAACAGCAGAAGACTGTTATTAAGCGGACTGCTCCTGTCAGAAGTGCTGGACTTGAAGTCAGATCGGACCTTCGCAACTCACCATTCGCTCGACGCTTCCGCCGGGTCCTCAAGGTTGACTAATGGCAGCCTCTGCCTTTCCCCGGCCGGTCCAAAACCCTCCGCCGCTTGGAGAACATGGTAAAAGTGGCGGGGAAACATCACGGTTACGATGCCGCTTACGAACAGTAGTAGAGGTCAAGAGCGCCATGGACCTAGATGAGTCTCTTCGATGGCAATGCAGTGATGACATGCGAAGAGCGCATTTCCTGGCTCGACATGGGTCAGAAAGTCCATATAAGAAGCTAACCTGCGGCCGTTGGGTTACAAGCCCGAAGCACACCTTACTGCCCAAAGTCACAGTACACAAGCCCGTCTAGCACATATACATATAGCAGTTCCAACCGCAGCGTGAGCCTCAAAGAAGCGAAATGGCGGTATTTCAATCTTCTCCCTGGCACGAGGGAGAGAAGGCTATCCATCGCCGCACACATGTGCATTACGATGAGGACAACCCCACCTCACCTTTCCTGACGCCTCGGGCAGCATACCAGATCCAGCGGTACCAGCTCATGGCTATTGGTGCCTTGGACGACAATGACCGACCGTGGTGCACGGTATGGGGTACTGGTGAGCCACCGCTAGCACAACCCATTGGAAAGAGCATCATCGGCATACGATCAAAAGTCGATGCAATATTTGATCCCGTTGTGAAAGCCATCTGGAGCGACAACAAAGACGGCGAGGTCTTGCAATATGAAGCGGACGGCGGCAAGATGATGGCAGGCTTGAGCATCCAGCTGGAAGAACGGGGTCGGGTCAAACTGGCCGGCAAGATTGTGGCAGGCGCATTGACCGGTACCACCACTGACGAGGCCACCGACAAAAGGCAAACAAGTCCAACAGACCAGTCCGCTGCCAACGGCAGACCAGGCGAAGTACAAATGGTAGTCAAGATCGAACAGAGTCTAGGAAACTGTCCGAAATACCTCAACCGAAAGAGAATCAGCTCTGCCACCCCAAAGCCCCAACTCCTCTCGTCTTCGCCTCACTTGACTCAGAAAGCCATTGACCTTATCCACCAAGCCGACTTGTTCTTCATTGCCTCTTCCCATGCCCACGAGGACATGGACGTCAACCATCGCGGCGGCCCACAGGGCTTTATCCGTGTGCAGCAGCCAGAAGACCCGTCAGAGGGAACTACCCTCGTCTGGCCCGAGTACAGCGGCAACAACCTCTACCAAACCCTCGGCAACCTTGAGACAACACCCCGCGCTGGACTGGTGATTCCCGATTTCACCACCGGTAACGTGCTGTACGTCACAGGCGACACGGAGACACTGGTCGGGACCGACGCCAGCAACGTCCTGGCCAAAACCAAGCTTGCCGTCCGTTTGAAAGTGACTGAAGCCAGACTCGTCCAAACAGGCCTTCCATTTCGTGGCTCGTTAATCGAGGACACATCTCAAGGTCGCTCACCGTACAATCCGCGAGTTCGATACCTGACCACCGAGAAACCAGACTCCTGGAGTCAGTCATCAACCTCTTCAACAACAGCACAGCTAATAAGCAAGACGAAACTCACGCCCACCATCACCCGCTACAGATTCGCACTGGCAGATCCAACGATCCACGGCCCCTGGAAACCAGGGCAATATGTAGCATTGGACTTTTCAGCCGAGTTGGACATGGGATACTCTCACATGCGCGACGACGACCCGACAAGTTTAAACGACGACTTTATCCGTTCATTTACGGTATCGTCGCCGCCAAATTCGTTGGGTGTGCATGGTGAAGAATTTGAAATTACTGTGCGCAATGTCGGGACTGTCACTCGCTGGCTTGAGTGGCAGCGTCCGGGGATGTGTGAGGTCGGTGTGCGCGGATTTGCTGGCGAGTTTGCTTTCGATTTCGGGCAGAACGACGACAGCGATTCAAATCACAATCGCCACCACAATGATGAAGATCACAATCAGACTACTACTATGATCGGTTTCATAGCCGCGGGCATAGGAATCACCCCATTACTAGGCCAATTAGGCGACAACAACCAGAATCGTCTCAACCTCTCGCGCCTCAAGGTCTGGTGGAGCGTGGGAATCCGAGACATTGGGCTTCCACTTGATGTCCTCACGCGATATCGTGAGCTGAAGACCTCGATGACCATCTTTCTCACCGGGGATGAAACTTCATTAGCGGACAAGGACAAACACAAGCTCCAACAACTCGTCGACACTGGTGTCAAGATTGAAAGGAGGAGACTGCAAAAGTCTGATCTGGTGGCTGAAGGTGCAGATGCAGATGCAGATGCGCAAGCAGCGGCAAAAATCACCAAGTGGTACCTCTGCACGGCACCGGCGCTGCGAAAGGTCGTCCAGGACTGGATGCCGGGCAAGGCTATCATATATGAGAATTTTGATTATTAATATTGGATTCACGAGGTGCCAGGGGCTCAAAGTTGAGAACTTTCGCACAGTGTATAGTCAGTACTACCTTGGGTACGAGTTCATTTAATGCATGTATCTGTCCGTTGAAAGAGGTTTTATTTTTACTGTTTGGTTTAAAAACTTAGCCACTTCGCTTTGCACAGTATGCGCTCAGTAGAAGGACATATTTCTTCATCTTCTCTTCACTCCAATAACCCAGCAGCGACAGTATCCCCGTTCGCTCGTAGGACGATGCGCGCGGGCGCCTCTAGAGGTACAGGCTGATCAAGCTGTACGACAACCCTGACTACGCTCCCCGGCTGAACGATCTTAGGTTTCTTCTTCACGACAGCACCGGTGGACTTGTCCAGCACACCAATCAACTGAGTAATTCGACCAGGAACATGGAGTCTCCCCTTATGGACATCAATGTTCATGGGCGTCAAGTGGTCGAAGGCCAAAACCTTTGCCTTGAACTCCTGAACATTGCGGATCGGGGCCACCGCACTGCAAAGCACGTCTCCAGTCTTTAGATGAATCGGATCAATATCGGTGAGATTCAAAACGACATTCTGGCCCGCTACCGCCCAGTCCTGTGGTTCGTCGTCAACGTCCAGACTGCGGATCTGGGCCTTTTCACCGCTGGGCATGATAACCACCTGCTCGCCCACCTGGACAGTCCCTGCTTCGATGCGACCGGAAACAGATAAAGGGTTCTGCACGCTTCCCCTGAAGACATCGTTGATGGTCATCCGTAATGGTTTGTCGAGCGCATAAGTAGACGGTTCAGATTGGTCGAGTTCCTCGACCAATGTCAGCCCTGTATACCAGGCAGCCTTTGGATTTGTGGATCTAGCCAGGATGTTTCCCCCCTCCAGACCGGAACAAGGGACGAAAGTGACGTTTTTCGGATTGAATCCAGCGCTGCTCAAGAATGCCGACATTTGCTGCCGAATTTCTTCAAATCGGTCTTGCGACCAGTCGCACGAGTCCATCTTGTTGACGGCAACGATCACTCTCTGCACCCCTATTGACCGGACAAGTAGGGCATGTTCTTTCGTTTGACCTTTGAGCCCGGATTCGAAATTGCCCGTCGAGGCATCGATCACAAGAACCGCAAAGTCCGCTTGACTTGCTCCGGCAATCATGTTGGGCACAAAATCCTTGTGTCCCGGGGCATCGAGGATGGTGAAGCTGGTTTGGTCCGTCTCGAATTTGTTCGTTGCGATGTCGATCGTCACCCCTCTTTCTCGTTCTTCCGTCCCTTGATCTAGCACCCAGGCGAATGCGAATGAGCCTTTACCGATCCGTTCGGCTTCTTTGCGGTACTTGTCCATAGTGCGTTGATCAACTGCTTTTAAATCGAATAGCAGCCGTCCCATTAGCGTACTCTTGCCCGCGTCGACATGGCCTTTTGTCGATAACAATCAGTGAACGTCCACAATATGGGTATGGGGCGTTTTACCGATAACCACAAAATTGGCAGCCTTCTTCCGTTTGACTTTTTTGTATTCACTGACCACATCAATGTTTTTGCTCTTCACTTTTGGTGTCTGAGTCTCTTGCACGGTCAACTGCTGTACGCCATTTGCTAGAGATGATTTTGGTTTCGCTGATTCCTTGGCCTTGGGTTTAGCTGCCGTTGCCGTTGCCGCTGCTCAATTGTCAGGCAAATCTTTTTCTGATGGGTCAAATTGGAGGCCGACCTTTTTGGTTTTGCGCTCTCGTCACCACATCGTCGGGGCTTGGTTCTGTAAAGTCGAACGATTTAGCAACTTCCTCAACAGTGATCAAGTCAGGCGGTGGTGCTGAAAGCCGAACGCTAGGGTGGTGGCTGGTCATGATGCTCGCAAATGCTGATGGCCTGCCTCTGATGGCCGGAGCTACTGATATCGACGGATCAGATGAGGCAGCTACTTCTGATTCTTTCGCGGGTGTGGTGTGAGAATCAGACGCGGGAGCTTTAGAGTCTGAGCTGGTGGGTTTGTCGTCGTTTGTCACGATTTCTTCCGCCGCTCTGTGCGCTTGTGGTTTTGTTTTGTTTGTGTCGCTGATTCGGAGTTTGTTCAATCGAGTTGCATAGTCTTCTTGGGAGTCGGCACTATCTGTGGTGGCTGATTCTGAACGTGCGCTCTTCTCCTGTTTGCGTTTGGCAGCCAGAGCAGCGAGTTTAGACATTTTACCACCCGTGGAAGCGCCCCCTAGGAGGCCTAGGCGCGGATAAAGCGGTTCGATGATGATGTCGGCTTTCCGGTGTTCTGGAACGCCCAGCCATGGACAGTCTTTGAAGAAATCGGCGGCCGAGAATGGACTTGAGCAGGTGATGGACCGAGCCAACTCTTGATGCCCATCAGCAACGTGAGGGCAAATTGCTGCTTGCAAGCCATCATGACCACCACGAGCTGATAGTAGGGGTACACCGGGCAGTGCTGTGGGGCAAGATGAGATGGAAAGCTTACTCTTTGGCTCATCCTTTTGCTTTTTTGCGGGCCCAGAGGCGGACTTTTGTTTGTCTGGCCACGTCAAAAGATGGACAAGATAAGTACTTTAGGGAGGAGGGAAACCGTACTTTTCAGGTAGGAAACAGTCTTGGCCACATCATAGTAATAGTGCCAGAGGGAATCCTGGATCTCCTCGTCTGTTGCTGGAAAGGAACCTAGAGCTTCGCGGACTTTGATGGTGCCTTCGCGCATCTGTTCTTTATCTTCCGCGGAGAGGCCTTCGTCGCCACCTCCGTCGTAGTCGTCGTCATAGTCATCATAATCGTCGTAGTCGTCCTCGTCGACAGCCAAAGATTTGACCCTCCGGTTGGACATCTTGGATGAGGGACGATACAGTAAACGTCAGCTGAAAAAAATTGGCCAGAATGTCGTCTGCTTGTACTCCGTGGGAGGTTGTCTGTCAGGTGCTGGAAACTCTCTCGCACCTCACGTCGCTGATAGGGACGAGGGACGGTATATGACAGTTCTAATTGGCAATTCCAACTTCATTCGGCCGGAAAACCACCAGCGGAATGTCAGAGATCTTTATGGACTCCTAACATCAGACGCGGAACTTTAGACGGAGGAACAGAGGTGGTTTGATATAATAAACTCCAAGTGATGTTGAGAGTTCAGTCACCGCTATGAGGTCAATGGTTGGAGAAATAATGACAGTGCTGTCACATTATGCCGCTCTCTGTGTCAAGGTGAATAATTACTAGGGAAGAATGACAATAGTGACTGTCTGACACTTGAATTTCCCTAGCGCCATCCAATGTTGGACCCTGACATTGGCGCCGACTTGAACCGCATCTCAATCGAACCTCGACTTATCCATCTGCTGCTCCCGCAGCCGCCCTCTGCCTCGACATTCCAGGTACTATTATCTATCCAATGCGGGACATGTTGTCCGGGTTCTGTCTGTTCGGCGCGGTTTAATCACATTATGTGAGGCTGATGTCCTCCAAGTCCTTCGCGATATGACCGTGATTCTGCCATCACAGTGAGAGCGCGACATGTCGACATCTATCATGCACGCCCCGCTGGGTGGCCGGGCAGACTCCCCCTCGAGCAAATCGGCCCTGTCCCAGCAGATCGAGCACGGCGAAGGTGAACGTACTCCGAAATCCTCCTCCGTCTCAGTGAGAAGCTCACCCAAGCCGCGGTCGCTCTCTGATGCTTCGAAACCAATCCTCTCTCCATCTCCGGCCTTTCGAGAGCCTCTCCGACGAGTCTCTAAGGATGACTCGAGCATTACCGGCCAGTCCGCCCCATCAGCCTCACCTCGACCACCTTCCTTCCACATCCGGGGTCTATCCCTACATGTCCCCTTGGCCGACACCCAGGACGGGCAGACGGGCTCAAATATTCCTCGGATCCCGCTCTCGCCCAAGCTGGACAGTTCCCAGATTTATGGATCGCCGTCATCGATGCTTCCAAGAAGGTCGAGGGGCCTAGATTACACAAGAGCATGCACAAACCTCCATCACTCCACGTTGGCAGAGGCCTCGCCCGATGCATCACCCATTACTGGACGAGGCATTCAGATCCCCTCTCGGAGAGGGTTTGCTAGCAATGTGCTTGATTCACCTAGCAATCAATCATCAAATGCTTTGTGGACGTCTTTGTCGAACGAAAAGACAAACTTGTCTAGTTCGGTCAGTAGCGTTAATATGCTGGGATCAGACTCAGACTCAGACTCAGATTCTTCTTCAGACATGGCAATTGACCGGGAGATGGATGATGCCATCCTTAATACACCTGCAGCGTCCAGAATTAATGCGGGATTGGTGCCCGGCCTCATGAACAGCCCTGGGCTGGAATGGATGAACAACAACCAACCTTCCCCAGCGCAAGCCAGCTTGATGACTTTCCAACCGAACCTGATGAGCTTTAGGAGGGCTCGAACGCACAAAGGGAAGAGTCAACACAGCTCCAGTAGTGTCAGCATGAAAAGCTCCAAACCCTCACCTGGCCCTCTGTCGCCTGGTATCTTGAAAAGCGTGGAAAATGCAGGAAGCGGTTATTTTGGCACTGGATTGACTAAACAACAAGTCCAGTCTCGACGTGAAAGTCTCAGTCTGGGCACGAACGATCTGCACCTTTCGGACAGTGAAGAGGGCAGCAACAACAAACCTGCCGCGGGGCAATCTGCCTCAGACATGGACGGCGCAGGCAGCGAAGGCCCTAGAGGCGTCATCCGCAGGGCTGTCACCCGCCGTGGCAACCTGTTCCCAAAAACAAAAGGCTTCGCCCGCATTCGCGCCCAACTCATCGAAGAGTCCGCGCCTATCGAAAGCGAGGCTCGCCGTGAAGCAGAGGTTATCCGGCAGGTGCACGAAAATGACCCCACCGCCCCTCAATCGACTTCTCCGAACCTCCAAGCCAACACCGGAGGCGCAACTGAGCCTGTCGAGGATTCCATCGAGGACATGGCCATGGAACCAGCAACTACCCTACCACTTGATAGTTTCAGCCGGCAAGCCGAGAGGAACTCGGCCGGTTCGACTTTCTGGAACAATTTTGATGAGCGGTACAGAACCCCTCCACCAAGCATGCTGCCGCGCGACAGTACTTCGGCCATTAGTGACGATGCCATGGATACGCCGGGCTCAGCTCTTGGGGACAATCTTGCTCTCCGGAACTTCAACAGACGCTCTCGCTCCAGCACACCGCTCGCTTCGTACCCACCGACCGCAGGAGATGTGGCACGACGGGTCAACAACAAGCGACGACGTGAGGAAGATTTTGATCCCATCTACACTAAACGCCGGGCAGTCTCTCCTGGCATGAGCGTGCAGAGCAGTCCGATCCTATCGCAGAGTCCTGTTTTCAACAGCGACAAGGTTTGGGCCAAACTCCCGCCCAAAGCGAACGGGCATGGTCTGAACGGTCATGGTCATGGTCATGGCGATCGTAGTAACAGTGGGGGAAGTATGAATGGAACCAAGAAGGTCGGCCTCCAAGGCATGAATGAAACCAATGAAGGTTTGATGAGCATGACCATCGATTAACATGCGGATGAGGACGGCCGAGTTACATTTTGATTTCACAGAGCACTACTAGCAAGGCGTTTACGGGTTTCGGAGGATGGGCAGAAACTGGGACTTCAGGGGATTCTTTAGGGATACTTGGTAATCTCTTAGTGTTTGTTAACCCAGTTATTCATAAATCATGCAGTGCTGCGAAGTGGCTCCAATGCCATGCAGTGCAATGCAGTGGTGAACACACGAACTTGGAGTCATCCGGTCGTACTATACCTCAGCGGTCTCAGTGTCTTTAATCATCGGTACTTTGAGGGGGCAAATGGTGTAGGTGAACAACGACGGGGAACATGTGGCTTAAGGCGGCATCACTTCTTCCCCAATCGAGACGCAGCCTGCGCAATCACTTGGAGCGATGATGGTACAACTGTATACACCGGACTCCATACCTACGTTGGCCCGTCCCTCCCGCATCGCAGGTAGCAACAATACACTCGTACACTGCCTCTAACCCCCCGGTCTTCTCTACAGCCTGCCAGCGCTCCTCCTCCACCTTTTGAACCTCTCCGAACGGGCGGTGCCAGTGACTGTTGCATTGTGACAACATGGGCTCAACAGTGGACATTGCATCCTCATTCATCGAAGGCGCCCCGCCAGGCGAATTACACGAAGTCGTCAAGGACATCAAGACGCTCACTTCGGACGACGACCCCGCGCTGATTGCGAAGCTGAAACCGGCGTTTCAACGATACAATGAAGAGCAACTTGTTGCGGTCAAGTTGCCTGGTTCGAATGATTATGTACGTTGAACAAACTGAATTCGATAAGACCCTTTCTCCTCCCGCCCGGTTCAGGTGGCCCAGATGGTGTATACAACTACGCGGGTACCAGACCAGAGTCCAGATCAACGACCAGATTGAAAGGCAAGGAAGCTGACAATTGATTTTCTTTCAATAGGTCTTAATATCGAAATACAATAAACTCCCATCCTCCTCGTCCTCATACTACGACACCCGGACCTCAAAATCATTCGACTTCGACCACACCACCAGCATAGCGAGCAACGTCCAGTCATACTCCCATGAAACCCAACACGGCTCCCTAATCCAATCCCTCCTCCAATCCCTCTCGGGCTCCTTCGCAGACCACTACCCTCCCACCACAGCAGCAGCATACACGGTATGCGAGGTTCCCAACAACACCAACCAAATCGCCATATTGCTATCGACCACCAAAGCCTCACCCAAAAACTTTCTCTCTGGCCGCTGGCGGAGCGTGTTTTTGTACGACACTACAGACTCTACACTCAGCGGCGAGATCAAAGTTGATGTGCATTACTATGAAGATGGAAACGTGGCGCTGTCGACGGCCAAGAAATTCGACGCCGTGTCTGTGTCCGGAAACAATCCAGATGCAGATACAATCGTGCGCAAGATCACCGTAACAGAAAACCAGTATCAGGAAGAAGTCAATCGGGCGTTTGTGGGTATGAACGAGACGAGTTTTCGACATTTGAGGAGACAGTTGCCGGTTACGAGACAGAAGGTCGAGTGGGAGAAGGTTAAGGGGTATTCGTTGGGAAGTGATTTGAAGGGAGAGGCTAAGCGGTGAGGTTGGTACTAGTAACCTCCGGGTTCTGGAAGCGGATCAAGCATGATATCTTTCGTGTCGGTGTCGTCGCGTGGTGCCATGGCATGGATAAGAAAACATTTGCACTCCTTGGTTGGGAAGCGAAAGTGGAAACGCGGACGGTCGTTGCAGTCAGTCATGTTCACGTTGACCTCGTACTACTGGTACTGCTGGAGCCAACTGGTCTCGACGGCCTCAGACCAGTTGGCTCCAGCAGTACTTTTTCTGAGAGTCGGCTGAAAGATGAGCCACCTCCTGGAAGAATTGGAATGGGTCAACGATTATGAGCATGAGCCTCGACCCGACTAAAAGCACAATAACCTAACAGGACTAGACGTAAGCACTGAAAAGGTATTTTAGAGGACAGAATCCATCCTTGAAAGCAAGTCGTGATTACACATGTGCCACTGCATACCCACCAAATAGCTACTAGTAGCTCCGGATTTTGTTTTCACCCTCCATTTTGTCCCTTGGTCGAAAAACGTGGTACAATAATGTAAAGATCTCATCATGGCAAACGTCTCCCCGCCCTCGTCGCCTGCGCAACTTGACTCTGGGTAGTATCCTCAGCATAGCGCCTATAAGCATCAATATACTGCTTCCGCTCACTAAGAGTGTCCTGTACACTCTGCCTAGCCTCGACCGCTTTGGCCCACTTCCTCCAGCGCTGCCAAATATGTTCATCCTGGCCACCTTTTCCTTCCTCCGGAATGCCCAAACCGCCTTTATACACGTCAAAAAGAAACAACCTGCACAGCCAGGGGGCGAGCATAATGTCGACCATGCCGAACTGGTCGCCCAAAAAGAACGGTCCCTCCGGATCCGCTTCAGCGACAAAAGTCTTGATATGATGCAAGAACTCGGCGCGCGCCTCGTCCAGTGTGTACGGCTTGGAATCGGAATGCTGCATGAACCGGTAGAACGCAGGCACGATGCGGCCGCTGATGTGGTCGATCCAGATGCGACAGCGGGCTCGCTCGTATGCGTCGTCGGCTGGCAATAGTGACGGTCCATTTTTGGCCGGGTCGTTATAGACTTCGTCCAGGTATTCGCAGATGACGACGCTTTCGTACAGTGGTTTCTGTATCTTGTTCTTGTTTTTTGTTACGGGCACGGCGAGCGTGGGCACAAGGCCTCTTGGGTTCAGCTTCAAAAATTCCGGGTCTTTCTCGTATGGGTTGATCTCAATGTATTGGTGGGGAATGTTCTTTTCGTGCAGTGTGATCCAGCTGCGTTGCACGAATGGGCAGAACCAGCCGCCATAGAGGATGAGTTCGTTGGGTGCTGAGTGCGCTTTGGCGAACTCGGCAGCCCGGCCGCTCGTGTGCGGATGTAGAGATGTATCTACCGAGCTCATTCTTGCGGGTGTACTATTGTAGAGCCGGAGTTCAAGTTTGGGTTGTGGAAAGATCCGGAACCGACTCAGAGGGGATTGGGACCGTGGAAGGGAAGAGGAAGGGCGCCAGGATAGATAGGGGACGCGGACTCTTTGGGCAGCTGGTCGGCAGGACAATGAAAGGACTTTAAGCATAGCACGGCGCTGCCGGGTCAGTTGATGTCTGTACCAAGAGACAATTTGTCACTGTGCTGTGGTCATGACATTGAAACATTGAACTGTTCACTGCGATGTCAATACTGTCCGAACTGAATTGCGGAGATGCGGCACTGGAAGTTGTTCAATGACAGCAAATGACGTCGCTTCTGATCACAAATGTGGGCGGCAGCTACAGCCTTCCGCAGCCTCGCTTATGTCAGCATGTCTATCATCTGCAACTGGAAGCCCAAGGTTATGCCGGATTCTGTATCACTGAACTCTCCACGGTCAGCAACATGGTGGAACTGTAACCTGCGACTCGTGATCAAGCGTTGTACTATGTACACAGCAATAAGACGGAACGCCACACGGAACAACTACAGCGAGCAATCACATGTGGAGAGATCATCGAAGTCACGTGATGGATATGGAGACTGCAAGAATGCCCTGGTCTTGTGGCAATTGATAGCTGTTGGCTCGAATAAAATATTTCTGTTAGGAGACAAAGAGATTTCTTATAGCATTGCTTAGCATCGTGTCGTTGTGGAGTTTGCCTTTCGAGCCAAAGAGGCGTGTTCACAAAGGCAAAACTTCACAGCCATGGAAGGCTCTAGTAGGTCGGATGGGGCAAAAAGGCCAGGCTGGCGTTTAGGGGGCTTTGGAAAGGGGGTCAAAGGGGGTCAAAAAGGACAGTTTTAGTTAGCCACAAGGCTTAACACTCTCGAGTCCCAGCGGAACCTATAGAAACCCACAGGTTGTTCCCCTGGCTAGCTTAACGCTGGTTGGTAGTTACTAGCAGTCACTGCAAGCTGGAGGTACCGTCCCGCTGCGCTGCGCTGACTCTGACCTGCGGAGGCGATCCGAAGAGGACAGCGTATCGATAACTCGCCGCGCCGCGTTCCATAAATATTTCCTGTCACCATCATTCCCTCGCTTCTGACCACTTACCATTCTTTGCTTTCTTTTCTCTCTGTACACCTCCTCCCTTACGACCTCTCTTCAACATGGCGCGTCAAGCGTCCAGATCCTCGTCTGCTTTGCAGTGGACTACCCTCTTCTACCTCCTCCTCATCTTCGTATGCCCCCTGGCGCTGATCGGCTCGGCCCAGGCGAAAGGAGATCAGACACCTCTCAACGAGTCAGACGCCAATTATGGCACGGTTATTGGTATTGATTTGGGTACAACCTACTCCTGCGTCGGTGTGATGCAGAATGGAAAAGTCGAAATCATTGTCAACGACCAAGGAAACCGAATCACACCCTCGTACGTGGCCTTCACCGATGAAGAGCGGTTAGTGGGCGACGCGGCGAAGAACCAGTACGCACAGAATCCTACGCGGACAATTTTTGATATCAAGTAAGTTGAACTCGCTTTTTACCTGTGTATGAGCTTTACTAACAGCCTGTTCTAGACGATTAATCGGTCGCAAATTCTCCGACAAAGATGTGCAACGAGACATCAAACACTTCCCGTTCAAGGTCATCAACAAAGATGACAAGCCTATGGTCCAGGTCGAGGTTGCTGGTCAACCAAAGGTCTTCACTCCCGAGGAAATTTCCGCAATGGTTTTGGGCAAGATGAAGGAAGTTGCGGAAGCATACTTGGGCAAGAAGGTCACTCACGCCGTTGTCACGGTTCCAGCCTACTTCAACGACAACCAGCGACAAGCGACAAAAGATGCCGGCACGATCGCCGGTCTGACCGTTCTCCGAGTGGTCAACGAGCCAACGGCCGCTGCCATTGCCTACGGACTTGACAAGAAGGGCAAAGAGAGCCAGATTATCGTTTACGACTTGGGTGGCGGTACCTTCGATGTCTCTCTGCTGTCGATCGAAGACGGTGTTTTCGAGGTCTTGGCTACGGCTGGTGATACCCATCTCGGTGGTGAAGATTTCGATCAGCGAGTCATCGACCACTTTGTCAAGCTGTACAACAAGAAGCACGACGTGGACATCAGAAAAGATCTCAAGACCATGGGTAAACTGAAGCGTGAGGTCGAAAGAGCCAAGCGAACCTTGTCGTCGCAAATGTCCACTCGCATTGAAATCGAGGCCTTCCACAACGGCAACGATTTCTCCGAGACTTTGACCCGGGCCAAATTCGAGGAATTGAACATGGACTTGTTCAAGAAGACTCTCAAGCCGGTCGAACAAGTCCTGAAAGATGCCAAGGTCAAGAAGACCGATATCGACGACATTGTCCTGATCGGTGGTTCTACTCGTATTCCCAAGATTCAGTCCATGATCGAGGAATACTTTGGTGGCAAGAAGGCCAGCAAGGGCATCAACCCCGACGAGGCTGTGGCATACGGCGCGGCTGTTCAGGGTGGTGTTCTTTCCGGCGAGGCTGGTACTGAGGATTTGGTGCTGATGGATGTCAACCCTCTGACTCTTGGAATCGAGACCACCGGAGGTGTCATGACCAAGCTTATCCCTCGAAACACGGTCGTTCCAACCAAGAAATCTCAAATTTTCTCGACCGCCGCCGACAACCAGCCAGTGGTCTTGATCCAGGTTTACGAAGGCGAACGATCCTTGACCAAGGACAACAACTTACTCGGCAAATTCGAACTGACCGGTATTCCTCCTGCGCCTCGTGGTGTCCCACAAATTGAAGTGTCGTTCGAGCTGGACGCCAACGGTATTCTCAAGGTGTCAGCTGCGGATAAAGCCACCGGCAAATCGGAAGCCATTACTATTACCAACGACAAGGGCCGATTGACACCCGAGGAAATCGAACGCATGGTGGCCGAGGCTGAACAATTCGCCGAAGAAGACAAACTGGTGCGTGAGAAGATCGAGGCCAGAAACAAGCTGGAGAACTATGCCGTCTCGCTCAAGAATCAGGTCAATGATGAAGATGGCCTTGGTGGCAAAATTGACGACGAAGATAAAGAAACTCTTTTGGAAGCCGTCAAGGAGACTCAGGACTGGCTGAGCGAAAACGCCGACACAGCCGAAAAGGACGACTTTGACGAGCAATACGAGAAGCTGTCACAGGTGGCGTACCCCATCTCCAGCAAGTTGTATGGCGGTGCCGGTGGTGCCGGTGGCATGCCGGATTATGGTGATGATGATGATGAACCTAGTGGCCACGACGAGTTGTGATGGACAGAGTCTGTCTTTTATCGTGAGCTTCTTTTTGTTTTTGATGGTTGCATGTAGATTCCTCGACGGGGAAAATGTCGAGAATGCAGGATGCCAGGCGAGATATGGCATGGCATGGCATGGCGTTTGATCTGTCTTTGATTAGATACCACAAAATTGATCAGTTTCCAACAACAATACTGTCTTCGTATAAGGTGTATCAACAGGTAATAAGGTGGCTAGGCACAAGTACCTTGGCCGGTATTAATAATACGGGCTTGTAGAGGAATGTCATATGCAGTGCCAGTGTCCATGTCCGTGTAAGCTGTCGAGACGACAACCACACCAACAACGATACGTATGTATTCGTTACTACCACTACTATCTCAACTACTAATACTGCAGTGATTCCTGAGAAGCTATATATATACCTAGGAGCCTACGCAGCTACTCATATCACATCATTCGTACTGCAGTTACTGTTAGTACTATCTATATACAACCGGATCACCAGAATGGCACAACGTGAACCTGAACCTGAACCTGAATTACAGAATCAAATCTACAAACTCACATTCTACGTTCCCCCCTCCCACACCCAAGCGTGTCTCGACGCTTTATTTGCCGTTGGAGCAGGGACATGGCCGAACCCGAATCCTTCGAACGAAGCGTCAGCGAGTTTGACCGGTACCACTGGCGCCGCCGATAGCGTCGGTCCGTCACGGCCAAAATATATAAATACCGCCTTTATATCTTCCGGAACAGGACAATTTGTCGCGACCGAGGGTGCGAGGCCGTATATAACCAGCACTACTTCTTCCACCGGCACTTCTACGTCTACTTGCAGCGGCACGGGTCCTTCTGCTCCTGGTGGTAATACTGGTCCTTCTACTTCCGGCGGTATGTCTACGGATACTTCTCCCAGCAATACCAATAAGGTCGAATATGTCCAAGAAGATCGTGTCGAAATGGTCATTGCTGGTAGTAGTGAAACAGGATCAGGATCAGGATCAGGATCAGCTGTTCAAAAAGCAGTCGAGGCGTTGAGACGGGCGCATCCATATGAAGTTCCGGCGTTTTTTGTGACGAGGAGTGAATTCTACTAGGGAGATTACTGGGATACCACCCAAGTACCTACATGGATATAAATACAATATAGATACTAGTAACTCACTGCATATAAATATGACTATTGTATGACTGACGAAATCGCCTACTAGTACACTGCATGGCATGCCACCATAGAGTCAAATGAACGGATGAATGGACAGATGACTGACTGATGGCTTTGCATTTCATGGGTACTTGTAATCAATGGATACTACGGTGTGCCGCGCTGGAAGATGGTGCGCTGTCCTGCTCCTGCTCCTGCTCCAACTACACAGAGACATCAGATAGGGACCAACAGGAACACTGCAAGTGGACGCTTAATGCGGCCCTTCACAACGACAAGTTTAGGGGAAATCGAGTCAAGTCGGCTCAGCTCAGCTCAGCTGTTCGTACTGTTGATGATACTTGCTGGTTGAGCCAGGTACTGTAGCTATTTACCACGAACTACTGGTACCCAAAGTACCTATGCAACTGTCATCTGCAGAGACTGCACGGCATCAGCGAGGTAAAAAAAAAAAAGTAGACATTCCACGTCCACGTCTGAAGAACTTTTCCCGACTCCAATACGGGCCCCCCGGCCACCCGGTTTTTTCGGCGACGTGCCCATCTTCCAAGTGATATAGGATCAGGAATGTCCAAGAAATGAGCTCCAAGTGGGTAAGTTGAAATAGGTGGTGCATTTACCACCTGCCACCCACTACAGCTCGATCAAGCTCTCCTCCATGGCGACAGGCTGTTGTTGTTGTTGTTGCTGTTGCGGGACATGTTGTGGCGCAGAAGGGAATTGGTCCGCGGTGTATGTTGTTGGATATGGACCGTAGGAAGACGAAGATGTCGAGGGTTGTACTGGTTGTTGAGACTGTTGTGGTTGAGGAGGGTATTGCTGCTGCTGCTGGTGGTGGTTCGGAGGGAGATACGTCTGAGCTGGAGCATGGTGCTGAGATTGGGTCTGTGACGGCGGCTGTTGCTGTTGAGAATAAGATTGGGATGCTTGCTGCGGTGTTGGTTGTGGTTGATACTGCGCTTGCGGTTGCGGAGTCGGTGCAGTGGCTTCAGATGTAGGAATCTGCGCCTGTTGAGAATATGGTGTGGGAGTTTGTTGAGGGTCAGGAGGGACAATTTGAGGATACATTGACGGCGGCTGTGAGGATTGAGGAGCAGCATATTGCTGAGGAGCAGGTTGATGCTGGAACATTTGTGGCGAAGACGGTTGCTGGCCGTATTGGGAAGGAGGCTGTTGCTGTTGTTGCTGAGGCGGTGGTTGTGTGGTATACTGCTGGTAGGGCGAGGCGGGCGCTTCCTGGGGCTGGCTGGAATATGAATATGATCGCTGCGGCTGCGCTTGTGGCACTGGGACTTGTTGCGGAGCCCGAGCGTACGATTCGACAGGGGCATTACTGAAATAAAAGTTCTCGACGTCCCCTTGACCGGTGGCTATTGACGGTGGAGGACCAGATGGTGCCAGTGCCGGATACACTCCCGCAGACGGAGCCGTCAAAGCAGGAGAGGCCATGGCATACGTGGCGTACCCCGGGTTTCGCTGGTTGTATGTATTGTTGAGTCTCTCTTCGAGCATTCGGTCGTAATATCGCACCACAGTGGACAGTTTGGCATGGAGATCTAGTAGTGCGTCATGCTTCGACATGGTTTCACCCAAGGTCCTGGCCAGCTTCGGCCGAAGCTTCCCAATGCCTTCGTAAAGTTCTTGGATTTGTGGTTCTCGGAGGATCGTTCCCGGAGGCTGGTGTTGCAATCTGTCCACCAGCGTTGCAAAAAGATGAATGTTCTCGGCCTCCATGACTGACAACTCGTAATCGTTCTTCGGCATGATGAAGGGTTGAGTGGAGCTGGCGCCGTCTTGAGCAGAAGCAGACTTCTTCATCGACGCAGCATGCTTTTTGGCCTGCTCTTCCGCCTCCTTCAGGGACAGAGCAATGGCCGCCTTCAGATCCGGGTCGTCCTCTTCTTCAATGGACACACCATTTGTCTTGGCCGGCTCAGACTTGGATTGCGTTTGAGATTGTGGAACGAAGCCTGAACTGGTTATGCCTTGTGCCTCTTCCAGACTCATTTCCAGAGCTTTCTTCAGGTCCTCGTCGAAACTGCTTGTTTCAACTCTTGCGCTTCTCGGCTGCATCGTCGTCGGTCTGGGAGCAAAGGAAACTCGACGCTCCGAACCACCAGACTTCTTGGTCAATTTATCGTAACATCCATCGTCGACTCGAACGGGTTGCATGATCCCCAGATGCGGAAGCGGAATGGACTTGGAAGAGCACTGTTGGTCAAAGACGTTGCCGCAGTTCCTGCAGTGGTGCTTCCTGTTGGTGAAGGTAAAAGCAGTTCGGCATCGCATGCAGACGTCGCTGTCGGTCCACTCCGGCGGTGCACTGCTGTCCAACATGGTGCTGGCGATCTCGACCTTGGGCGGAAACCGAAAGCCTTCTCTCTGCAGGCTCTTGTACACTTCGTTGATGTATGACAAGTCTTGTCGGCCCTGCGTGGCGCTGGCCCAGCTTTGAATCAGCTCCAGTATTCTCTGCTTGACCTCTTCATTGACGGCTGCCGGCCCGTATGCTTTTAACAAAGAAACCAGATTATCCATGAACTCGCGGGAGGCGATCTCGGTGAGGAAATGGGATCCGCCATTCTTGACGCATGTATCTGTAAGCCGCAGAGCGGATAGTTGTACGTTGGGATTCTTGTGGCCTATCCGCTTCTTCAACGAGCGCATGGCATCTTTAGGCTGCACTGTTTTGGACCTGATGAGGTCGGAGATTTCAAGGCTGGTTGCGATATCTTCTAAGCTAGACGAAGTAGCTTTCTCGATCTGCTCGTCGAGAGCAGACGTCCCAGACGAAAACCATCCAGCCATGGTTGGTTTGCTTTGTCTCTGTTCCACAGGCGCAGGCAGGCTATCGGATGAGGCGAGGGAGGGTTGATGACGCTTTGTTGTGGCCAGCTGTTCAGCACTGGCAGGGGAATAAGCTGGATCGACTAGAGATGACCATAGGCAGACCCTCACAAGGTAGGTATTGAGGGAGGACTGAAGTCGATCGAGGCAGCAATCGTTGTTGCGGAGTACGAGGGTGACCGTGTATGAAACCCGTAAATGATACACTGGTACCTAGAAGTTGTACCTATCTGGCATATGGTGTAATAATCCACCGGCCTCAGGCTGTAGGTGCCACTGGCACGTCCAGACAGGCAGCCACAGTACCAGCCACTACCAGCCACTTAAGCACTTCACCGCAGCTGTGCGTGGAACGGTATAGGCGTGGTGTTTGCCCCCCACAAACCATCTCCGGGCGGTTGTAGCTTTGTCAGCCCCCAAAATGGCCCCTAAACCCCATCGTAGCCTTCAAGTTCGGCCCGCAGCCCGCTGGTACCGTGGGAGTTCTGTGAATCGGTCAACTACTACTACTAGTACTGTCAAACGGGGCTCCGTCATCCGAGTCGCCATCCCAGCTTTCAGAACCTTGTGTTACATAGTACTGTAGTTGGCAGCCTTGTGGAAAGTTGTTACGACTAGGAGTTGAATATCCCTCCTACTGCGCAGTCATCAGTGGCAACGACACTGACACTATATCGCTCAGCACCACCAACACCACTTGAATTCCCTCGATACTCGCTTTCATCCGCTACTCTGAAACGACCTGCGTCACCAGGCGAACACTTCGTCCATTGTACCCATCATCACCTCACTTCCGCCGGTGTCACCTGCCACCACTTCACGCTTTGCTTCTTTGCACATCCTCTCTCGGCATCTAACCCCGGTTTGCTGACTATACATTTGAGGAAGGCCTAGAGTTCTGTCATCACTTCGACAGAAGCCCAGGCACACGACAGACCCGGTGGCTATCAGATATTCGTCCCGCGATGATTCCTCGGTAATGTCGCATTGACTCCGCTATGGCGGCCTACACATCTCCGTCGTCCACGCATACCAACTCCGTATCTACTTCCGCAACCACTGTACCCTCCTCACGAGAAAGTTGGACGGATAAGAAAGATCTCAAGCCAGGGCCGGGCCCGGAAAGAGTCTATCCTCACATCAAGGACATCATACAAGATGCTACGACCTCATTCAAGGGAGACGGTTCGCTTACACAATACCTAAACGAGGTTGAGAGATGCATTGCGACAGCGAGGAACTCGGTGGACATCCTTCGACGGCCGGACTTGGCCTACAAGAACTATGTGGTTGCCTACGAAGTGGCTGTCAATTATATCCCAAGGCACAAAGAGTATGGGTTCTGGGATAACAACCATGCTTGGGCGATGAAATACAGGGCGGCACGGAAAAAGCTGAATGCGATGGAAAGCGAAATGACCCAGGTCAAAGCTCTGATAGAGGCCAATAATGCGCGGTATGGTACGAAGCCGCGGGATGTCTCTAGAAGACCAGTCTATTCATCCGGGTTTGGCGTGCCTTCGAACTCGCTCCCTCCTGGCGCCGGAGGATCAGCTTCTTCCAGAGCGAGCGTCTCTCAAGCCATTCCTGAGGCACATCAGCTGCCGCCAACTCTCCGGATAGAGCGCTCCCGACCATCGAACAAGCCAAAACCAGAAGGTCTCCATGGACGCCCATTGACCGATACGTCGAACGATCTCAGTCAAAGGTTTGCCCGCCTGAGAGGCCTCGGAACGGCATCTGAAGAACCCGCACCGCTATCGATGCCGAAAGAGAGTGACTTCCATAGTCCGAACAGCGTTAGCGGGAGAAGGCCACAATCCACGACCTCTACGTATGCAATCCCAGACACCAATGGCTACTCAAGCCCACGTCTCAACGGGCCGAGAGATATGCCTGGCTCTACCAAAAATGGCCCGGATTTACCACCTAAGGTGCCTCTCTCCCCGGCAATTGCTCTTCCCAAACCACCTAGCCCGACGTATAGTCCGATATCGACTACATCAGCTGGACCTCATACAAACAGCAATCGACTCTCCGCGGAAGGCGGTCGTCCGCCGTCTGACAAAAAGCAAACATATTACAACCAATCCCAAAACTCATCGACCAATTCCCTACACCTCCAAAGAACCCGGGATGAGATCCTTTCTCCTTACCGCCCGACCACCCCAAATGGAGTCAACAGTGCCATTGTGCCGAAAAGTAGCTCAAGTGACCTTCCGCACCAAACATCCATAGACGCGTCGACATTGCATGACTACATGAGGAAATACAACGTCCTTCTGATCGATGTGCGGGAGAGGGTACTGTTTGATGATGGCCATATCATGTCCAGTTCTATCATATGTATTGAGCCTATTTCTCTCAAAGAAGGCGTTTCCGCAGAAGAGCTCGAAGACCGACTCGTCCTAGCTCCTGATGCAGAGCAAGCACATTTTTCGCGGCGGAACGAATTCGATCTTGTCGTGTATTATGACCAGGATACGAACGACACCTCTTATTTGAAAGGTCCGCCGAGTATGACCAAAGCTCCAGCGCTTCGAGCTCTTTACGACACGTTGTATGAGTTCAACGACACCAAACCTCTTAAAGACGGTCGTCCGCCGGCATTGTTGGCCGGAGGGATTGATGCTTGGATTGATTACATGGGGGCGCAGTCACTTGCGCGGTCCAGAACGGCAGCAATGCTTGGGACGACGCGCCAACGAGCCACAGTCGGACCAGGAAGGCCCATTGCTCGACAGCGGATGGTTTCTGCCAACTCACGCTATGAAGTCCGCAATAGGAGACTGCGTGATCACAAATTTCTGGATGAAAGCGAGCAAGAGGCGTGGCGGCAACAAGCCCTGCAAGAGGAGGTCACTCCTCACGAAAAGCCCGAAGCAGCCAGCGATGAGGAATACCCGGCAGCAGATGCTGAGCAGGTACCTTCGTCACCATTCATTCCCGACTACGAAACGTTTCTACGCCGCTTTCCTTCTGTCAGACAACAAGAGTCTATGGTCATGCCGGCTCGTAGGCCTCTTCCATCACACCCGGCCGTCTACTTGCCTCCTGCTGCGCCCGCGGCGCCGGCAATACCAGCCGTGCCTGCGCGACCGCCTCCGGCAATACCCAGACCGAGCTATTCGGGACAAGCCGACATCAATGCACCTCAACCGGCATTGGCAAGAGTGACATCTGCCACGCGGCCGCCCTTGTATTCTTCCGTAACTTCTATGCGCAACAGAAGACTACCCAGGACCGGTCTGACGAATTTTGGGGTGACGTGTTATATGAACTCGACTTTGCAGTGTTTGTCGGCGACAATTCCGTTGTCTGCGTTCTTCAATGATCGGGTTTATGAAGGGTACGTGCAACGGAATTGGAAAGGCAGTAATGGTATTATGCCCAAATTGTACGCCAACTTGATCCAGGCCGTGTGGCAGGAAGACACGGATGTGATCAAACCATCGACCTTCCGCAACTTTTGCGGCCGCATGAATCGAGAGTGGGCGATCGACCGGCAGCAGGACGCGAAAGAATTCTTTGATTTTCTGGTCGATTGTCTGCACGAAGATCTGAACGTGAATTGGGAACGGAATCCGCTGCGACCATTGACGACGGCCGAGGAGATGCAACGAGAAAGAATGGAAATCGCACGAGCCAGTCCGATTGAATGGAAACGCTACGAACATCGCGACCACAGTTTTCTATCTTCCATCTTTGCAGGTCAACATGCCTCACGGTTGCGATGTCTGACTTGTCGAAGGACCTCGACGACGTACGAAGCATTCTATAGTATTTCCATTGAAATCCCGCGTTCTGGCGTCGGACATATCTACGACTGTTTGAATTCCTATTGTCGCGAAGAAAAGCTGTCGGAGCTCTGGAGGTGTCCGTACTGCAAGTGTGAGCGGGAGGCGACCAAGCAAATCATCTTGACGCGACTGCCGCAGTTTCTGGTGATTCATTTCAAGCGATTCGCCGCTTCAAAGCACGAGAGGGCGCAAAAGATCCATACCCCGATTGAGTTTCCTCTGCACGGTCTCAGCATGGATGATTTTGTTATTCCCCGCCCCCCACCCGCTCCGGAACAAGAAGGACAACCGGTCGATATGGCCACGACGCCGCCTTACACTTACGATGCCTATGGCGTGTTGAGGCATTTGGGAAATAGTGGCGATGGAGGGCATTACATCAGCATTGTCAAGGACCAGGGTCGTGGTTGTTGGAGGAAATTCGACGATGAGCGTCATTACGACTTGGATCCGAATAAACTTGGGTCAAGGGATCGGTTGCAGAATGGCGAGGCTTACATTGTCTTTTACCAGCGTTCTCAAGCTAGGCGATGACTCACCATGATGTTGATGCTAAGGCTGCAGGTGGGTCAGGATTTATCTGTCCCGTTTGATGTCTATGCAAGTACCTAGGTAGGTACCAGTCGGTCCACAGATTCCGGCAGAAAGCTGTCGTGTGGGTTTGGACTCAAATGCATACTGTTCTTCTTAACTTGGTTCTACTTGTTGATATGGGCCGACTTGCCTATTATATTATTTTTGCCGCCATTGTAGCAGTTTAAGGGTTTAGAGCATCGCCCGAATGGCACTACAGTAGAACAAGAGAAAGAGCATTAAGCTATCAATCATCAATCATCAACCAGCACCATAAGCTAGCGTCAACTGTGAACCCGTACTACACGCAAGAACCCAATTGTAACTCAAACCTGTGTCACCACCTACAGTACAATATCTACCTACCTACCTACCTACCTACCTAGTACCTGCCTAAATATTAGATACTGTACTTGTACCATCCGTCACTTCAACGCCGGCACCCACCACCTAATCTGCTGGTGCATCTTCTCGGAATACTCCTTTTCGAGCCTTTGCAGCTCTTTCGCCGCCTCATCACCACCATCTTCATCATTTTCTTTGGCTTCCTCTCTTCTCCACACAAGCCAATCCCACGGCGTGACTGAATTCTTCGCACGGTCCAAATATTGCGACACCACTTGATCCTTGTTCCCTTTTTCTTTACCGTAGATATAAGGGTTATTCGGAGACAAGTAACACCGAGGCCTGACGACGGCGCCGCCGCCACCACCGGCGCGGGCTTCTTGCTCTTTCCGTTCTTCTTCTTCTTCTTTCTGTTTCTTCTTCAGCTGCTGCTGCAGAGCCAACCGCTTGGCGACCTGGTTGGCGTCGTGGAGAGAGACCAGTTTCCTAGTGGAGGGATACTTGTTCATCAAGTCGGTGATGAGCTGGTTCATTTTCCACTGGTTGCTTCTTGATACGCCCCTTCCGGGCGGGTCTCTGGTTGTGGTGGTCGTGGTCCCGGGGATGTGGTCATCTTCGTCCTCGTCAACAACATCGTCGACAACTTGAACGTCGTCGTGGACATGATTCTCGTCAGCTTCCCGTCGCTTCTTCTGCTTCACAAACTCCTTGGGAGAGACATTTTCCACGCTCCATTTCTGGGTCTGCACCAGCTTGGGCGGGTCTTCGGTCAATTTCCTCAGATAACTGGCGGTCACGACCTGCGCGGGCGTCATGCCCGTGGCGTTTTCAAAGTATAGCAGGCTCGGACGATATTCGACAATGAACCGGACAAGACCCAGGTGACCTCGGCGAACGGCCGTGTGAAGCGGATAATCGCCCGCGCCGTCCATGATCTCGAGGTCTTGACCATTGGAATAGGATAGGAGAAGCGCGAGACTGCGTTCCCAGTCGCTGCGCGGTGAAGAAATGTCAATGCGATTGAGAAACAGTGCGAGAGGAGTCAGTATCGTCGGTGTCGCCGTCGTGGTTTCGGTATTGTCGTTGCACCGCTCCAGTAACAGTCTGCCCACAGTCTCAGAATCCATCAGCCTCAACACTGACCTGAGCAGTGCGTGGTGGCGGTGGTCGATCTGGTCAAGGAGCGCATGTAAGACGTTCCGGCCCGTGTCGTCTCGGATAGTCACATCCGCACCGGCTTCGATCAGTTTTTTCGCCGCGTAGTATCGACCTGCCTCGAAGGCGACGTATAGCGGAGTCCTGCCGTCGGCCGCGCGACTGTCAAGAAGGTCAAGTTCTGGTTCTTTCCGCAAAAGGTAATCAAGGACTGGCTGAGAGCCATCCCTCAGGGGAGGCGACAGAACCGCCAGATCGAGAGCAAGATGGCTGCGCGTCGAAAGCCAAGTCTGGAGTGCGGCCTCGACCCCACCCTCGGCTTTGGCAAGTGCTTGAATATGCACGTCGTCCTTGGAGTTCCGAGTCTCTGCAAATTCGAGATATCGGCGCAAGGGACCATCACCAAGAAAGTACTGCGCTGCTCGCAGGTTCCCCTCGGCGATGGCCGTCAGACGCGGGTTGGGGGCGTCCGACGTGTCTTGTCTGTGCCTGTAACCGAGTCGACGTGCCTCTGTCCAGTCCTGCCTCTTCCTGCCGTGCACGGTCAACCCTTGGTAGTATTGGGGTTTCTGGTCGAGTTGAAGCCCGGCCTTCTGGAATATCTTCTGAATCGCAAGTCCGACCCCGGTCGACTTGATCATTTCCTCGATCATCTTCACCCGGCCTAACCGGAGCGCCACTTGGAATTCGACCTCGGTGGGTTGGATCGTCTTCAAGGACTCGTCATTCTCACACCGACTGGCGAGAGTACTACCAACCTTGACCAGGAACTTCAAGAGATCCAAGTTATCCGTGAAAATGGCATATCGTATAAGAGATTGCTGCTTCTTCCGGTTGACATAGTCGAAAGCGCTCTCGAACCACGACCACGACTGGTATGAACGGTTGTATACCCAACGGGTAAAACCCCAGTCGGCCTCGAATGCCTCGTCGATCTCAGACTGTTCCACTTCTTTGTTCTCGATCGCGCGTGTCACCTGGCAGGGCCACGACACCATTGTCGCAGGAGAGATTGAGGATTTGACGTTTTCGGCGAGAGTGGCGACATTGTCAATCGTGAAGGTCTCATCGACGACCTGTCTCAGGACACGCACGTCGTCTTCGTCACTGTCGACCTCGCCGTCGTCACCGCTGTCCTCGCTGTAATCACTGTATTCATTATACTCTCTCCCAGCGTGCAGAGTATAATGATACTCTTCCGACTTGCTGCGGGGTCGGTACTGCACCGTCGCAATCTCGACGATGAGTTCAGCCACATCATAATGGCCTCTCAGGACTGCAATGGAAAAGGGACTAAATCCACGAAGGTCTTGCACGGCCACCTGAAGCGGGCGAGTCCTTGACAAACAGAGCTCTTTGACGGTCGAGGCATCGCCCTGCCACGCCGCTTCGAACAACTTGACATAATCAGCCTTCTTTTCGGGCGTCAGGTCGGCGACCATGAACGATATCTTCGTGGTGTAAGGACTGCTCTCGTCAGGGCTAGTCGGGAGGAAGAAGTGCGGACGGCGAGGCTTAATATATGGCCGCAATTGAGCAAATGTCTGCGCACCCTTGGCGACAAGCTTTTCTTCGATCTTGGTGAGCTCGGCAAGCGTGCGTTCGACCGCGATCCTTTTCTCCTCTCCTCCTTCTTCCCCATCATGGTTTACGTGTTGCAGTTCTTTTTGCTCTTTCTCGATTTGCCACTGACGAACATTCTTTGCATCGCACAAATCATGGTAAGCAGTCCAGTATTGGTATGAATCTCGGTCAAACTCCCCCAAATACTCTTCATCCTTGCCCAGAGGCTCTGCTCGCTCCGACGTGTCCCTGTGTTGTGCCGGGTACAAGAACTTGCGCAGCGATTTGATTCGATCTTGCACAAGATCCAACAATGACTTATCCCACCCTCTCATGTCAGGCCGCTCACAGTATTCGTATGCCTTGGCTGGAAGTGTATTGACGTCTCCTCCTTCATCGATCAGTTGGTTGACAAGATCCAGCATCTCCATCTCCAGGGCCACCGTGATGGGTTGCTCGACCTTCTTTTCGTATAAGCTCTTGACCTGCTCCGGGTCGTCCGTGCTACGACCCTGTTTGCGCGCGTAAGCTTGAGCAAACAACTCAAAGTCAATGCGTGTCTTGGCGCCGTTGGCGATGAGAAATTCAGCCACCTCCCGCCGGCCAGTACGGATGGCGGTGACGAGTGGTACCTCGACGTTGAACAGATTCCACCATGGCATCAAGGTGACCACGTGGTTGCACGCATTTCGGAACGTAGCGGCATCCGCAGAGGCCTTGAGAGTCTCCAAGATGAGAGCCTTTCCACTGTTGACTGCGTAGTGGAGCGCCGAAACGCTGTTCATATCAGCTTGGGCCAACGTGGTTCCGTGGGCGAGCAGGGCTTTCACAGTTTCGTTGGCCTTTTGAAGGGGCGGTTCTAAAGCGAGCACAAGGGATAAGATGGCGGCCTTGGCTCTCTTGGAGTTGTAATCATCCATGAGTTTGACCGGCAACAGCACGTCGGCGCCAAATTCGTCCACGAGCAGCTCAATGGTGTCGAGGTGCCCACCCAAGATGGCAAGGTGGAGAGGAGAAAGCGGACTGTCCCAGGCAAGGACGTCAACATCGTAGACGTCCGGCTCCTCCTTGTCTTCTGCGAGTTCATCGCCAGTGGCACTAGCGTGCTCGGGTGATATTTTGACGAACGAACCCTCGGTCATCTTGTCGTCGTCTTCATTGTCCTCGTCCTCCGCACCGCTCAGTTCCGAGTCCCAGGAGTCAGCATCATCGGTCTTTTCGTCCCCAACTCCTGGTTGCTCGGCAACAGGGTGGTGGCTTGCAGCAGCCCTTCGGGCCTCTTTCTTCGCCTCCTCCTTGCGACTTTCCTGTTCCTCGTTGGCGGCGCTCCTGTCCAGCAAAGCCTTCACTATTTGTGTCTCGCCCCGGTGAGCTGCAATATGTAGTGCGGTCATGCCATTATAGAGTCTAGACACAAGTCGAGCACCGTGCTCAATCAGACATTGGACGATATCGGGAGTTGAACACATGGCGGCCAGTTGTAGTGGAGTCCGACCCGTATGATCACGTCGGTTGACATCCGCCCCTTCGAGCGAGGAAAACCAGTCTTGAACCGCATCGAGATCTTGATCCACAATCGCCTGACACAGCCGAGTGGTGTTACCCACGTACGCCATCTCCGTCCAGTCATCGTCAGTGATGGGGTGGAAGCTGCCGATTGCCTGCCGGCCCGGATTGTCTTTGAGGAACGTGAGATCTCCCGAAATGAAGATCCGGCTTTCTTCCTCGAGGGCTGCAAAGTCTTCATCGGTAGTTGGCTCAGGGCAAAATCCACAGCAATCGTGAATCACATCTTCTACAGGCCCGAAAAATGCCGGATGGCGGTGCAGTCGTGCCTTTCTGTCCTTGGGCCGGTTCCATTCCGAGTTGAGTAACAGATCTTTGGTGAAGAGAAGCTTCTCAACCTTTTTGGCGTTGTATTTCGGACCATACGGAATGGTGAAAGTGTGGTAGTCCGACACATCGTCCTCCTCGACCCAGTCGCCCACGTCGTCAGGGTGACTGGCCTTGACATCTCCCGGCAATACATGGCGGGACCTCCGAGTCGCATTCCATCGTAGAGGTGGACGGCCTCTCTCCTCTCTGCGTTTCGCGAGGTAGGCGTCCCTGTCTTGGGGGTAAGGAAGCTTCTCAAGGACAAGAAGCCTTGCCAGTCCCTGGACTCTGGTGAAGGATCTCTCGTAGATGGTTGGGTCCACTCTACTACGATCCAGCTCGGGCCAGTATGCCTCGAAACCACGGTGAGAGTATTTGGAAAGCCTGTTTTCGTACGAGGGGGATCTTCTGGTTAGGTCGATCGAATTGAGCTGGGTCATGAATGCAGCTAGAGCACGTGGCGACGCCCAAACCTGGTTGCCGTCAAACGCCACGCAGGAACAGTCTACGTCGAACCCCGTCAACACCTCGGAAATGCTCTTGTACAAGCGGAGGACGATTTGAACGTGACGGATAGGGTACTCTGAGACAATAGTAATGGCGTTTTTGGTCCGAACGGTGGTTATCTCGGCCAAGATGCTGTCTCGAATCGTGGCCTCAATTTGCTTGATCTTCTCGATCGCTTGATCCTCATCGAGACCATACAGAAAAATGTCGACGTCCGATGCCGGGGCAAGCTTCTCGTTGTAGTATGTTCGCAGAGCCCGCTGCGCGTGCGTCAATAACAGTGAAGACATGGACGAGACGAATGTTTACCTTGGATTCATTATGGGGTGCTTCCACCGGTAATAACGAAGTCACCACGGCGCTTCCGGCCACACAAACATTATTCCAGTCAAGATCAACCAGAGACGACTCCGAAAACAAATTAAAGTTCTTCTTGAACTCTTCCAGGGAGTCCACGACGGCAGGGGATCCATGCTTTCTGCGGAGTTTGTCGGGAAAAGACAGCAAGTACTTCTCCTTTTCGGTTGCCGGCTCGCTTGCAAGATCTCTGGCTTTGGTAGTGATTGGAGCACCGCCAAACACCGGAACGAGGTGATCAGCCGCAGCAGCTGGGTGATCCGGATGCTGCGCATAGACCTCCCGGAGCTTGCTTTCGAAGGCCTTGAAAGGCCGGACCGCCTCAGCAACTCCCGCTTGAGTGGCGGGATATTTGTTGGTGTAGTCGACGAAGTCATGGATTGGTACGGGGAGAGGAGGGAGCTCAACGGCGGCCATGGTTGATATCAGTGGCGGCTCTAAGGGATGAAGTCACAGATGGAGGGGGGATATTGGATAAGGAGGGATTGAAGCAGCAATGGAGTGGTATCAAGTCAATGGGTGAGAGTGAGAGGGGAGCAAAGAGCTCGATGTAAATGCTTGGAGGCTCACAACCTCCCTATCTTGTAAGGACCGGAGGCAAGTCTTTTGTAGGAAGACAATGAGTTTTCAAGTTCCTGGACTTGTGAGAGCACGCTTGACTCACGGCCAGGCAGCTGTAGCAGCCTGGGCAAGAACTGGTGATTGTCCCACCTGGTGCAGGCTCAAACGCCAAAATGAACCATGCCAGTTTACAATCTCATATCAGAAGTCTCCGTCTCACTGATACATCGGTCAGAGGTTCGCGGGAGTCGTTCCCCCGTAGTCTGCTTTTACCCCTGCCGAGAAGGGGTCCGCCGTTCTTTTTATGTCCAAGTGGAGCCTGGTGCCTGGTGCAGCCTAACAGCGACCATCGTCTCCAGGCTGCCAATGAGGCTACTGACCGCCTCCGTCTTGGATTTGTCTGCGCGGGCGACCTGGCTGGGTCGGTGGTGGGCGTGGGTGGACTCGAGGCGGAACAGACGAAAACTCCCACAGCACAGCCCTGAGCAGCTCGATTTGGCACAAGGCAGAATTGCATTGAGCCACGTTATTGTGGGAGATTACGGGCGGTTCGTTGTACAACTACCTCTAGATCCCTAGGTAGTAGGTACTGCTCGAATTGGCGTTGAAGTGCACTGCCACAGTGCTGGAATTGGCACAGATAAGATAAGATGCGCCGAGTCAATCAGATAAGATCATCTGTGCTTATCGATAAGCCGGCTGAAGTCAACGACGACATCGGATGCAAAATGTGGCTCTACGATTGAATTCCAATGCGGCTTCAAATCACGAGCCCTGAACCTCCAGCTATATTCGTTACAACCGCGACATCCTAAGCAGCATTCTCATTCTTGCGGTACGAACAAATGATTCTTGTTCTTCGAGCAGCACGACACACTGCTCCGGCCTGCAAGACTCTCAACCGCCCATACACCGCTACCAGCGCCTTCAAGTTTGCTAGACTGTCAGTATCCGTGCCACTGATTTCACGCTCTGGAATTTCCACCCGGCGACGTGGTGACTCGTCGTTCCCATTTTCCACATCCACTGCTACCTCAACAGCAACGCTCCAAGCCGTCAAGATGGCAAACGACCACATCCTAACGCTGTCGTGCCCGGACAAGCCAGGGATCGTGCACGCAGTCACCGGAATCTTCGCCAACAACAGCCTGAACATTCTTGACCTGCAGCAATTCTCCGACCGGACGTCTGAAAAGTTTTTCATGCGCGTCCACTTCGGGCCAGCCGATGACACGGCCTTCCTCAAACCGGCATTTGACTCTCTGGCGGCCGAGATCAAGATGGACTACGAGCTGCGACCGGTAGCGACCAAGCCGAAAGTGCTCATCATGGTGTCCAAGATCGGCCACTGCCTGAACGACTTGCTGTTCCGCCAGAAGACGGGCCAGCTGAGCATTGAAGTGCCCGTGATTGTTTCGAATCATCCGGACTTCGAGCCCCTGGCGCGCAGCTACGGGATTGCGTTCCACCATCTCCCCGTCACCAAGGACACCAAGGCGGACCAAGAGCGACGAATTCTGGAGTTGATCCGTGAAAACGATGTCGATCTGGTGGTTCTGGCTCGATACATGCAGGTCCTGTCGCCTACGTTGTGCGAGGCCATGTCTGGCAAGATCATCAACATCCACCATAGTTTCTTGCCGTCGTTCAAGGGCGCAAAGCCTTATCATCAGGCCTATGAGCGTGGCGTTAAGATCATCGGCGCCACTGCCCATTTCGTCACTGCCGATTTGGATGAGGGCCCTATTATTGAACAGAGAGTTGCTCGTGTCGACCATAGCATGACTCCCAAGGAGCTTGTTGATGAAGGCAGCAATGTTGAAAGCCAGGTTTTGGCCGCCGCGGTTAAATGGTGGTCGGAGAAACGGGTTTTCTTGAACGGTACCAAGACTGTTGTCTTTAACTAGACCAAAATTGCAACCGAGAAAGGAAAAGCAATTGTCTGGCAGTGGCTGTCTAAAGGTGCTTGCACTCGCATGGCTGGCGCCGAATTTACCGGTTGTCAGTCTTATCGGGCGTCTGACTTGCATTTTCAAAACCGAGACAAGCATTGCATTCTGGTGGAGATTGGCGCAGCTCATTCTGAAGAGCCGAGCAGAGCAGAGTAGACAAAAGGAGTGGGTTGGTTATTTGACCCAGCATGGTCTAAATGTTCCTGGGGCATATATATTTGGAGGCCATTGCATGTACACTGTATCTAGACCACGTACATAAGCAAACCGTCATCATCATCTTTCCAACCACCACTGCAGTCTCAAAGAACCACATATCAACCATGCCCTGGGGCACGATCCAACCATCATTGTGGCTCTCACTCAACGCCCTACTACTCCAAATTTCTACAACTCATCCTTGCCACCATCTTCATCGCTCCGTTTCTTCCCACTGTCATTAACACCAGCGGCATTCATCCCCCTCGTCCCCACCGAATCCTTAACCATAAGCGCCATAATGTCCACGAGCAAATCACTCGCCGCAACACTCGTGACCTCGGCAACAGTATCATAAGGCGGACTAACCTCGACAACATCCGCACCAACGAGTTTCACCCCCTCAAGACCTTTAATAAACCTCTTGACCTCTCTCGTCGTCCAACCTCCCGACTCCGGCGTCCCCGTAGCCGGCGCAATACTAGGATCCAAAACATCAATATCAATCGAAAGATAAACAGGCGTATCTCCGACAATTTTCCTAACCCTCTCAACAATTCCATCCATCCCACCCGGCCCACCCGTTCCAGCAGGCTCATCAATCTCATGCGCCTCAATAAGCTCAAACCCAACAACATCCCGATCCACAACATAGTCATTCGGCGAAAACAATTTCGTCCTTAGTCCGGCGTGCACTGATGTTCCCTTGGAAATACATCCCTCGCGGGCGGCGTGCCAGAAAAACGTGCCGTGCGTGATTGCGCTCTGGTTCGATACGATACCAGTGTATCCGGCGTAGGGGTCCCATGTGTCCAGGTGGGAATCGAGATGGATGACGCTGATGGGGCCGTAGACATCTCTCAAACTGCGGAGGATGGGGAGGACGATGCTGTGGTCGCCTCCTAGACTTAGGATCCGGGGGTGATGCCAATCGCATGAGGACGAGGCCGTGGAGCCGTCAGCAGAAGTCGAGGTCGTGGAGCCGGCACCGGCCGCACCGTCTGTGGTACTAGTACTGGTTGTGGTATTATGCCACAAAATCTGTCGATACCCCTGTTCCATCTGCCGAAACGCATGCTGCGCATCAAACGGGGTGATGGGAATATCGCCACAATCGACAATACTCAAGTTTCTTGCTGTAAGCGGATCGACTCCCCATACCGTATTATAGCTTCGACCCTTTTTCTCGCGTGAGCTGGCGGCCCGGATCCCGCGGGGTCCAAATCGTGCTCCGGGCCTGTATGATGTCGATGTGTCGTAGGGGAATCCCACAATGGCGATGTCGAGCGGGGAGGTGTGTGAGGGAGAGAAACAGCGGTGCCAGGGGAGATGGGCGAATGTGACGGGTTGGGAGAAGGGGAGGTCTTTGTCGAGGTCTTCGAGGGGGAAGGCGTAGTTGGGTCCAACGTTGAGCGAAAAGATTGGGTTCGAGTCCGACTCCCAATCGTGGGTGAAGAGTTCAGCTTGCCCGTGGTCTGAATGTGCTGAACACGTGGTGAGGATGCTGGCTGACCAGAAGGCTGCTGTTGCCGCCGCGATGGTTAGGCATCGTGTTGCTGTTGCTGGGGCCATGATAGACGCAGTGTATAGGTAGGTACTGGCAGTGGTGTGCTTTGCAGTCGACTCCGGTACTGAGGTGAGTGCTCGCTGACTGGACTGGAGAGATACCTTATGTTGCTCGTCGTAGCCGTTCAAGTCTGTGCTGTGTAGATGTATGCGTATATCTCTTGTGTAATGTATACCTTCAGGGGCGGGACAAACTGTTCCCTCTTATTTCTGTCTGTCAGTACGCACAGTCTCTACTCGCCAGTAGGTATTCGTCAACGAAGCAGTAAGATATTGTGTACCCTCTCTCCAGCTGTGCGTCCAAGTCAGGAAAGGAAGAGAAGACAAAGACTCTCCTCGGAAACCCGGGCGCCGTGTCTGCCTCTTTAAACCTCACCTGCATCGGAGGGGGCCCTACAAGCCCCAGCCCCATGTCCACATGTACGAGGAAGGGCCCCCTCCTTCGATCTTCTTCTGCCTACCTGCGTAGATTTTCAGTATCAAACAGTGTACGAGACCAGAAAGCCGTCGTGGTAGTCGGACATGTCCATCATGGATCGTCAGCCTCGTCCGTTGGGGGCTGCCATCTCCGTCTTTCTCCACCCTGCAGTGGCATCAAGTCCCAGTGGGTCTTCAAGGAGCATGAAATTGAAATGCCGACGTTTGGGTTAGACAGGGTACATGCATATGATTGCTCTGACCAAAGCCGTAAACAAGGTATGGATTTGAAGAGACAGGCCAGACCTTGAACATGAGGACAAAAGAGACCACTTATTATTACTAGATGCCTTGGGAAATCTGGACCGCGGGCCATCGTAGTCTCGCAGGTTCAAGTCTCTGTATCCACTACTCAAGCTCCGGGGATCATGATGCTCAGAGTAATCAAGGACATTGTGCGTGTTGAAACTGGAGACTCTTACACAGTGCATGGTAGCATGTCATCTCCTTGCCTGTTCTTCGTTCACGAAACACTCGAGCTCGAGTCTTCATCCTCATGGCCGAAAACGGCCATACTCACGCCAGCCTTCCCTGCCAGTATGACATCCCTCACTGACGCCGGTTCCAGTCACCTGCAAGCACCCCAGTCCTCTCGTCAGATGATCCGATCCTCCAAGATATTATTTCAAAAGGGGGTATCATGGGCTCCATTCCGAGTCCCGTTTTCCTATCGTCACATCACTGCGTCCATCCCATCCTACCTGCCATAACGCCGCCCAATCGCATTGCCATCGTTAGGTATGCATCCCACGCCATGTTATCCTATTTTGTTTTTCTTCCCCCATCTCGCTTGTCTTGTCTTGTCCAAAACCTCGAGTCGCCAACAGCCGATGGGCGATCGGTCAAAACATCGACGTCGACTGCCTTAGCAAGGCTTAGCTTGTCGCTTCATGCCGGCCAACCAGACAGCTGAGCAAAGACCCTTTTATGTCCGCTATCCATCGCAACACCCTACCTCTCCCAATCCGACGTGGACTACACACGGATGGCGAGACAGTCAGCCAGGACCGACTCCAAGCCCGAGCGATCATGTGCACTGGCGCCCTCCCAACCATAATTCTCAGTGTCGTCGACATCCATATGATCCGCGGATTCGGTCTTTTCAACCCCTTGAACACCATTAGTAGCAGAAGAAAGCTGTCCCTGTTCCTGTTCTCGCTCCTGAAGCGCACGCCACTCCTCATAGTCATAGCCCGCCGAGGCATTCGTCACAGTCGCACCAAGCAACGGCATAGCATTCCACGGCAGAGGACCGACTTTCGTCGAAAGCTGCAGATCCGGCATACCCAGCGGTCTCCTAGAATACGCGACCTCCGACTCCGTAGGCAAAAGGTCGTCGTCCCTGGTTCTCTGCAATTTTCCCATTTTGACCAGTTGCTCTTCACGCGCAATTTTCTTCTTGTACGCAGCCGTAAAAATCCCACCCGCTGAAGCACTGTTCTCATATTTCGGCCCATTGGATCTAGTCCGGTTAAACACCTCACCCAGTATTCCTTTTAAAAACGTCTCGGCCGCAATGCCCACCAACTCAGCACACTGCATCGAACAACCAGACGACACAGCCTCCTCGTAGCAAATGGGCACGATGCGCGCATGGATCGTCTGAGTATCCGGAAACTCGAGCGTTTCCTGAAACAGAGGCTGGAGATACCGCTTTCTGATTTCCAAATCCCAGTTCGTCTTGGTACTTAGTCCCCCGGCTGCGGTTCCGGTTGCTGTTTCAGGCACTTTAATGCGCAGCGCGTTGTAGTATTCCTCGTATTGGTTCAAGTTCCTGCGCGCCGCTGCCTCTTCTTCCGCCTTGTCGTTGGCTGACGCTACCGTCTTGAGACGCCGTCTATCTCGCGCTGGCAAAGCCATTACCTCCACCTTGAGCCGCTGTTCCGCCGCATCGCTGGTAATGGCCGGCTTGGACGTCGAGGTCGCCGCCGACTTGTCGGCCGTTGCACTCACCCATGCTGCTAGACCTGGTTCGGGCGGGTCGCGAGTCGTATTGCATAGGATTGCGAGCACGAGGGAGTTGTGCGCATGTTCTGTCTGTGGGGATGCGTAGATGAAGCCGTCGCAAAGGTCGCCGAACTCTCGGGCATTTAGTTCCCCTGTTTTGGATTGTCAGTTGTTGCACTGGTACAAGAATTTCTTGCGATAGCCACAACTACTAGTTGTCTCTCACCTCGAATAAACCGTGTGATGGCGTCGTAATATGTATCCCAGTCATTTCCAATCAACGACTTGAGTTCGGCGTAGAGGGGTTCGAGGTCGATTCGCGGGTAATTCTGCGCTGTCTTGGTCGGCTTCGACGAGGATCCCGGAGGTCCTCCTTTAGAAGCGGTATTCGTGGCCGTGGTCGAGGCGACTGTATCCGACCGCGTGAGCGCTGCTGGGTTGAAAGTGTCGTCTAACGCCGCCATTTCTCGAGTTCAGGTTGGTACAGAGGAGTCCGTGGCACGACGAAGTGTTAGGTCAGGGCGTGCGCACCCGCTGCGCAGCAGGATAGAAGTTGCTGCTCATCCAGTAGACGGTGCTGGGATCGTCGGACTCGGGGTTCTATAAGCACATGATGGTGATGGTCTGCTGAAGAGTTTGGTCGTGTGCGAGTTCAAGTTACGGACGTTGAAGTTGTCCACCTACGGCCGCGACGATGCAGTGGTTCGCAAATCAGATGAAGTCAGAACAAATGGTTCGGCCCACACACGAGCACTTACAAACGCCGCCTCACGCCCTGTTTAACTATGGCAATAAAACTATTCACGAAGTAAGATGCTACAGTACATTCGGGATTCGTTCATGTGCTACGTCTAGGGCGACACTTGGGGCTGGTCGGTTGCATTTCAGCGAACAAAGAATGCGATGCGAACGAGGCGGCTGCACAAAGGACTCGAATCCGCGGCCATCTATAATCATGCAACTTCGGTCTATTCAGCCTCGTGACTATCGTAAAGCACTCTCCGGCATTGTCCACCTGCGAACATCCCCTGATATCATTCAGCTCTCTCTAGGCTATCTTCACCTTCCACTTCTTCACGGTCGCATCCGCGCCCGTGCTGTAGACCGTGTCCCCCAGCCAAACAACGCCGTTGACCCCTTCTTTGTGGGCATTGGTCTCCTTGACTCTCTTTCCAGGCTCTTTCAAGCTCCACGCAAATAGATTCGTGTCTAGACTGCCGGAGACTGCCCCTGTGCCTTCTGCATTCCAGGCAATGCAAGTGATTTTCGCAGTATGTGCGTTCCATCGATCAGTCACAAGTTCAAGGGACGAATTCCCAGTCACAAGCCCAGTAATTCCCGTGCTGATCTTGTAGACGTAGATCTTGCCTGCCGCTGTTCCGGCAGCTATCATATTCCCATCTTGAGAGAATGCGAGCGCAGTCAGAGGAGTTGCAGACACTGACTCGACGACTGCTGTCTGCTTGGGCGCTTTTCCTGGTACCACAGAGAATAATCGAAGGCTCGAGTCTTCAGATCCAATGGCAACAGTAGTACTGGAAGAAGCCAGAGACGTCGGTGTTGATTTCAGTGGAAGCTCCCCATCCTCTTCTCCGTCTCTGTACACGAGGACGCTCTCCACCTGGGCGACGACAACAAGAGAATCCGATGTGCATGTCAGAGCCTTTGGTTGGGACGACAGCTGAGTGGCCTTTCCGGTAAATGTTTTTGCACCCACGTCCACTGTCCGCAAGGAATCGTCCCAACCCACCGAGAAAATTTGAGGATGCTTGCCCGAAGGGGTTGCTGCAAGACCTGAAATGATGTTGGTGTGGCCCTCGCCCTCAATTGTTTCAGCAACGCCACTGGCCACGTCCCATGAGCACAGGCGGCCCTCTGAACTCCCGGTCCAAAGGGTTACATCTTTGCTGTCCCCGGAGGAAGCGAGAGCCGTGATATTCTTTTGGTGTCCGGAGATAATCTTTGTCGGCTTACTAAAGTTCGTGTTCAGGTAGTTGAGACAACCGCTGAGCGAAAGGGAAATGATCAATCCATCCGACCTGCCGGCTGGCCAGACGACACCAACCTGTTGGTCGGAAACGGCAACCCCATCACCGAAGGACCAAGAATGCGAGACCTTCCCAGCCTCCACATCCCAGGTTTTGACAGTACGGTCGGCAGAGCAAGTGACGAATCGTTTCGAGTCGCTCGACCATGAGACGCCGAAGATGCTACCTTTGTGCCCTTCGGCATCATCCACGATTTCTGCCTTGACATCTCCAGTCTTCCCATCATAGAGCACGATCTTCTTGTCGCCACCGACACTAATCAGATGATTTCCATCTGGGGAAAAGGCAACGCCGTATATGAAGTTGTTATGGCTGCCGCGACCGGGAATTCCGTTGAATTTAAATGGTGCCCCATGGTAGAACACCAGATTCTTGTCGTCGCCACCTGTTGCCGCCCTCAAAGGTCGTTGTTGTCGTATGCTGACAGCATTGACTTGTGCAGAATGACCACTTATTTCTCCCACAGTATTGCCAGAGTCGGCTGTAATGCAATGGCCATACCGTTGTTTGCCATCGCCCACTGCTATTATACGCTGACTGTCACCATCCCAAGCGATATCATTGATCCGGCCGGAAATGATGGCGTATTCGCCTTTGGTGACCCCGGGTCCTTCAGGCGAACAGTCCCAGACCCTCACCACACCTGACGCATCGCCCGACGCACAGTAGAAGCCGGACGGGCTGAATCTCGCAACAGTGGTTGCCGCAGTGTGTTGAGTGTACTGAGTGGAAGAGGCAGGATTATCGATGGATCGAAGGAAAATCGACTTGTTCGAGGCGTAGGCGATCCGCTCTCCTTTCGCATCCGCTGATAGAGGGGTAGGTTGGCCTCTGGTGGTGGTAGGGAGAGCGGCGTAAATGCCGTCTGCGTCTGGTTAGCATTGACTATGTTTGTTGCCATGTCTAGAGGATCAGACAAACCCGCGATTATGGACATTGTTCTCAGCTGCAAAGTCACGGCGTGGAGGAAATAATTACAGGTTCACCTGTACAAGGAGGACCAACAAGTACGTTGTACTCTCGGAGTTCCCACGTCACACTGCAGCGTGTTTCACGTTCCCGACAAAGCTGCGGGCCAAATCTCAAGGCACCACCATTCACCATTTATGTTAGCCAATTCTACGCCGTGGATCGGCCACGCATCCTCCGTCGTGTTGTAGACTGCATTTGTACATGTAGGCTCGATGTTCACCGTATCTCACATTGATCAAAAATTGCATACAAAACTTCGTCAAGACCAATCTCGAGGTACGGACAACGGCCTTACAAGACTCCAATGGCATTTGCCCGCTTCCAGTTCCCTTTGAAAATGCACTCCGACTCCTCTCCTGAGCCTTTCAGCCCGACGGTCTAAGCGACATCGGTGAGCACCCTGTTCCCGGTAACACCTGTTTCACCGCTGTTGAAGTCCATGTTTGTGGATAATCCGTCGTACCAGTTAGACAGTGTCTTCCACGACCCACTGGCTGATGCGCATTCCGTACTGTATGTAAATTTTATGTCTTCGAATGTCTTCGAAAAGAGGTACTTCGTTACGATGAAAAGCCCCTGCCAGTACTCGTTCTCTTTCCTTCCATTTCGCTCTTGATATATTCGGGATGTCGGTGCACGGCAGGCATCAGCCCTAACGCAATCGCTCTTCGAATAGCCTTTGCAATCTTTCGCTGGTTAACTGGGCGTAAGCCGGTCGAACTGGAATGTCGAATGCGGCCCATTTCGGTCATGTATTCTGACATGACGGAGAAGTTCTGCGCATGGCTTAGCAGGCGTGCCGCACATAGACATTGGATATACCAACCTTATATAGACTCAAAGGATTAATGGATAATGCGTCAAAGGCGTCGGTCGTAGGCCGGTGTCTCTTTCTCCATTTTCTGGCTTCGGCAGCACTAAGATCGTGTGGAGCGTAGACATCGCCAACTTTCCAATTGCGAGTCAAGTTTCTCGATATCGCATAGTTTTCTTGTTCCAGTAACTCTTCCCGTTTCAGGCTCATCAAAGTTGTAGCAGCTGACCGTTTAAATGTCTCTGCGCTGTGTTAGAGATGGAAGAAGTCCAACGATGTGATACATACGTGTGCCAGCGGATGGTTGCAGCGAGGTGGTCGCATGCTTCAACTGAAGCCCCAGACGGGGGCCTAGCCGTGTTGACATTGTCGCCAGTCTATTCAATGGCCCTCGAGAATGTGACGGGTGCACGCTGCGACTTTCAGTTGATCGAGGATTGATTTCCAGGTCCGAGACACTTGCAAGTCGGCAAACTTTCCAAGAGACTCGGACTTGGTGTTCCAACCATTTCTGGACCAAGACAATGCCGCCTTTACAGGTGCAACCCCTTCATCGGCAGCCTTGCCTGCCATCACTCCAACACCACTCAACCCAGCGGTATCTGGTGGTTCAGTATGTAGTTCTAGGTACATAGTGGTACGTGAGGACTATTGAGAGCAATTTCGTCGATTTACCGAGTTCTGCGCATGCGAGAGACTAAAACTGGCCGCGAAGAGAAACTGACCCTTTTGAGCACGTGAGGGGCTCGGCTGTAGCAGCGACTGCTGTGTAACTTGACTCCATCCTCTCCGCAATCAATGCCATCACGAATTGAAAGCGCAACCCCGACCACCACTTGTTGCTGTTGCTCCTGCAATCAGGCCACGCCCTCCACCGATCTACTGGCCGTACATATCTTCCTTTTCAACTCAGTAATGGTCCATCAAGCTGATTGAAGTGCAGACTTTGATCAGCCGACCTGCTGGCACTCGTCGCCATGAAATCCTCAAACCTCACCCGAGGCGTCTTCCGCGCCATTCTCCGCAACAAACCTTACCTGCCAGTGTCACGGAATTGTGAAAGACGCTTTGGGAGGCGGGTTCCGCATCGATTTGATGCAACCACATATAATCTACATCAACGACGTGGTCTCTTCGGCTTGAACTTCGGGAACGCAGAAAACAGCTTCCATGGCGCCAGAGGCACACCGGCGAATGTTGAACGTGCTTTGAGCAAACTAGTTGACGTCGTCAGAGCGAGGAGGACCGACTCTCGGCTGCCTCCTGAAGAACAGATTGTCGACGCTTTCAGGTTTCTCTTCGCCTCGCAGGTCGAGTCACCCCGCCCCTTGACGAGAAACGAGGTCTTCCTTGCTACCGAGGCCTTCAAACATCTTCAAGAGCGGGGGCATATCTTATCCGGAAATCCAAAGACGAGCTTGTCAGAGGAAGATCTTGAAAATGTTCTACTGGCGTTGGCATCATCAAGTGGCAGAGAGAGGTTTCGAACGGACGCTCGAACGCTTGCAACGTATATCTTTGATGCCCTCAAGGAGAACTTTGGTGCTGCTGCAGACCTACGTCCCCCCTCCGAGCATGGACAATATCCTGCCCAGGAATCGCTGTTGGCCACCTACATCACTGTGCTATCCAGCACTGGATCATCCCACGACGCTCTGGAACTTCTGCGACAATACCCTGAAAGCTCGGAACGGTATAGCCTTCCACTTTGGGTTGCTGTGTTGAAAGGGCTAGCAAAGGAGGGTAAGATCCAAGAGTTCTGGGATGCAGTAAGGGAAGCCCAGAACACTGTCGGTCCTTTTGATGCTGTGTCTCAGGAAATATTGACGACCTTCTTTGCCGAGCACAATGAAGTCCATCAGCTAAAGAAGCTATTTGACCTGCCGTTGGAGGACGGTCAAGTTCCTACAACAGCTTCTCTGGTCAAAGCTGTCGATTGCGCTATAGTAAATGGCGAGCTTGAGTGGGCCTCACGGTTGGTTCCAACTTTACAAGGACGGACCGACTTGGGCGACATGGCAGGAACATTATTGTTGTGGCACGCTGTCCATCACTCCAATGTCGAGCATATCCGCCGCAGAATCGAGCAGTTGGCGGAGTCTGGCGTCACAGACGCTGTCAGCATGAAAGCGATCAACCGACTGATTGACTATGCTTATTCGCAAAACGAGCCGGATGATGCTTCCCATTTCATACAACTAGCAGAAAGTCTGGGATTGAGACCTGATGCAAAAACTCGGTCTCTACAGTTGGCTTATCAACTCAAAAGGGGAGATCGTGCAGCAGCAGCCCAGACATTTGAGCTGCTGTCCCGGGAAGATCTCCCGGCTGATCGATGTGACGTCCCCGTCCTTAACCACTATATATCGGCGCTCTCTTTCTCTAATGACCATGAGTATACCAGACTCATGCAAGTGGTTGATCATGTATTGGAGAGCGGAGCCGATCTTGAGGCCGAGGCAATTGCTGGCTTGTGCCACGTCTTTCTTCAGAAAGACGAACTTGAAGAGGCAACTGGGCTGTTGAGACATCGCTTGGATTTCTATCCGATGGATGAGCGAGCACGCATTGCTGCAGTGTTCCGCCAGTTCATCGTTGATCCGGCCGTCAAGGCTCAGCGGGCCTTCAATGCCTATGAGCTTTTCCGTCATGCTTTCCCAGAAAGCACTGTCCAGGAGAGGTTGCCTTTGATGCAATCATTCTTTGATAGGGGTCGTCCCGATCTCGCATGCCTGGTCTTTGGCCATATGCGGCAACAAGAAGACCCCCAAGCTCGTCCAACTGCAGATGCGTACGCAAAGTGCTTCGAAGGCGTCGCCAAGTGTAAAGACATTGACGGTTTGCAAATGGTCTACAACATGTTGAAGCTTGACCTGCAGGTTGAGCAGACCACGCGGATCCATAACGCCCTTATGGCTGCTTATACCGAGTGTCTTCAACCTTTTGTGGCCATTATCGATCATTTCTGGAAGATCATGGACTCTCGCGAAGGTCCCACTCTGAGCTCCTTCATGCTCGCGCTTCGAGCCTGTGAGAAGTGGATCCCTCAAGGTGGGCACCAAGCTAGACATATCATGGCGCTTATGCAAAGCTTCAACCTCAACATCACCAAGGAGATTTATGACTGTTACATTGGCGCGTTGGCCGGTCAGTCCGAATTTGAAAACGTGGTCGAGTTGATCGACAATATGGAAAATGACATCGGCGAACCTCCTGACGCCTTCACCATCGGAACCTTCTACAATGCCATTCCATGGCAGTACCGAAAAGATGAGGTTGAGGACTGGGCCAGAAAGGCTTATCCCGACTTGTGGGAAGAGTTGGAGTCGTATGGAGACGAAATCGACGAGGAATGGGAGATCAGATATTTCAAGATCGACCGAAGTATAGACATGGACGACGAGCTTTTGTTTGGGCCAGGCGAGTATCACCCCGCACTCGCTGAGGAAACGAAGACCATGTTGGAAACGCCAGCTACGTGAGATGGAAGAATAGTCAGGCCGAGTACAGCTCCAGGGGGATGAATATGAGCCAGCGAGATGCCGTTACGATATGTTTGCCAATCATTTTCTGCGCCCAAAAGCTCTCAACTTGAGGGCGGTCCACCTATGATGATTAGACCGGAACGACAACATTGCCAGTCGAGTAGGCATGTGCGTGGGCAGCCATGTTTCGCCTTCGCATTTTTCGCTTGATGCCACAGCTGGCGAGATGCTTGTATATCCAGCGTCGGGCAGACGATGGCAGTTTCCGTCGACATTCAAAACTAGACTACGTGCGTACAGCTTCGTTCGGGTTTAGCGTCGGCGCCTCGCTTTTGACTCTTATAGGACCCCGGCCGCCTTGCCTCCTCTTGTCGTGCCAGTGAGGCTGAACAAATCCCTGGGCTTCGACTTCGCCTCGCAGCGCCGACCTGTCAATTCTCGTATGGCTCTGCCGTCAGCCTCAGCGGAAAGATTTCCTTGGGTGACTAGCACCCTGCTTAGAGTGGTGTTTTGTCAACTCAATCGTCCAATGCGGTGGTGCTTACGACTACCGCACCATCATGGTTCTCAGCCTGAGGCTGTGTTCTTCGACCATTGAAGGCTTCTATCTTGTATCCCAGCCTGCAAGATATAGAACGGCATTACTTTCACAACGTTCTCTACCCTCACATTGCCATCAGTGACAGAGGCCTTGTTGTACGGGTATCTTCCACTAACATTTAGTATCTGCCATCAAGCCTACCCTTCCAAAGAGCTCCAGAGCCTAACGCTTGCACTGGGCTCGACTCAGCCTCGTTTTCATGGCAGAACTCTGTGGATTTGTGGGTAACCCTGACGCCTATGGGTTGGGAATCCGGACAGGAATATATACCCAAGTCATCTCGACGCTCATCACCAACCACTTTCTGCCCCAGGAGCTAAACAGCACATGGACCGCCAACCTCATCTTCGTTTCAGCCTTGATTCTGGCTCTGGTCAAATCTATTAGCCAGTCGAATGGGTTCTTCGCCGCGGAAGGGTTTGTACTCCTGCAACTTATTCTGCTGTTCTTTCTCGCCGTCATCAGTGCCTCTGGAGGGGTCTTTGTGCTGGTAGACCTTTTCTGCTCCTTCCTCGATGGAAGTCTGGATGCAGAAACTTACAAAATGCTGAAGCAAATTTCAGACCCGAACGAAAAGATCCTTTTGCCGACACAGAAGCTGTCGAAGTTGGGCCGGGCGTATTCTGATGGATCTCCATTGAGGTACACAGCACGTCTCATGCTGGCACTGGCCACGTCGAGTCTGAATCTGTGGTATTGGATATCAGGTGCTCAAATTCTGCAACATGACACCGCCGGTTGCTCCACCAAAGTTTTCCTGTTTGTCCGAGTCGGCGTGACAGGGCCTGTGCGAACTTTCTTCATTGTAATGGGCACATTCTATGCCGCCTGGCACTTTGTCATTCTGCTCTTTGGCACGTTTCCCTTTCCCCAGCTTGGGTCGAAAGATTCTGTCAAGGAAATGTTTCTCGCCGCGTTTGATCCGAGGAGCCCTGCGGAACGTGCTCGATCAAAGGGAATCAAAGGTCTTCTAGAGTAGGAAACGACACCTTTTATATCTACTTGACCTGCCACGGCTAATATTTCTTCAGCGAAGAGCTCCACTCGCAGAAGCAGCACAAACAGACCCCAAGCAGCAAAAGAATCCTTCTATGCTTGCACATCGTCATGTTCACCTGGAGCAGCGCCGTCATTGTCTATTCCATACTGGCCGTTGAGCTCACATTGGCATGGAACCACGTGAGAGGTGTGTACGATGTGAGCTCGACGGGACAGTTGATTCCGCTGTTTATCGGATTGGTTGGACTTGTCCGAGCCGTTTTATCTGCTCTGGTCGAACATTCCGGTCGTATCAAAAAGGCACGTTCTTACGTTGTGATCTTTCTTGCCCAGACTAACCAACTGTAGAAATCTGCAGATCGTCCGCCGATTATTTTGCAGCAAGACACCGGTGCCTATCGTTACTGGGTTCCGCCTTCGGACAAAAGGCCTCAAGTTATAAGCTTCAAAGCAAGGAGACCCGAGAGACGGTGGAGTTGTGATGGTGCGATACCTAATCCCAACGACACAGAGGCGCCCACGGTCGAGTGGGTGAAGACGCATGAAGCACCTGATCCAGTCTCACCAGTCCATCCGGATTGGGAAGAGAAGCGATTGAGGAAAGAGGCAGGTGTGCGTCCACCGCCAAAGGTACTGTGGCCAACAGCTCGATTCATTTACGAAGATGGCAGTGGCCATCGCCACGCTTTTCATGATACTTTAATTGCTCGTAGAATAAGCTGGCATGCTGGATTTACATATCGGCCACCCACCGAGCCACATCGCGAGAGGGAAATTTTTCAGACGCCACTGCGTCGACGCAGGCAGGCTTTTCAACAAGAAGAAAAACGAAAGAATTGGTGGAGGCGGAAATTGGCCGACTTGGAACGCCAGAGGGAGACTAAGAAACACGCCGACATTGCGGACCTCTCGAGTGAGCGATGGCAACGATTCAGAAGCCAACAAGACGACGGCTCGGGGTCAGACCTATCCCGTCGATCATCGAGCTCAGCGCCTACTGATGTCTCAGGACCGCCGTGGCTGCCTGCTGATGTGGACAACGAGACTTTGCTATGGATGCGATCCTACAATGAAGCCTTTCCACCAGCAAGACGCTCCGTCCTTTGGTTCCGTTCCACGAATAGTCTCAGGGACATCAACAGTGTGTATAGCGGGATAGATGGGCGCGACATGCCTTTTTTGCGATCACTACGGGGTGAGCCATACCGAAGCAGTGATACTATGGTCTATGCGCAGAGAAGCTCATCAGGACCGCGCGGAGGATCGAGATGGGGCCACTTCGACCGCCCAAGCTCAAGGCTGGACAGTCCGTACTCCAGCGCGTCCTCTGTAGTATTTGTTCCAACCACCCGCCGGGGAAGGAGGAATCGCTCGACAATTCCGGGTGGAGGTTCGCGTTCTCGCTCTGGCTCTGGCTCTGGCTCTCGGTCTCACTCCGCGGCCTCGTCACGCTCGCGCTCGCGCTCACACTCATCCTCAGGTTCTACAATCTCGATCAAAGGGAAGCGCCACTGGCCCATTGGCTACATCATCCTCGGTCTCTTCATGATTGCTGTTATGTTCGTGTTCAACGTCTTGTGCCTCTGCAGCCCGTGTTCGAGCTTGTACAGGTCTCTCACTCCGGAAGCGCTGCCAAGCTTACTTCTACGAACGGCGCGTCAAGGCCAACGCAGACCCGGGCCCTGTTCGAGCCCACGCAGCCCTCTACTACTGCCCCAGATGCGATCATGACCTGCGGTCCTACGAGCATACGAGAGAATGGGTCACTGTGCGGCCACCGAAGTCGAAGGTGAGCCGTTGGGATAGGCGTGAGTTTTTTCGCAAAGCGAACGAGGACTTTGGTCCGGCGTATACGAAACGAACACTTTTCTTTCTCGCTGGGTTACTCCTCAATCGTTTGGCACAATATCGGTGGACCAAAGAACTCGGCCATCTGATACGAAGTCGCATGGAGCCAATATTGGAGGCTCAACGAGCATTCGAGGAGGAGGAGGAATCCAAGCGCGCAGAGAGCGCATTCAGTCCCGTGTGACTGATTGGAGTTAACAGTTACGGACTCGTACGACTGGCGTAAGAGTGAGGGCGTCTATACAGTTTACGGCGCTCAGGTACAATTTTCGACCAGATTGGGAAGGGGCTGTACCGTTGCCTGACAATGGACGGCCGATCGACAAGGCTGAAAGGCAAAGACAGATAAAGTCGAACGAGTGGCCAGTTCGACGGCTATTGTGAAGAGCTGTATGTTGGAGATTGTCTACATGTGGCACCAAGCCAAGCGTTTTTGAGTAAGACGATATTTCAGCGGATAACTGAATGAAATTAGTAGTGGCCATGAGCAACAAGATGATGGATGGGTAGATTGTCTCTTGGGCGACCATTAGAGGTGTCCCCGAACGGTAAAATATCCAGTTTCCTGATTTTCGAGAAGAATGCAATTAAGTGCCGTTTGTTTGTACGAGGCTCCATCATACTCATAACTACTAGTATCGCGTTGCTCGCATCGACTCCTCCTTTCCGCCGTGCCAGGCTGATCTGATCGGGTAGGGTAGGGATCACTTCCAGTGCTGACTTACCGTCTCACCACCTCAACCTCCGCTGCCTTCCCCGCCCAGGGCCAAATATTTCGTCTGACAGCTGCATTTAACCGCCACAAAGTTCAAAAAGCTGCTGGATCTGACGCATCAATTGGCAGTCAGACATGACCAAAATCCTTCCCAGTGTGGGGGGGTTCTAAATAGCTCCACCACCTCCCAACATCGTCATCATCACTACTCGTCGAACATCCTCGCAACACTGCCTCCAGTCCCAACAAGCAAACATATACAGCAAACGAGGGAAACGACTGAACTCACAGGTATTCTCATCCGTGTCCCAGCACCTGGGATCAGGGTGAACATTCCTACGCCTACAAACCACCAGAAACAGACTGCCAACTTGAACCGAACTTGGGTGTTTCATTCAATTATAATCATGCTCAATCTGGACCCTACTGGCATCACTTTGTGAAACCAACAACACCGACCCGAACTGACCTGGATTCAAAATTCAATAATCAACACCTACTGTAAATTCAAAACCATGTTTTCAGCAATCAGCAACATCCCCCTCGCCCTACCACACCTGGGCTTCCCCTTCAAAAAATCATCATCTCCATCCTCATCATCGTCCTCAACAACCCCACAAAATCAAGCAATCAAGATTCCCCGCGTCCAAGTCCACGACGTCGAAATCACAAGCGACAAACGCGGCCGACGCCTCAAACACCTCCTCAAACTCAACCACGCCACATTTTCCATCTTATACAACCGCCTCCGCTTCCACAACCACACACCCCACATTTTAGGATCTGCCTATCTCCTAGGAGGAACGGCCGACCATTTAACGGCCATCTATGAGGACGCCGCAACCAACGAAGGCCACGAACACTGGACCGAATCGCCCTCCGAGATCGCCGAACACGACTACCGCGACTTTCTTGGAAGACGGGAATTTCAACGCGCATTCGTGGATTTCTTCGAAGACGAACTAGTTCAGCATGGCTACGATTGGAAAGACGTGGTGGCAAAATTTCTGTTTGAACGCGGAGACCCGCAAAAGACGAAAAACGTCGAGCCGATTTTCAATTGTTTGACGGCGGGTTTGGGGCATCCGTTGATTCATTTGGGGTATGCTTATGAATTGAATAGTCGCGAAGTCGCGATGGAGGCTTTGGGGTTGGCGGCGACTTGTTATGATGGGAAATTGGCGGAAATGTTCGAAAGTAAATCGCCAAAGACTGACGTCGCCGTTGATGGTGGAAAGACCACCGATGATTTATTTGAGTTGTTCAGTCGCGTCCACAACGACACCCGTCTCGACTCTGCATTCGACCATTTCGGCGGCGACAATTTATCTCATTTACTTGCCGACCCTAAACTCACGTCGATCCTGCTCGAGCACTGGCACTCGTGGAAGATTGACAATGCGACACGGGCATTCGAACAGTCCCAGGCCCTCGCGACGGCATTACTAATTTCTACAAGTTCACACCCTAGTATCGGTGGGCACGGCTACGATTTTTTCATTGTGCATTTGTTGACGACGTCGCATGCGGTGAGGATTTTGATTTCATTTCTGGATGCTAGGTATCATGTGCCCTTGGTGAGAGAGTGGTTGTTGATCACTTTGGCGATTTATATCGCGCAGTTGAGGCCGGAGATTAACAGGAAATTTGTGACCGAATATGAGTTGCAGGGAAGGGATTGGGATAATTTTGTTGTTCCGGCGGCTGTGCAGGGGAAACATAAATTTGATGCGCATTTTGTCAAGGCTTGTCGAGCCATGAAAGAGGCTGAGAAGATTTGGGGTGCTGGTGGTGATGAAAATGAGTATGGGAAGGACTACTGGCTTAAAGCTGCTGTTCGCTTTGCTACCGAGTTTGATGGATGGGGTGGATTTGGGCCGGCTGATGAAGTTGAGGTGAGGGAGTTGCGGGAGCAGAAGCAAGAGCAGCAGCAGCAGGAGGACGAGCGAAAGAGGCAGTCCCAGGCTACGGGTTAAGTCTGAATGATGGATTGGATTGACTGGTTACCTAGTTGTACGGTCCCAAGGTTGGGCAAGCGACTGATGAGTGGTCTAGGTAATAAGGAAAGGAAGGAGAAGCGAGAAGCGAGGAGTGTACAATATGTAAGGATATTTGACCGGACCGGACCGGACCAACTAAGGTACTGTACCTTTTCTCGACTCTCCTCTTGATCTGGATTCCAGTGGGGGGTGTAATAAGGAATGATGTTGAAGTTGACGACGGAAGGATCGAGCTGATGTTGGTATTGACGTTGAAAAACTCAGGTTAGCTATGGTACTGGTCCTGATCCTGGTTGTAAGAGTGGAATCTGATATTTTATGCCGATACGGATATCAACTCTCACGGTCACCGGTTTGGGAGAAGAAAAGAAAAAAGTCCAAGTTTGCCCTCGCCAATAGTATGGTATGAATAGGCGCATGTCCATAAGTTAGTATCCAGCCCAGGATCCTCAGCTCCTCAGAATGGGTTGAGCACCCTAAATGTACAGATCACCCGACTGTGGTCAAGGTAGCTAAGCACAGCCGGCACCCAGCAGCCACCATCACAATCACTACCACAGCAGCAGCAGCAACAGTGGTTACTAGTTACTGTTTACTGCGCCACAAGCATATTCCTCACTCGGACCCAATAGTCCGGATGCACGACTCGCTCAATCTCCTCTTTACTCAACCACATAAAGTCCTCAATGTCCTTTTCTTGGTCCGCGTTGGCGGTCAAATCAGGCTGACCCGCCATAATCCGGGCCTTCATGAAAAACGTCTTCTCGCCTTCAACCAGCCCCTCATACTTTTCCGGTTGTAGCGCGACGTCCAGTTTCAAAACTGTATCACCAGAAGCCTTGGATTTCTGCGTGGTCATCGGCGGCAACGCGCCAGGTCTGGGCGAGGAGAATTTCGCAATGTAGTGGCCGACAGGATGATTTCCGACGAAAAAGGTGTTCATGTTTTCGCCCAGCGAGCTGAACAGAATCCGTTGTGCGGCCTGTAATAAAAGTAATCAATCGTTAGCATCGTTAACATGACATTTTGGTTCCGGGGAATCTCCTTTTTCACCGCCACCAGAACCACAACCGAAAGGTCCGGTGCCCTTCTTCGGGTCTGGCAACAGGACAGAACAGAACCCCTGTGGTAGCTAACTCACCTCTTTCAGCCCTTCATGCCCAACCAGGCCTCCACTAGGAAACTTCCACAACTCGCTCTCCTCCTGCTTCTGGCCCGGCACTTTCTTATTTTTGACCAACAAATACAACGTGCGGCTAAGACTGCGCTCCAGACTGCGTTGATCATTCTTCTCATCCGCCTCAGTCCTGCGCTTCAGACCAGCGAACTTTGGATCGCCTTTGCCAGTAAATTCGTCGGCGCGACCTTCCTCGGCAATCAACTGCTCAACAATCTTGGACGGATTCGCCGTGTCATCGCCGACCAAGACCTCATCGTTCCACGCCTCCTCACTGTAAGCGTTATATTTGCCAATGTCGCGTGTGGCGGCGCCTCCTCGTTCTCGCCGCTTGGTCCGCCACTGCTCAAATGCCGGCGTGCCGCGCTTGTAGTAAAAGTACTGCGTGAAAGGCAGGACGAGTCGCTCGTTCAACCGTCGCTGGTATAGGTAATATGCGGTCTCGAAGGGGTGAGGGTCGGGCGTGATCAGCGGCGGGCGCGACAGCACCACGCCCGCTTTGATGGTGTAGATGGGTTGCGGCAACGGGGACGCTTCAGGCCCGTCTGGCGACACTTGCGTAATGGGCGGTGCTTCGACGGTGGCCTTTGCCGTCGCTAGCGATGCGTAGTTGCGCGATGATGGTGAATAGAATTGTGACCGTGTTCGACATGACCGGCAGACGTGCTGACTGTTGTTTGGGTTCGAAAGTCCTAGAATCCAGAGTCAGTTTGGCATTCACTTGAGAGCCAGAAGTCCTATAGAACTGGACAAGATACTGGCAGTCTGGCAAACATACCTAGAGCGTCGATGATGCGTTGCGCGCCTCTTGACCGAGGAGCCATTGTCGGTACTAAACGAAACGAACTGCTCCTCGAAACGGGAGAATCTGAAAACCCCAGACCCGACTTCGACCTCGACTTGGACTCTCACCACTGGTCAATCAGTCGATGCAGTTGCTCGTCCTCGTGCTCGCAAGCACTGATATTGGATGCAGTGCTGCTCGAGGTCCAAAAATGTTCGGATCCAGCAGCGAGACCAACCATATACGGCAAGTCTGCCGAGGCCAATGGACAACCACATAATTTACTTTTTACCTTGTTCCGTTCGATTTTGCATTTTCTCCCCAAGCTTTCCATCCGCATCTCCATTGCAACACACGAGTCAAACATCCAAATGTGTACGAACAGCTTGAACCGCTTGGTTTGACTCGTGAGATTTCCCGCCTGCGGTCAAATGGGCTTTCAAAAAGCCCCCTATTACAATGCAACCCACGCACACACAGTACATACATGCTGTACAGCTGTACCAAAGGCACTAATTCCTTATCATCAATAGCTTTCAACCCAGAGCTCTTTGATCATCATACGGTGCCGAGATTGAGGTTTTTTTCGATCGAGGGAGTCTTTTTTCGCTAGCAGGGCTGCTTTTTTCTACCATCTCAGCACTGTTAGATAGTCGCTCCCTACATCATCGCTCTTGCTCAAGTTGTTTTGTCTCCAACTAGTAGACTTAGGTATATCATACAAAAGATTGCAGGAAAACAAGTTTATGCTATACGCCCAAGAAATGGGTGATTTCGTCTATTCCGAATATGATGTCCTGTTACAAATTCAAACCTGTCGTGATATCTCTCTCAGCACAACAAACAGCAAAGCGGCCCATCTCATGCCAGATCCGGCTCTGATTCCTTGATGTTTGCTCTCAATATATTGAGAGAATGGTGCTCCCCTTGGGCATGGCCATGGCCAACAGAACACCCATCCACAACATCTTAACAAGACAGAAATCAAGGGACGCACCAGGCTCTTGTCGTCCACTGCACTGCAACGCCAGTGCCGTCGGTTCTCCAATTGGCCTGGGAACTCCACAAGGTATAGTACCAGTACAGAATTCAGAGTCCTTCTTCTCTCAGCTCTGCTCCTTTCCAAGACGCATGAGTCCATACCTAGGAAGTTCAAAAATTCCCGACACAGATCCAGCCGGTATTGCATCAAGGTGAGCAGAGCACTTACCGTACTAGTATGACCAAACCGTGGCAAAAATGACACCCAGAGAGTGACCCTTGTTGTCCTCCAGTATGATGCGACGGTCGACACCCGTTCCATTCGCAACTCCCGTCCTCATAGGCACAGAAAGAGAGGTTCTTTACTTTTTCTCGCCTGAGGCTCCGAGCACTGCAGTCAGGAGGACCCCATGAGACACAGTACTCCAGAAGACCCAATTCATCTGGGCGCCAATGTCTGCCAAGAGAACAGTTCATCCAGCACATGTACACAACGTTCTAGACCTCGTCCCTCTCGCATAGGGCTGGCCCCCTTGTATTCTGGGTCCTCGGCCACCTCAGGTATTGTTCTATCGGTATGCATTGCAAATACTACGGCAGGCATGCCATAGCGCCGCTCGTAAGGCCTGACATTACCATGCCATTGTACATCAGACCTCATGCTCCTTCGCTTGCGGGATACCTGTTCGAGGCCAGCACTCATTCAGGCTGGCCGCCGAGCAGATCCAAGCATATCGAATCAAGAAGCCTGCTTGCAGCTCACATTCGTCCGCTGCAAAACAGAACGCCATACTGTAAATAAGTGCAGGGCGTGTCAACAGACCTCCCTGGATATTGGCCATATGGTCTGCCTTGGGTGGCAACAAAAACCAGACCAATAGAGCTACAGCACAGTAGCTTGGCCGGAATCCAACGACGCAATCCTCAGGCGACAAACAATTGTAGTCCGCGTCTTCCCGAGACACCACTGCGCAACAGGGCAGTCCAAGGAGTTCGAGACAGACTCCTCTCGTCTCGTCTTGCCTATTTTGACCATACTGCCACTGCCAATTCATCATGAGATACAGTACGTTGTACATAATCACACTCCACAAGTAAGGTAGTAAGTAGTACCTTACATATGGGCCAAGCGATGCCATGGCACTGCCCAATCGAATCTGGGGAAATCCGAGCGCCGTTGCGTGGCCCGGTATGAGGAGCACGATCGACAACCTGCCATGGCGCTGGTTGGTCACCTGGACAAGCATAAGGACCTGGCCTGACGAGGCCTTTGCGGGCTGAGCATTGGCACTGGCAGCTGACGCATTGTTGCCGGAAGTCTGTTTTCCTGCACGTTCTTTTTCGGGTTGCCGGCTTGGGCAGTTTCGTGCCCGACAACCATAGAGACGAAAGAGCACTATTGAGTGGGCTGGACTAGGCTGAAACCTCTGGTATCGCACTTCGCACTCGCATACCTGGTACCTAGGTATGGCTATCTACCTAGGTATGGCTATCTACCTAGGTAGGTATCTACCCAAGGTATCAGGTAGGCACATTGTCTACCAGATGTTATCGAAGGCAAAAAGCATGCAAGCCAGTGCTGCCAGTGGTGAGTATTCAAAAAAAGAAGCCAGGGAGGGTGTCATACCGCACACCAGCACTTACAACATTACGATACCTTGACGGTTGCAACCGACTTGTCTCCCCTACCAACTCAGTTCTGGTATCATCCTCGTCGTCAACCCTCCCTTCGCAGCAGGCAATGCATCCCCAGCATCGACGGCTACCGTCGGGCCGCACGCGTCCAAGAGAAGTCCTTCTGACTGTCCCGGGGTTGGAGTGTACTGGCCTTTAGTGCACACGAGGATTCGCATCTATTATTGGGTAGCACTTTTGGGGAAGAGAGCGCTCCTCAGTTTTGCCATACTTGTCCATGGATTGACGAGCCTCCATCCCGGGGAAACACCTCGTTGCAAATGCATGCCAGTTGTCGTTTCGACAAATACTTGCTGACACCTTCGTCAGACAAACTTTCAGGCATGTGCGTTGTACGCACACACTTCTCTAGCTCAGAGTGGCTGACCAAGCTACATCTGTCTCTCCGCGCGTTGTCATGAATGTAGCGACGATTAAGCAGCGTCGCGAAAGCTGCGTGGCTTCCAAATCAGGAGAGCATTGTAGTTGTTCCGAATGCTGAACAGTGGCGCTGTACCCTGTTGGACGGCATGAACATCCGTGGAAAGTTAAGCAAATGTATGCACCAAAGTCAGCAACGGCACTTCCTAATGGTATCCAGTCGCTTCAAACGTCAGGTGTGTGCTAGGTATCTATCGGCCACCTTCAGATACCCGTATTGCTGCGGGGGCTTGAAACGCTGTCCTTAGGTATGCAGAGAGGGGTTAGCGAGCAGCCCCTGCCGGTGACATCGTCTCCATGGTCCTAACCAACAGCCAGCGAATGAGCGGGCGGGCGGGCCAATTAAGCCCTGGATGAAATAGATGGTTGCCATCAATCAGCTCACTACTGTCACTGCAGTGCAGAACAGACTTGTAGCCTGAGGTGTGGAGATGCACACTGCCAATTCGAGGTTATACGCCTTTACCATGGATAACCGGCCACGGAGATCTTGAGAGGCTTCTCGCGGTGCGGCCCTTGCCGAGCAGGACTAGAACCGGCATGAAAAGAGACGAGTAAGTGCTCAGGCTTCCATGTGGCGTGTACTGGCCACTTTTGATTTGGTGTTGCCAAATATCTATGAGAAATAGTTTAGGTGACCGGTGATCAGGTTCAGGTTACACAACCCCCTCACAGGACGGAAGAAGCCCAGATGACACGACCGCTGAAACCCGGCAGCAGTATCGTAGGTAAATGCCGAAGAGTCCAGAATCTCATCGCCTGGCGAAAAGAGAGTCAGTCAAGTATTGTGCGAAAATTCCAGAGGAGCAAACTCCAGGCCGAGGATGGTATTTGTCAAGAAAGGATTGTGGATGCTGACATGGCAATCCCGTTGTAGCCAGTAGATCTCGCAATCATTGGCGGTTTGGCTTGATTGTGATTTCGGCCTGCGTCAGTAACCTAAGCGTGGTGCAATGCTTTAGCGGAGCAAACTATGTCTTCTGGTATTCAAGTTGAAGGATATTGGACAAGGCCTCAGAGATGGCGCCAACTCCAGAGCAACTGGCGCAGGGCCGAACAGTCGAGGTCGACTCTTGAAGCTAACCTGTATCTGTTGAAGTCAATATGTTGCCACAGACAATATGGGAGACAAAGGCGTAAGAAGAACGCCTCGACAAAGGACCATCTCTCGACACCAGTTCAATGTAACCCTACCTCCATAGAGTCTCTCCCTCCATGTCCCGAGACAGCAGCTAGCAAGCGCCGGTCTTCTTTTCTGGACAGAACTTTGCCAATATCCAGAAGGACATTCCGTACGGGACAGTAGGTCCCCGGTCATTGTAGCGGCGCAAGTCTACCGCAAGTCATAACCCTTGGTTGTGCCATAAATGAAAGTGCTACGCATTCTGCTTGAGATGCAAGCAACGCTGGGATTGCCTCAAGCAACTGTTCGCCGCGATTATTAATGTCGCAGCTCGCCGACGGAGATGTTTGCCTCAGGTATACCCAGAAACGAAAGCAGAAACACATTCAATGCCCCAGATGAAGCATATTGCGGGTGCACGTTTCTGTGGAAGTCTTACTGGGTTCGGCTTTTGAAATTCTCTCCCGGTCAAGGCAGCTCGGCACACATAGTTCCGAATTCATGTCGGACAACGACAAGGCACAACCGCCTGGCGGCCCTGCGTGGTGGTAATACTGCATGATTCTCCGAGCACACAATCGTGGCAACAGGCTAGCCAAACCTGCGGTGGCCGGGTTTGCATCGACAGTGATGAGCCCGTCATAATCCTGTTCAAGATACCGAAGTAAAGTCTTCGGCGACCCTCGCAGTTCGGCTTTGACACGGGGCTCACACAATCGCGATCCGGTCCGGATGTTGCAACCCATCCAGTCCTTTCGCTGAAGTCGGATGCAATCTCCCGGTGCTTCTTTTGCAGGGCAGCGACTGAGAAACGTTGCCGCCGGGTGAAGTGACGTGCTCAACGACGTCGAACTGCCAGCAAAAGAAGGGTGGTGCCAGCTGGTGAGGACGCTCAGGCTGTGTTTGAACTTCAACTTCAAGTTGGCCACGCCTCGTCCGGATAAACTCAACCGCTACCCGCCGCTAGCAGCTTTAACAGGAGTCTAACCATATGTGGGTCCCCACGGCCGTTCTGTCAATACCCCGCTCTAAATCGACAATCATCAGCAGATCGTGTTTTGTAAATTACGTGCCTGGTACGGGGCTCTTCCGCCAACCTCCGAAAACCTGAATCGCAACTTCAAATCACGGCGCAGTGACCATTCTCAATGCTCAGAAATCCGGGGAACAATCGAGCATGATGTTGTTACACAATGTAGAAAGATATTTTGATGCACGGCACGCCGAGTTCAGCCGGGCAGCGCTAACACATGCAATGCAGCCCAAGCAACCTTGCTTCTATGCAGCAGACTGACGACTAGCGGTTGCAACGTCTGCATGTGGCAATGCGATTTCGCTAATTGTCCACCCAAAAAGAATTCCACCAAGAAAGGCTGCATTCGCGCATGAACCCCATGCAACTACTGGAACATTTCCCATGTCCTCCTGTCGATCCATGCGACAGGAAAAAAGATTAACGGCCCCGAACCCTTGGTCATCCTACATCAAGCCCTGGCTGACTGTGGCCCTGTTCATTCCCGCATCATCCGAACTCCTCATGTCATGTCTCCCAGTAATCGGTACATGAAGGATCGAAAATCGTCGTAATGTCGTAACACAAAGTTTGAATCGTAAAAAGAGCATCGTAAGACATGCCTCCGCACAGCATCAGTAGGTACATCAGCATCAGCCCACACCCCAGGCTGGGCGCCGAGCTAAAGAGCCTCCAATGAGCTCGCTGTTGGAAACTCTAGCCCCAGCCCTTGAGAGTTCACCGGTTTCCTTCCGGTGGGCACCGCCATACCCAGCAGACCATCGCTTGCATCTGACGTCTCGCTGGTTGGGGTTGACGATAGAGACCAATACTCGGAAACCGTCGATTCGAAGTCTGGAAGCTCCGTTTGCGCCGCTTCTTGCAGCCAAAACGCTTCTGCTTCTTTCAGTTGAGAAAACCACTCGGCCACCGTCATCTCCTTGCCGCGGAAGGTGATGACTAGGTCGCCGTATTGTTGCAGGCCCACACGAGAGGCCTTGTGTTTCCAGTCTGGATGGGCGTCCTCGAGAAGGTAGCGGCGCTCGGCTGCTACATGATTCACATAGTTGAAAAACGCGCCTTCAGAGACTTTGGCCAATTTAGCAACTTGCAGGAACACCTGTTCATCGGGCATACTCACAGCTCGTGGATCCTGATCCTGATTGGCCCGGCAGTGGAATCAGGCGATCGAAGCGCTCGTCCACCAGTTCCTGCAGCCGCATGTAAGAAGCGTAGACAATGGAGGTCGACTCCTGCAACGTCCACAGCGCGTCTTGCACGGCTTCCGGAAGCTGCATCAACATGGAAGATGGCAATGCCGCGACATGAGAAACATCATTGGGATCATGAGAATGCGGCGGCGCGAGGAAAAGAGCATCTGGGGAGCTGTTGTTCTTCATGGTGTAGGTATTGGTGTTTACGGCGATGGTGGTGAAAAGTCAATTGATTGCTGGAGCAAATACAAGATAATACACGGCGTAGTTCCTGCCTATACAGAAGAAGTGAACAGAGACAAAGGGCAGGAGGGGATGTGAGGCTGGATGGCAGAGCATGGACCATAGCTGGCGGCATCGTGTCTTATATGCAGCGCCTGGGCATTTGAAGAAGAGAAGAATACAGAAGTATTTAGACCGGGCATGGGCGTGGCCTGATTGGTCCGGGCCGTGGCTAGCGCATTGAATCTCGATGCTGCACTTTTGGTTGAGGATTTAGCCCGTTCCAAAGATCCGTATTGGCCGGTATTGGCTGGAAACCATGACACTACCAGTACCGCAGCCAGTGCACAGCTAGATGACGGGGGCTTTTGTGACGTATGAAGTACCATTATCAGGATCTGGTGTGCCTTGCTGGGGAGTGACAACATGAACCATGCCTCTTCTCCTGACAGCCCCCGATCTTCAGTTTGCTTTCGATCAAGGTGATGGGAAACAAGAAGCGAATGGAGGCCGGCGAAACCGTGGTCGAACACGCCCGCTTCAAGGATTAGTAGTACAGGTCCGCTTTTGCACGCAGATCATCAGCGTGAGCATTCCGGTTCCTATTGCACCACTGAAACCGTCTCGATGCATGCACGTTGAGACGAAGTAGTGACGCCAATCTATACACTTTTTCGCAGATCGAAAGCACTCGCTCCACTGCCAGCCTGATATCCAGCGTGTGTGTAGGGTTGCACTTCTCCGTCTCCGTTGCCTCCCTGACAAGGTCACCGTATGTGTACATTTTTTGTCTACGTCGGTCGGCCTGTTGGTCGGAGGTTGGATCCGTACCTCTACTAGACCGCACCTCTTTGCGAGCGTAAGAAAAGGGGCCAGAGGCGGCGGGTCCAACCTCCCGTAAGCATGGATTCTACTGAATGCTGCCACGTCTATCAGTGACATGGATCGGGAGAAATGGCAAAAACAAAAATGTAAGGGGAGCTCCAATCTTACCGTTGGATCAGATGCACGCCAGAGGCAGTCTCAACTATGCCGCTCATCTCGCCGGGTTGCAGAGCGAATGCAGCGTCTTCAAACTCCTTCTGCATCTGGCCTTTGCCGAAGAATCCCAGATCACCTCGCTTGCGTGCACTGCTGCAGTCGGACTCGGTCACGGCGAGATCACCCAAGTCTTTCTCCCCCGACCGAATCTGTTGTTCATATCCCTTCAGCAGTTCAATAGCCTCCTCCTTGGTGCGTGTGATGTTGGGTTCTCTCCAGCTCGACGGTCGGCGACTGTCTTTGTGCTTGACGAGCAGATGGGCGGCGCGGATTTTACCCTCGGCCCCTGTGCCGTCAATGCGCGTGTTTGCTGAGCTATGATGTTGAGCCATGTAGAGCTTGAGTTTCTCCGTGTCGGCACCTTCCGGTGGTTCCCATCGTGACTCGTGAGTCTTGGAATTGAAATAGTAGGGGAGGTTCTTGGAGTTCGAATGTCGAACTTCCCAGTCTGGGGGGAGGCCGGTCTCAGACTACGAGTGTGGTGGTCAGCCTGGCGACAAGTGCCTTCTGAGGGTAGCTACGTACCATGGTGCGTTGATGCAATTCCACAGATCTAGCTGGGTCCGTTAAGGGCTGGTTGACGGTCAAACAGATTCTGAATTCAAGTTTGTAGGCACCCGCTTCAGGATGTTGAATGTATCTCGGTCGCGCAGGCAAGGTGGGGCTGTGCACCGGCACTGGGGATTGTCAGCGGATCAGCCAGAGCGAAGAGCGACCTTTTGGAGTGACACGGTGCGGGCTGTTGTTGACTCCAGTGTGGCTTGGGCCGAGTGTCTTGTCTACATCGTGGCTTCAAACATTCACTCACATATACTAATTTGGTCATGATGCATGTGACCAGTTCTATAACTTCAGTCTATAACTAACAGATGATGACTGGCTTATGGACAACTCGAGGTCGTCTTTTATACTCGGTTTGACGGTCCATCCTCGTGCCGTACGTTGTAGTGCAGTGCCAGTGGCAGACTCGGAGTCGGAGACTGTGGCTGCTCTGACCAATAGAGTTTGTCTGCGCCGCGGACCTTTCACTAGCAACATGAGTGCGATGTCCGTCACTACTACAATGTTGTACTCCAACAACCTACGTCCAGACAGTATTCATTATTCAGTCGTCAACATCCACACCTAATTTTCAGTGAAACTCATAATACCTGGTAGGCTGATGTTGTTATAGCGTTTCTTTTCGCTATCACCATTCTTGTCTTTTTATCTGATCTTTCCACCACACGCAACGCCCTCCATCAGGAATCTCTAGCTCATCACCACTCGAAGAATATTCCTCCTGCATCGACGTTCCGAGTCCGCCATTCCTTACGCCACCGACCCAAATCATTTCCTAGACCTTACCATCTTCGACCATGTCAGCACCTGGCTCCCCTGCCCCTAGTGAGGGCGAGACCAAACGTGGCGAAGTGTCATACCGATTTTGTCAAGAATGGTAGGAAACCTCCAAAATGAGCGCAGAAGTTCAAAGTGTACCAGTATCTAACTATGTGTGCTTAATACAGTTCGAACCTCCTCTACCCGAAAGAAGACCGCGCGACCTCAACACTTCTCTACATCTGCAAGGCCTGCCACGCGACCACCACCCACGACTCTGCATGCACATACCGGCATCAGCTGGGTTCCACCGTTCAGGAGACGGCTGGAGTCACCACTGATGTCGCAAATGATCCAACTGTGGGTTCTGCTCTCCCCGAGCTGCCCTGCCTGTGTACTCTATGCGGGGATCCCTTGAAGTGCGGCAAATGCGGCCTTCAGGCAACAGAAGATTCTGATCAGTCCGAATATTCCGAGGGCTGATGGAGTCTTTGTGCTGTCACCGGATCCAAGATCTATTTCATCCAGCGTTTATTTGATGAGCTCTGGCTGACACAGCGCTTCTTTGTCTTTTGCAGCTTCCTCATGCAACTCAACGGTGTCCGAAGTGTGGGGAAACGGATGCGGTTTATTTCCAGTCCCAACAGCGGGCTGCGGACACGGGGATGGTGAGTTGACTTGATCTCCAGCGGCTGAGGGCACAAGGACTGATCCTTTTCTAGAAACTCTACTACGTTTGCACAGCCTGTAATAATGTTTACACTACCGTTTAGAGCGCGGCGCAGGCATCTGGGATTTCGGAGGAACAATTGCGTCTTTTAAAATTCCGGCGTTCGTGGACCATTACATGGCTTCTTCACATGTGTTATGAGGAATGGAGAACAGAAGTTGAATCGGATGATCAGGCGTCAAACATTTCAGTTTCTCAACGGAGGGACTTGACGATTCCACAATTAGCTTTGTATTCTCGTCACCTTTGTACAACTTAAATTTTTATGACAATGGGTATCTGGCCAACCGCTAGATAGCTGGGACCAGGAGTTTCAATAGCCAAGCGCGCAGTCAATGCCTGCAATAGCAAAGAATCTTGAGAAGCAGAGAACTGTCCAAGAGCGCAGATGTTTCAACATGTATTTCCTACCCTCGACTTCATTATCAAATCATACATGCATCGGCGCCAGTGAGAGGATCTTGGACCACTTTTTATCCCGCAACTCGGATCCCACAACACCTGGTTATGAAATGTCAGCCCGTCTGGAACTTGAACCACACTCGGTCGGCCTTGTAATGTTTGTTTCTTGCTTACTGGATAATCTGGTGCCGATGGGATCGCCGTTCTTGTTGATCAGCACACAGGCATTGTCGTCGAATCTGATCAGACTGCCGTCTTTCCGCTGGATCTCCTTCTTGGCCCGCACAACCACTGCATGTCGTATGTCCCCTCGGCGCACTTTATTCGCAATTCCCAAGCTCGAGCCGCCTGGGTTTTCGGGGCCGAAGGATCTCTGTTTCTGCACAACGACGATTATTCTGTCACCTGGATTTGGCGTGAGAGTCAGTTCAAATTTCGGGCCGCCAGCGACGTATTTGTCTTTTGAGGGGGTTGGAGAAGGAGTGAGGGTATTTCTTAGGTAGCCATACCTATTGTTGCGTGTTGTACCTTTTTCCGCATGACCGCCACGCACTCGACGATGGCCGCGCCGGAGTTGTCGATGCAGTTAAGCATCGTCTGGAAGCACCGGAATGTTAGTATGGACTCGTTACTATTCAGACCGTGGTGGACTGGAAATTGGTAGTGGAGAGTGAAAGTGATCGGTAGGGGGGAAAATAGTCCTTGGGTACAATGGAACACGTAAGGGTTCTGACTGACCTTGAGTTGTATCATCGTGGCAGCATAATGCGGTTCACTACCACGGCGAGGGAATGTGAGCGTCTTCGGACGATCGATCGATCAATCTACAATTGCAAAATGCGAGTGAGGCTCCGGCGCAGGTGGTTTGGCGCTGAATGTGGCAGGTTGAGCGGATGGAAGAGCTGTCTTAGTCAGCGGGTGTTGCAGCTAGTACTGTCGGCCAATAGGAGATGCTGAGGTGAGGCTTAACCCGCATCGACAGCATCATGATTACTTCTTGCGACTCTCTTCATGCTTTCAACGAATATTCTGTTGATCGAGCTGATAGCTTCACCTTGTTGTTCTGCCTGCCGGATAGTAATGGTGTCAGGTTTGTGGTTTGTCCGTCGCTGCAGGTTCAGAGAAGCCAGAACCCATCTCCCGGTTTGTGTTCGTCACGCGAGTTGGTTGGCTCCGGTTCAGCAGAGCCTCAACCCCTACGTTGTACACCTCCAATGGAATGAACTTCGCAAGTACAGGAAACCATACCCAGCAATCTCTTCAAGAAGTGAGAATGATAAACTATACCTCGTCGTTTAGAGGAAGAGACTATTTTAATATGGACTAGAGTCACACACAGGTTTTATTGTTGTCTATAAATGTTCCAACGCACCTGTAAGGAGGAGAAGCAAGCCGGGTATCAAGTCATGTTATTCCTATCGCGGAATGACTATGTATGTTGTACATGCAGAATGCTGTTTCAACTTCCAGCAACTGCAAACAGCTTTGCAAGGGTTTATCTTCATGCGGCTGCGCACTTTATCCCATCATATTGCAATGTGTGGTTTTGAAGTCGGCCAGGTCTCTGTTTACGAGCTCTGTCCACCCTTTCTGCCGGCCTCTCTGGCCTTCTCGCTGCCAGGTTCGAACGAGCCGCTGGATGCTTGGCCTCCTTTGGAAGCAATCTCACGCTGTAACAGAAGTTAGCACAAATTCTTGTCGAGAACTGGGCGCAGAGTGCCAACGTCCAAACATACCTGCTTGTCAGGGTCCATCGAGGCAAAGCCGCCAGAGTGACTCGACTGTCCGCCCTTGCTGGCAATTTCCTGCACCTCTTCCTTGGGACGGTTGGCGAAGTTTCCTGGGTTGTCGTTGCCGGCCATTTTGCTTGGGTTGTGATGTGAGATGGAAGTGTGGTTTGCAGTATATGTGACTTTCACAGCGCGATGGTGGATTTCGATTTCGATTTCAATAGTTTATTTGTCTCTGTTGAGTTTGAAAGCATGATATATCGAATACCTCACCTGTATTTATGCTTTAGAGGTCCCGGGGGGGG